AGAAGCGATAAAGACTGTGTCCGCACAATAAACATACCTTCGCCCTTAACATTTCGCTTAGTATCAACTGGAGAGCCTGTGCCCATACGAGAATTCGAGTTCGAGTTTCCGTTGTGAGCAGTACCACCTTGTCTGGCTGCTACAGCCGCTGACATAGTTGAGGATGTTCTATGACGATTTTTGTGGCGATTAAGGGAGTTTGATGTTGGGTTTCTTGGTTGAGTGGGTGATAAGATGGATGATGCTTCCTTGACCGGTTGGGGAGGGATACAAGTGAATTAGAAGTGATGTGTGTGTGTGTGTGGGGGGGGGGGGTGTGATGTAGTGATGATGACGATGATCTCTATCTGGAAGGGTCTCTCCCCGATTGCAGAAGCTACCTTAGAGATGGAAACAATAACCAATTTTTTCTTTCTTTTCTCTCTGTTCCTCTTCTCTTTTAATATCTGGCCAGACACACGCGCTCTTGCAAAACACGCTTAATTTTTCTCTCTTTTTATCAAGATGATACCGATCGGGTTCTGCAAGATTCCGGGGATGATTAGAGGGTGGCGGTCGATGTCGCAAGTTTATTTCTCAGAGGGAAAGGGAAAAGGGTACGATCACTCGAGGGGGAAAGGGAGGAAGACTGGCTTTCCTGCCTGGAGGGGGGGAAGGGACGAATTAGCACGATGGATTAGCAATTAACCCACCATCCTCTCGGGCCTCCCGCTAGGCTGATCACCGTGGGTATTGGTTGACGGTTCGCGGAGACACCAAACGACGCTCGGGGAGAAAGTGCGGCGAACAGGAAGCCAGGTGAGAGAGTGAGGGGTGAGAATGGGAAAGGGACGAGTTGTGAGTTCACACTTACTTACCAGCTGCTTGGTGGGGAATATCGCAGGTCTCTCTATGTGTGTAATCCTTCAAAGATCAACCTTTTCCTTCCCGTGAAAAGAACGACAGCAAGATGAAAATGTAAGCCGAATCCGAATATACGGTACAAGCAGGGCTCAAGCTGTCAACGGGCCGGTGGTGCTTGGTCCGCGGCTCTGGCGTTGTTCGTCGAGGCGGTGTGGTGGTGTGTGATGTCGCTGGGATTTTGGTGGTGGTGGTGGTTGTAGAGTAGTGGGTGATAAGGGGGAGACCGCTGACGTAGTGGGTTCCTTCTGCCGACACAGTGTTCGTGTGCCTCCTTTTTTTTTTTTTTTTTTTTTTTTTTTCTCTCTCCGAGATCAAAGAGAGTAAAAAGTCAAAGGTAAAGAGAGATTAGACGACAAAGGGATAAAACGCATATACCGGATGAATTACAGGGGGAAAAGTATGTGGTTTATTGCAAAGGATGATAAACGTGAATGTAAGTAAATTTGGCAGAGTCGAAATTTTGCTAGGGATCAATCGCTGAAGTGTGTCGTCGATGACGAAGGTATGCTTGCGTGCGAGGAGCGGCAAGCTTGAGGATTCGAACTTATCCAACACGCGGTTCAATCCCCATTAGTCAGGAGGCGTCGCTCTCGCATTCCATTGGCTAGATCCTTCCCCCCGGTCTGCTTGTAAATTAGGTGTGTGGTAGGCCAGAGGATGGAGAATGACGTATGACGGTATCTTGCTTGGCCGAGCTGCCCGTTTTGGTGACGAATCGACGCATCCGGTTGAGACAGACGTTAAGAAGGAAACGTGGGCTTACACACGCCTCCAATCACCTTGGCCCTCGCATCTGCACTCCAGTACCAGTACCAGGAAAGGTCTTTGTTTCGATGTGTCCACTTGCAATCGTGAGCCTCAAATTTCCTTGTCTATGACCACAAACAAGCCTTCTAAAACGAACACTTGATGGCTTCTGCAGAAATTGTTCAACTCAACCCCCTCCCCCCATGTTCTAGATCTTGCAGCTTGGTCTAACTGTCTAAGGATAGCAAAACGGTTGTTTGTTCTTATAGAACCTCATGACTGAGCCGCATTAAATTGCTGTTGACTTTTAAAGCCTATTTTTCGGGAAAGCGCTGCGAGGGACGTCTGGAGGCAATCCAAAGCTTGGAGGTGTGTGTATGCGCATGCATGTATGTGTGTCAACGCCTAAATCTCTAGTTACAATTTACTGACCGATAATGGTACCGAGAATATACAAAGTATAGAACATTTTGAATATACGTATATATATATATCCGGGTACCAACTCGAAAAATCTATCAAACACGGTGTACAGTTTCCAATGACGTTTTAATAACTGATCTGCTATGAAAAGTACGAACAATACTAGTACAGTCGCACCTCGCTATGCCGGATGGCCAAGATTCACCAAATCTTGTACGGGATAGCAAATATTCCCAAGAAATTCGGGATAGCAAATTGATTTTGCAGTAGAAAAATAGAATTCTCAAGGGATCCGGCATATTGAGTTCCGCCATAGCGAGGTGCAACTGTACTCAGTCGTTAATTAAAAGGTCGGAAATTTAGTAAGCATTTGGTTGCAATGATATCCGACCATTTAATTAACGCGCGAGTATAACACTGCTTTTTCTTTTGATAACATACTTGCTTACCAGCAAAAGAACATGCGGTAGCTCAGGGCAAGGATAGTTTGTATGGAGTGGCGCCGTTCCCTCATACAAATAATCCCTGGTTCTTTTGCTGGTAGGCAAGTACTTTCTATTAACGATAACTTTATTTCAATTCCGTCCCAGTTGGCAATCTTTAAGCCCCAGGACCGGATTTAACAGGTCGCTTCGGTAGAGTACACAGTGAATTAATAGTATAGCGCTAGGTGTAGGCGTTGATACATGTAGGTACTTTGTTACATGCATACACCAACCCTTTATCTTTAGAGGTTTTCCCGTTTGTTACCAACCGGAATCATTCTATGATGCCCTACCTCTGATCAATTTATACTATTAATTCAAACCAGGTTGATGAATGAAATAAGCCTTACGTTCCTTTTTCCCTTCTACTCGGAGCTGGAACCGTCTTCCCCTTGAAAATACTTTCCCGGGCGGAGTAAACAGAACAATCATTTACTGAAGGGCTGTTCCGGCATATTCCAGTACACCCTTGATGTTCTATGTAGGAAGCCTGGGTGCAGGACCAATCATCACCCGCCATTTGCGAAATTTCTTTTCGTCCTGACCTTTTATATATTAGGAGATGCAACACAACAAGGCACGTGTTTTTAAGCCTCTAAACAAGTGAGAAGTTACAGCAGGTATGTTTGCAAAGGTCAATGATCACTCCCATCTCTATTTTTGACCTTACCCTTCAGGCCCTATATACTAATTTGGTATTCAGCAAATTATATCAATATCAAAATCACTCCGGAGGTTTCATCCATCATACCGCAAGCACCTTCCTGGGCCACGGGTAGCTCAAACCGGGACCCGAATAGATGATCAAGACCTCGACTCTTCCCCCCCGTTCCCCTACATTCGGCTACTACTGGTTATGGAGAAAACTTAACGTCGTACTGCCTCTGCACTTCGATCATAATCCTAAAGTTGCCACCAAACGCTCTTGGGATCCATAAAAATAAGAATAAAGTGCACTTTACCATAGCTGTATGGATCTGAAATCAGTAAGCCAGGTTCCCGATTCCACACCTTACAACCCCGGCTCCTCTTGATCCCCCCTTAACATTATTATATCATTTGTCTCTCATCTCCCTGGGTGCATACACCCATCCGTTCCTCAGAAAACACCGAAGGGGAATATTTCATCCCGGGTAGGGGTGGGCGCGCTTAAATATATGTTAAAACTTATAGGGCTGAGATGAAAAGATAGTTTATGTATCTCGGCAGCGCGAATGAAGAGACGTGCGGCTGCATATGACAGGTCGCGCTCGCTGGGACATCACATCACTAATCCCGGTATGTACCTACATATTCCGCAGATATGTAGTGGTGCATGATAGTATTGTCAAAGTAACAGAAATTTTAAGTCTGGAGACGAATTTCTCACTGATTATAAAATGATAGTTACATCGTTATTGTATATATTTGTTTGATAGATCGAATAGCCATAGAGATTTGGGCTTCGCATGGCACTTGTTTGCGTAGGGAATTTATCGCCCTTAAGAGATACATATCCGGTCCTGAAGAAGAAGCCCGAGCTCCAAAACGTGGACACATGAAGCTTTACAAGCTTTCACAGATAATCTAGTCCCCGAAACCAATGTAGTATCGATATAGTATAATATTGATAGGCTTGCCTGAATGTAAATAGATCTTAATATTATGAGGGTTATTTTGTCGTATCTTGCTTTGGCAGCTACAATAATAAGATGACTATTATACTAGTACGTACTAGTCCATATGTTGCGAGTGAGACTATGTGATTGAAACTGCGGGTAGATTCCCAAACCCTATACAAAGGGACTAACTCTAATAATATACTTCCGGGTGTACGTTCTATGCGTTTATTCTAACTATCACCCTTAAGGTGATAGTCCAAGTAGCCAATTTGACACTTATAAAATCCATAAGTTCTCTCGAAGTCTAAAAACAGAGTATCTAACCTGCCGGAAGTCTACAGTATATACAATCTATCAATTCATGACCTTTGTGCACGGGTCCATATGGAAGTCTTTACAACTTGGCCTTTCTAATCACCTAAGAGCTCGAGCTTGCATGTCAGCCAGCACGATTCAAAGCTTAACCACAGCTGCCAGTTTTTTTTTGGGGAAAACCATTGGAAACTGTCAAAATATAGCGAACAAAAGAAGATACGACGACAACGACAAGATTCGAACTTACGCGCCCGAAGGCATCCGCTAACTTTGGTGACCCATAGCAGGCGAACGTGTTTTGTGAAATAGTACTTTACGCCGTTCTGCCAAGAAAGCAATCTGTGCAATCTTACGCCCTTTGTGGCCGTACGGCAATAATTAACACCGCTGACAGCCGGTCAAGATTACAGATTAGTAGACGCCTTCACGGGGGTATGGGGCGCACTGGGGTGTGGTGCAACAACTAATAACGTCAAAAGATGAGAACAGAATATATGAAGAATATCACCAAATAAAACATATAGATACATTTCTCTATATCAAGTAAAGAATTCTACTATCTTAATTTTCTTGATTTCGTCGATTGCCTCTCGTAATTCAGGAAAGCACCACACCCCAGTGCGCCCCATACCCCCGTGAAGGCGTCTACCACTTGTGCGTTATGCGGTAGATTTCCAAAGGTGGTTACGTACAGGATCGGAAGCTGTCGCGGTCGCGGATTCGCGGCTGATCAGATCCTCGTACCATACTTTACATGCATGTATGTACTTCATGACACAGTGGAAGAAACAATTATTCTACCACACATACTACATATGTAGGTATTACCACTCAAAATTCAAATACATTATATATCAGTTCGATAACTAAGCACTTGTGGCTTATAGTCAATTTCTGAGTTTGATTTCATTTCATACATCTACAAGTAGACGTTACTAGCGGTTATATTATATAGGGTATATTCTATATGGAATTTGGTGCATTGCCGATAGCAGCACATCACTCCTCGAGGCACAGAAATTATAAATCGGAAATTTGGACGCAGGGGTCTAGTTCTGAACTCGTAATTTCTGGGGGATAATGGATTGGCCTGCAGGCTTGAGGCTTATGGTCAGTGCGCAATAGCCCGAATCTGTCCTCGCAATTATTCCCATGTCAAACGTTTATAGAGACCCCGATCGAGGGTGGTCGAGTGGCGGTAGATACACCTATTATTTCAAGTAATGTGAGGGTGGATATATGAGTACATGCATACTTGTACATATCAACTACATTTACTTGTAATTAAATGGGTGCAGTTCTTTATAATTATTTCACGCATTGTACGCGCACGGCCATCGACTCCGAATGACTTTACGCACTGTGTTGTAGCTACAATCTATTATGTACTGGATTAACGATTTTTCTAAACTCTCTGGCATCTGATTGGTCGAGAGCTGTAACCTCAACCCTCACTGACTTCTGCATGGCAACCAGCCAACCCCACCAAAATATAATGCTGTTCACGGACTAATATTTAAAGATATAATCAATTTTTAACTAAGACCACTGGGGGCAATGGGAGCTGGATGGAGTGGGAGGTTGATGGCGGCGGAAGAGCTGGAAGAGCAGGAAGAGGTGGAGGGAGGTGGAGGTGGTGGAGGGGGGTGGAGGGGGTAGAGTCCACCCCATCGAATACCTTCCAATATTCCAATATTTTCTCCAACTCGCGGTCGCGAGATGGCACACCCCTAGTACTGTATGTACGTACCTACAGTGCCGTCGCTATTAAGGCACTGCCAAGCTCTAACTTGAGATTCTAGATTCAAAGCGGGTCTAGAGCGTCGGTTCAAAGTAAGATCATGGTCAGGCACTCAAAGACATTTGCATATGTCAATAATGAAGCCTGGTAGCTGGAATACCAAGCTTAAGGCTTGCCCCGAGAGTATGGTTACCTACATGTACTTGTTTACCACGAAAAGAACCAGTTGCTCAGGGCAAGGATTATTTGTATAGAGTGGCGGTGATCTCTCATACAAACTATCCCTGGTTCTTGTACTCGCGTGTAGGGGAAAGAAATAATCCCTGTTTCGTCACTTGGTTCTTTATGCTGTACGCGAGTAGTGACACAGAGCTAAATTTATAAATTATAATGCCCACTCAGCTCCAATCAACACCTTAGCGCCATATCTCAAGACTAAGACCGGCGTACTTCTAGAATACGAAAACCTCTATTCGTGCTACCTTTGATTATCGTTACGTGCGTCGAGTCGTGCAACTCTCCCTAATTCCTGATATGATATGCTTCACAATACATCACTCGACCGACTATAGTACCATACAACAAAACATTCGGTTTGATCTACTTTATGCCAATCGGTTAATTAAATAATAGTTTCACAAGAACAACAAAGCAAACATGGTACCAACTTTCGAGAATTGGGTTTCAAAACCATAGTCTTTGTTTCATTGTCTGTATTAGTCCTCCCAGCCCAGAACGCGAAGGTCCTGAGGTCTCCAATAGCACTCTATTAAACTCACTATCGATCGGGAGATTGACATTCCAGCTCAGCCAAGACTCCCGAATAAAGCTCTATCTGGGCCAGTGAATTTGCCCGTAGATAAGAGAATTCCTCAAAACTCTAGAACACTGAGTAGGTATGTGCGCTATGACGCACGTAACTGGCCGTTACCTCCATGCACACTGCCGCCTGCAAATAGGATCCTGACCCCGGGGCTAATGTTACCTAATGGAAATCAAGCCAGATGCAACCGCATAAAATTTTAACAAGAGCCTCGTGATGGGACACGTCAGTGCAAGCCCTTTTTCTTTTATTATTATAATTTGATTTTACAGTGCATTATCTTGTGGAGAAGAAGCGTAGAGCAAGAGGAGGTGCAGTCTTGTTGTTGGTGGTGGTGGTGAATGTACATGTAGGTACGTACAATTCCCCCTGCGCAGCCGCGGAGTAACCAGCTAGCTATGGAATACAATTAAATTGCTGGGGGTTGGCTTTTTAAGTATAAGAACAGTCGAATCAAGACGAGGTGGTAACGTTGTATTGCAATTGGCTTAATTGACTGGGCCTAATTGGCTACTTGTAAGACATCGATGTTCACAATTCATGCGTTCCAGCAGCCAGGTGCAAGTATTGGTTCAAAATCAGCTTCTGGGAGAGTACATGTACTTGCAATAACAGCTTATCAGGCATAAAAACACCCTCAAATCATTTCAGATGGATGTAGAGCACGAAAGCTCTGTCACCAGACTCAAGCATTACTATAGTAGGCTTAGTAACGTCGCTTTGTGTCCTTGTGAAAAGCAAAATAAAAATGACATGCAACAATAATTTTGATTCTTTCGCTGCACTTGCGCAATTTCACTTGTATGAGTGCTCCTCCTCCTCGGTTATCCCAATTAGAGTTCTCTCCGTGACTGAATACATGCGATGTGGTACTGTGGACCCCGCAGCTCTAGATAGAGTGAGATCAACACAATATATCAAACTTCTAGTGCCTACAATTCAGAAAACTAGGGCTACTTTATAATGGAGTGCCCGTAGATGCATATCTCTACACCATGATACATGGAGTTTGTGACTGAGTCCGCATATCTTACCAAAATCATTTTCATGACCACACGCCGGAGTGCCCCCACTATTCTTGCGTACATGTAGTTATTAGACAAATCGGTATTGAGCTCTAGACGTCCCCAGAATTCAAAGCACAGACCACCCCGTCTAAGAAAGAAAAATCGGGTAAGTCATGCAGGGCGTTTTTCATGGTTCCGGATAAATGATATGGGTGCGGACGAATGGTGTTACGGGCTATCAGATACATGGGAGAGACGTCGTCACAAGACATGGTGCTGTTCTCGAAGGTCTGACAAGTGAAAAGATCGGTAGGATAAGAAGATCCACCCGCACAAGAGCGGGGTACTTGCTTGCATGCATATTTGCTCCTCAAGCCTCAAAACAAAGTTTGTTGTGAACTGGGGCTACTTTTTCTTGATTGGTGGGGATTTTTGATTTTGATAGGCGGGATGGATCATGGTGGATCACTCAGTCATAAGTGTGGCTGGAATTAGCATTCCAACAAAAGAAGTCTTGAGCTATACGGCATGTATAGATGAAGAATACTTTTTTTCCTTTTCTCTCGACATTCCTGATCGTAGCCTTTATTGTGATCACTGCCTAATGCAATGGGTTTTCATACTGGTTTGAAGTTTCCAAAGTACATTAAATGAAACTCAACAAAGTCTCAATAATCCAATAGATCGCACAGCCTTGCATTATTGTTGGGGGGTAGGAGGAGAAAACGTGGAATTCAGCTTAATTGACCCCGATCTAGGGCTTCGGAGGTTCTCGGCGACGATTCCTGGCCACAGAAAGCTTGTCCCATACGGTCTGCATTGATCTTATTGAAAGATTTATAGACAGGGTTTATAAAACTTTGACATCATTTTCGGCCACGGAAATACAACTGGTAAGTCTCTGTCTGACGGTGTACGGTATGACTTCCGCAGCTGCAGTAAAAGTATCAATGTGTATTGTGGGGTGACAAAAGTTCTCGTGATTTTTTACGTGGATGTATCATGAAACGACTATAACTCCACAACTACAAAAGATACCCAGGAGACAGCTACGTGATTCGAGAGCTTAAGGTTGATAGGAACATACCTCTTAGGTATAATTCCAATTACCGACTTTGTGGATTGGTCTTTTGGAAATTCCCCTGCTGGTTGCTATGCGAAAATCACGAGAACTTTTGTCACCACACAATACCTACATAAAGCTCCTTGCAATCGACATACATCAATGTCCTATTGGAAAGTTTTGATGGCAGTAATAATTGGAGTAATTCGGATAGAAAGACAGATCTCGCGAAATTAGCCAGTAGGATATGCAGGACGTGATGAATTATTTGCCTAAAACGGCGAGCTAAAACGTGTCCATAAGTCCTCAAGAGATCCTCAGTGGTTGGCCTTGTCGTTGAAGATGCTAATGATTATGGGCACGTTTTAGGAACTAATAACAAAATATATGGCGTCTCAAAATAGGAGAAACCCACATACCATGTTATGATCAATGCTAGATCTGCAGAGCATTTACCTCGTTTCAGCCTTCAAAATCTGATATATAACTCTCTAATAACCCAACTATAAAATAAACTAACGGCATACCCGTTCAGGACCATCGAACACGTAAGACTTAATTAAGTTTTTTTTGAATACCCAAATCTCCGATCCTCAGAATGATCGATCCAAGCGCTCTGAATAGATCTAGAATATCCAGAATTAACTACGCTCGAGTTCGTAAGCATAACCAAGTATGCCGTAGAAGGGGTTTGGGAAGTATAGGGCCGGTGGTCAATATTCAAAGTGCACAAACATCTATCCATACCATCAACGATAGTTATTATGATATGTCTATCATTTCTGACGCTCAAAGTGTACGGATTCTATGTTCGGACGGATTCATCTAGTGCACGCCGGGTTTAAGCACTATCATATCAGTAGGCTCGGCTTAGTGCCTGTATATAGCATTATCGGGATATCTATTACACCGGCATGAAGTCTATGTTATTGTAGGAAGAAGAGCTTCTACGGCTATTTCGAGCTTAAGGCGCGTATCCGTTATAAAATGAATCCCGCCAGAAATTATGGGTGAGGAAGGGTTAGGGTTTCAATTATCTCTTCGCATGATACGTCGGTGCTCTTGCACAACAATACTGGGTGTGTAGGTACATGTACACATTGGTAAATTGTGCTAGGCGCGGCTTGCCCTGCTTTGAAATCGAAGCCTATTTGGGCATGTTTTAGCTGATTTGAAAGTGAAACACATATTCTATGGGACATGGAATCTCACTCATATTTGGTATAAGACAGTGAACTATGAATTAGTAGCCGTTCCTATAACGATACAAAACGTAATATTATGGATCTTCTACAACAAAGTAACCATATATTCGCGATTATTTTAATCCAATCAACTTGCATCCTATTTAAAATAGTACTCGTCTAATCGTTATGATACTTTCATTTCTTATTTCCACCCATCTAGGTCCCTGTAAGTGCTTTTTTTCCATCCCTTCTCTAAGAATACCAACCGGCAAAATAAGTAAAAACAGCAAAGTAGAAATTAAAACAAAAGACTCAATTCAGGAAAGCGCAAACGTTTCCGAAGCATAAACGCATGGCGTATCCAAAAACCTACGCCTTTTCCAAATGCTCAATCAACGCCTCAATCGTGCAGACTTTAAGCCCCCACTTTTCCCCAAACTCCAAGCACTCGTCCCGTCTTTTCATCAATCCATCCTCCTCTCTAACAATCTCGCAGATCGCCGCCGCCTCATTTTTTCCTGCCAATTTGCAAAATTCGACCGCAGCCTCGGTGTGCCCCCTCCTCTGGCGAACACCACCGTCCACTGCGCGTAGGGGAAAGATGTGTCCTGGTGACCTGAAGCTCTCTGGGGATGCCGCTGGGTCTGCAAGGGCTCTAACAGTGAGGGCGCGGTCATAAGCGGAGATGCCGGTGGAGATAGTGGGGTCTTTTGAATCGAGGGAAACGGTAAACGCGGTGCCATGGGGTTCCTGGTTATTGGGGACCATCTGCGGTAGTGAAAATTTGTCGATGAGCGCTGGAGAAAGTGGTGCGCATACCAACCCACTGTTCAAGTGTCAGTAAATTCATCAATTAGGTATTCTGCGACGGTGCGCCGCGAGGAAAGCGATGGGCGATGGTGCAATTCTTGATTACCTTGTCCACCTAACCATGAATGCCATCTTCTCGACTGTGAGGTCTTCTGCGGCGATAATCAGGTCGCCCTCATTTTCGCGGTCTGCGGAGTCAAGTACGATAATGAACTCTCCTTGTCCTGTTTTGTTCATGGGTCAGCTATGCGTCATAATGGAATTTTCTCGCCGCAGAGAAAATTCAAAATAAGGCAGGAACTCACGGAAAGCTTCGACCGCCTCCGGTATCGATGAGAACTGAGGAATTGTTTCCGAAGTCATTACTATTATGCAGGTGGAGGTTGTAGAGGTGTGAAGTTTTAGAGGGGCAATTCCTCGGTTCGTTGATGTAGTTAATTTAGAAAGAACACCTGAAGAAGGAAAAAAACGAATCTGGGATCCCCGAGCAGGAATTCGTAAGGCGACAAAGTGGGGAAGAGATTAATGAAGAAGTGAGGTACAAACGTGGGGTTCTCGTGGACTATGTAGGTATGTCTAAAGTATTCCGTAAGCGTCGGCTGTCTTGGATAGGTAAGCGTGACCCATGCTGACATTCCCGAGTCGCTTTCACTAGAAGCCTCCATACCCATAAACTTATACAAGAAAGGAAGTCTGGAATCTTACCGATTCTCACGTGCTATCATGATTTCCGCCTTCGGCTTGGACATCTCGTATGATAATACGCACTTGGGTTACTCAACTTGTTCATAGAGAACCTGTGTTTACTTTACCGAGGTCGTATAGGCACTCGACTCGGTACTCTACATAGTTCTAGGCCATAAATCATGGGAAGGCGCGGCGTAGCAACCTCCCGGGCCACCACGACTACCCACCCAGCAACCACAATTGATCCTTTGGAGAGCTGGTTTTTTGTATAGTTGTTAAATAGTAGCTAAATAAAAATAATTTGACATTTAATATCTGTACTAACCCCTTGCCTTTATAACAGCTCTATTCTCCAATAAATCATCAGGTAACAGTTCCCAGCAATGAATTAGACCTTCCTCCATGAGGGGCTTTAATACTTAAGGTGATCTAGTACCATATGCTAAATGGGGGTACTGTTGATGGTAAAGCTTCTTGAGGTGTACCCAAACATGTTCAATTGGATGGAATAGGCAAGCCAGTCCTCCAGAACATCTACCCTATTCTCCTCCAACCTGAGTTGTAAGACTCCGGTTTTTTGCCACAGCAGGGAGGCTGGTCATTCCCTCCTAGCTGTCTGGCGGGGTACATGGTCTCTGGGCGCCATCGGTGGTGGTGAAAGATTTTGTGTTCAGGCGTTGCGACCTCGCGCCTTCCCATGCTAACTGCATCTATGTACATGTATAGCGAGAATTCATACCTGTGACTCTAGAGACGCTGCCACGTGAAAAGAAAGAAAAAATCATTTCCTGCTTACCCCTGCGCCAACGGTACTGGAAGTCAGAGTAAATTATTTCACTTTAGGGTTCACAAAAGGCCCAAGCGCAGATCGATCATAACCACAGTACTCTAGAAGTTTTATATTCTGCTATTTAGAAAGTAAAACTACAAATTTTGCTTATAGTAAAATTGGTTTATATGTGATATTTGTTATTTGTTTACTGTTCAACCTGGGGTTCCTCCGCAACATAGTGAAGATAGGCCCCCAAAAGCTTAATCCCCTCAATGTAGTTCCTTCTGTCAAGTTTTTCTGCAGTAAATATTAGCAATTTTTCTTCAAAACAAGAGAAGGAATCCTATAAATGATAGCATACCATTGATACTATGCGCAGCATCAGTACTGCTGCCCATGGGCAACAGCAAGACATTCTTCCCAGTAGCTTGCTCAAATGTCAAGGTAACCGGAATGCTTCCACCTTCCCTAGTCATATCTGGCTTGCAACCAAAAACACTCTCAACCGCTTTAGAGGCTGCGGCAAAGTTCCAGTGCTTAGGGCTTGATACCCACCATTTACCGGCATGCAAAAGCTTGGCTTCCATGGTGTTGTTGGTTCGGATCTTCTCCCACTCGTATTCTAAGTGGGTAAGAACAACCTTATCCACCTCATGGGGTTCCATGTTTGGCACCGTGCGAACAGAGAATTTACCAATAACTTTGGCTGGAATGACGGTCTTGGCACCAGGGGCAGAGAAGGCTCCTTCGATACCGTGAATAGACAATGACGGGAAACGCCATCTATGCAGACCCATATTAGAATTGAATCAAGGTTTATAGATGAGATGTTAGCTTACCTAGCCATCAAAGTGCTCTCCTTATCTTGGTAGATACTGCTACAGCTTCCAATACCATCGTACAGATCTTTCATCTCGAAGCTAATTCCCTCGTATAGCTTCTTCTCCTCTTCGTCGACTGGCTTAACGAGCTCATTCAAACCGGGAACAAGAATCTTCCCTTTGTTGTCCACCAATGTACCCAATAGCTTGACAAGGTCGGTCATTGGTTCACTGACGGATCCACCATAGACACCAGAGTGGAGGTCTTGACCCGGGCCATGAACACAAATTTGGTAGTACGATACTCCGCGAAGGCCGTATGTCAGACATGGCTTCTCGGCACCAAGCCAGTAATTGTCAGAGATGCAGACAGCATCAGCGTCCTTGAAGAATTTCTTGGCTTCGTCGTGGATGATATCGTCTAGACCCTCTGATCCATATTCTTCCATTCCTTCGAAGCACATGAGGAGATTTACAGGAAATTCGATACCGGCTCTGTCTTGGTGTTAATAAGGTCGTATAAAACAATGAGGTCGACTACATGTAGGTTATACTGACTTTTGATGAGCTTCAATAGCGTTGAGCCATCCCAGACTAAGCACCCGGCATCAGCTTCATATAATTACCCACATTTAGCGTATTCAATGACTGTACTAACACGGGACCCTTATCATCCGTACTGCCTCTCCCAAACATCTTTCCTGATTTTTGGTCAACACTCAAGACGAATGGATCCGTAGCCCAACCATCTTCTTTCAGCGCGGGTTGCACATCGTAGTGTCCGTACACCAGGATGGTCCTCTTGCTCTTGTCGTTTCCATATCTGGCCAGGAGGATGGGTGGAATCTGAAGATGAGGCCTATCAGGCTCCGCCCCAGGGTGACGCTCTTCAACGGTAGCCCCAAGAGCTTCGAGCTCCCCCCTAAGGAATTGGGCCATTTTCACAACCTGGGGACGCATGGCATCATCAGCAGAAACGGAGGGTATCGCAACGGCATCAGAGAGACCTATGAACACAGTTTAGGTTTTATTTTTAATCTCAAGGTTGTAATTGGATACGAACGCTTGATGAAGCCCTCCGCCATTTCGTCCACCCTGTTTTATTGATTAGTCTTGTTTAGGTTGAAATGGAAAGCTCCAAACATTTATCCCCATGCTTTGACTATTACAACTCAATAGCTCTACATTTGACGGAGTAGGGCACTTTTACTATAGCACTAGAATAAAATAGAGAATGGAAGAAAGAATCACATACTTGTTGAAGTATCCCTGAAGTTGAGGAGCCATGATTTCTGCTTTAGAGGAATAGTATCTGGGTATCGGGTATCGACAGTGATCGACAATAGTAAAATTTCTTGGTGACAGTAGTGAACGAGGGAGTTTAGTTGAAGGCGAGCTTAGGCGAAGATGAGAAGAGGGCTTATGAACGAATCGATTGAGGACCCGTGAGAAGGGCCTTGGGATCATGTGGCGGGGTCGAATGAGGAGGGGTAAGACGCATACGAGAGAACTCGAGACAGAAGGTGCAGCATTTGCCAAGACTTAGGTCATTTTTAATCAACTAGGTGGTACATACAACCGATACATACCGTTTTTAACCTGGTACTGTGTCGGACTGGGAAATGGGTTTATAATTTTATTTCCAAGCCTATTCGCCTCCAAAGTTTATGGATTTTTAGTGCTGTTATCATACACTTAGACAACTTCGGGATACTAAATTTATGTGAGCATCTACTACACAGGCATGAGTAGTAATACATGTAGATTTATGTCGTACGTTAGGAAAGCCGCTACTTGGAGGGGATAGATAAATCGCAGTGAAGACTTATCGTAGAAGTAACTTCAAACCCCTTCAGATTATTTCAGCTGGTTGCTGTCCTTCGCCATTAACCCGGAAAGGACTGTAGGGTGCTACAAACTCAATATTGGAAATGATAACTGCGACATATTCCGTTAAAGAAGCCTATCCCCACCGGCACGTACCCTATTTGGTATATTTACGGTTTCGTCATGATCCTATTTCCTCTGTCCATTCCCTTGTTCTCTTCGGGTGCTAATAGAGAGTTTGAGCTGCGCGACTTGGACGGACGCTCAGGCTATTTGAGGTGAAGATTTTCAATTCTGCTAGCCAATACTCCGTATACGATAACCATAAGTTATACGTGAAGATATGGTCTCTCGAGTGATTTTCAAAGCAGACGAGTGCGTAATCAAGTGGCTCGCTCATCCTTTGAGCAAGCCTTTAAAAACAATGTCAGATAGTACTATATCACATGTACTCAAAGTCGTAGCTTGATATCTTGCGTATCTATGTGGAATGACAAAGTATATCTATATAAAAAGGTAAATATATGAAAGACATGAATATATATGTCAAGTGTAGAAGGGAGGTAGTTCGTGACGTTAATCATGTGTCTATCGTTTGACAGCATGATCTTGGTTCAATATATTGTACCGATTCCTTATCAATTGATGTCCTGGCTCGACCTAGTTATCATAGACAGAAGTACCAAGGTAGTATCTATATATATAGTATGGAAACAACAAAACTTACTGCAGCAACTTCAACGTGAACGGGACCTCTACTACGGGCGTGTCAAGCTGAACGGGATGGGGTGTCAGTTTAAACGGGAATGTCGGGTTGAACTGGGATATTAGGCTGGGCTTCGATCAAGTGGAACGGATCAGCAAATATTGAGATTGAAAGGATACATGCAGCTAAATACCTAGTCAGCGGGTTCGTATTGAGACCACATACTCCTATTTAGTACAAGCGGAGTGCGGCCTTCGGCCGCCCAAATGTACTGAGGAAATGAGGTGCGGGCGGTACTGCGATAGTAATTTCTTAGATTATTGCTGTCATTCTGGATTATTGGGTCATCCAAACGTACAGGCATGCACTAAACCTCATCTCCATCTCTCCTTATATGGTGCGCACACTTTTAAAGGTGATATGGCGGCATACGGAAGTGGAACAATTGTGGCTGCAATAGGACCTCATGGGCCAATAAGAGGACCCATTTCTAGCAATTCTGCTGCGTTACTGCCACGGATCAGTCAGGTTTGCTTTTCTGGGGTATAAATGGGTATAATACTGTTCCACTTTGTTCAGTCTTGGCGGATTTTACATACAAAAATACGCAATTTCAACTTCCTAAGGCTTTACAACCCAGACAGATATTAATATTCTGGAAAAATAGAACGAATGTTCATCACTATTACTATACTTCTATTTTCTACTTTTTTGATATCATTTTTGGTGGTGAAGTTATAAGCGGTTGACTTTCCGTCACTTTGGGTTGCCTTTAAGAGTGGGCGCACCATATATAATCTGTGATATATTAGCTCTAGTATGCACTCTAAGTCATTTAATGAGTAGCGTTAGTATGTACATGTAGTTCATGATAAAATGGTATCAGGGAAATTCGACCTTCATATATAAAAATATAGCTGTAGTTCTGTCAGTGTTTGTTCCCTTATATCCATTAATTGCAATAGGTAACGCCTGTTAATGCAAGTTCCCTTCCATCTCGGGAGTAGTTCTTTGTCGAATCATGATATGCAATCAATATTAGAAATACATGCAGTGCGCTGTAACTAATAGGAGACGTTCCTGACGTGACGATGAGAAAGACTATATAGTTTAGGGAGTGCAACACCCGCGAGTACTTGTAGGTACAGGTGTTGAATACAGGAATAGCTTTTGATATCACGTGACTCTCGAGCTAGCGCCGAGCCACGCTAATGCACTAGCTGAACATGCTGTTCGGTATTTCAAATTTACCCCAGGGTTAGGGATCAGATACACCAAGACCAATTTGAAAGCTTGTGTTTTGGGGCTGCCTGAACCTATTCCAAACCTCGCAAACCTCCCACCCCCCGATAAACTTTCTTTTAATTCCAAACTCAAATTTTACTATGGAAAACCAGGACAGTACCCCACGCTGGCTCTCAATCACCGGGAAACCTCTTCCCCGCCTGGATCACCCTAATGGCATGCCAGGTGCGTGTTCTGAACCACAATGCAAGAACGCATCTGCTAACATATACCCAGGAAGGTGTCGGAACATAAAGGACTTCCAATTTCTTAATCAGCTCGGTGAAGGGAGTCAGTTAGAGCTCCGATCGCGCCACAATCAAAATAGAGACTAACAGCCGTGTTTATAGCCTACGGGGTAGTTCACCGTGCACAGGACCATAAAAACAATAAGGTCGTCGCCCTCAAACAGGTCCGAATCTTCGACTCGGACCGTGGTAATGGCATTCCCATCACCGCTCTTCGCGAAATATCAATTCTCAAATCCCTCCGCCACAATAACGTCGTCAATGTCTTAGATGTGGCCGTGGGGACGGAGCTGGACGACGTCTACATGGTCATGGAGTATGCTGAGCAGGTTGGTGGATTCTCCTTGGGCCGACATTGTCGGTTTTGATTTGTAGGGACGCGAAAGAATCCTGGGCGCACATCGGCTGGCTTATGGTTCCCTCGCCCGGTGTCGTCGGCAACGGGCGGGTGAAGCGCGCGCAGCTTTTGTTACGACGCTTTATAGGATTTGGCAAACCTTCTTGATCATGCAAGAGTTAAATATTCCGAGAGCGAAGGTACACTAAAATTACTCTACCAGCTTTTGGGGAATATCCTGTTACTAATTTAACTTTCAACCAGTAAAATGCCTTATGAAACAGCTACTGGAAGGGTTGGAGTACCTCCATAAGCATGATATTATTCACAGGTAAGTTCCCATCATCTATAAACAATCGTCCCCAAATACTAATAACCTAAATAGAGACATAAAAATGTCCAATCTCCTCCTCACTGCCAAAGGTGTTCTAAAAATAGGTAATTGCCTTCCCGTTAATCCTCTGGGATGTTCTCGTAATGCTGAACAATTATCCAAACAGCCGATTTTGGTATGGCCCGCGAGTACTCCGCTCGCCCCCTCACTCCTGGCGTCGTAACTGTGTGGTATCGGGCCCCAGAACTCCTCCTCTCCGCAACCCGTTACACCTCCGCTGTCGATATCTGGTCCGCGGGTTGTATTATGGGTGAATTGATCACTCAACTTCCTCTTCTTCCCGGGGAGACAGAGCTTGAACAGTTCGCTCTCATTGTCAAGTTACTCGGGTCGCCTTCCGACAAAATATGGCCCAAGATGCGGCTCCTCCCCGGTATCTATGATCGTGGCCGCATAGCCCCTGACGATGTCTCTGTGGGCGGTGCTAGAGGCAGATATGTCCCTCCTCCCGTTGGAGCGCAGAGGGAGAATATGTTGGAGCGCCGTCTCGTCGGACAGACTAAGGAAACAATTAGGGTCATAAACGAAATGTTGACGTTTGACCCTGAGCGTAGGATTACTGCAAGTGATGCTTTAAGGGAGCGGTATTTCACGAGGGAGATGCCGCCCCCGCAGAGACCAGAACTAATCCAGACATTCCCGGAGATTCGAAACGAGAGTGATATTGGCGCAAGGAAGGGCGCGGAGGGCGCGGGTGGAAAGCGAAAAGGGAAGGAACAAGGCGGGGGGTATGTTTTCGATTTTGGAGATGATTTTGGCGTGAGGAAAAAGCATAGGCAGCTCGAGAGACGCGATTGAGCTCTTAGAAGTATAATCTGCGCAGCACACTAAATGAGGATAACCAAGACAAGGCATGCAAGTAATTGAAAAATCATCAACGCTACATACATTAGTTACTACAGAGTGGATCGTGTGATGCAGTGATATGGTGTTTTTTTTTATCTATGGCTATAACTACATGTATATCTACGTTATAATAGATAAAGCAAATAAGAAAAATGTTTCTCGAACATGATAAATTCCCTGGAGTTCACTTCAGGATTAAGATTTTGAGTTGGAGTCTTTAGATTATCGTGAGAAAATTGCCAAGACCCACTTAGTAGGGTTAGGGGATGTCAATTATCAAATGATTGCCCGTACTGGACCACCGGGGCATATGCACGGTAATCTGAATTCATGTAGGTTACTTCCAACTACATAGTGGAATAGGTAGAGTAGATATAGTTCGGTAACATACCTAAACCGATGAGTATAGGCCATGGCTTTTTATTTAGTGTAAAGGCCCATGGTTGCTAGCTGTTGCTGCTTAAGGCTACGTAAACATGTTATGCCCATCACCCCACCAGCATCCAATCAGACACCCCAGTAGTACCGCTGTTTTCGTATCACCTTATCTATCATTTGACTTGTTGATCATGAAGGCTGCGATCTCGATTGTCGAATGCTTTTTTGTTTTTTGTCCTCTTCTTTACTCCTCATTCTCCCCGCCTTTCCCTCAACTTCATTCTTCTACATACCTCTAGCTCTATAGACATTTATATTCCCATTTTTTACGCAATGTCTAGAGTTGCGATTTACACCGCATCGCTGTTTGTGTTTATTGGAGGTATGTTGCAAAGTTACGTCATTTTAGCTCACTACTCGAGTTCTAGCTCTATTGAGCTTTTAATTACATCAACGAATGCATCTCGGCGAAGAGAATCAATTCTAACGCAATCACTCCCCAAAACAAAGTCACTGCTTTAACACTCTCCTCAATAATCATCCCCCGATGGACCTCCTACGAGGATACCAGTATCGTGAGCCACAAACCTCCAGAATCGCAAGAAGAGATATCAGAGCTAATAAATGGTATATCTAGCCAATTAACTACTATTATGGACTCCATAAACGCTGCACCTCAGCAGGCGACTGCGCACACTTCCCCAGCTACGCTGACTGCCATGGCACTGATCGCTACTTCTGTTCAATGTGGCGATCTACAGCATGGTTGATGAGCTTTACGCTAGTGATCGAAGGCATGAATATTGTTGCATTTATTGTTATTCTCGCTGGCGGTCCCGTAAAGAGAATGAACGGATGGAGAATGTTGGGCGTTTTATTGCTCTTGAATGGTATGTGCAATAAATCTCGCCGATTATGGTGGCAAATTTCTATATCTAACGTTGATTGCCAGCGATCATACAAGGTGCTGCGACCTCGTTGGTGCAGTATTTATATGATTACGATGATCGATTCTTTGTGGGATGGAGCCTAGGTATAAGCTGGGTTCTGGCAACTGTGAGTTGGGTTATAACGGTTATTCTAGCGGGGATTGTTGTGGTGGGTGGTTGGTATTTGCCGCCAGAAGGAGGGTATGAGTTTTTGAAATAGCTATAGAGTTGCGGACGACAACGTTAAGTTTGGCTTTTTTGACTAGCAAGTTTTGTTGGGTTTTAAGTGGATTCAATGCTATTTTTGCAAGTTTGGGTATACCCGTATTCGAAGAATTCACAGCACTATAACTACATGTATAACTTCATTCAAGCGCTATTTGAGTACAGTAAATACTAGAAAAGGTGCGGGTACCACGCTATTAAGAATCAGAAGCGAGTGAGATCCTATGTACCCGCAACGATTAGTAGTTGTACTAGTGTTATATGGAGTGATGGAAAGCATTCATGTCCCCACCACGGGGGTTTTGGTTACTACCTACAGTGTATAGGTATGTAGTGGCCTACCTGGTCTAAATCTATAGATGTCGGTAGATTGCAAAAGTGATATCTAAAATCTCCCACTTGAATATAACTTTTAGAATCCCCACCACCATAAACATGCAGGTATTTGGCCCAAACTCCTATATCTACTCAAACAAAACCAAGCGCTACATATAGCTGGCTTAACAGTATAACAAGGAAACAAAAGCGATATGTACTACCCCAAATCCTGTGAAATCTAATATATAGAAATAAAAGTTATAATTGTCGTCGCCGTCCCATAACATCAAGAACACAAGTTCCACGACGTGCATGTATGTGCATCAAATGTGTTCAATCCGCTCAATATATGATCAGTGCAATAGCCCCCATTATGTATATCTTTGTTTAAGCTCCATCCATGGGGAGCGTGTTTTCTCGGTTTATGAAGGTTCAGAAAGGGATATTCCGCTACTCATTATCCGCGGTGGAATCCGGATCTTCATGTACGGGTAAGGGATTGAGATCGCAAAAGCTGCGCCAATCTTCGGCTGGCACCTCTACCGGCATGGGAAAATGATTTGATGCATTCGAGGAGAAGTTATCAAGCTGAAACTGATCGTAATATTGAACCGCAGTGGTGGAGGCGATAGGTTCTGAATGGCTGCAACATGAGGGTATAAAAGAGGATTCTCCCATTGCCCGGCTTGTGGAATGGAAGAATCCAATTTGTCAAGAAAAGCAGTAGACTGGCTGTGTTGGTCCACGGTGATAGTGGTAGGTCGTGACTGGTCATTGTGTAATATGATATTAGAAATCTCCTCTAGAGTGATAGACGATCGGGTTTCTGACGAAACCTCAGAAGCAGTGACGTCGTCAACATCATGAGGACCAGACCCAGAACTATCTATATTAGAAAGCTGCACTTGATTGCAATCTTTTGCTGCCCAATCTTCATTGAATGCTATCATAACTTTCTTCACATCATCCTCATCCAACCCTAGACGGTCTTTAAAGCTTTTTGCTAGTCCCAATTGATACTCCAATTGCCTATCGGAAGGGATAACAAAACATCGTCGAGTTTTGGTAGATAGTTCGCCATCACAAGCCTGAACGGTTTTGGCTGTGGGTTGATTCCAATCTATCCTCATTCCGGTCAAAATCAGTATATATATACAAGTAGTTTCCGGCCTTCGGCTGGTACTATATGTATATCAATCAGTCCAATATACAGGAAAACCGCTTTGCGGCTTATTTCTCTATTTACCTGGCAGGCAAAGTCCATTACTATATCTAGATCTGCTCTGGTCAATATGTGCCTTTTCTGATATCCCCGATATATCAACGGATAGGTCAGACAACTTCTCCAGTTAAAACTACAGGTATATCCCTTTAACAGCCACCAAGCCGCTAAAATCGAACTACTAATCGATTCCCAGAACCAGTAGAAACCTTATTAACACTCTAACAGCACTCAGCACAATACCCTATGTTAATATCCAACACAACATGTTTCAAGTGAAACAAAAACATCCCTCAATGAACCAATCAGAGGACATTACATATGAAGGTTATAATTATATACTTATTAGATATACTCGCGACTAGCAACAAGAACCCGAAAATGCACGTCCTAATCTGCAATTTCCATTGGAGTAGAAGTCAAAAATACACCAAAGACTTGCACCTGCATATTCGGGTTCTTGTTGCTGGTCGCGAGTATAATCTTCTGAGGTACTCTTACATGGATCTGGTGTGTTTCGATAAAATAAAACCTTAAAGACCCGTTCCCAAGTGCAAGTCCTTGGAAAGTCTAGTTCATTTCTGATCTCCGAGTTGGTGTCATTTATCGAATAGGCAGACCCAGGCGTTTCTTCATTCATCTGACAATTATCGAATCGTGAATGTCGATTCATTACATTCTGAGTGTTGGCTTGAAATTCTTTGCACCGGTGACACCATAGCTTCAGGTGACAAGCCTTGCAATGTTCCCTCCATTATCAAGTAAGTTAGTACACCCAAGTAATAAAAGCTAGAATCTTAAAAGCATACTTCACTTGTCTAAGATTGGTATCATTCCACTGGGCACAGTCGGAATGTTTTACTGGATCCTTTTTAAAATAAGGGCAAGCGAATGATTTCTTAGACTGGCTGGGTGACCCTACTTGAGCCTATCCTTTTCGTCTTCTAGAAGGTTGATTAGAAGATTCATCATCTTCTTGGTCGTTCGACTGACCCCCAAAGCTTTGAGACATGCTTCGCTTTTTGGAGATAAGCTTCCCTTTCCCTTTTGGATTAGATGTATTGCCTCCGTGGTATCGATAAGCCCCAGTACCTTCTAAGTTGTCCGATACTTCTATATGGTAGTCACTATCGTCACCATTGTCGCCCTCGTCATCTTCATCCGCGTCCTCATATTGATTCGTGCCCTCATCTTCATTTGTGCCGTCATCGATGTCCTCGCAGTCATTCTCGCTAGTACTCCCACTCTCATCCCCTTGGCTCAGCTCAAAAGTTATGCAACCTTTGCTAGAAGATGATGAAATTTCTCCTGTAAAATCATCAGACAAAGGCGCATTTGATACGGTGTCATTGCGTATTTTGGGCTCCGGAGACTCTTCGTTGGATAATGTAGCACTCGAATTGTATTCTACTTCTTGATCCAAGGACTTATCGCAGCTCCAACCGCTGCTCTCTGGTTTTTTCGCAGGGCAGGCAGAATTCGTTGCATGAGCTTCCGGTAAATTATCAACTACCCCGAGGACCTCGAGGACCTTGAGACCAGTCTTAATAGCAGGGTGGCGTGGTGGTAAGGCCCGCATAACCTCATCGATCACCCGCCGACATTCTTCAATAGAATTATTAGTTCTGAAGTCCTTAGGACTCTCGATTAAGGTTTCTAAGTATTCTGTCACACTGTGAAGTGGAGTAAATCCATTCTTGTCCTTACACAAAATTCTGGCTCCATTTTCAAGTAGTACACCGATAGCAGGAAGACTCGTTCTGGATTCTGCGACGTGCAGTGGAGTGCGCCCCTCGTTGTCCTGACAGTTGACATCGCCCCCCCCCCCCCCCCCCCCAAGCAGCAACTCGATGGTAGGAACATCCCCCCCAAGGACTGTGTGGTGCAGTGGAGTGTCTCCACTGATGCCCTGGCGGTTGACATCGGCCCCTTGCTCAAGCAGTAACTCGATGGTAGGAACATCCTTCCCAAGCACTGTGTCATGCAGAGGAGTGCGCCCCCAGTTGCCCTGACAGTTGATATTGGCCCCTCTCTCAAGCAGTAACTCGATGGTAGGAACATCCTTCCCAAGCACTGCGTGGTGCAGTGGAGTGTGTCTATGGGAATCCTTACAGTTCACATCGACTCCTCTCTCAAGCAGTAACTCTATGGTAGGAACATCCTTCCCACATACCGCGTCGTGCAGAGTGCGCTCTTGACAGTTGACATCGATAGACTTGAGTTTAAGTAGCTCTTGAACAACCAGAGACCTCCCTAACAATGCCGCTTTGTGTAGCGCAGTTCGCCCATCTCTGCCCTTGAAATTAGGACCCGCCCCCCTCCCAGGTAGCTCGTATATGTCCTCTTTGTTGCCTCGCTGTACCGCAGCTTGAAAGAGACGATTGGCTCTGGGAGTAGATAATGTGATTCCTACGCTGGACTCTAATGTATGGTAGAACAACTTAATAGATTAGAGCTTGAAAAAGATAGAACCTATCGTCTTCCATCATAAACGTGATCAGAAATGCAGGTGTATAAACGGGTCGACAAAGCGAGCTGGAGCTATGGGAAGTGTTGACGACTAGGCTAAGCGTCTGTAGATGACATCTTATATGTTGTAGATATGTCAAAAGGGCTGGATCTATGATTTCCATGCCTGAAACTTCTTCACACACGTCGAGTGTGGGCGATCAACATGTACATAAGACCAATGAAATCTGATTCAATCTTTGCAGTCTGATAATCGAGGTTAGAATAAAACAAAAAATTAGTTATGCAAAAATATGAGGGACTAACTAGTTTGGAATTTAATGTGCAAAATTTATTAAACTTATCTACATGTAATTCTTAACACTATATATTATATAGCGTGCAAAGTTGATCGTACTCGCATATCAAGTATGTATTTGCGCAACCAGCAAAACACACACAGAATCCAGAGAGCTTTCCCATCTCTCCTAAAATTATGTGTCTTCTATCTAGACACCTGAAAGACTCTACAGGCCACTTTTAAGCCATATCTACAAAGAACAAGCACTGAAGGTGAAATGTGTTTAAAAGGGTCCTTTTATGGCACCTTTACCAGTATCTCAATTGGGCCAAGAATTTGAAGCATGGACCTCCTTTATCAAAATTATACTATACTTGGTCGTTGATATTTTGGTTTAGGTGTGGGACTTTTTATGAGTTGTTGAAAACTTCGATTTTTGGTGTGTTTTGCTGGTTGGGCAAATACATAATTGACGTGCGAGTAGGAATGATTACAAAAAAAAGATGGTCACGTGATGCACTGTATCGCTGTCTGATATTTGTACCCCTTAGCTGAGGCGCTGGATCTGGATGAATGGAAACTGTTATTGGACAGCTAACCGAACCGCTTCTTGCCTATATTTCTTACTTGTCAGCTCAAGCGCGCAACGGATCGAGTTGCATGCAGACATGTTCTCCCCTCATCCCGGTCGTAGCCGGGCTACAGAATTGGAGATATATTCTCCCAAGAGCAAGCTACGAAATACCGCAAAAACTCACGAACTTTGCTAGCGGATCTGACCAAAAACTAACTTGTAGAGGAAATATCTGAAGCTGATCTCTGCCTTTCAGCCAATCATCAATGAAGAAATCCCTGCACGGAGATAATCAAGTTGGCGAGTTTCTGCGGTACTACATAGATTTCTTGGGCAGGGGATGAAGTTGAGTACATACACTACTCTCGATTCTACGCGTGAAGTACAACAGCTCTCGATCCGCCCCACTATACCCAGCAAAAGGAAAGCAATTCATGTCTAGAGAATCCCGATTCAATTGGGGATGGCCTTTTCTTCGCATTCGGTATTGGGGTGTCTGCCCGAGTCATGGTTAATCACTCGCGTGTGTGAGTTCCGTAAACCGAACACCGGAATTACATAACACTATCACCAGCACACCTGTAGGCATTTATATATATATTGATCATTGGGATTTGCAATATACTCCCAGTAGGAACAATATCCTTCTGAATTTCGGGATTTGAAATCATGAGATATCACTCACATATGGGTTTCTGACGGCTATCAGTTTATCCCTGGGCCAGGGATCAGGGTTCAGGCCGCATAGGTGTATGATTTCTCTTGGGAATTTGGAAAAAAGAAAACAGCAATTCCCAATTCTAGCACACCCAAGGGGGACTAGTTGGTGCATCCTTACTGTTTTGGGCTCAACATCAGCGTTAAATGCCAGCGGTGGCGCGAGTGGTTATTCCGCTGGACCGCTTCACCCCCGATATTGGCAAGTTTATTCGTGCGGTGTATCTTAGGTAGTTGTGGATAGGCTTCGATTCATAAGGGTGTCCTGTAGGGTTTCTCCTCATTTTAGTTTTTCATAGTTGTTATTTGATATATCGGAATATTGAGCTGGTGAGGAGCTTGAGACTAGTTTATATTCACACGCGTGTGTGTATACAGCTACCGCGCAATATAATCCATTGACACATAGCCAATCCATCGCTAGCTCATGCTATAACTGAAGGTCTCATTGACACTCTGATGACTTATCATAGGCACCTCGACTATATATGTTGCCCATATATATTTGTAGTGTGTTGAGAATCGATCCTATATAACACATGACTCTCTTTAAAACATACAGTATTTCAAACGCTCTATTACTTCATATAACTATATATAGAGTCGGTTATTGAGTATTTTATACTAGTTGATCTATTTGGTCTAGTAACTGATATATATACTTAAGCACGTATGTATGCTACGTATACTCAAAGCCCGAAGTCATGATAAGCTAATTAAGCTTGCAATTAAGGTAAAAGATCCACTAATTCCCTTGCAAGAATACAGTAGCGACGAAATAAAGCCACAGCAGCGCTGCTACGCAGTACATAGCTCCCCGATAGCCCTAGAGTGCTCAATTGCACATCCTCAAGATAAGTGCTGGTTAGTATGGTCGTGGTCTATTGACTCTTATCAGGAGCCGTAATATATTATTAATAATAAGCGGTTAGACTCCAATAACGGAATTGCGCAACTGGGACCCCGGCCGGTGGGGATGTTGTGGTCTCTGGAGCGTTATGGCGTGAGTCCCATAGAGCCCAGAAGCCCTTCTCCATATTGATTACATATCCCAAATGATATATTACAATAGCAGGTTAATTCCCGCCTGCATCTGCAGACGTCTAGCTAGGTTGAAGATAGACAGCTCCACACGGGTATATATATATATAGCCACCACGCAACCAAGCTACCTACCCTACATAACCCCGCAATTCGCATCCAGTCCACCCCACACATCCCACATCCCGGGATGCCCATCTACGCATCTCATCTCCCCCCACAGACAGTATTCAACCCCCTCCCCCCCCACAAACGCCACCGGTACAACAACTATCATAGGCAATATGGATTTTAACGAAAGCTTCGAGTTCTACGCCCCCGGCCCCGAGAGCCACGATGTCTGCATCTCGACATGCAGCGGTGCCCTCTACCTGCATTCGCGAGTGCTAATCATGTTCTCGCCCTGGTTCGCCGCCAGCATGTCCAGGCTGTGGTGGAAAGAGCAAGCCCCAACGCTCAAGTACCGCTACAGCTACACGCTCGACGTTGACGCCGACGGCATCTCCACGCTCCTCCCGCCCTGCCAGAAGGAAGAAGAAGAAATAGAATATGAACCTCTAGCTCCAGACCCAGAACTATCCACAAACGTGAACTAGCCCCCAACCAAGACAATCCCCCAAAAAGAGAGAATGAGCCCCCAAGCTAACCACAACCCCCACCCCCCAAGTTCCACCGCCTCTACACCCAGCTCTTCAGCGCCTTCTACCGCCTCCCCCTGACAATCCTCGACCACCATTCTCTCTCCGCCCTCATCGACCTCGCCGACCAATACCAATGCCTCCCCACCGTCGCCGACTCCATCCGCTCCACCCTCTTCGAGCGGCCCACGCTCGACCGCGAGATCCGCGATGCCCCCACCCGCTTCCTCGCCATCGGCCACAAACTGCGCTCCGCGCGCATCTTCCGCGAAGCCTTCATCCACTGTGTCGGGCTGCGCACCACCGCCGACGCCCCCACGCCGCAGATCGCCGCAATGATCACAAAGGAGACGTACCGGCTCGAGCAGCTAGTCGCCACCGCCATGCGCCGGTTTCTCGGGTTGAGTGGGTTCGGAGAGTACACGAGGCATGTGAGGAGCCTGGTGAGGGGAGAACTGGGGAGGTGCTTTGATCAGTATCCCGAGGCGGGGAAGGAGGGGAGGCTGTTTAGGATGATTGCGGAGAACCCGTTTACGGCGGAGGAGCGCGGGGAGGAGAGGGATTGGGGGGGGCTGCAGTATCAGGCGAGGGGACTGGTCGCGAAGGTGAAGGCATTGGCGGGCGCGCTGGTGGTCAATAATTTGAGGTTGAAGCAGGAGATGGATTATTTGACATGTGCGGAGCTGAAGGAGGATGCTCTGCCGTGGTTGTAGAGTGCGGGGGTGTATGGAGATGCGGGGTTGGGGGGGGGGGGGTGGTTCGGTTTGTTAGAGCGGGCTCTATTTTGTCGTTTTCATTTCCAGTTTTTTTCTATTGACTTGATATGGTGTTAGGAATGAGTGAAAATATGGGGGTAAGAGGGTGGGGGTCGGGGTGGGGGGTACTTTCTTCATTCTCGTATATTCGGCTGCTCTAATATTCTACGATACTACATACGCAGAGAGAGGGCTAGCTCTAGTATTAGCCCTGGTACGAATATGTACATCTAGATTCTTGTAAACAATGTACTGTATCTCGTACAAGATTTCAGGTAAGGGAACATGTTTCTTTTTTTTTCCTACCAACTTGATCATTACCACCCGCCCACCAACCACACTTGGCCGAAACGGGAATGGTTAGAATGTTAGTCCCGCCCCGCCCGCACCCTCAGAACAAGTCCTAGCGCGGCAGCTCATCTACTCTAGCTGGAAAGAAAAGAAAGCACAATCCGCGCTATACCACTCAGAGACAATAAATTAATAGCACCTCACATTGGTCGGATTATTAACAACCTATACCGAAAGTACTGCTAACCATCCGTCCATCTGTCTGTCTGTGTCCCTTCATCCACGTGTAGCAAAGCAAGTGCTCAGAAAAAATAAAGAAAATCCTCACCACGTTTCGCATCCCCCCTTCTCCCGGCAAACAAAAAACAAGCATCAAGCATTGACCACATGTCCAAGACCGAGTGACAACCCATGATCCACACCACCCACACCCACACCACCGGCCAGCGAGCCAGAGCGCCAGGTACGACACGAGTTATGGCCACACAAAAACCAAACTAACCCAGCTCTCCCCTCCGCGACTTGCCGCAATCAAAAAAGTGATCGCCCTCCCCCCCCGCCCCCTATCTATCTGTTCACGCACGCAATCTCGGTAGATCTATATCATCCCACCCACCCCCCCGTACGTACATGTACGTATGCAATTGCCACTTATCTCTCCTGCCTTCCCCCCACACATACAGTACAGACATACGCCGCGTGACCGCAATTGTGGTCCCGACAGTGCGGGAGCTGGATCGAGCTGCGGATGGATGGGTGGGCGGGTTGACAAACCAGAAACTAGGCAGCGGCCGGGGAGAATAGGAATAGGAATAGGGGTGTGGCACTAGCGGGGGTGCACACCGGTGCTTGTTAGGCGCGCGAGAGAGAAGAAACACAGTGAGAGAGAGAAGTCATATCGGAAGGGTACACAAGAAAGAGAGAGGTTGAGTTACACCGCAGTGGATGTACACGAGTGTCTTCGGCAAACACACCGTAGTGGGTGTGTGTGCGTGTGGGTGGGTGGCTAAGGCATGAAACAGCACATCATATCTATCGCAGGTTACGCCGGCCTCTCTCTCTGTCTAGCTAGGTTACAGACACATATGATCGATCTCTCACTATGCTGTGCGTGCGTGCGTGTGCGTGTGTGGATGGAGCGGGTGAGCGGGCGGGCGGTAGTTCTGCTTGCTTTTCTGCTAGTCCGCTTGTCTGCTTGCTTGCTTGCTTGCTTGCTTGCCTGCCTGCTTGTCTAGTGCTAGATTGCTAGCTTCTTCTTCTATCTAACCTTCGCTACCAACCGGCGGGACGGAGGGAGGGAGGGACGAGGCCAGAGTAAAAAAAAAAATAAAAAAAAAATTAAAAGTCGCCCAAATCATCCGGCAGTTATTTTTCCCCGGCGGTTCATTGCACATGACACCTGAGCAGCCTGTCTGGCCGGCCTGTGGGGGGGGGGGGGGGGGGGGGGAGCGCGACAGAGGGAAGAGGGAGGAGGGGGAGTTTGCACATAGTTCATCCGAAGCTTTTTGGGCTCTCCTGGCTGGCTTGTGCGTGGCCTGCAGGCGGCGCAACATACTGTAGTGTTGGGGGAGATACCATAGAATACCTAGGTAGATTCGTGTATGTAGGTGGTACTTGGGAGTGCGAATGTGTACTTGTTTGTACTTACATCCGAAGACCCCTCAGTCCAGGTGTTCTGCCACAATCTATTCCTCGGCCTGGCCTTCTCCCCCTTTCCCTCTCTCCCTCTCTCCCTCTCTCCATCCCTCCTCCTCCTCTGTCCATCCTCATCATTCCTCCCTCCTCCCCCCCCCCTCCCCATACCCATCCAACAAATTAAAAAAAAAAAAAAAAAAAAAAAAACCCATCCCATCCTCCATCTCGCCTCTAGGACGTCATCCCGTCACATACCCTGCCCGTCCCGTCAGCCCTACGACAGGATAGGATACGAACGCTTATACTTGCACTTCGGAACATTGATGGCGTATGTACATATATATCCCCGGATTGCTTTTTTTTTTCTTTTCTTTCTGTTAGTGAATGGGGTGGGCGGATAGGGACGGAGCTAGCTAGCGCCGCTTGGCGTTCATCCTATAACCTCAGCGTGGGGGCGAGTGATTTTTCATGTTCCATAGTGGATAGGAGCTAGTGGGGTTTTTTAATAGTAGGTAGGCTACATGTAGCTAGTGGGGGTGGGGGAAGGGGGGGGGGTCTTGTGGACTAGTGGTACGTTGGAAAATTATTTATTTATTTATTTATTGGTTTTGTTATTGGATGCCCCTGGCATAAGCACATGTAAGTGTGAATAGTCGACGAGAAGAAGAAAAAGATGAGATGTTACTATTTAGTACCACAGCTAGCCTAGATCGAAATACCGGCCTCGATTACAGATGGGTCCCCTGATCAACAGTGGGATGCATCTTCCTCTCAGTGTTAACAGTGACCCATAGAGAAACGCCAAACCGCGCGCCATCATATGCATATCATCGTGAATTGAAAGAAAAAAAAAAAAAAGAGAAAAAAAGAAGAAAAAAGACAAGTACTTTACGTTAGTAGAAAGCCCGAGGTTTTAATCATAGAAAAGCACCCAACAATAGCAAAATGAAAAAACGTAAACTCCGTTTTTTTTGCCCCCCCATAATTTGCCCCCCGATAATTTGCCTCCTCTTAAAAAAAAACATGATGAGCCCATGCAAGAAACCTGGTTTTCTCTCCCCTTTTTTTTTCTTTACCCCAAATAAATAACAAAATACCCGGTATGCTCCTCCCTAATATCCGTATCCTAGACTAACAAAACCAAACCAGAAACCGCGATGCTTAGGTATGAAAAAGAAAGCTAAATAGAAGAACTGAATATAGAAAACGAAAAAAAGGGAAATGATATACTGGCTTAAAAAAACAACAAGACCCATACCGTCATGACCATAGAATAATAAACAAAAAAATCTGAAAAAATGAATCATACACGAGGTTCGCACCCATAGCTACCGATTTATAAACCCAATCATACCGTAACCGCCAGCCCGCGACACATGAACTCCACTAAAAAGTAAACCGTAAAATAAAAAAGACGTGATATGCATGAGCAATTGCAAATAAAAAAGAAAAAGGCAGTCATAGACACAGGGTGGGGAGGCCCTTGAGACGATTAATTTAGCTTTTGTTTTGGTATGCTTTTTTTTTGTTGCCAGTGCCAACTGGGAGGAAAGTTCATTCATATACGAATGAATCTGTAACGCGGTCGACCATGGGCGACTTTCTCCTTGGTGTATGGTTGAGGTGTACTCCCGAAGAGGTAAAGCTGTGAGGATTATAGCGCGAAGCATTCCCTAGGTTACCAAACATGTTGGAAGGCAGGTCGCCAGTAGAGCGACGGGGTGAAAGAGAGGACAGTCTCTCGGTAAAGTTCTTTTGGGTGTTCGACTCAATGATGAATTCCGATTCTATTTCCGGGGTAGATCTTCCTGTGGATGCCGAAGCACTTGGCGGCGGCGTGATAGTCTGTTGTTGCTCGCTTCTTCTTCCACTAAAGACAATGACGCTCTTGATCCTTTCTGAATTGGCCATGCCGTCAACGCCGTGCGGGAGAGCTTCTGGACTAAAGGCTCTTTGGTAAGCACCATGAAACCCAAGAGCCCTCTCAGATTGACTCGGCACCTTTTGATCTGGGACAGTCTCCAAATGAGATGGGGTCTTCCCCTTGCCCTTCCTATCGCCGCTCTTCTTGACGCTTGTCGACTTTGCTTTTTTGGTACCTTTTGTGTCGTCACCGCCTGAACTACCACTTCCCCCATCAGAACGTCTCCTCTTCTTTCCAACAGTACGATCGGGAATCCCTTCATCTTCAGCACCATCCTGATTATCATCACCACCAGTGTTGCCGTTCCCATTTTCGTCCCCATCCCCATCAGGTCCTCTGATAGGTATCGCCATAGTCAATTCAACATTCGGCAACAGCTCTACATCAGGAAACTTTCCACCATTCTCCTGCACTTCCACCTCGATCCTTTCGAGAAGTTTGTAGACATCGTTGATGGTCTTTTCCGTTCCAGTATGGCGCATGATCCAGTTATTTCCACCGGTAGAGCTTCTACGCCTGGGAGTAGCGGTGCTGTTACGCCTACTGCTCTCTCCACTTGTTGGGCCCCCATCACCGAGCTCAGTATCCTCGTCTCCGGCGATATGATCCTCAGCCTCCTCTTCATCCTCCAGTTCCTCTCCGTTTTCACCACCCTCGCGGTTCATCCGAAGTTCCTCACGTCTGCGGACCTTGATCACCCAGTCCTTGACTCCACCCCAAAGCTCAAGACGTTCACATTGGCGTTTGACTAACAATACCTGCTGTCTAGCAAATCCCCTTGGGTTACGATATCTAGAACGTTGGTAATGTTTACGGCAGTAGTAAACCCAAACGTTTTTAGGGATCTGCCTTGTTGAAAGTTTGTTACGCCCAAAAATGTGAGATACCACTTTCCGAAGCGGGGAACCAGTGGTGCAGCTGGCGCAGTAAGAACATTTTGGAGATTGTACCAAGAAGTCATGTGGAGACGAGACTGTATGTAACGGGCCGGTGCTAGAGTTAGTAGAAGGTCCAGCATCCATAGGCGGGGCGACAGGGTCCTGTCTAGGCGTGGCAGTCTCTGGTATTGGGAGGAATAAAGGAGTATCCCGGTTGTAAGCATGCTCATGAACGGATCTGGCTATTAAAGCAGATCTCTGGGCCTGGAGAGAACGGGAATCTCGAACATTGCTCATTGAACCTTCATCCTCAATAGTCCTCCCAGTTGAAGTCACGGATCCTGCAGAAGCGGGCCTCAGTTCAGGGCTAAAATTTGTCAGCACAGGTAAAAATACGAAGACCCTGGGCTGAGAACTTACTCAATCTCCACCTGGAACGTTCTACTGCTATTAATAGGCATATGGTTTGATGAAGTACGAATATTATGGTCGGAATGTCTCAGTGAGCTACCACTACCTCTACGGCCAGCCAAAGCCTCTGCTGCCTCTACCTCGAGACTCCTACGGCCATGAACCGTAGAAGCTCCCACTGCCACTTCTGCAAAGCCCAACAGGGTACCATAAGGACCACGATCTTGCGGTGGGGGTGGATATGCGGAAGGCTGATGATACTGCTGCTGCTGCTGCTGCGTAAAGGGAACATACGAATTTGATGGAGCTGAAGAGAAATAGCTGTTATCAGACGTCTGATGGTGGTAATGATGAGATGTTGAGCGTGGTGACAAGGCGACTTCCGAAGAATTAGGGTTGGCAGAAATGGGGTGATTATTATTGCTTAAAGGTGGAAGGAGCCTTCCGGGGAAGGAAGAACCAGGGCTAATAGTAGATTCGTTTATTTTATCGTTTGTATAAGAATTCTCAGCACTTGAAGTTGCATTAGAATGATGGTGATGGGCAGCCATGGGAATCTCTAACGGACTGGTAGCAGCAGTTGACTGCAGTGAGGGCCCGCTGTAAGAACTACGGGAGGAGATCGTAGATTGGTTATTACTGTTGGACTGATAGTCTCTGTAAGCTGGAGTGAAATGATGTTCGTCTGTAGGGCTACGGGACTGAACAGGAGAATTTTCGATGTTCTGGGCCATATGATCCTGGGGCCTATTCTTGTAACCAGAGATACCTCCAATGCTACTGTTACTGAAGGCAGTATCGGCGGACCTTTGGGGAATATTCGAAGATGGAGAATTGTTGAGAACAAAGTTGATATCCATGGTAAAGTAATTGACCTGGTTGAAGTGTATTTGGAAAGTTTAGCTACCGTTGACGTGGTGTTAAGACCGTTATGCCGTTGCCAGTGGTTGTTGACGGAGAATTTGAGTGGGCGACAGTTGCGTTTGCTCAGTGATCGTGACCTACGGGAGCTGTCGGTACGTGCCACGACGATCAGTGGGAAAACGCTGTGATGTGTTTGAGCGTGGATGGGGGGGAAGGAATAAAATCGTTGGTGGATGAGATGGGTGGGAGAAGAAGCGGATGTCAACACGGGGTGCGTTATAAGGACTTGTTCCCAATGGATGGGATCCAATTCTATGTAGGATCGTGAAAAAGGGTAAGGCAAGGGTACGCTGAGCGGTTCCTACTGTAGGTAGGTGATGACTGTCTGTCTGGACGTCTGGATACCCGCCTCGACCAGTCAGCCAGAGAGAAATGGACCCAGGAAGCGAATTGGGTGGCGCTGAATAAACTCTTGATCTGGAGCCCCTCCCTACAAGGTAGTAGTAGTGGCAGTAGTAGTAGGTAGCAGTAGTGGTATGTCTCTCTTTCCCCTCCTCTCTCTATCTATCTCTGCACAGTTCTTCTCTTCTGTATGTTCTTTCTCTGTCGTTATCCCAGGGTTATTCCTCGAGCTCTTTTTTCTCTTTCTTTTGTTTTTCTATTTGCCTTTCCTTTTTTTCCCCTCTTTCTTTTCTCTTACAAGCCCTATCTGTTTCTGATGATGAGAATTCTATTTGGGTAGAGAAACAATAAGGCAAGGATTGAGAGAGAAAGATGGAAGTAAAAAAGGCACGAGTTCGACGATAGAAGTGAGCGATGACGGAGAGGCTCGGTGACGCTGCACACAACCAACCAGATGCGGCAACACAAGCAGTTGGCAGCAACAGCAGAGAGCAACAAAAAGGCAGCAGTAGCAGCAGAAAGAGGAGGGATTGAAATCCGCAGTCAAATCAAGTCAGGTCACCTCCCTCCTCCCCCCGCAAAATAAAAGATAGAATTAGGGGATCGGGATCTTTTTTTTCGTGGGGGGGATGGTTGTTCAGCTGATGTGGGGACCCGTTTAAACTTCCGCTCGAGGACACAACTGCTGCCCGTAATGCTTTCTGGAGGAATGATCGGACGACGATAGTAGCTTTCGCGGGAGAGCGAGAGGCGTCAGTGAGAAGTGGGAAGTGAGATCGCAGCCAAGAAGGAGCGAGAGCTGGCGGAGCAAGCAACGGAGTGGGATACCGAGTGCGAATGAGTGAGCAAGCAAGATTGGGCAGCAGGGCGCAAATAATAGATTGAGTATGGTAGTGATGCTGATGATAAATTCTCAGTGTTGCTAATGATGCTGATGCTGATGATGATAACACACAATTAGGCAGGAAGCAGGGACGGTTGTCCATAGGAATTAACGAACAAGTGAATGGATCCAATTCCAAATAAAAAATAATAATTAATTAATAAAAACAATGATATTAAGTTCATTGCGTTCGGGCAGAGACGTTTGGCCATTGGCATGGTCATATGTTTTTTGGGTAACCTTTTTTTTCTTCTTCCTCCCGCGGAATTTTTTCCTTTCTTTTTTTCACTCAATTAATCCTCTCTACTCTTCCTCATTCACACACAAATTAGTATGTATCTAATCTTCCATTTCAAGTCTCTTGACATCTTCCCTCATAGAGTACTTGAATGGCTTGATTGCGAATCTCCTCCACTCCTCTCACTGCGTCTCGACCCTCTCTCACTCTCCTCTAAGGCTTGCATGCGACTCAACGCACGACACCGCGCCAACTGCAGGCCAATAAACTTTATGAGATCCGCGCCAGTGCACGAACCAGTAACGGTCGCGCTGACGATCCGAGCAAAGGGAAGGGAAGGACCCTGTAGGCCGTCCCTGGCGCTGCTCTAAGCAACCTCAAGAAAAAGCCCGGAAAACAGAAATGGGCATGGGAAAATAAAAAAAATAAAAAATTCTCAATAGTACCGGTGATCCTTTTGAGGAAGACAAATCAAGAAGGGGGGCAAAATAGGTTGTTAATCAAACAAGGCAACAGCAAGCAGGAGCAGCAACAGCAGGCAGCAAGTGCCTGTTGTTTGTTTGCTTGCAAAGTTATTACTTCTACTGCTGCTGCTGCTTCTTACTGCTGCTACCAGGATGGGATGGGATGACTGGGCTCGTGCAGGAAAGCAAGCAAATGCTAACTGCTGCAGTGCCCGCCTGGAGGCAAAGGAAGGGAAAAAAAGTTCAAGGGTTGGGTGTTTGTGCCCGAAAACGATACCCTGGAGCTGTCCCCGTCTAGTCAAAATTAGGATAAGCGCTTCGAGAGCTTAGGCGGGGATGACGATTGGGGCCTTATGCGAGAACCATAGCTATGCGGGGAAGGAAGGGGCTTCCTCCTACTACCACAAAACTCCCCCGAAAGAACTTGGCCGGTAAACAGTCTGATCTTGGTTCAACCCCACCATCACCATCCCAGCCATCCGCCCATTTCCATTTTCCGCTACCACGGTGCGGCCGCTACTCTACTATTAGGTACAATCCTCAACGTACGGTAACTCATGACAGCGAAAAAGAAAAGAAAGGCGTTCTAAAGAAAGAATCGAGGAATCGTTAACTTTACGTTTTTCAAGACATACTTTACTCTAGGCAGGGGAAAGAAAAAAAGCCACATGGCCGCTGAAATCCCAAGACGTCCACCTTAACTATACCAAAGAGAGTATAAAAAAGGTGCTCGGACGACATCGCGGGGTTACAGTACTTGTGCGATGCGCGATGTGCGATAGCTAATTACAGATGCCGCTGTTGCAGTATGTATGTACATACAACATCCACAGGTAGTAGAGTAATCATAATAGTGGTGGGGATATGATTCTCCTCGCAGTCGATCGAGAAAAAGAGAGTACGAGAAGAACTCGATGAAGGGAAAAGAGGATGGAAAAAATCATGTACTTTACATACATAAGAGAGTCCTCAGTCTACAGGAAAGACAGCCTGCGTCGACCGCAACGACCAGGCTTTGGCGATTTTCTGCCGCAAAGATCAACCCGGTTTTGACCTGGGCGGAGCTGAGGGATCTACTTTTTTTGCCCACCCTCAATCACTTCACTCCTGTCAATTTTTTTTTCAATTCTTTCACCCCCCTTCTACTGGTCTGGCCATGTGTACGCAGTTTACTTGAAACCTCGAAACACTCATTCCGAAAATGTGAAAAGATAGGGTTTTTGATAAAAATCCGTGTAATGCATAAAGATTTCCATCCCGACTGGATGGAAAGGAAAAGACCTCCTTTCGGCCTCCGGATCGCGCGGCCTCTGTCGGGTGATTCAAAGCGAAAGGCGCCGTTACAGGAACATATATAAAGAACTGGCCTGTGCTGTCCAGCAGCTGTAAAGCACAGTCTATGTAGCACGTCTACCTACTTTAGATCAAGCAAGAAAATATAGGATGAACTGGTCACTACTGTCATTTCAAACACCCCCTCCCCCTCAATTAATCATTATTCTCCTCCTCCTCTTCTTCTTCTTCCGCGTACCAGTCACCCCCCTCCCCTCTCTTCGGCGCGGCACAACTGTGTCACGGTACTTCATCTACCGTTCTGGTTGTACACATTTTGAATGTACCTCCTACCAAGTACTCTACTCCAATCTAGAGTACGGTACATACAAGTTCGGCGTAAGTCAGTAGATGTAGTGACTTCATGCACCCCCCTTGACAACATGAGGCTCCTTCGTCCATTCTGGGGGTCCTATGGAGGATTGGTTTCTCGACCAGTAGAAATGCTTGGTATATACATTAATACGTATCGATCAACCACAATGATGTAGTATGCCCAGGGTCCACTGGTAATGAGCGCGCACTCATGTTACTCTCTACTCACTGGGTAGCATGTAGGTAGTTACATCTCCACTGACTGCCTGGCACTGCAACAAGCTGGTATTTGCAAAACGCGGCAATTAAAAAAAATTCATGATCAGGGAACATGACCCTTTATCGTCCGTATTGTGGTCGATGTACCGTACGTCGTATGTACGTCCCAACCTCAAAGCTCTCCCCAGGCCCTGGTCGCCGTTAAAGCGAAGTTGTCGTCTGATTGAATTCTTCTCGTCCTCGGGCCTAGTTGGCCTGTGATCGTGAACCATATGAGTCCTCCATCCTCCCAATTGAGACCCAACCGGGCGGAGTAAAAAAATTATTCATCATTTAGGGTATAGATTTCTGTCTCTCCCTCCCTCTCTCTTTTCCGGCCATATTTGCCAAGGCTCCCCTCCCTTCCAGCTGAATTTCCCCTCCCATAAAATTATTAAAAAAAAATGAAAATAAAAGAAAATCAAGTGGTAGAAAATTCTCCGCGCGGATGACTCGTGGAAAATAGTCACGATCGATCGGGATTGAATTCAAGCTTAAGCTCAATGGTAACCAGCTGGGGCTGGCCGCTACTTTCCTGGGGTAACCGCGCGTGTACATATTTGTACATACGTACGTGGTGGATGAAAAACACCCCCCGCGGTGGAGGAGACATGTCACGATACCTACCTACCTGGGCTACTTAATTACGCTCCCAGCTACATACAGTAGTTAGTAGCATACAAAACAGAGCTGGTTAGTAGGTAATTGGAAAGTAAATAGTCACACGCCTCTTTCCCTTCCTCGATTCTCAAGGAAAAATAAAATAAAGACAAAAAAGAATGAAAATGGATTCCCCATGCTAGGCAATCCAACCAGCCAGATTAGTCGGACAACAAACAGCGGCAGCAGCAGCAGCGGGCAAAAGCAATCAATCAATCAATACTACTAGCAACGTGATCTGATCGACCGCCGTCACAACTCTCTATCTTGCGAGTCTCCGCCGTTCGTCTTATTAACACTCCCCGTTACGGATGCGCATTCCCCACCCAGGCAGCAGCAGCAGCGGCTAGCTTTTCTCTCTGGCCAATTTCTCATATAAGCCCAGCCCTGCCTTGTCCGACCCTAATCATGAACATGAGTAGCTAGAGGTAGCCAATGTACCGAGACACAGTACTGTTGGCCAGCTAGCTACCAATCGGTACCGGTCCGTTTGCGTACCACAGTGTACAGGTCGGGAAATAAAAGAACTTCGGACCACGAGTTCATTAGGAAGTGGAACTGGGGATTTGTCAATGGGTGATGTTTCAACCAGGAACTAAGTATTGGAATGGATTGTCATGTCCGGCCGTGCGTAGGATAAAAATTCTAGGGCTTGCAGGCCATGACCACGCGCGGTTCCAAACTGCTGAGTGGGTTGGTTGGGTGCATAACTGACTTAATTAGGTAGTACTCTGTTACTATATATTGATACACTGTTTAGCTGTGTTTGTCCCATGAAGGATGAACTAGAGATTAATATCGGGAGAGGTTATTAGGTGAGGCGGAGGAGGGGGGGGGGGGGGGGTGGAGAGGGGGTTTATTGAGAGAGGGGTGAGGTGGTTATGGCCTGGTCTGCCTGTCTTTAAACAGTTTGTACATACTGCTTCCAGGCCCGATCTGCAAAATACAAACTATCTTCTTTCTCCGCCTCCCTACCATTCGCTGATGACGCAGGCTAGGGATAACTGAGTATCGAACATGTTGTGAGGGGCCGTCCGGGAGGGGCATGAGAAGAAAAAACAATCTCGTCCGGAAAAACCTGATGGGAGTTAATGGAGCTGGCTGGCTGACTGACTGATTGACAGGTCTTACCTAGGTACGGGTAGAGTAGAGGAGACGAAAGCCGGTTCTGTGGATTGTGTAACTCCGGGATTTGTTTTTTCCTAGCAGACAGGCATCTATCATAAGCTATCATCTATATATCAGGGAGGGTAGGACAGCTGAACTCTCGCCTCGTTAATTTTGACTTGATAGCCATCGATTGCTGAGGCTTGGTATTTTGAGAAGTGAGCATGAGCATGAGCGTGATGGTAATGATATGATCGTCTCTCTCATAATCGTATGTTCTATTGGAATGAAGTGTGTGTGAGAGCTTTATGAGTGGATACGATATTGCTAGCGCTTTTAATTTTTCTCTTTCTCTCTACTCTACACGGTTGCGGCAGCTGACTGGATGACTGACAGACGTGCAAGTATATTTATGCGTAACTACACTTTACTTCAGGTAACTTACTCCACCATGTAGAGTTATTCTGTTTCAGATATCAAAAAACGGAAAGGTCGTTAGGAGCAGTTGCAGGGCTGAAGAGTGAAAGGAAAGAAAGCAAAAAACCAGTTTTGCAAAGATATCTTAAAACATGGGTTTCGGAGAAACATTGCATGGTTGGTGGTCGGGGATTAGATCTCGCGCCGCCTCACCATTCAGTGTCCGCACTCTACTCTCCCCCCTGTCTACACCATCATCCCCGCCGGTGACATAAACCATCGTTTTGAAAAGAGAGAAAGAAAAAAAACGCACACCGACCGACCGACCAACGACGATCAATCAATCTGATTCATCAATCAATCTGATTCATCAAACTACATCAAAACACCTAGCCGATACTCAACGGTACGGTAGATAAAATGCTCCCCTCGATCCGTGTCTATCCCCTTCCCCCCTCTCTCCAAATATCATCCAATCAAAACCCGAAACCCATGAAGAGCATCTGTTCAATTAACTTTACTCTACATGTACCTACTGCAGTTATGGAATTGAACCGCACAGCACTGCCAACCCCGGCCTCGACAGTGAGGTCTCGTGGACGCCATCGGTTCCGCAACGATTGGGCCGTTGTTGCGGCGCGCCCATTCATGCCCAATCACTCGTGCACAGACCAACAATGCACGCACATCCCACCATCCTTGACCCCAGCGGCGGCATATGTACATACCTACATACGCCAGCCTTCTGCACACAATTTTTTTCCGGCCCGTCCTCTCCTCTCTCTGCTAGCTATAGAGAGAGTAGTGAGTGACTGAGACAACGAGGGTCCTGGAGACATCTGATCATGAGGCTATGGTGCTAAAGCAGCAATTGGGTGCAGATGGGGCGAGGTACCTAGGGTTTGGGCCGGATGTGTGCCTAAAGTGCGCCTGCCTTCCTACCTGGGTGGAAAGCTGAATATTTTATAAGTATGGCGCGAGAAGGCATAGGGGGTGGGTGTGTCAACTTCAGAGGAACTTTTTTTGTATGGGAATTAGAGAAAATTCCACCATTGGGCTAGGCGCTAGTACCATTATGGGAGTAGATCTCCCAATTTCTATAGATTGATTGGCTGTAAACGCCGAAGTTTACACACCTACCCACCATAGCTTCTCGAGCCATACGTACTAGGTACATATGCGGACGTCGAATATTTTTCATTCCCGCATCGATTCGCCTATTTGACTGCACTGTTAGGGTATTAAGCCAGGTGGACCGTGTATGCAATTAATTGAGACCCCTCCTCTCGGTATCTAGCGTCGTTCCAAGTGGCGAAAAGGAAAAGGGAAAAAATAACTTTGGATGAATCAACCCCAATATGGCGCGGGTCGAGAGCAGCGACTAATCATTGCATGGGTTCATCATGAACTATCACTCATGGATCTGCGACAATCAAATCAGATCCCCAGATTCTCCCCCCTACCAGCTACCCTATCTTACCATATCCCTATCTTACCCTGCCCTACTATATCTAATCCCAATCCCTGGCTCCTTTCACATCTTTTATCTCCGAGTGGATCCCGACTAGCACATTTCTCCTTGATATGATAGTGGCGCATAGCTTGGTCAGCCAGGCAAGCAGGTAGAATTGTCCCCTGGATCTTAAGCTCACATTCAAAATAGATCTTAGACATCAGCCCCGGCCATAGTTGACGTCCCAGACAACCGCTAGAGTGCGGAAGTGCCAGTGACAGTGCCAGTTGTTGCATAACCATGGCAGTTAGCTGCAGGTCGTGGTACATGGTAGGACAGGTACCAGCCAAACCCGATCTGCTGATTCCTGATCCAGAAAGGAAAAACATCGACAAAAACCATTTCTCAACATTGACCTGTAAGTATGGTAGATCCTATCTATAAGAGCCCAACCCCACTCTTTTTGCCGCTAACCAAGGATTGAGTCTAACAAGGAAGCTAGATAGAGACCGGGGGCGAGCTTCGTCCGATTTTAATCGAGAAACCAGATTAGACAACACATAGAGGAACAAGGCTTATGAAAATGCCTTTGGCCACCTGTCCAGTTGAAACGCAGGACGGCCGAAAAACGAAACACAAGATTTGAGCTTGGGCCCGGAAGGTGTCTGGCTTCCTCTAGCTGCTGCCACCCGGGCCGCGATATATAGGCCGATTTTCTCTGAGGCAATCGAGGAACCTAAAATAATCGAATTCCCCTTCCAACCCCTTCCATACCAACCACGGCCGCCCTTACTGGCGGTTAAGCGGTATCGCTTCACGGGATGCCCAGACACCTCCTATAAGCTAGCCGCCTAGCACATACAGTACATGATTGAGCTGTCTCTCAAAAGTCAGGAGTGCCTAAGCAAATCTTTTTTAATCTTTTCTGCGGCCGTGGCCTTACAATAGTCAGCGCCACACATAATAGAAAAAAATCAAAAGCGGGGTAAATCATTCTCTTGAGGTTACAGCTGTGGTTGCAGAATATATCGGACCTTTCACAGCATAAATCACAAGATTAAATTGCAAAATATCTTCTACGGGGATTAAGTGATGTGCCGTGGTTACCCATCCATTGCTTGGACAACCTCGAGCATTAAATGGATTAACCGAAGGTTTCACTGTGTGCTATGGACATAAGCCATCACTCGTCTGTTTATCTAAAGTTGGGCCCAGATGGCCATTTCCACTCAGAACACCGATAGGGAGGGCCGCAGGGCAAAAATTTGCTCGCCGAATTAACTCGGACCCGCGTTCCAAAATCTTAATAAGGTGTTTAAACCTCCTAGACTATATCATCTGTTCTGGAAGTTGTTTTGTATCCTTTGTACAAATCACTTACGTACATAAATCCGCATGATGTGTTTCCGCCACTATCTATTGCGCAGGTTATGGTTATTAATCATGTCAACGTGATCGTTGGTTGCGTGGGAGTTTCGTCCGGGTTATCGAGTGATCTCTCATGAAACACATGGTTCCTTTGTGATAGGTTCAAATGCACGTAATTTGCCGACTTCTTTTTACTTATTTTTGCACAAGCGCATAAGCTATTTCTACTTCAGGGGCTTTACAGGACCTAAGAACGGGAATAGTTAAACATTACAAGCGAACAGACATGAATGCACGTACCCCGGCTTTCTTTAAAATTATACTTTTCAGCTCCAGATACGAATCCGAGTACATGAAGGAGGTGGAGAGCCATCATGTATGTTAACTAAATCGTATGTATCTATGCAAGCGTATAAGGAAATCTGCACCTATTGTTAGTCGAAGAAACCTCCTATGCAACAATGAGACCGAACAGGCCATGGCTGAGCCCGCCCTCCTTTATCAGGGGTTCATCAATTGCGAACTCACTCGGCCCGAGTTCAAAGATCAATAGCTTTTTCACATATGTCCTCCTTATCAGATAGGGTGTCGGTTCCTGACATCAGAGAGTAAGCCTCTTCCAGAAAATGTTAGCCGCGTCGCTTGCTGCAGGGGACGTTGCTCTGGGAAGGGCCTGGATTCGCTGTATGTCTCAACCGTACATCCGGACGATCTATGAAACATCTCTTTTTGCCTTGGCCCCCACATTGTGGGCCATCACTTAGTTTCCGTGAATCATTTTTCGGAATATTTTTCTAGGATCTTGCTCTACTGCTCACTACAGTAGTATTATCAATAAAGAGGCTCGATCATTGCAATTCTATACTGGACACTAGTTCGTCATTATTGGAAAAAGCAAACGGAATGTCGCTTTCCTTGCTTTCTTACCCCTTTATAATATGTAGAGTGACTCTACATAATATCCTTCCATCGAGGATCAATGTCGCCATTGCATCACATATGCGATCTGGAGAGCTGATGAGATATGTGACCTGCGCATGCTTATTAGCGACATATATATAGGCAAAAAAGCTCGATCATGAGAGTTATTATCATACTCACCTGTTTAATGAATATCTGCGCGGAAGCTCAAAGGATGTTCCTGAGTTGAAACAAGAGGACCATCGCGGGGAGATTAGATTTCTCGCACGAGAGGTTCTGTTATAACCTTAATCACGCTCAAACATGCTGTCCTTGCGGCCACGTACTTCATGCTTAAGAAACCTTTAGCGGTTAGCTCAGGGATAGCGTTTTAACGAAACCAATGATTGCTGATCATTGCATCGCCATTCCATCAATTAGGCCCGTGTTCTTGGAGCGAACTAGTTGAGGCATGTCCGCGTTGCAGAAGAGAAAGAAGGAGGAGCAGGAGCCCAGAAATTATACTGCATTAGTGATTTTCATACAATAAGTGCCTCATAGATAAGATATACGGGTTCTATTATAGAGGTGACCTTATATTATGACAAATGGCATGCTCTGAATGGGTCTTCGATATAGACTCGTAATGATTACAACCATATATCATATTCAACTTTTTGCTTACATCTCTAGACTAATATATTATTATCACAGGACAGAAGCTTAAGTCATTGCAAATTGTAGCTGGTTCTTTAAAATTCCTTGTATAATTTAGAATTCGAAGCGTTATATACAATTTATGACTAAGAATTGGAAATTATATATACTTGATCGAATGCGTAGATTGAATATACCAGCCTTGCACATGTCGGAGATCACAATTATGTAATTTTACGTTGCCAACGATTTAAGACAAATTTCTATATATCCCTGAGCTTCCATGTACGTGGCTTTTTTTATTTTTTTTGGTAGTCTCGTGGCCTTAAACATAGGATATCACTCGCATTACGCGCTTTTTTTCTTTACTATTGTTGGCAATATAATACACGATTTCAACTACATACATGTATGTAGGTTATTTCCTTTATTCTTATAGTGAACGTAAGCCATAGAATATAATACTTCTTGTTCGATGTTTTGAAATGGACCCGGTTCATGAAACTAGGAGCCAGTAATGGCCTAGTGTAGTACGTAGTCCACGAACTATCTCATGCAGAATCGCGCCCTACTTCGAGATACCTACATGTAGCTTAAAAGAGACACAAAGTATCTACATGTAGTCTCCGTAGGCTTTAGCTAGTAGCGAAATCACTCTAGTTCTTGATAGTGGAGGGAAAACCAGCTCCACCAAGCCCGCATTAGAATATAACTACAGAGCTAATTAACCTACAATTCTGTTACCTGGTTGATTGAGGGAAAGCTCAGCAGCCCTCGGGGGCTTTCAGGAGCCCCTACAGCGTTCCCTATGAGCCTGTACAGGGATACATGCTCGCCCCATCTCATTCAATAGCGGTGATCGCTTAGGCTCGTCCCGCCGCCCCCTATGACCCCAGGCCCAAACCTATGCGAGTGATATCCTATGAAGAGGCCGAGTGCATCCTCTGCAAGCATCCTTGACTTCTCAACGCTGGCCACCCGAAAGATATACACACCTCCTATCAGTCCCTCGAATAAACCCAGAGGCAAATAGGGGACTGCAACCCCCGTGAGTAGCAGGGTAGGGGGGCAAAAAAAAAGAGGAGTGAGTGCTCGAGAGAGCGAAAGACTGGACGGAGAAAGGGGGGGGGGGGGGCGGTGTAATGTATGGACCCTTTTTGGCCCCTCGGACAGCGCCCAGAGACAGATAAGAGTCGTACTTCCTCCTTACAGAGGAAGCAACAGCGGGGACGAGAACAGGGGTAAGAAAAGCGGAGGAGGAGCGGGGAACGTGGGGATATATAGGCCCCCCTCAGCCCCTAAAACGGAACTTAAAAACCAATAGGGGCCATACTCCCTCATTTAGAGGGGAGGCAGCGGGAGGGGCCCTCTAGGCCTCTTGGACAGCGCCAAGAGACCAATAGAGGCCGAACTTCCTCGGCAAGGCCGGAGGAAACAGGAGCGGGGGCGGGGCTGGGGCGGGACGGGGCAAGAAACGAGGGATATGTAGGCCCCTCTCGGTCCCTCGGACAGCGGGACAGCGCCTAGGGACAGATAGTGGCCTCATTTCCTCCTTTCGGAGGAGGCAACGGCGGGGAAATGGGGCGGGGGAGCTTCGGGGGAGGAGGCGGGGGGCTCTACGGCCCCTCTTTGCCCCTCAGGCAGAACCCAGGGGCCACTGGGGTCGTCCTCCCCGTGCGGGGATGGAGCCACAGCGAGGGAACAGCCAATTCTACGGCCCCCCGCACCGGAGGGCCACAGCAGAGGAGGGGTGGTCTAGGACCCTATTGGCCCCCCGCCTGAGCGGCCAACAGAGCCACGCCGCCCGCGTGGGAAGGGCCACCACGAGGAGAAGGAATATGGCCTCTGGGGTTCTGCCCCAGAGGTCAACAGAGCTCCCGTTGCCCCTCCTCGGAGGGTAACAAAGGGCCTGAGGGTCGTGATCCCTGGAACAAAGCCCAGGGACCAGCCGACAGAAGCCCTGCTACCCCTCCGCGGGGGCAACAGCAGGCCCGAAGAAGTCAGTCTCTGGGACCTGCCCCAAAGACCAACAGAATTTGTGTTAGCCCCCCTCACGGAGGGGCAAACACAGGCCGGGGAAGGTGGCCCCTGCGGTCAGGCCCAGGGGCCGCCAGAAGCTGCACCACTCTGCTCCTGGGCCAGCCCAGGAGCCGAGGGAAGTTGTACTTCCTCCGCACGGAGGAAGCACAAAAAGGGGCTGGGGGAGGCGGGAGGGAGGGCCGCTCGGGAGGCGGCAATTCCATAGCCCATCCCCCCATAGCCTCATTAATATTTGTGGAAGAAGAAAAAGGAAGAGGGGAAGGTAGAAAAGGTCGGGTTTTATAGCAGCCCAGCTGGTGCCAAGAATCAATTTTCGCCGACATGTAGACGCCTTTTAGGGTAGCTACTCTTTATGCTGTAATTCCGGTTGTCTCGCGAGTGATGGACTATGATGGAGACAGCCGTCTTCTTCGGTAATAGGAATCGAATCTACCAGGTTAGGAAGTCACTCAAAATCTCAATAAATTATAAAAGGGCCCTTCAATGAATGTGATACGTAAATTAGCGTCATCTGAAGAAAAGAGCCTTTGGAATTTTCGCGATGAACCTAGCTCCAGATTGGAACCCTAACCTTTGAGATAGTACTCTGGAGGCTGGCACCTTAATGAAGCCTGCCTGTCCTCCAGATGTACACTCTAAGAACCATATAATCCCTAGCGGGCTGCGTTCGACACAGACCGATTCCAAGCATCCGATATAGTGCTTACTGTTTCCGAAGAGCTGTGCACGTGCTATTATATGGTTAACAGTGGCAATACTAAATTGAAAACTGAAGAGCCAGACTAACATCCCATAAGTACATGGAGTATTAAGCGAATCAAAATGAACCTTACATAGAAGCCGTCTAGCCAATCTAACAAGCAGTGTGATCTAGTGGAGAACGTTATCACCACTCTCTTTCGTCGCGGCTGGTCCTGTATTTTGTTTCCCTCGTCTATTTTCCTTCCTGGGAGACAGCGGATAAGGGGATCAGGTGGGTTTATCTCTGATCAGTATATAGAGAGCTCAGAGTCTGGAGGGTGATAAAGAATGTTAGTTGATTACGCCCGAAAATACACGAGGCCGGCACCACACTGGGGTTCAGAAGCCACCTTGCACATGTTACGTATCCTAGACCCACCTCACCTTTCTTCTCACCGCCCTTTCTCCCCCCCCCCCCCCCCCATCCTTATCATATCTACAATCAAACCAATCATGCGCCTAAATGCCAATGCATCGGTGCGTGTAATTAATGTCCTATCATTTACCTACTGAACCACATGGTTACATACCAAAAAAGGGTATGGATTCGCTACGTTATTCCCCTTATTGCGCTAGTAATGCAGCAAGAATACGGCATTACTACGGTATTCTTTTTGTAATGCCGGTTTAATTCCATATTTCTCGCTAAATCCCGTAGCCATACAGTACTGATTTCACCCCGTTTTTTCGTACTGTAGTATATGCACCAGCCTTTACATGGCGTGCAGAACGTTTTGGATGAAAAGAACACTCTCCCAGCATCGTGAGCTATGGTTAACACTCCAGCAGACACATGGGAACATACAAAAGAGAACAAGTCTTTATGCGAGGAGGTAGTCAGTGGCGCAAGAAAGTGTTTGAAAGTGGTGGCCCGTAAAGTTCGTGGCTTATAGGTACGTCCGAGGTGAACACGATCGGTTTACACCGGAGATTCTTCTAAGGACTCCTTTCAAACTCCTCGCCGCCAAAATCCATCGAGATTATATTCACTTACTGACTGAGGTGATCTGTAGCTCGAACCGCATCGATTGATTTAAAAGTCTAAAGATACCACCGAGCGAGTGATGCCTTATGATTTCCAAGCCGAAGATGAAGCGCCTCTAGGGAGAAAATTCAGTAGATACACCAGCGTATACCGTATTGAAAGCAAGGCCGAGGAGAAGGAAAGGGATGCGGTAGGTATGGGAGAGCTATAGGGCTCGGTAATCGGGGTTTAGTAGCGTGAGATCGACGCGTTCTAGGTCTACACATGTAGGATTTAAGCGTACCATGTGTTTGGCCCTTTGCCTCATTACCCCCTTACCGTAAGCAAATCTTTTCATTTATCTTCAGTACCCCAGATCCCAAGTTTTACACGATGCCCCATGTTGGCGGTTGAATTAACGGCTACTAATCAAATCATAGGCTATCACTCGGTCTTGTCACACCTTTTTCTTAGGGATTTCGCCGCCAAAAGACAACCAGCCCGATGTAATTATTGTCCTGTGGATGGGGTAGACCTTGAGAAGTTGATACAGGTACTAGGGCTACTTTATTGCTCTGACTGTCTGTATGAGGGATCCCTGTAGGTGTTTGGGGCAGGGGGCTTAAGTCTGTTTAATTTTAGTTATCGCGGAGTCTTGATGGAAGACTGACAGGGTGAGTGCGCCTTGATTACTAACGAGAATTCTACTCTGAGTAATTGATGAGCATTACCCCAGGATTGGCGCATGTCGGGTTTATAATTGCCGGTTACAGAGGAGGAAGCTTAGCTTACTGATAGGCCGATAGGGGTATTGGGAAGTGATAATAGATGCCCCAAAAGGTGCGTTATAAACAACAAGTAGTACCTAAGTACGTAATAAGGGCAAGGCTTACAAGTATTTTGGTACATGTAGTTACTAAAAAGATTCCCGACTTCAATGATCTCAATATAAAGGATCACCGAGGATATGTACTTTTAGCTGCACAGCCCACTTGAGTTCGGAATTCGGATAGAATAGTAGGCTGCGTGACCCACCCTGTCTGTCTATCCACTGGGATAAAAACAGCAGCTACCCCACGCATGGAGGACCAATAATTTAACCCCCATGATGGTCCTTAACTTTGGTAGAAGTGTCAATCATGCATGCCGGTATTCCCCCAGGGGTAACTATGTGGTCATTTATACGTGGATGTGGATGATCAACTGTCTGCGCCTTCTGAAATAGTAGCTCATATATAACCACAATAACAGTGGGCTAAATGCCTATAAAGAAGCCCCAAGCCCCCCATTATCAATTCCTCATCCAGAACCAGATTCTGAAAACTCACCTCAATAATGTCGACTATTAAATCCTTTTTCACACTTCTCCTTCTCCCCCTCCTCCTTTTCACCACCCTTACCCACGCCGTCTCTCCCTCCCTCGATGGCGCCGCCGTTTCCATGGGCAGCGGAACCTACCCCCGAGCCACCCGCCTCAGCGACAACTCCCTCCTAGGAGTCACCACCACCTTCTCCTCCGGCACCAACATCATCACAATCGTCCGCAGCACCGACGACGGCCTCAGCTGGACCCCCCACGGCGAGGTGACCCGCGGCGTCGGCGACATCGACAACGGCTTCCTCCTGCAGCTCCCCGACGGCCGCATCCTCTGCGCCTTCAGGAACCACTCCAAGGACGGCGACGCATACACCATCTACCGCATCACCGTCTGCGTGTCCAGCGACAACGGCGCGACCTGGACATACCTCAGCACCCCCGAGACCGGCTCGCCGCCCAACGGCCTCTGGGAGCCGTTCATGCGCATCGGCAACGACGGCCGCATCCAGTTGTACTACTCGCGCGAGCTCGCCGCAGACGACCAGGACAACCTCGTGCGCTTCTCGTCCGACGGCGGCGCGAACTGGAGCGCGTCGAGCGTCATCTCCGGCTCGGGCATCACCTCGCGCGACGGAATGGTGGGCGTTGCAAAGTACAATGACGGTGCGGATAGGCTCATTGCTGTGTTTGAGACCAACGAGGGCGGCGTGGCGGGGTCGTTCAGGATCAAGTCTGTTGCGTCGTCGGATGATGGTGCGACCTGGGGGAACAGACAGACGGTGTTTGAGGCCTCGGGGACAAATAACAACGCTGGGGCGCCGCAGGTGGCGAATGTGGGAGGGAGCTTGGTGGTGAGCTTTATGACGGATGAGGATACAGGGCTGCATCAGTGGGTGAGTGGGGCGTCGGCGAAGATTGTGGCGTCGACGGCGATATCGTCGGGGAGCGTGACGTGGGGGAATAAGTTGACTGTGGGCGGCGTGCAGTCGAATTGGCCGGGGATGTTGACGATTGATGATAGACATGTGATGGTGATGTATGATAATGGGGGGGCGAAGAGCCAGAGAGTCTTGCTGCAGTAGATGGTGGTGGTGGTGGGGGTTGTATGTAGATTATGAGCTCGAATAGAATATGATGCTAGTGTTATGTGTATTGCAAAAGTAGAATTGCGGGCATGCTTGAATTAACCACAACAGCAAGAGAATATTGGATTAATTATTGACGGTCATCCCCAAATATATAAATAAATCGAACGTGCTCTGATCCAAGACTCCCGTGAATGTGCAGTGGCCGAGGGCTAGGGGTGCTTTAAACCTTTGCCTTCTCAATCATTGGCACAGCTACACGTTGTGTTAAAACCCGCTGCAACGGTAACTACATGTAAGCGGTTAAGGATATACAATGTATGTTAGATTAGGGGCGCTGTATATATAAGTCACCGATTAACCCAAACCATCATTTCTTCCATCCTCTAATCATCAGCCGAGAGACCGAACCCGATCATCACCAGCCTGAAAATATTTGCGTGGAGACGCCCTTAGCTCTTGATTTATCCCGGATATATCCAGAGATCCAAAATTTCAAAATGAGGCTAGAAGCAGCTAGAGCTGACAAGGTGGTCGTAAGCTCTTGCTAGTGCGGAATGCCTATATATGGGCCCTACTTAGAAGAGGCCCCTCATCCCTGACCCCCTAATTGAGTGTCGCTAAGTACTCCTCCGCAAGCTGGAGGGCAGGATGGCAGTGAGCAGAATGCCTGACGGGGGAAGAGTAACGGCGGCCGCTAACAGACAAGCAACGTTGATGGGGGGGGGGGGGGGGGGGGACATGCACTGTCCCGCTAGCGGTCTGCTGTTGGGGTGTAGGTACATGTGTTCCATGATCGGTCCGAGGTATGGGGTAGACAATGCCAGCAAGGCGGGAACTGTTGTTTTTACAGTCTTTTCTATCGATATGTTTTGGTTAGTTATAAAAGAGCCTAGGCTGTTCCTTCTTCTCTCGTTACCTTTTTTTTTTTTTTAATTTAATCACACAATCCGAGTTCGATTCTCTTCCGTCTCCTATAAATTCACAACCTAATCAACATAAACAGGAAAGTAACACCACATGAATCTTAACGACATAATACGTTAGGGCCCACGAGAACGGAGTACATACATGTATGTCTACTGGAGCCATGTTAGCTACACAGTTTTGGGCGCGCCAGGGTCGGTCGGTCGGTCGGTCCTAGTTCCCCTGGTATCAATGCTCCATCCAACGTTTGCGTAATGCTTATACCCGGCGCCGGGTTTGGGGATGTGGACTGAGGATTTGGTGTTGTCGGGTCTGCGGGGTTCTTGGTTGGGGGGTTTTTTTTTTTTTTTTACTCACCCGTTCTTTCTCTATTCTGGGCGTCTATCGCGTCTAGGGTTACGGCATGGGCATTAGGTCTGAGCCCGTCTATTCTTCAATTGATCAAAACTTTGATGGCTACGAGATGGGACGAGTGTACGGGATGAGATGAATTACACCCAGGAGTGCAGCCACCACCACGCTTGGCACACACACACACACACACACCACGCCGAGTGATACAGCATGACTCACTCACTCCCTCCAGTACCTCCAACCGAGTGATATCCATGACGCAGCACACCCGTCTCCACCTCCGTCTCCTCTCCCATTTCTTTCTTCCTCCCCTCACTCACTCCCCCACAAACAAACAACCAAAAACCCACAGACCCCCCACCCCCCCCCATTCCCAGCCCTCCGCAGCACACGCGTACACCACCTCCCACCACCCCGACCCACCCTGCACAACTTTTTCCCACCCACCCATTAATTCTTTCCTCACATCCTCCTCCCTCCCTCCCTCACCCCCGATCGGCCGACCACCCGCACGCGTCGCCCCTCCGCCCCTCCGCCAACTCCACGACCCCGTAACCCCCCCCCCAGCAAATGTCAACAACAGTCGCAGTGCACGTGCCGGCGTGGAAGAAGATTGGCTTGAAGCTCAAGAAGGCGGGCGATGAGCCGGAGGTGACGGCGGTGAAGGACGCCGTGCCGGAGGTGAAGGCGCACGACGACGGCGACGACAGCGAGGACAAGAAGGAGCGCAAGCGGAAGAAGAAGGAGCGCAAGGAGAAGGAGAAGAGGGAGAAGGCCGAGTCGGCGTCGGGGGACAAACCAGCGGCAGCGGGGGACCAGGCGGAGGAGGGAGCAAAGGAAAAGAAGAAAAAGAAAGGCAAAAAATCAAAGTCGTCAACCAGCATCCCCGAGTCCACCACTCCCTCAACCACCACTCCCTCAACCCCCACCCCCGCCGCTCCCTCCACTCCCACCCCCACAACCACCACCACCACCACCGACCCCAAATCTCTCCTCCTCCGGCACCCACGCGCGCCCCCCACATCGCGCAAATCCGTCACCTTCACCTCCGACACCAAAGCCACCGACGGCGACTCCATCAAGACGCTCTACCAGAACCACGACCCCTTTGCGCACTACGACTCGTACCAGCAGCACCTCGCAAACTACCCTTCCTCCTCCTCCTCCGCCGCCAACGAGTTACCCGCGGGCTTCGACGACGCCGTCGAGCCAAAGAAGGGCGCAGAGATACAGTACAAGTTCGGCTCTACGGGCAAGAGGAAGAAGTTTACGGATGATGACGAGGTGGATGCTACTGCTTCTGCTGGGGGGTCCGGGTCCGGGGGCGGGGGTGTGAAGGATGCCACTCCGGCGACCACCACCACCACCACCACCACCAAGCAAAAGAAAGAGTCTACCGGGAAAGCAAGCGACAAAAAAGACGACGCCCCCACACCCAAAAAGCGCAAACCCAACCCTCCCAAACCCTCCACCGCACCCACCGCCAACACCGCCCCCTACCTCCACTACCTCACCGCCCACCACCTGCACCGCGCAACCTGGAAGTTCGAAAAGTCCAAGCAAAACTGGATCCTGCGGCACGCCTTCGACAGCGCGCAGATCCCGGGCACGCACGACGCCGCGCTGCGCGGATACATTGCCAGCGTGCAGGGCGCGGCGGCGCGCGACCGGCTGCTCGAGGCGGCGAACGAGGTGGTCAAGCGCGGGAGCGACACGATTAGTCGTGATGGCGAGAAGGTGGATGTGGTCAGTCAGCGGGAGGGCGTGGGGAGGGCGAGGCTTGTGTTGGCGGCGTTGGGGCATGGGGAGGATGATGATGAGGAGGAAGAGGGGGGGAGGAGAGTGGTAGTAGTGATAGTAGTGATAGTGATAGTAGTAGTGAGAGCGATAGTAGTGAGGGTAAGGAGTGAAAAATTTCATGGGTATGGGTTATGGGCTTCTTTCTTCTTCTTCTTCTGCTTATTCTTGTTTTTTTGTGATTTCTTTATTTTACTCCTTTTTTTCTTCTTTTTTTTTTTTTCATTGGGCATGTTGCATACTTCATGATATGTGGGAGAAGAGAGAGAGGGTTGAGTTGTACTTACTGCTGCTGCTACTGCTGCTACTGCTATTGCTGCGGCAGCTGGTCCTTTGATGACGGGTTTATGGACCTGCTCTGGGGGGTTTATTGTTCTTCAGACACTGTACTTACTGCTGCTTCTGCTGCTGCTGCTCATAGTTATAGCGAGAGATTCCAGCAGAGAGATATATGGCCAGGCTAATTGACAGACACACACACACACACGAACTATCCAGATAGTAAATAGCAAGAGAAATCCAGACCAAATAAAGAAAAGAGAATAATAATAAGCAGTAGTGAAGAAAGAGAAAAAATTGAAAAATACAAGTGTTGTACATGACCCGGTCACAGCCACCCCACCTTCCTCATCCGCACCCGCCTCACCTCCACGCCCGTCATCCCCGAGCCCTCACCCGTGCCCACACGTACAAGCCCATCCTCACCACCACCACCACCACCACCACCACCACCACGACTGGTAGCCCAATCATCAACACCAGTCATCCCCCTCCGATGGCACTCCATCCTCAACTCGCTGTCCACCACCGTGCCCTCCTGTCTCGTCTTTGCCTTACTCACCGTAATCGGCGTCCCCAAGAACTCGGCCACATTAATCTCCGTCACCGCCGTGCTCGGACAATACTCCATCTCCTTCAGCGCCGGCCAGACCTCCGCCCGCCGCATGATCTTGAGCAGCATCTTGTTGTGCGACCAGCCCGGGCAGAAAAACACCAGTCTCTGCAGCTTCGTGCCGGGCGGGAATGCCGCCTGCCACGGCGCGAGACCAACGATGGACGGATCGTCCTTGTTGAGCATGATGGTGCCGGGGTCGGGCCTGTAGCGCAGTGATATGCTCAGGCTCTGGAGATCGGGCATGAGGACCAGTGTCCGGGGGAGCCATTTCTCCATGACGTGTGAGTAGTGGCCCTCGCTGGATATTGAAAAGCTCCGTAGCTTCGACCCGCCCCCTCCGTGTCCGCCTTCAGCCACACCCACAGCTCTGTCAGCTCCTGCCGGAGCGTGCCTGCCCATTCTCCAATGTCAATCTCCACGCTCAGCTCCGTCAGCCTCCCCTTTGGTACGCATCGCAGCACCCGCAGCGTCGAGCTCTTCAGCGACAGTGATTCCAGCGCCCCAAGGCACGCAATCGCCTTCTCGCCCTCCTTCTCCGCATCCCCGCTCTCCTCTGCCGTCGCACGGGGGTAATAGAACTGGCAGATCTCCAGCCGCCGCAGCGCCTGCCAGCCCATATGGAATCTCCGAAAGGCCGGCACCCGAATGTCCATACAACTGGATACCCACGACCACTCCACCCACGCTCCATGCGCCGCCAGCACCTTCCACAACCTCCTCTGCTGTGTCAACGCCCGCGTCTGCCGCCCGCGATACAGCGTCCCACGCGACACAAAGTTCAGCGCATCCTGCTTCAGCGACTCCATGTACGGGTCCAGAGGCGCAAAAAACACACACGGGTCCCCAACGATCCTCACCAGCCCCGAGCATAACGATATCAATTTTGTCCACAGCGGTAGGTTCTGGTAGTCCCGCGATATGCGGTGGTGCATGTCGATCTCCAGCACTCGGAACATACCCGCCAGCTGCGGGCGTGCCGTGAGTGTCCGGAGAAGCGGCTTGAAGTAGCGCTGGGAGAGGTATGTGGTGCGGCGCGCCCACCAGTATTTCCCGTCGCCCCATGCGATGCCGCGGTTGTGGTACTCGCATACGTCGTCGAGAGAGAGCTTGAGCGTTGAGTAGAGCAGCTCCGTGGCGGGGCCGTTCCAGGAGCGGGAGGCCAGTGCGATGTTGTAGAGATTCTTAAGATAGCAAATAGAGCAGTAGGTGCGGTGCATTGGGTCGCTGGGCAAGCGCTGTTCGTCGAGCGCTTTAATATACGACAGAACCTGGTACGTGATCTCCGGCGGCAGGTGGAACGCGGTTCCGTCACCATCATGAGCATCATTACTGGCACCGCGGGCGTGCGAGCGGGTCAAGGCTGAGAGGATTAATTCTGTTTGGTGTGAGAACTTGCACGCTCTCACGACGTTAGGATGCAGGGGCACTCACTTCTACGAGTAGGGGCAGGAGCGGGAGGGTGTACTCTGAAATATCTCACGACATCTGAGTCGAATCTAGCAGAGCGGGTACTGGTCTCAAGCTGAAGGGGCACAAAGGCTCCACGATTGAGGATGCGCTTCTCGCGCGGGATTTCATGGTAGTGCTCGAGATCAGGGGAAAGCTCTTGGTCGCTGTGTGATATAGGGGACATCGTGCTGATAGTGGAACGTAGGCTGTTGACGATCCGGATGCTTACACTCATGCTATCCACACATCACCACCCGCTGTGAGGAGAGCGGGGAGGGTTACATATATATGGCTCACTACTTAGCCAATGAGCCAGAGGATAACAAAGCTCATAGTCATATTGCTTTTCGGCATTTCGTGAGCACCGAGTGGACGCCTTCTTAGCCCGACCCAGTCGTCATAATATGCCCAAGGTTCCAATAATGGTTACACCGTGAAACCAACATATCTTCGGGGGCGGTGATCAAAATGACTTCGCTTGGGCTTAAATAGGCTTGCATAATAATATGATACAGCCTGCCTGAAGGTGACGCCGCTCTCACGTGACTGTGGCGGTGATGGCCGAGTGAGAGATTGTGATTACAAAGTTCTATGATCCTGGTAAGTTGACTGAAGATGCAGTGTCTAGAGATGAAATACCTTATACTACCATGAGAATATTATGGTGTTTCAGCTACGTATGGTGACGAACAAATCGACTATTCTGCCAAACGGTATGTGCAAAGATGTTAGCTAATTACACTAATCCGCTTATATAAGTACAAACAGGAATAGACCAAGTACCGCACTGATTCTATCCCGCCGCCACGAGATAGAGAAGTATTCTTTACAGAGGACTCCTGCTGTGAAACCATCACGATATGCATCCTTCCCCAAACGGTCAAAGTCCCGCTATAGAAGCCCGCTGTTAACTTGCTGCTGCTGTTATTTGTAGGATGGTATCACTGTTGACTCAAGATGACAATACAATACGAAAGGGCGTAGAATGTGGAAAGAGGATCCTCCTATATATATAGAGGCCATGAGTATAGCTGTCAGACCACGTCAGCGGGACCTTAATGACAAGAAATCTGTCCTCGACGCGGTTGTGGCCAATCAGGTCGGAACAGGGCCTGAAGACTCGATCATAACGGTAATAACATCCACACGGCCTGTTTCTTACAGAATGAAGCGGTGGCCCCGGGCGGTATTCAGCGGGGATGAGATAAGGATGTTCTGGAGGCGCTGCCACCAGGAAGCCATTGGTGGATCAGACCAGACATGGAATGTATAATCACCCTTTCTTTTGGGCTTTGGTTGCTGTTTAAACGTTTTTTATGCATGATATTATATTATCATGGTGCCTTTGAGACAGCTGGGCCTAATGTCTTTCGCCTTGGGGTTCACAGACCATCACTCGATATAGCATGCTATTACTTTTCGTGTCTGACTTTCGTCTCTACATCTAGCTAATGCACTATACTTATCCCTCACCACAAAGCTTTATCTAACGGTTTATCTAACGGCTTTTTATAATTCGCTTCTTGAATAGATTTACAAAAGTAAGGTCTGGTTCAATTCCTTTTGGGTAAGAGCTATCTTCTCGCCTAAATCCACCCAATTCACACGCTCCAGCTTCACAAACATGCAGTAACCCCTAGAAACTCGTAAGGTCTCATAGAAAGCGCAAAACGGAGGACGTAAACTAAGATGGAATAAAGAGGTGAAGAGAGACCGCTAACACAACAAATGGATGAAAAACAATGTTTCTTCCAGGACACATCAATTTCGTGCAACATAAACTACCATCATCATAAATCGTCAATTACCCAGTTGCCTCAGTTTAATTGGGTGATATAGCTCTCGTCTCGACCGTCGCCTGTTTCGAATCTGATGATACTTCGGCCGTCCCATCCTATACATTATTGTGTTAGTGGATCATATATAAGTTGAAAAGGCTGGAGGTGGGGGACTAGGGACTTACATCAGATCTTTCTGCAGGTCCACTAGCAATCGCTTGATTGCCCGTGCCACTGTATGAGAATACACGTTCGTCCGTCTTAAGCTGGTACTTTACTGGCCCTACGAGGCTGAGATGATTCCTTCTTGACTCGCCAGTACCAGTTTGTATCACCTTGGGGGCGATGAACAGATACGGATGACGAGACTCTGGGACAACCGTGCCAGTCTTCCCGCCCCAGCCAACCTCAGTGATCTCGGAATATTTATCGTCTTGAAACATACTTATTCCTGAGTACCTCGCTCTTGCTGCTGGCTTCTCTGGTTGCTCTGGCTTCCCCTGCACCTCTTTTGCGTCCAGGATGTACGGGATGTGCTCTAATCTTCCATGCCAATCATCCCGATCACCGCACTTCTCTTCATCCAACATCCTGTACAATTGTACGGCTTGGAGGCCTGTTGCTCGCAAAGTAAACCGGGAGATTTTACCGCTGTTACTGTTGGTGAATCTGGTGCATCTCGTTGCGAGTAGGAGTATATAGAGGGAAGCATAGATGACTGGTACGCTGATCAGAACCCTGAGCGAGAGCGCTTTGACTTTGGTGCTAAAGACTACAAACTTTTCGACGCCCTCTTTCGGTTTGCCGGTGGCAGGGTCGAGAGCAGAATTAAAAATTCCGATATCGGGAGAAAATTGTGTCATGACGGTATCTCGTAAAACGTCTTGTGTCGCAATATATGATGCTAGGACTAAGCGTTCGAGATCTGCAGCGTATGAACCTGCTTTTGCGTCAAGTAATCCGTACGAGCTACTTGCTGACATCACTAGAATCGAGGATCCAAGCGAAGAACCGATATCAAATATCATAGGTGTGGTGAAACGGTGCCGAAAGAGCTCGTCTGTAATTGTTTTTGGAACATCTAGGCCAAGCTGATCCAGGTCGAAAAGATTGACCTCTTTTCCTTTGTAAGACCAAGTATCCTGGTGCCAGCAAGAGAGAGGTGGGCGCCCCGTGGATATAAAGTGTGGTGGAAACCCATACTCGACATCAATTTCCGGCGACGGCTCCGTAAGGTACCATGGATCGGATGATTTGGTGTGGCTATACCGGCCGACAGTGTCTGGGAGAATATAATATCTTAGCCTTGCTCCGTTTGGGTTGTTGTATATTTCAGCTATATCGGAATCACCGGCCAATCTAGGCATAATCATTTTTCCGCCAACGTTTGCGTCCGAAAATGTATTTAAAGTATAATTTGTACCATATATAGTATAGAGGTCGCGGTAAACCTCAGTGTCCGTCCCTTTGTATGCCTCATTATCAAAACTGCAGCCCCCTTCGGTTTTCAGCATGAAGTTGCGAGCATCTTTGAGTTGTAACCCAAAGTCCACGCCGGTTACGTTGAATTGATATGAGGTAACTTGGTCCTCAGAGATAGAGAATGTCACCCTCTCACGTAGTTGGTTTTTCGCATACTCAACAACTCCCACGGCTCTTTGAGCTGATGGCGCCCTGACCCGTTCAGCCACCCATTGTTGCTCGATATTGTTGAGATCAGGTATTGCAAAAAAAACACTTTGGGGATTCGCTGGGGCCACATTGCCAAGTTCAAGATTGGCTGGAACGACGACACCGGCAAAGATTCCGCCAACTACCAGTAAAAATGCAACTACTACCATGGCAACGTCGAACAACCCTGCCCGCTTATCGAATTTGAAAACAACCGTAGCATGTTTTATGAGTAACACCATGGCAGTATATGGATCGCTCGAGTTCCAGATCGCTACCAAAGCGATATACCTGTTGGCCTTTCGTCGGCGGACATTGAGCAATTCCGCGTTGATACTCTCAATTCCATGATCTTGGTCCAGGGCCGACGAGTCGCGCTTTTCCCCGGAGGCAGAGTTTGTGTGGTAGTAGTCGTCAAAATCTTTGTTCTTTCTGGCTATTATCGGGCCCTTATTTCTCGATAGTACTTGACCTATAGTCCTCCTATCTTCTGTTGGATAAAACACAAGAGCGAAGTAGGTAGCGAATTGCCAGAGGGATCCAAAAATTGCAGTTATGAGAAGTGCGTAGCCGGAAGCTATGTAGAAGGACTCGCGATCGGTAACTCCTACGCCACGGAAACCACCATCATTAGAGGGCATCAAGAAAAGCGTGTGCAGTATGTATGCATTGTCAAGTGGGTCTGAAAAAAGCTCAGCGCCCTGAGGTTTTGAGGATATCTGCATCTTAGCGCAAGATATGTGTACCGTACCCCTAAAATATCAGATCATTAGGAACAGAGAAGTTAGAGTTTAAGTTGGGGGCTTCCATTTCAACTTACCTAAGCTAATGTTGCGAACGTGGTTTGACAAGCTTTAGGTTAAGAGGGAAAGGCCAGACCGTGGACCTTTTGAATACAGGATTCTGGCCCAAGAAGGGGTTTGAAATTCGTGCCTAAGCTGCCAGTTAAATCTATTTTCCCTCTCATGCTGGTGGTACACACGGCGTGATCAGATAATCTGCACCCCTCATCTAAGCAGAGGCCTTTTCCACCAGTACCTCAATTACCTATTCTAGAAATAGCATCTAAGCCAGCGCGCACACATGTCTATGTAGCCATTCAGCCATCCAGCCATCCAGCCATCGGATGGAGATTATTGGATCGTCTGTGAAACGAGGAAGAAAAAATAATATGGAACTTTTAAGACACCTGCGCGTGTGAGGTGTAGCTTAATGGCTTCTGCAGCGGGCGATTGTATTACGTGACTTTATCTTCAAGATCGTAATAACACACGTTCTCCGAATTAATAAAAACACCTTTCTCAATATTTTCAACTCTAAAAGATCCAGTTAAAGCAGTTCCATAGGGTAAAATAAAAAACATATCAATACAGAAATATTGGGTCTAGTATATCGTAAAAAGCCAGATGCGAGAAGCTTATGTTACAAGTGACAGGCGAGCATATAGTACCGTCGATATAAATGCAACATTCTGTGATTGAAGTATGCATACATTTCCTGTATCGTGTATCAATGATTTTATCTTCTGAGATCTTGAACCGTGCTTATTGGTGACGTTTTACTACATGTAGGCATAACTTGATACACGGACCGCACTCTATGGCACAAAGATTCATCAGTAAACAACTTGAATTCGTTAACTTCGGTACACAGTGATCCCCAGGACTGGCCCGACTAGTGAATTCTCTTCATTCTTGGCTGAGACTCTATCACCAACATATGCGACTCTACCTGAGCACATACTCTGCGCATGCCAGGATCTCAGACCAATAATTAAGAACAAGGCTGTGAGATTCTGCAAGGTTTAACCAGATCCGGTTAGTGCGTATATATGCACTCGAGATGTCTTACATGCTGGCTGAGGTTGTACAACAGATGCAAGCCTTGTGAGGTGAGTAGAAAATAAGAGGGCGGATATAGTTTTGAAACAATTCGGTGTTTACCCTCTTGGATTTGATGCTCACTAGAATCATAGGAGATGTATTTCCCATCTGACGCCCTGTCCCTAGTCCAACTGTTGATTGGTCAATAAAAAGAATACAAATCTCCTATGGCCAATTCTACGCTACCAATAGTCTGCGTGAGATTTTAGATAGAGTATCTACATGTGTGTGGGTAGAATACGCATTTTTTTGTATATTAGCCTACTAGACCCTTGTACTCTAGTTGATATAACCTATATAACTCTAACCAAGTGATCGCATATATCCAGTAGCTAGCAGGCCGGCGATCTGCTCGCGGCAGGCATGAAGAACCTGAACATAAAATGCGCTAGCAGGGGTCAAAGTGGTTGTTACCAGAAAAACGATGTTCATGCCTACCGCGAGTACTCTATCTAGTTATTCGATAGGACTAATTGTATGTACCTACTCTAATTTTTCGACACGTCACTTGCAAAATTATCCCCTCAAAAATCCTTTTGGCATATCCCCGGTGTAGCGTATGTACATGTACTCGGGGCAGGTAAGAAGAACCTGAAAATGACTTTTGATGGTAACAACCTCTGATTCGCGGCTGGCGAAAAGCTACACCAAATTGAGCACCTGTTTGCAGCTTGCATTTTCAGGTCCTTATTGCCTGCCCCGAGTATGTACTTTGACCGGCATGAGCAGGATGAGACAAACACACCCATGCGTAGTGTGATAGCTTATTCTAGTCTCGCCCGCAATTGAATGACTTGAATCATTGCCAAGGGGGTAATCCGAGTACCTAGTGATCTCGAGGCTGAAGTACATGAAGGCAGAGTTCCCGTTAATAAATTCCACGAGACGCCCCCCCCCCCCCCCTCCCTTATCCCAGTTACTATAGCTAGCGTCCAGCGTAGTACTCCAGCATCAATATCTTTCTCTCCTCTCTACGCAAATTAATATTTGGCCGTCATAATTAATTGCAAGGAACATGTTCAAGTCACTGTCCCTCTTTACTCTTCTCCTCGCCAGTGCTTCCTCGGTCACCAGTACTGATGCTGAGGCGCCTAAATATCTTGATATCAAGGCCGTCTGCAAACAAACCCCGAAGCTGGGCCTCTTTGGTCAACTCCTCGAAGAAAGACCAGACATCTATGCCGCATACGTTGATTTAGAGGACAAGACCTTCTACTTGCCCTCTGACGATGCCCTTAACGCATACTACGCGGCTACAGGCAACATTTTCCGCCGAGCTGTAGACGATGTTGCTAAGGCCTCATATCAGTACGTGAACGGCCAGGTTGACCTCAACGCGGCGAGGGAGAAAAAGCGGCTTGCTCAAAAGTCGGGCGACAACAAAAACACGGTGGTGATAAGTAACAATGCATCCAGAAGGAAAAGGCAGCTGCAGCTTGGAAACGACACCGTTACAACGGCAGGAATCACGGTTTCGACAGGGTTGGGGACGAAATCGGAGATTCTGTTTGGGGATATTCAGTGCACTCAGGGCCTCATCCAGGTTGTTGATACGTAAGTTTGCATATTTTCACTTTGCTGCTCAATTGTGGCTTTTATAATATGCTAAACTGTGTTTTAGACTTTTTGAGATTCCTGTACCAATAATCGAGACGCTCGATTGCACCGACGGTTCCGAATTTCTAAGTGCACTTAAAGATACCGATCTCGCAGACACATACAATGAGATGGGGAACGTCACCTTCTTTATGCCTCAGGATGGGTCATTCGAAGCCAACTCCACCATGGACTGCGCATCTGTTCAACGACACGTAGTTGAAAACCAAGCTCTCTATACTCCTGACCTCAAGGATGGCGATGTCATCGAGTCTGCATCAGGCGAGAACCTTTATGTAAATATTTTGGATGATGAATTCTACATGAACTGTGTCCGCGTTATCAAGTCAGACAACATCGTCAGTAACGGTGTGATTCATACGCTTGAAAAGGTAAATACTTACTCTCTCCCCTCTTGCCATAACGTTTTTCTGACTTGATATGAATTTAGGTCATTGAACCCATGTCTGCCCCCCCGTCTTGCTGGGCAAAAAACACAACAGTTGTACCACCACCAGTGAAGTTCACCGGTTCCGCATCAACGAACCAAGTCGGCAGCATGCTGGCTATTGTTGGTTCTCTAACCGCCTTATTCTTTGCTCTCTAGTTTTGTTTAGCTCTACTAGATTTGCATTTCCTTTATGAATATCGACGTTGGTTATGAATGATGCAGCAGTAATGATATTAATTATAATGTTTCTGTACCTATGGATGTATTGTATATAGTGCCCAGACACGTTCTCGGGCAGAGTCGACAATTCCAAACCGTGTTGTGCCTTCACCGCCAGTAGTAGTAGTCTAGTGTAACATATCCCTGCCCCCAACAACCGCACCCAATGGTGTTAAAATAAGAATTTCAAACTGGACCAACACCGCCGATCACCTTCCCACCCCAGCCCACCGCTCGCTTCCCGCACCCTTTTCGCAAGCACATCCGAGAGACTTGTGTTACCCGCGTCTGGCTGCTCGCTTAAGATAAACTCTTGAGGATCACCCCAATAGTAAATATTGCCGAGGGGGGCGGGGGGAGTCTATCCTCCCGTCCAGGAAAAAGAAAGTAAATGATGGGGTGTGGATTCCGAATGCCGAATTTGTCCCCGAGAGCTACAAGCACATCCCTACTCTAGAGTACTGCAAGCCAGTGAAAGGGTTCAGTTCCAGCCCACGATTTAGGGTATGTACTAGGTACTCCAGCGGGTCGGTATGTGGACCCGTAAAATAGAGTAGCGGGGTGTGGACGCCATGTCGCTCCTGGGCCGTGGGGTAGATATTAGCCTCGTACCCAGCCCGTTACTTGCAGCAAGCTGCCACAGTACTCTACGTCCTCTGGAAGCATGGAAGTAGACGGGTTGGGGACGAGCCTAGGTAGATATCAGATTTGCTTTTATCTATACTATCAGTTGATAGCTAGAGCCAGAGCTAACTATCCTCACGACCACCGACATCGCCAAAAGGAACTATCGAATAGGCACCATACTCTTACACCCGGCTGTGAATTCGCCATTAACGCTTTTCCAACCCACCTCCCATTGAAAACTCCCATTGAAACCCCCATTTCAATGTTCAATTGTAGGATTGAATTAATGTACAGGATTCGATGGTTGCCGTAGTTTGTGACAATATATAGCTGTCGGCTCTCCTTTTTTTTTTTTTTTTTCTTCTTTTTTTTTTTTTAAATCATGTAGTTTTATTGCTTCTAGGTACAAAACTCTGCATGCAGTCATAGACTATGGCATAAAAGCACCTTTCCCTGACCTGTTGAACAGAAAACACGGCCCCAGATAAACGTAAACATAGGGAAAAGTTGGAACGCTGACGATAGAATACTCGAAATACAAAGGAGAAATGAAAAACACTGGCGGCCCATATGAGGGTACCCTTTATATATATAAAAAAATACTCGGCCTATCAGGAGCCCGGTTCGCAGACTACTTTTTTTTTTTTTAGTATGTGTAGTTTTAAGGGTGAAATGCTCCTTAGTACTTTTTTTTCTAATTTTTCGGTGTGTGTTATCTACCCTTATAGAGAGCTAGAGCGGCCTTTGAGTTGATCGAAATTGGAACCCTTCGCCTGGCCCTCAAAAAATGTTTTAACAAGATTGAATCAAGGTGCACTATCAAAAATTTAAAAACCGAAAATTCCCAAAAATTAAAAGTGAACTTTCTACTCTACCAAATTTAAACCTAACCCTAAAACATCTATACGGGTAATATAACTGCTCTCTCTATATATATATATATATATATAGCTATAAGGGTACGTACGACCTAACTCGCGATATTTCCGTATCTTTATACCTAGGGAGATCTGAGTCGACTGTACTACTAAAGCGCACAATTAGACGATCATGCAACCTGCCTATTGACCTAGAATTATATAGAGTACTCAGTGTTTTCCGTACCATATAAAGTACAAGTTCACTTAATTGGCATTATGGGATGTATAGTTCTCGTTCAAAAACCATGGGACAACGCAACCGCGAGTTGCTACGGGGCTTGTCCCAGGATTTTTGACATGGCGTTATACCTAGAGTACATATTGTGTCCCAATACATGTACCTACATGCGCATGCGCATGCTCATCTCCAGGCACTCTACTCTACTCTACTCTAGCAAGTCGGAGCCGAAGATCTAGATACATACCCTTCACATCGTGGCCGAGAGTGAATCCCGAAGCATCGCAGCATACAGGCCGCCGTTGGACAAAACCAAAACACACTTCCCCCCCCCCCCCTACCCAACTAGTGCTAAAGACACGGCCGGGGCCGCAAATAAGCAACCAAAAGATCTAAACTCTCCGGCGCACCCACTGCCAGATCGGCCACCCAGCCATCCCCGTTTTTCCCACGTGCAAGTTTAGAGTAGGTTATGCATGAGCTTTTCGATCTTGCAGCTAGCTTGTCGTTAGAAACGAGATCGAGATCTCTATAATGATATACGCCAAACCAAAGCACACCCAAGTCCAAAACACTCAATTCAACAAAAGGTATTCCATTTCATAGCTAGGACCATGGCCATATATTCCAAACCCCTAGCGCATCATACAACTGCAGCCCTAGCCTACAGCTATGCTATGTTTAACATGTACCAAAAGAAATGAAATGCGAAAATGCGAAAAAAAAAAAGTGCAAAAAAAAAAAAAGAACCAAACACCACATGCATGAAGTAGCTAGTTAATGGGTATCCCATTATACTCACGATATACCCACATGACAAAAAGAAAGAACCATAAAGCAAAACGTAAAACGAAAGACCCATAAAAAAATTAAAGAAAAGAAAATTAAAGAAAAGAAAATTAAAGAAAAGAAAAGAAAGGAAAAGAAAGGAAAAGCGAAAGTAATAATAATAATAATCCAAACCGCTCCCAGCCAAAAAAAATACAAGCCATAAAAAAACCACACGCTTATAATTACTATACACTAGTGTCCCTCCCCTTCCCCTTCCTATCCACCCTCGCCGCACTCCCCACATACTTCCCCCCTCCCCCGCCCCGTTCGTAAACGTCCCCGCCCCCTGCTCCTCCTCCTCCTCCTCCTCCTCCTCCCCTCCTCCCCCTCCTCCTCCTCCTCCCCCTCCCCCTCCTCTCCATCTCTCTCCCCCTCCCCCCCAACCACCCCTTCACCCCCACAACATCACTCCAATACTCCAACCTCCTCACCTCCTCCTCCGCCGCCGCCACCGCCGCCGCCAACGCCCTCACCCTCCTCTCCCTCCTCTCCCTCGTCCCCCTCACCGGCTCATCCGGAACCCCCTCCTCCTTAATCGGCACCGCCACCGGCGGCACACTCTCCTCCACCGGCGACGGCGGCAACAACAAATTCTGCGACGACGCCGAAATCTCCGACAACGGCGTCGTCGGCTCCCCCTCCCCCACCACCACCGGCGGCAACGGCGCCTCCGGCACCCCCTCCTCCACGGGCGTCTCCGGCGCCTCCACACCCCTCTCCGCCTCCTCCCCCGCGCGCACCAACAGCGCCAGCAACCGCCTGCGCGACGCCTGAAAGATCATCAACCGCATCACATCCGGCACACGTCCCGCCAAATACTCCACCTCCTCTCCCGCCTCCTCCAAAAAGTTCCTCACAGCATCGACCTTCTCGCGGTCGAGCCGCGACGCGCGCAGCACGTTCATCAGCGTCGGTATGTCCTTTATGCCCTCGTGCTGCGCCTGCTCCGAGTCTTCGCGGCCGTCGCCGTCCTCGTCTTTCCAGTCCCAGCCCTCGCCGGCCATGACGTTTCGTTTTTTCTTTGTGGTTGTGCCGTTTGTGAGGGTGGTGCTGCCGGTGATGGTTGTTGTGGCGTGGTGGCGGCTGTGCGAGTGGATCGTGAAGTAGTCCGGATTGAGGCCGTGGCCGCGCTCACGGCTGGTGTTGCGGCTGCTGCACTCGCTGCCGTTGGGGGTGTGGAGCTTGATGCGCTTGCGCAGCCAGCGGCGGCGGCGCACGAATGAGTGGAACCAGATGTGTGTGCCGTGCCATGAGAAGGCGGGGCTGAAGGAGAAGGAGTAGGTCCACCCCTCTTCGTCGACGTCGGTGGTCATGTCGACGTACCAGGTCTTCCATGCCCAGGCCCATGACGGGTCCGGGACTTGTGCGTTGACGATGGAGACGGCCGAGTCGTGGTGGTGCTTGTTCTGCCAGGGGCCGGGGTCGAAGTTGAGGAGGCCCTTGGCGGAGAATAGGGGGATGCCGCAGACAAACATTCTGCAACACAAGAGGTCAGTCAATTCCCCCCTTCTCTGATCTGGTTTCCTTCTGGGAATTGGAATTGGATATATATCGGGGGAATGGGAGGGGGCTCCTACCCGCGCTGGTTCTCATAAAGAATATCAATCTCGGCCACCTCCTTCTCCTCCCTCCCATCCTTCCTCCTCCCCGTCCTCCTTTCTTCCCCATCCCCATCCACCCTCGGCCTATTCCCACCCGTATCACTCCTCATCCTCCCCCTCTCTCCCTCCTCCCCCCCACTCCCACTCCCCGCGCCCACAACAACCTCCTCATCCCCGCCCACACGCTCCACCACCCCGCAGCCCGCGGATCCGGCGACTCGCCGCTCGCGACAGACAGGTGCTCGTCGCTGGGGAACGGGTCCACGCTCCATCGTTTATACTTGCGGTGAGCGATTGCCTTTCGCAGCGTCTCGCGGCGGCCGCCGGGGGCCTTTGACGACGAGGCCGAGGGCAGGTTCTCGTCTGATGCAGTGGGCGAGGGCGAGGGCGAGGGGGCCGTGGGGAGTGTGTTTGTGTTGTCGAAGAGGGTGATACGGCTGGGGGTGGGGGTCGTGCTGAGGGAGGCATTGGCGGACGGCGCGGTGGCCATTGGTTGGTTGGTTGGTTTTGTTGCTGCTGCTGCTGCTGGGTAGGTTGTAGGTGGGTAGGTTGTAGGTGGGTAGGTTGTAGGTGGGTGGGTTGTAGGTGGGTGGGTTATTGGGTGGGTGTAGACGCGGTGTGTGGTGGGTGATGTGTGGAGAGCGGGCTGGGTAAATTGGCTGGTTAGGTGCGTGGTGGTTGGTAAGGGGCTGCTGGGCTGGATGACATGGAGCGAGATCTGGGATCGATGGGACGGATGGATGCACGATAGATTAAAGACCGAGCAGGCAGGCAGGCAGGCAGGCAGGCAGGCAGGCAGGCAGAGAAGTAGGCAGAGCAGGTGTGTATGTATGTAGATAGAATGTACTGTATGTGTGTATGTGTGTAAGAGAAAGTGAAGTGCGAGAATTAAGAGAAGAGAGGCCGGGGCCGGGGGTGCGAGAGAGAAGAACCTGGACAGATTAGATTCTTGGTGTTTCATCACGGAGAGTTAAGTACTCCATGTACGGTGAGCGAGCGAGAGTGAGCACCCACACAGATCTGCACAGGGAAAAGAAAAGTGCTGGGCTCAAGCCACAATCGATATCAAGATCGCGACGTCACACACATGGAGCGATCGGGTTGGGCTCCTCCTCCTTGACGAATTCAACAAGGAACCAACAGAAACGCCGGTATGGGCAGAGGACATGGCATTCGAGGTTCCCCGTTCTGGCTTTGGCTTTCTGCATGTGGTTCATCGTGGCTCCTGCCAGGGCAGCGGTGCTGTTTGCGACCAAGGAACTGATAATTCCCACGCACTGTGCCCACTCTCACTCAGGCAGACCCTCTCTTCTTAGCGATGGAGAAGAAGGCTGCTTTACTTGCTCTACTCTGCCTGCTCTCCTTCTCCCCTCGCCGGTCAACACATGCGTGCGGTAACCGTTGTCCCGTCCTGGCTGTTTGTGTCACAACACTGACGAGCGATGACGTAGTGCCGCGCTCACCGTTTGCATCCCCATCCCATCCCATCCCATCCATAAATACATAAATACAGACAAAATAAAATAAATAGCTCTTCTCCCCAACCGCCGTCGATAATCCATCTCGCTAATTATCCTCACATCACCCACATCACCCACATCACCACACCAAACAAAAAAAAAAAAAAAATTCAATTCAATTGCCCCCCTCTATAATATAAATACAAAATGTCCACCGGCAGCAGCAGCACCCCAAACATCCCACGCGCGTCGACCGGGCCCCCAAGAACCGCATCCCCGCCTACCTCGGCCTCGGCGCGGCCGCCATAGTCGGCTACTACCTCTACACCGCGGGCGGCGATCCCAATGTTGCCAAGAAGGAGATGAAGCGTGAGTATACATATATATATACTTCCATTTAATTAATACAATTGGGGGTTAACGCACGGGGTACCTATTATCAATGGTGAATTAACACTAACAACGCTGGCCGCCAGACGACGCCGCCTCCGCCTCAACCACAGTCCGCGACCAGCTCCCCGGCCGCGGCAAAGAGGCCAAGGCCTCCGTCGAAGAGGCTTTCGCCCGCGTCGGCAGCGAAGTAGACTCCACCGTCCGCGAAGGAAAGCACCCCTCCCAAACTCTTATATATAGGTAAATCTAATACACCACCACCACAGGCAAGAACCGCATAGCGCAGGGCCAAAAGGTGCTCGAAGAGACCAAGGACCGCGCCGGCAGCAAGATCATGAACGCCGTCGACCAGGCCGACCTCAAGCTCGAGGAGGAGGCCGCAAAGGCCAAGAAAAGCGTCGGCGGCTGGTTCGGGGGAAGTAGACCGGCGGGTGCCGGGACTTCCTTTTCTTTTGTCGTAATGCGGGTGGCGGCAAGGGGGATGGGGAGAGGGAGAGGGATATGAGGAGGGGGATAAGGTGGCTGAAAGCCAGCTGGCGAGGCTGAGGTCGTGGGATGTTATTGGCACGGCGCTGGGCGAGGATGAAGATTGGGAGGATTGAATCCGGGTTGTAATTAATAGTGTATTTTTTTTTCCTGGGGTCTTTTTTTCTTGATGTGTGTGAGGTTCGAATTAAGGGTGCATCATGTTGCAATGAACAAAGTTGTGAAAGAATGATATTCTCCGCGGAAAACTATGTTTTACGAGAGATGCTAAGACCCTTCGGTTTCGTGATTGGTGCCCGGGTATAAAGCCTTACTACTATGGCATATATATATATATAAAGTGTTGCTCTCTTCATATGACACCCACCACACCCCTGGCACGTAGAGAAAACAAACACACATACCCTAGACACACACTATCACTCGCCCCCCGCAACTAACCGACCAAAACCACCCACTCATCCATAATCCACAATCCATCTCAGGATGCCCCCCCCAATTAATGCATAAAAAACAAAAACAAAACACTCATCCCCCTCCCCTATTATACAAAAGTGATTGCCGCCCTCAACTAACTGCACCCCGAAAGTTTTTACCAAAAATATAATTTTTTCGAAAAAATACCTCCGAGTGATAAACCATGACCAAGATTCTCGTTTATGGTATGCAACCGAAGAACAGACCTGACCTTATTATAATTATAATTATAACTACATGTATAAAGCATATAAGTGCTCTCGGAATCAAACATCTGATACCAGCCAGATCAATCTCAGCCACCTTTCTTGATCGCACGGGATGTTACTCTACTTTTGAACTATTGTATTAGCCTTCAACCATCGCTGCCAATATCGCTCTCCCGGAGGATCAACTTATTGGCCCCAATCAATCAACCAATCAACCAGCCCCGGAAGGCCAATCTGACCAGAGGCGGGCTTTCATTTAGAACCTCTCTTGAATTCATATATTTCCGATGGTATTCCTTGCTCCCATGGGCCATGGCCAGTACCGAGCTCCGCAAAATTATAAGCCTTGCATGAGGGCCGTCGCCGACCCCGGTTTTATAACCAATTCCTCTCCATATGCCTGCAAAAGTTCGCGGGGAAAGAAACTCCCCATATCCGCAGCGACTGTAGAAGAAAGAACTGTATTAATAATATTGGGGGGGGGGGGGGTGGTGGTCTGTCGATCATCAAGCGTCAAGCGTGGCTGCATAACTTAGACCTTATAGTAGTATCTACGTACTCTAGGGCTATTACTACGGCGATGGGAACGTTAAAGTCAAGTGGTCTATTAATCCAACATTTAGTATTATCGCTTGCCCCACGGTGGTTTTGACTATACAATGCGCGAGAGTATCCTCCGCCTTGTCCTTCTTGTAGTTGATAGGATCTCGATGGGATCGATTTCCATCATGCTTCGGATCACCTTCGAGTGTATTCACTGAAAATTGATCACCAAAAAATAAGCAATACGTAAAAAAAAATATCCAGCTGGGTATTATAGATATCAGGTTGCTGTCTTTACAGCAGAAATCAAGAGGGAAATCCATACGACTTGGAAAGAATAAGATTAAGAGGCATTTACATAGCGTGTGCGTAAGGAAATAGAAGGATATCTGATATTTGCAATGAGTTTAACTAAAGAACTTCTTGTAAGCCTGTTTCTCCTTCTCCTTCTTGGCATGGACCCTGTCCTTCGCAGCGTTGAGATCCTTCAAAATCGCCGCGTCGCCAGGAGCATGGGTGTTCGCCTCCTTGAGGTCCTCCAAAGCGCCATCATCATCCTTCAAGGCAGCCTTGGCCATGGCCCTTCGGAACAAAGCTTTGGCTTTGTCAGTGCCAGTGATGTCCGGGATGTCCAACGCCCTCGACGCAGATTCGTCGGCCTCGCGATAAAGCTTTTGCTTGTTTTGCAACAATGCACTGTTGGACAGTAGCACAAACTTGAGGGCCTGAATGTTCTTGAAGAGCTCTGGTGGGTCGTTATCAAGGGCGACTGGGTACTCGGCAAGGTAGCGGAGACCCTTTGTGTATTTCTCAAGGCCGAGCTCCAGGTCGCCGGCCTTGAACGCTTTGTTGCCAAACTCCTTGAGCTCGGTTCCGATTCGGAGAATGGTTGCACCGTCCATTTCTGGGTTCTCGTCATCGGGGAAGTCCTCATATCTGTCGCCGGTGCCGTCGTCGCCGCGGATCGCACCGACTTCTGCATCACGCCCTTTGAGTTCTCCACAGTCTACGCTCTAAGGTTAATACTGTTGATAGTACCGGAATGGTGAGTGGGGGGCAACCGACCTTCAATTACGACAGGTTTGCCGGGCTTGTCGGTGTTGTCGGTCTTCATTTCCTCGATTTTGCGGATTACGCTTTTCCCGGAGAGAACCTCGCCAAATACAACGTGCTTTTGATCCAGGTGAGGTGTCGGGACAGTTGTGATGAAGAACTGACTACCGTTGGTTCCTTTTTTCCACTATTAGCCATCTCCGCCAAAGAAACAAATCAAGTGAGTCGCATACCCGGACCGGCGTTAGCCATAGACAACAAGAAAGGCTTGTCGTGTCTCTTTATGAAATTTTCATCCTCAAATTTCGTGCCGTAGATTGACTCTCCACCCGAACTATAGATACTATGTCAGACTTGTCATGATCATTAAAATTAAGATACTACTAGCATACCCATTTCCAGCAGTAAAGTCACCACCCTGGATCATGAAGCGCTTGATAACACGGTGGAAAGTTGAGCCTGGCGAAGAAAATCTTGATCAATCACTAATAATTCCAGTTTAAGAGCACAAATCTAGGGTAAACAAACCTTTGTAGTGAAGTGGCTTCCCGGTCTTTCCAATGCCCTTCTCACCAGTACAGAGGGCACGGAAATTCTCTGCAGTCTTCGGGACAACTAGGTCAAGCTGTCAGCTTACTATAAAAACCCTGTTTACGAGCTCTGTTTTGGAGCTTACTATCATTGTACTATTTTCATTTCGTTAGATTACAGCACAGCAACAAGAGGATGACCGAGAGTGCATGTTCATTCATACCAACTCGAAAGCAACACGTTCAGGGCGTTTGCCACCAACTGAAATATCGAGAAAACAACGGACACGTTCTATGTATGCATCAAAGGGTCGTCAGCTGTCATGGCCCATTGTTTGTACCCCGCAAAAAAAATAACACCCCGCTATCACGGCAGTTTGAAACTTATTGGTAGCAAACAAAAAGAAAACTTACGGGTTGGGGGTGGGGCAGATTCTTCGGCCATAATGAACTTTGAGCTTCTTTCCTTTGCGGTTCTTGGATAAAGATTGTCGTATCTGTGAATGAAGGGTGGGGAGGGGATAGGAAGATGGGATGGGATCGAGGTTAAAGAATGCCTGTCAACCTTTTTGAGCACCTAGGGCGCGGAAGGTTCCAGAGCCTCTCTCGGCGATCTTGCGCAATGGCATCGCTTCTTTCCCCACCTTCTCCCACGCCCCCCACGTCTTCTAGCTTTACTTGGACTTGACAGGCACCAGTTCTGAGATTTCTTTTCATGCTCCTAGAAATAGAACTCCGCATTGGGCAGAGGGTAAACAAGGCGCCTAGGCATCCCACTTTTTTCAACGAGTTATATAAAATGAGGTTACAGCTACATGCATGAATGCGTCAGGCGTAACCGTTGCATGATTTCTTGGCCTGAAGGGTTCGAGTGACTGGGTATGAGCAGCGTCGCACGTCTCTCTCGTCGTCGCCGAAAGCGGAACAAACCCATCAATTCCTTCTCTACCAAAGATGCATGCTTAATGTCTACTCGTAGGTTCATGACGTTTCCGAACACGACTGCTATTGCATGCCATACAAAAAAGCGCCAAATCCACCTTTTTGTATGTCATGCAATATTGGTCGTGTTCGGAAACGTCATGAATCTACGAGTATTATGACTTTCCGGATTCTGCAAGAGTACCTGCACTGCATGCTTTAGTTACAACTACATGTTGTGTATCTACGAGGACCCCTACTCTACTTGATATATACATGTAGGTATACGTGGACTTGGTTTCTTCCCAAAGCCTGCACACACTCCTGCAACGCTTGATATACTGCGGGCAAGTGCTCTAGAGTACTCTACGATAAAGATGTACACATGTTGGTAGAAAGAGCGTTCCCCCAGAGCACAAACCGACATTTTTTTCGGATACGTGTACAAAAGGAACTATAACTAAGATATTAAGACTTGTGTGGTCTGCATTGAACCCCAAGGTTATGATGAGAAAAGTATGCTGTTGATTGGCTTTGAGAAATCCCTCTTACGGCTTTTTTTGTTTTCCAGTCTTTAATAATTCGGAGGATTCTAGTATCCGGGCTTCGCCATTATATTTTTTTGTCTATCACTAGGTATCTTGCACCAGGTGGGCAGCTTAGTCGCTATTTGAGATGACATTCCCGCCTGTATCCCCTTTCCCTTCCCCTTCACTCTTTTCTTTCTTTCCACCTTTATTACTCGTTACAGTCTCAGATTTTTCTGGTGTCGAGAGCTCGAAAGTGACTGGGCCGTCGTTCACCAATGCAACCTGCATCATGGCTCCAAAGACACCATCTTGGACTCTCGTCATTGCATCCTCCTGTGCTAATCCCTTCTCGCCAGCGTATAAAGCTCGTGTTTTGTCAAGCAGCGAGGTATAGATGTCTGCTGCTAGCGCAGGAGGACATGCTCCATGGAAATCAGGCTTGCTCCCCTTCTTGGTTTTGGCAAGAAGCGTGAACTGTGATACGAGAAGTACCTGGTAATCCATATCCATGGCAGACATCTTCCATCGCCCACCATCTGAAGGTGAATCCCACACTTTGAGTTTGAGTATTTTGTTGGCGAGTAATTCGACATCCTTCGGAGTATCGTCTGGGGCAACTAGATCGGGAAAAATAAAAAGGATATAATTTAGATTTGTATATTTCAAAAAAAGAAAAAAAGGTTTCCTACCAGCAGCGAATACGAGGATGCCTTTGCCGATTGAGGAGACAATTTGATTGTCGACTGTGACGGATGCTGAGAGAACGCGTTGTATTATAGCTAAAACACGAATGTTAACCCTTAACTGGTAGAGGTTGCCTACGATAATATAGGGTGAGACCTTTCATGGTGAGTGCAAAAAACGACTTCGATTATTTACTAAGTAGTGATAGTGATGATAATAATGTCTTTTGTTAGTATGGGTGGGGTGAAGCGGGGCTCTGCCTAATATCTGCGTCTCAATATGCGAGGGCCTTGAGGCTCTGTCTGCGAGTGTAGGTATGAGATGCCAGTTCTAGGCAATATCATCCGCTAAGACTGAGGCAAAGCATTGAGCAGGTGACATGCTCGCCAACTTGCAGGGAAGTTAGGGGGCGGTTGGGGAAGTCTCACTAAGGGTTGGGGGTAGCAATTGGAATGTCGATCTATTTGCATACCTGTATGTACTAGAAGTACATGTACCTCATAAGATGCGCCTGATGAATAAATGTAACTCCAGAATGCTTGAATGGTAAAAATTATAACGAAGTAAAGAATATCACCAGTATCTCATCGGCATAGACGGGAAATCTCACAGAATACAGGAAGGAAGCTGTCGAATCTTGCAGCCTCATTCAAAGAAGTTGCACCAAACAACAACCCTGTCACTGCCGAGAGAGATCAGCCCTCGCATTCATCCCTCCATTGCTACACTAAGAGGTATCGACACTTCACTCCATCCACGAGGACCCCCCAATCAAACCTACAAACTTCCCCTCCCAAAGTGCTTCCTTCTCCCAGAACGGTTATTCCAGAATCCTCTGACGACATCACTTATTCACTACATACTGCCCTCTTCCGGCGCAAACCACCATCACCAACCACATCATCCATCTCTCTGTATTGTCGACCCCTCCTCCAGTATGTCGGCCCGCAAACTCCAACAAGAGGTCGAGCGGACCTTCAAACGCGTAGCTGAGGGAATAACCCAATTCGAATCTATCTACGAAAAGCTTAACCAATGCACAAATGCCTCCCAGAAGGAGAAGCTGGAAGACTCGCTAAAACGCGAAATCAAGAAGCTGCAGAGGCAACGGGATCAGATCAAGACATGGGCGGCGAGCTCCGAAATAAAGGACAAGAAGCCGCTGATGGACGAGAGGAAAAAGATCGAGATGGTAAGGATAATCGAGCCCCCTATGTCCAGCCCCATATTATCGAGTTCTTTGGGCAGCGATGGAGACGAAGAAGCAAGTGGCGGAGAAGAGGGATTGAAAATGTGTCCTTTGTTCTCTCCATGTCAGTCTTCAGATTTTTCAGTTTGCTACTATTTCTTTACACTCCTGTTGCTTCTATCACAGGAAAGCACTTCATGGCTTGCTTCTTGGTTTCTATTTTACATCAGTCGGGACGACGTTGCTTCTCTTTTTCCTTTTCTCTCTTCAAGGATCCCATTCATATACCCCCTTTCGCTACTCTTTCTTGAATGTCATGTTGTTTGTTGGTTCCAGGCTGATGTCTTCTCCTCCCCCACCGGGGCCATGTGCATATACTGCAGCAAATGGAAAAGTTCAAAGCTGTCGAAAAAGAAATGAAGACAAAAGCCTACTCGAAAGAAGGCCTGATGGCATCTACTCGCTTAGACCCAATGGCCCAGAAAAAGGCCGATCTAGTAAACTTTCTGTCCGACTGCACCACCGAACTTGACCGTCAAATCGAGGCCTGCGAGGCAGAAGCCGAATCCCTTACCGTTACCTTGAAGAAAGGAAAGAAGTCTGATGCGTCAAAAGCGGACAGGGTAGCTGAAGTTGAAAAACAAGTGGAGCGCCATAAATGGCACCAAGGCAAATTAGAGCTGATCATGAGGCTACTTGAAAATGGACAATTAGATGCGGAACAGGTAGAGAGAGTGAAGGACGACATCAAATTTTACGTTGATTCAAATCAAGACGTTGATTTCGAGGAATATGAGAATGTCTACGACGAGCTGGACCTTGACGAGGAAAACGCAGAGGATCTCTTTGGAATTGGTGCGGATGTGGATAGGATGTCTAGCCAGGACACACAAAGCATACAAGACGATTTATCTGAAAAGCCAGGTTCGACGAAAGATTCTGTAGTTGGAGGTCGCAGACCAAGTACTCAACTAAAATCTCCTATGCCCGCTCTAGCAACATTACATCAAGTCCCTATTACTACAAATACAATTATCAGTAATAACGGGTTCCCCCCTTCGAATGGTTCCTCTATGAAGCCTGCTCCTTTACCGGCCAGACCAGCGGGCGAAGTACTGAAATATGCATCCGTGGCAACCGCGGCGGCGGCAGCAGATAGAAATGTCGGGATCGCGCCACTTCCGCCCCCACCCGGAATGGCTCCCCTACCAAGTCCTCTTAACGCACCTACAGGTCCAAGTGGAATGGCTCCTTTACCACCGCCAACCGCTTCCAAACAATCCTCACATCGGTCTGGACCAGCCTCCACGCCATCGGCAACGAGCCCTGCACCTCCTATATCTATTCCTCATACGCCATCACTGGACAGCTCTGCCATTGTTTCGCCTTCTCCAAAACCCGCAAGTGCAATCTCCGTTTCTCGAGAACCCTCAAACCAACCGCCAGAACCATCACCTGAAGAGGCAGCGCCTAGTAGTATTGCTACAAGCGACCATAGCGACGCTGGCAGCGAGGCAGACTTAAATAGCGAAGACCCATCTTCCGAGCCCCCTATAGAACCACATACCAACGGTGCTTCATCGTCAAGCTCGGCCGCGCAAGTTGACTTTACATCACCACCAGTAGAAGAATCAATTTATCACTTACCACCCGGTTTACAAGACCTCATGTCCTCGTTCGAGAATACAAAGAAAAGGCTTGTTCCTCAGCCGGGGCAGGTCCACCGTTACCTTGAGTACTCTCTTCTTAACGCACCAGACACTATCGACGCAGAGAAACCCCGTCATTACAAGCCTACAACCAAGTATGATACAGCACGTCACTACCCACAAGAACCCTTACCGATATTTGACGACCCGTTGCTATACAAGCGTGTAGATGTAGATACACTTTTTTACGTATTTTACTACAAGCAAGGGACATATCAACAGTATTTGGCAGCCAAGGAGCTCAAGAAACAGAGCTGGAGATTCCACAAACAATACCAGACATGGTTCCAGCGGCATGAAGAGCCAAAGACCATCACGGAGGAGTATGAGCAGGGAACATATAGATTCTTTGATTACGAGAGTACATGGTGGGTTCTTTTTCTTCTTTCTATGTCATTGTTATTACTGCTTTCACTGCGTAGTTGCTTTGCTACTGCTGCGTTCCCTCCAGACGGTTGGCTGATTTTACGTTTTGGTGCATTGAAGGATGAACCGTCGCAAGACGGACTTCAAGTTCGCGTACAAATACCTCGAGGACGACGTCCTATAATCTCGCCCTGCTCGTTTTCCGGTTGCATGGTATGGTATATTGCTGTTTGGTTTTGTTCAAATGCAAGTGGAAATAAAGAATTTTCAACAAATTATAGGTCATCCTACTTGCTGGTCTGTTTACGTTTTTTTTTTTGTGGATTAGGGCGGGCAAAAATACAAGGCCCGCCAGCACTGGGTAAATCTAGCCAAGTAAAAAAGAAAAAAACCGGAATGGAAAAAAAGACGGGGGGGGAGCCGTGGGGTTTTCATTATCTATCTTTAGTTTGTGTGAAGTACGGTGTTTTAGTCATTTCTTTTCTCGTTATCTTTTTTTTGTTTGGGCGGCTACATCCCTGCGATCTTTTCTTCTTGTTCGGGGGTGTTGAATATTGCAATGGTTACATACTTTAACTACCAAAGCGCATACGGGTCTAACATTCAGTTGATCAGGCGAACCAGTCAACTCACCCTCCTCGATATGGATCGTGAGCGTCGGTATTGGGAGATAATGTTTGAAAATCTTACTCAACCTATTACATGGCGACTGAAAGCTGTTGGCTAGCAGTTTTACGATATTCAGCGTCCTCGTTGAATAATTCTACTGATCTCTGCAACATACTAGGTACATAATGAGTGTCTAGTTCTCTAATGCACAGAATCAATCTCGGCCGTGAATGCCTTTCACTAGTTGTCGATTTGCACATGTGTTCGATCTCGTGTGAATATCGAGTTCCTGCCCGGTAACAGCCGCGTGCACTTACTACATGCATCGTGATTCCAAAAACCTGTTTTTATCTCGAGAATCCGAGCTTTGGTGCCTTGAGGACCTTGCTTCGTAAGCTGTCGAGTGATACTCAGTGACGAGCCCACTGTGTAGAGATCGGCATGTGTCAAACTTTTGATTCCGTAATCAATTCGTACGCCCGAGGTGTTTGGGTGCCCCCACCATGTTTTGTAAACCCCATTCAATGGACATGACAACTAATATTTTCTGATATATTGTACAAATCTGTGAAATAGGCTAGCGTGCACTCTTGGCACATGCAGAGCCCCATCTATTAATTAGCCGTAGATGCCGTTCCCGAGTAAGAACGAATTGTTACCGCTTCAGTAATCTGCGGTACACAGGATATCACTCGGGATATTTCCACGAGGAAAATCGAGCCTTCCAAAACCAACATTTTCCACCAATAGATTAGGGAGAAGGAAAACTCGTAGAAAGATCTTTTCTGTCGCCGCGATGTACTATCGAGCTAGTCTTAATCTAGAAGAGCCGTGCAATACGATGTATGGGGGGTGAGGTACGGGGGTGAGGGCACACTGAACTTCAGAGCCGGACCTGTCAACCAACCAGGAACGCACATACAGGAGCAAAGATTTTTTTTCTCTCCCCTCTCCCTTGGTTCTCTTCTCCTTCTTGGTGCCCTTCTTCCTCTTGGTGCCCTTCTCTTTCTTTTTCATATCCTTTTACGCCGTACTCTCAACTCAACCTCACCACAACATCTTTCCCACAATGTCTAATTCTCTCTCCTTATCTAGCACATTAATTTCTGACCTCGACACGAACTCGTTATCAACTGGGCCGTGCAGGGTGAATCATGGAAGAGTAATTCACCCCCTAAACTGGAACACCCGTCAAATCCAAGGGTACCGGGCAGAGGTGGTAGATTACTCCAACTATGTTAGCTCAGTACGTGGTGAACCTATGGCGGATACATCGGAGTCTCTGCTTGATGATCTGGTACTTCAGAAGGATATCGATTCTCTATGGTATTGGGCCAAGGAAAATAATAGGGATGAAATGGAGAATCATCTGGATAAAGCCTTCAAGAACCTCATCAAGACCATTGAGTTCCAATTGAAACAGAAAATCTTCATTTGGTACACCAAGTAAGTCAACGTATCCTACCTACCTCTGATAATACCAGCATACTTAAACAGTTGAATCCTATAGGAGAAGCACCCGTGAAGGAAATGTCACTTTTATCAACCTCCTCATTGGAGGGAAATCACTAGCCCTAAACCCGCAAATCTTAATTTCCACCGAGAGAATGCCTTTCCTTATTTACAACAGTTTGCTTTACAACACAGAACTGCGTGGAATGTTTAGGGATATTTCCTGGAATATCAAAGAAATAAATGATCGGAAGGATCCAAGGAAGTGGGGGGCCATCGATGGTTATAATCTCGCCTGTCTCATCGCTCTAGCCCAAGTACAAGAGGGTCAGGTGATTAAGGCTGCGCGTGCACATGGTCTTTCTTTGGACACCCACCAAGAGTATAAAGTATGCTACACTCGTTTTGGATCAGTGTTATGAAAATTAGCCAATATTTCCGATAGAATACTAACGGGGATATTGCAGGTTCACTTAGTCACCCCTGCCACACCACAAATCGGCCTTCTCCTATTCAGTGCCACCATCAGCTCAAGGTACCTGGCTGCTTTTTTGTCCTCTTCCTTGGATAGATTTGATAAAGATCTTGTCATCAGAAAAGAATTTTTTGATCTTTCCCCTACAAGAATTCAAGAGAAGCGGCGGAATCTGATCTCCAGATTTGCGGGTATTATGGAAGCCGCGTATATGAACCATAAAATCCTTGGCCTCTTGAATAATTCAAGAAACACCGTCGCCCAAGGAACGCCTGTCCCGACAGCTCAGCGACGCCCCGACGGAATTCTCAAATACAATCATGCGGGAGGGGCTGAATCTGCCAATCAGGTACGGAAGAAGAACAGGGTTGCGTTTCCTCCTGGAGTGAAGTTGGGATAAAATTTCTCCCATTTAATCTATCGAATGGCTACTGGTGACGGATGGGCTGGGTACGTGTGGATGTGGGGCATTGCACAGACAACGGTCGACAGGGTCGGTATATAAACTCTGAGGGATGATTGGTGTGGGTGTGTGCTGTATATTTGTGTTGTACGTTGCTCATAGTAAGGCCAGAGTTGACGCTGGAATTTTATATACCTACATATACATGTATGTATGTATAGACCAGCTAACCGACAATTAGCATGGATACTTGCCTTACTTTCGTCATTCCTATTTCTATAAAAGTACAAATTCGCTGAGCGATTTCTAGTGGATGGAAAGGAACAAGTCCCTCAAACACTTAAACAATCTTTCCCAAATAAATCATGGGTACAATATATTTACATGGATTGCTTACATAGGAAGCACTAACTCTCGGGTTTTAACTATACATATACTACATGAAGTCTCGGCCGATTGATTTTTTTGCAGAAAACAAACATTCTCGGATGAAGTGTTTAGAAAACTTCAGAATTTTCAATTTTATAAGTTCAGTGCAACTTTTTTTTTTTTTTTTGTTTAATTCATACACGCATGCAACCTGTTCAGTGCAACTCAGAGCTAGTATCTTGGACGTACCCAGCTCAGAGCCGGCTCCACTCGCGCAGGTATAATGGAACAAACAAAAATAATCCAACATTTTTATGAGTTGTACGAGTGTGATAAACCTCCGGCATAAGTGTTCATAATCAACCAGAGAAAAAGAAATTGTTAATCATAACGTATCACTCGTATGGAACCAAGAAAAGCTTATATCCCTGCTTTATTTCTTACAGCACAACGATCTTTCACCAGTGATTAGAACTCTTTGTTACATGGATTTTGACTTTAATTACTCCACAAGTCGGTAAGAATCAGTCAATCATTCGATTAATCACGGGCGGTAACTCCGAAAAGTTTGTCGAGTGATGACTCATGATTGAAATCCTTGCATACATTATTTCAACGATCTCAACAGCCCCTGTCTACGCAGTAGCACATGAAAAATCTTGTCAGCCAGGTATAATATACAAAGACTGAGAAGGTTACTATTTCTCTTAGATCTTCAAATAGAGCCGAAGGGTTTATAGACAAGGACGTGGAAATATAGGGTTTTAATTACGCAACCCAGGTCCCTCCTAGTCCATAAGACAGAGCCCAAGGGTCGAAAGAGCCCAAAGTAATTTGAACCGTTCCTAGCCCTTATGTTCTGTAAAGTGTTGATTGATTGAGATTTGGTGTAAAAAGTGGTTCAAGGGTGCAGAGACCAGTTACAACAACTCCCTTCTTAGGTGTTGTCCCACTAAGGGGGAATATACAACTTATTTTTAAATCCATTCAAGCCCAGGGTAGAAACACACAATAAAACTTCCAGTAGAGTATAACGACGAAAAGAACTTTTGTTTAAATCATAAATCCAGACCCAATTCATACCCAGCCCAACCTAAAAATAATTTACAAAAAAGGAAAATTTAGCTTATTCCTTCCCTGGGATAAGCGCGTACTCAAACCCTCCACTCTTCTCAAACTCGGCCATATCCAACGCAACCAACGCGGACTCTCTCACGACCTGTTCTGCATCCTTTGCATACTCGTTTAAGAAAGTCTCAACATCGTCGCTTGCGATGCTCCCGAGAGCCTCCACGGCCTCGTGTCGTACCATCGGGGCCTCGTTCTTGTCGCCGGCCACTCTAACCAGCGCCGGAACACTATGAGGGTCTGACAATTGACCAAAAACAAATGCAATCTATGACCCACTTCTTATTAGAAAAAAAAAAGTTCTGGATGGTAAAAGAAAAAAGAAAAAAAATTCTCGGTGGTAAAACAAGAATTATATAAACAAAATAAAACAAACCTCATGTCTGAAAAGTGCACTAGGATCAGCAAATCCACTCGCCAGCGCATCAATCGCCTCATTCGTTGCAATATCCCTCAACCGAAACATCGCCCTATATCTCTCAAATAGGGTCTTTTCCCTGTCCATCAGCTGTCCCTTCAGCTTCTCAACGTTCGCCTCTTTGCCAGCGGACGGTGGCGCCGGGTCCACACTAGCAAATGCGCTTTTCTGCAGCTCCTCTGCTTTAGCGGCTTCGCTGTCTTCCCATTCAATTCTTGCGATGGCGATCTCACAAGTTTCGCGTACAACCTCTTCGGCGTCTGTGAGGTGTTTACGAAGAAGATCAAGTGAGGCCGTATGTCCGAGGGCGCCAAGGGCTTCACCGGCTTCGTGGCGCACCATAGGATCTTCGGTTAAGTTGGAAAGAACAGATTGGAGTGCAGGGGCGGCATAATGATTTTTAGACTGGCCAAGGCAGTAGGCAAGTTCGTGTTTAAGTAGGGCTGTAGAGTCGTCGGAGATTAGTTAGGGGTGTACCAAGGTGGTGAGGTTGTGTATTTATCCATACCTGAATTGCTGGAGAATGCAGCAGCAATGGCGTCAATTGCAGGGAGGTCTCCTTGGGTAGCCAAGTGCTTGAGTGAGAAAAGAGCACGGAAACGGAGGGCGAGATTGTCGCTGGAATCATCGCAAAGGACCCTACGAAGCTCGGGGATGGGATCAGGTTTGGCCTCGGTGACTGTCATCGTGGGTATTGTTCCGTATTTGTGGTGATCCTAGTGATGTTGGGCTTGTGGGTGGTAAATAAGAGATCGAGAGAGGGAGAAACAGCTTTGTGGTAAAGCTTCGAAATAATTTTGGTTTGGTGGGGTCGAGACTCAAACCCCACCATCTGATTATGCTAGTGGATCGGATTATGTGCGCTTATGTAATGGCATTACCAAAACTGTGACACGCTATTCCCAATCCGACCTTCACAATTCTCTGCAGAAACAGTTCTTCCCCCAGCAGAACAAAATTCAGGTATTAACAGATCATTTGATCAACGCCAAAGTACAATTTTTCATAATGATAAGATAAGACACTACAAAAAGAGAAAAACACCGCGCTCATATTTTATTTCTCTGGAGTCATCAAACCCAAAGAAAACCATTATTCATTTGCGTACGCAGCCTCATAGATATACACGCTTAAACCACTCTCTTGACCTGTGTTCGCAATCAATATCATAACCTCTGATAATTTCGAATCGCAATCACAAATACACTAGGAAATAGCTTACCTCGAAGAACCTCTTCAAATACCATACTTGGAACACCCCATTGCCTCCCACAACGCCCAACTGGAAAATGCTCCACCACTTAACCCTACTGTTCGTGCTTTCGGCAGTATTCCTGTGTACCCTTTCCCTGACCACAATATATTCCTGCTCATCTTTGACCTGGTTCAGCATCTCACCGAGGCTCCTCACCTCACGTTCGAGCGGGTCTGCGCTTTCCGGTTCCTCTGGAACATACACAATGCCGTGGACGTTAAAGGATACCTCCTTGGTGTTGACGTTAGAGTTTTCGTTCGAGAAACAGTAGGTGTAACGTCCGTCGAGGTGCGCATCGAATGAGTGATCGCCGGAGGATACGGCGTGTTCGGAAACCTTCAATACGCCGGCCGGATCTTGAATCTATAGCCACACGATCACCGATTAGAACCTTCTTCTACTCCCCCAGGAAGAATATCCGACTAACCCAAAAGTCGACGTCCAGATTTCCAGCCCCGCCGAACTCGCGGTCTCCAATCTGGAAAGTGACAGTCATTCGGTCATCCTTGTGTAGTGTCTCATGGAAGCATTCACGGCCGTGGGCATTCAGTTGGATGTTGTGCGCTGACACCAGGGACGATGTCAGGAGAGCTGCTGCCGAGAATAAGGTTGCGAATGAGCGCATTTTCATACGATAATTGTGGATTTGTTTCTGCGGAGGTTTTGATTCAGGCTGTGAATTCAAGATGACAGCTTGTCAGGTTGAAGGTTTCGCTATGAAAGGGGTCTTGGCGAGTTGTTAAGGGGTGGTGATGTGGTCTTTTGGGTTAGGGTTCGCCTGCCAAGACAACCAGCTCTCGAATTCATTATAACTACAAATCAAACTGTGGGAGTACCTGCTGCGATCACTGTTTTTCTTTCTGAAATTACATGCACTTAGGAATAGTTCTTTCGAAGATTTCAGCTCGCGGCTAGAGCTATGCAGTGGTGCTGCGAGTGATAGTTCATGACCCAACGAGCGACGGCAACCGCGTGGTCTGCAAGCCGACCGACAAGCCCGAAACCCAACACTGCGACTCTTTGGAACTTCTATTTACTAACTACATATTCAAGCAAGAAATGCGCAAAGGTTGTCCAGTGATGGACGGGATTTTCTCGGTCTCTTGGCATCAACTTACATACAGCCACCCATATAAGTGTTGATTCGTGATTCGCCTAAATTCGCCGGTGGGATCGTAACAAATTGGATTGGGCCACGATAACTGATAGCCACAACAAACCTCATGGGTGTATATATGGGGGTCAATAGGTAGTTGATGTCAGGCTGTGAACGAGGTACATATGTGCTTTGCAGATCATAGATTGAGCGCACCTAAAACCACAATTTTTACTCCGTATGTACGCCGATATATATCATGGTATCACAAATCTTATACGGTGATTGTACTTGCTATCTAAACTATGTTGTGTTTGTTTTGTATTTGGAGGGATTTTTATAAACCTGATAGGTATGGCTGTTGGGTTAGGCTCATAGGGGGTGTTTCAAAATAGCCGTTGGCGCTGAGTGTGATGCACAGGGCTAAACAAGGTCAATGTTCAAATAGGAATAAAGGGATATACGATGAATAGACAATCGAGCAAAGACATACCAAACGAAGTAGTTTAATTGTCATCTCATCTCACACGATCTTGATTAATTAAATCTTTTACCACAGAAGCGACGCACCACAACCCATATTAATTTGAGACTCTCATTCTCGATCAAATACAATGGATTTCTACTACTACATGTATCTACCTTACTACAACTTTGCAGGATACATTCATGACGTCTGAGTCATATGAATTAAACAAAACAAAAAAAGACGTCCGAGTCATGTAATATCACTCGGTAACCACGTCAGGCCAGGATTATGCCTTGCATCAACAATCGTGCCTATCAATAATCAACAAACTTCCGTCAAGTACAACAAAACAGAAACTTCATTTTCGTATTTTTCATCAATGTATACTAAGTACAAGAATCCCATACTGTACACTAACAGAAAACAGCCGATAAGCCGTAGTACACATGTATGTGCACGGGAATAAGACTCTCCACCAATTCCAACGCCCCATAACAGAAACCACAAGTAATCAAAGCAGGGTAAAAAATTACAAGCCCTAAAGATGGCCAACGAAAAATTATCAACCACCACCATCTTAATATTTTAAATCAATCAGCCAGCCCATTAAAATCTTTTAAGGCCAACCTTTTTTGCTACAGGCTTCACCACTTTCTTCGTTGATTTGGTAACCTTTGAAGACGTGGTAACAATAGGTTTTGGTTGTGAAGTACTTGGTGTCTGCCCGTCTTTGATTTTTGGTGACTTTCTACCACTTGCTTCTTGCTGCTCCTCTACCACAGTTTGCTGGATAGATAGCACAGAATCTGGCATTGGGCTAGGACGTTTGCCAAGCGGAGACCTAGGACGTGTAATTTGTGGGACTCCAGTCTCTTCGTTCTCCTTCCCTGAATCTCCATCAGAATCGGAGTCGTCTTTTACGGTAGAAACTTTGACATCCTCGTGGCGCTTTGTGGATGATGGTTTAACTGTTTGCTTCACCCTCCGCTTCTCAGTAGGCGCTTTTGGATCCGCATCTTTGGCCTTCATGACTGCCGCCTTTGTGGAAACGCTCTCTTCATCCTCGCCTCTCATTTTAGCCTCGTTGGCAAGCGCTTCCAACTCTTCCGGCACCACCGCATGAACACCTGTCATGACTTTTGCATGCCTTGTGTACCCCTCATAGTCCTCTTGCAATAGCTGCCCCGCTTCTGCGTTTAGAGAGCTCGTAGGATTGGGGTAGATGAGCAGGCACCGGATCGTGATAAGAACATCGGTTAATGTCGTGGAGGGCTTCCAGTCCCGCTTCAGGGTGCCGACACAGACATCACCAGATCGGTCATCGATATTGGGGTGAAAAATCTTTGTCTTAAAGGTAGCCTTGGGGGGTTCTTGTGGGTAGTTACTTGGCATGCGAAGTTGAATTAGGAAGAGACCATCCTCAAATGGTGTGGATGTAGGCCCATTAAGGTAGATCTCTAGCGAGGAAAGATCGTCGAGCTCTGAGTTTGGTGGGAAGAAGAAATCTGGGGGAGGGTCAGATCGTAGGCTAGCTTGGTCTTGCACGAGGCGACGACGCTGAGCAGAAGACTAGAAATGGAATAAATCAGTGAACGAACGAAGATAGTGTGGCGGACGAGTGGCGAGTGTAAATGATTACCATATGGGATATTTTAAGATGTTTATGGATGAGGTCACAGAAAATATGATAAGGAAACACAGAAGTGAATCGTTGTTGCGGTGATGAAGAGCAGTTGGCGCAGAAATTGGAACTAAGTGAATTCTATCTAGAGGGATAACGCGTAAATGTTTGTTTATGCCAAGACATTAAAGATTCCAAATGCAGAAATTCTTGAAACGCGCCGGGGGGCAACGGGAAAGTTGCGCGTTGCCATGTGCTGCTTGGAGCAGCAATGGAGCTGCTGGAACGCGAACTTTTGAGAACCCAGTCGCGTGCTCACTTTGCGTGTATTTCTCAGGGTCCAACTCTGCATGGTGACGTTGTAAATTATCTTTATCCTTCCCCATGCTTATCGAAATCGACGACAGCTAAAGCTTCAGGCCCTTGAGTATTCAAGTTGAGTTTAATATTAGAATGCTGTTTCTCAGCTCGTTGCTAACTTCATTCTTTGTTTACATATTACCCTTTCAAGTCAGCCATTGGTAGTTTTCAATGCCCCTTCCCCCAATAGTAGGTGGGAGCCAAAGGGATTCTTAGAATCCCATACCCACCGATCACGCTCCCGCGGAAAAACCATAGGGTCACGAGGCCTTTCCCTAAAAGTAGACCTACGAATAAGCCAAAGCTCTCTCCTGAACAGTACCAGAAGAGCAATTTGAGATAATTCTGTTCTTCGGCTCAGATGCACGAAAGCTCATCTCCGAATAGACACTTTGACACAGTCAACCATCTCGAACACCTGAGGCCAGCAAGAAGTAACCTGATCGGGTGATGCAACCCTAACCCATGTTATTATTGGGACTGGATCCGGACTATGCACAGACAACTGCAGGAGCCCGAGGATCGAGAGTAGAACTTCTGCGGGCAAGGAATAGATGTCACAGGCGGCCATGGCCCTGGTTCAGAGAATCGATCTAACTTACAACGGTGGTGAAGTACGGGAAGCACTTTCACACTACGCCATAACTCGAAAAATTGGCTAGCTTCCAGAGATCAAAATTACTTGTATGGGAAACTTCTGATGCAGATCGATGCCATTCAACCAATCACTCGAGTGATAATCCCTGGCCGGAGATAGCCAATTTTTCGAGTTTTGGCGGTATGCAAATCTCGAGGAGAAGCGATCGTTAGGAATTGAAGATTCGACGGGAGGAGCTGGTTAAGCTTCTGAGATAATGTGGGGAATCACGTCAACTACAAAAATATCTTCTTGCAGTTCCATTCTAAGGTGGAGGTACAGCTTACCAGAAATGCACTTCTCGATTAGACACATTACTTTGACCATCTATTCTGGGTTATGTGCCCTTTTCACTTCGGCGGTTAATACGAGCCTCCAGAATCAATTTTCTCTCACATACCGATTGATAATTGGTAGTAATAAAAGAAATAATTCTTTGCGTTTTTAGTTTTTTTATTCCCCAGAAACGCGCGGTAAGTCCGGACATCCGAGAGGTGAACAGCTCATAAGTGTGAAAATATTCAAGAGGCAGCTGCCCACAAGCTAATGCAGGTACGCCACCTCTCGATGCTTTATTGACAACCAAGCAATTAATTCCTGCCTAGAGCTCGGAAAGTCTTCAGCGACACACATCTTGGTATGGTTGTGGGTATCGGCGTTAAACGCAACGTTTCGGTGGCAGTTTTAAAACGTGTACAAGAGGAGGAGCATGAAAAAAAAGGCTCTCAAAACTTTCTGAAACAAAGGATTGCTGTTACTTTTGCCAAGAATTCTGGTAACTGGTCAGATCGAAAAGGTTTGCAGGACGATGTTCGGTAGATTCGATGTCCGTCGATGAATCCATATGTGGCAGTGCGCTGTTCAGTGTTTCTGCCGCCGACGACGTCGATGTCCCAATCGAGATCCTGGTGTTTACGAGTCAGCAGTTATGATTCGAGGGCATCGAGCTAGTAGTAGACGCGGGTACAATAGCCCGGTTCTTGATGCGAGCAAAGTCAAAGCCCATCTGTTCTACCTTCAAGAGTATTAGGTAGAGTACCTATTTCAAGTCGTACCAATTTCGGATTTACAGGTAGGTACTTTCCGGTAGCAGGTACAAGTATTAAAGAATTCTACTGACAATATGGACGATATCAAAGTTTTTCCCTCTCTCTTTCCTCTTGCAGCACATTGCAGGAATGAAGGGACCAAGAGAAAGGAAGAAAGAAAAAAAAAACTCATTCATCATGACCGTAAGTTTCGGGTACATATGTAGAAAATCGGCATGTCGAAGAAGAAAGCAAAACGCAAGACTACTGGTAGCGTACGCAGGATGTAGCTACAACAGCGTTAATAGGACAACGGATGCGGGCAATGATTCAGTGAACAACAAGTATTAAACAACACTTCGGCTGACATAACTGTGGTTGGTGGGCACGGGGGCCGTTCGTCCAGTAAACAGTAAAAACAGAAGAAAAAAGAAAGTGGCATGGTCAACCATTCGGGTAGGCTTGCAGCGGTTCCCACGCCCATCATAGGTAGGCACAGAGTGTATCGCTGCTTCGCATCCGATGTAGAGTGTGCTCGGGAGGGACACGCCAACCGTTCTCTATGCATAAACACGTGTTCTCCTCCAAGTGTGTTATGGAGTGTGCGTTTTCCCTGCGCCGCTGCACGAATCAAACAAGGCCTGGTGCAAAAGAGACTGCCCTGTACCTTCTTGAAGACAGAAGGGAAAAAGAAGTGCGACTATGCACATATAGTATTGAAGGGGGAAAAACAATCCTTTGAGGTTAGTGTTCTAGTGAAATAGGTAACGTTCAACGCACAGAAGAAACCCAGGTCTAACCTACGCTGGATGGTTGTAGACGGAAAACGGTTAGAAGGAAGGCCGCAGGGGGATTGACGTAAGGGCACGATAGCTGTATCAGGAAGAGCTTGGGGCAGGCTGGGGTGACTAAACCGGGGAGGTCGAGTATTGAGGGGGGTTGAGTGGTGCAATTGGGATAGCCAGTGAACAGGTACATCCTCTCTACACGAAGAGGAATGGAGGAAAAAAAAAGTCAAACCTTTCTCAAGGCCGACCAACCGACTGACCAGGCTCAATTCAATCAACGATTTCAACAAAATACTACAGTTGGACGGACCGAGGAATAAACCGAGAAAGGTCCAGTAAGAAAAAAGAAAGGAAGGTACACAAAGGTAAGAAGGAAAAGCAAAAAAAGAAAAAAGAATACCAAGGGGAAAAAAGAAAAGAGAGAAAAGCTGGGGATACTTGACCCGTAAATCCAATCCACCCATCGACATCTATGAACTGATTGACGGACTCGATTCCACTCTAGAGGAAGTATGCCTGTCTGACCTTGAACTGCGCATCACACACACACTTCCCACCATCCTCTTTTTTTCTCTGCTCCGCTGGTCATCGAATAATTCGACCTACCCCTACAACTCTAGAGACTGGAGTATCTAACTCTTCTCAATTCTACTATTCTACCTACTCCCTCTTCTAACTCCTTACCTACCTCCCCCCGTTTCATTTCCTCCCCCATCTCTCTCCATTCATATTACATATATTTTCTTTCTTTCTGGGTTCTTTATACCTTCTTCTACGGGACGCCTTACAGCTCTTCTTCATACACTAGTGTTAATCGTACATCCTCCACCCCACACACCCCAAGAAAAAAAAGGCATACTCTAGTCCATTGGAAAAGAAGTACCTACCTCTAGCTTTATTTCCATATCCCATGTTCACCGGCCATCTGCCGAACCAGGTGAGTCCCAACCAATCTCGACTTGCCTCATACATGGCAATGCTTTTTTCGTACACATCTACCCCCGGAGTCTTAATTTAGCTGACAGCTGGCCCCGTTGTCCATACAGTCATTCGGTTCGTTGTAAATTCGAATCAGTAGTAAGAAGAGGCAGGAATTGAGTTAGACGCGGGTAGGTAATTGGCTCCGGCACTCACCCACCCCATCGTCCCAGTGTGTGTGCCCTGTAAGGTTGCTGAGCTCCAGAAGAATATAGGTAAAACGCGAGTCCTCGCATTTCCACCACCAAGCAACTTCAAGTTGTCTCCCTCACCAGCAACAGATACCTTCGAATATTTTTTTAAGGGTCAACCACCGTCCTCACCTCCAGTGGTCCCTTCAGAGTACCAGGACTCTTTCTCCCCACGCATACCATCACCTCATCCGGAGCTCTCACCACCCCGGGACGCGCACCTACGATCCTGCTCAAACTCATCTTCTTCCAACCTTACAACAAAATCGTTCATTGTTCCTTCTATAGATCTAGGTTTAGAGTCACAAGGAGGCTCTCAGTATTTTACTCCCGCGGGGAGCATCAGGAGCAGGAGTAGCCTGCAGCCCCCGCTTCCGCAGAGCAATAGCAGTCAGATCTCCGGTGGTGGTTTAAAAAAGCCACAGGGTTCTCCTGCTGGGAGAGGTACAGAGAAAAGTTGTTTAGGGACTTCAGCTAGCGGTTTATCTAATATTTTCACACCTATAAGGAAAGCGCAGGCTCCAAATTATTCAATTCAGAAACGTTATACCGAGGACTGGGTCCTTCAGCGTGGATTTCAAACACACCGGCGTAGCGATAGTAGCTGGTACTCAGAAAGCTCGGACAGTTCAAGTTCCGAGGGAAACGCAAAATTAGGGACGCATCGACGTTACCCTTCAGACGCAAAGACTATCACTCCAGCTGATTTCCAGTCTGGAAGATTCTTGTTAGCACCGAAAGCAGAGCTTTCTTCGGACGCAGATACAGGAACCAGTGAAGGAGCTTGGAAAACAGCCCCACAGTCTTTTACCGAGAATAAAACAGGCACATCATCACCAATGCCTATGTTAGCAAGCATATGGGCGAGCACGCCTGCCCCGATCATGGAGAATAGATTTCCTATAAGTAATGGGGTATCGGATATCCGATTAGAACCGGAGCATCCGAATTCAGATTTATCGGTGTTTGGCGTGGTAGAAAACGGACCAAGCACCAACATGATCCGAACACCCTCACCTCCATCATCGACTGAGGCAACGGCGACACGCACTCCCGTACCGAATGGTATCTCGGCAAGCTTATTATCACACACACCCCATCAGTTGAGCCGATCGGGCACACCAAATATCAAGTCGAGGAAACGGAAGTCGAAGACCGTTGTCAAGGTCCCTTCATATTCACCATGGGGACTACCATTAGAAGCAGGGGGCAGGCCAATGCCATTGACTAACCTCGAGATGGAAGAGCGATCACGGAAATGGGAGGCTCTAGGTTACACACCTGAATTTCTCAGTGGTCCGGGGGTACAGAGCAGAGACATCTTCCTAGAAGACACGAAAGAAAAGGTTAAGGATGTGGTGGTTAATATTCGTGATCCAAGTGGTATGTTAAATTTTTGTTGTTCTGTCATTTGCGCTTTCAAATACCAGGATGTTATACCATTGAGGGTATTTTGAAAAACATCCAAGATTCAAGATCGATGGTTTTATACATATTCGCACTCAGAGAATTAGAACCACATTTCCCCGCTTTCACCTTTCTTTTTCCTATTCTTATTGGGGTGAGGTTTCTTCTTGCTAACCTTAATCAACATCTAGAGTGGCAGGAATATTGTAACCAACTTCGAGAAGAGAAGCTCCGGGCTTTAGGTGTTATATTGGCCGACGAAACACCAACCGTCATGCCAGCTAGTACTACTACTGCAAGGGGCCAAACTCCACTGGTAAGCCTTTATAGACGCAGCGAGGGTTTAGTTACTGACATCTATGAATAGTCACACCAAAGCCCTGCTCCATTCCAAGCTAATACTTACTCACCACCTCATCCTACACAATCCGCAATGTCCAACGGAATGGTTCATAATGGCAGCCAGAACGTAACTTATCACGGACACCACTACTCACCCTCAATGGCCCAGGCCCCTGTGCATATGTCGCCGATTCCAGCGCAAGCAAACCATCCCCTTCCCTACCACATGCCACGGCAATCAATGTCCATGAACCCAACTCCTATTAACCATGACTGGGATCTGTATAACCCCAATATGTATACCCCGCCACCACCACAAAATCAACCCACTCCCCCAATGATGACCGGGTCAGTTTGGAGTCCTGCTCCACCTGGTCCGTTTGCTATGAGAAATCCTTCTCCAATGGGCGGAATGGGTCACCACAGCCATTCACCAAGCATGTTTACACCCTACATCATGGAGGAGAGTCAGGACTACATGGTTCCTAATGAATACGTAGAGAGCCAGAGAGCAGCAGCATATTATAATCATAACCACCACCTCTCATTGGTTGGTATGGACCGATTCCAACAGCACCAGATGCGCCGAGGATCTCCCCTGGCTCATCAATCTGGGCACCTTCTCGAGGAAGATGAGCAGCAGCACCATATGATTGATATGATGGCAATTGATGCACCAGTTCCCGGGCGTCGTCATAATCTCAGCATGTCACTAGAAAAGGATATGGAGGGCATGGAGAACTACCAAAAGGAGATTGAGACACATATTGGTCACGGTCATCATCTATCAAATGGAGACGGTTTCAACACAAATCCAGTTTCACCAGCTCCGGAAGCTATGTACCCACAATATCCTGATATGCCATGCGTCGAGAATGACGTTCACAACGGACCAGAGTTACTCTCAAACCCCGAAGACGATGTTCCGGACGTCGAGACCGAGCGACAACACAACCGACAGGCTGCTCGGGAGCGTACACAAAGTATCGGAATGAATGGTCAGCAGTATGATAGCAATTCTCTGCCCATGTCCGGAAGCCAGTACATCCCACAGAGCTACCAACCGCATAGCCGAGACACCTCGCTTTCTCACATACATTATGATGCGATTGACCCTAGAGAGAACTCTGCACTCTCAATGCTCATGGGTGCGCTAGACGACCCCCTTAGTGAGGGCGGTTGCACAAACCTCTCTGACATCAATACCAATCCCAGCGAACCATCAAGCCCTCGCCCGAAATACAGTACATCTCACATGCACAATATCTCCAACACTAGTGCCAACGCGTGGATGTCGGATACTTCCAAGGCTCCAGGATCAACCACCTCGTCAAAGAAGTTCAACGCCCAGGCACCAGAGTTCAAATTCAAACCTGGAACATCATTCAAATATTCTCCTCAGAGTAAACCATTCATCCCCTCAGGCTCATTTAATTCTTCGCCTATTGGAAGTACCACCCATTCTCGAAATACCAGTCAGGATCCTGTTGGGTTTGGAAGTTATGGCAAAGGAAAACTCAATGTTGGCGCTGCACCATTCCGACCACGGCTGTCCTCCAGCGGATCTACTTCTAGTATATTCGCAAAAGGCGCCCAATTTAGTCCTGATGCGCCTGTATTCAAGCCGAAATCCGAATCAACATCTACACCAGCAAGCAAAAGCTCACTACCACCGATATTTTCACCTACTAAGGAGATTGATGAGCCCGTTCTTGAGAAGCAAGCATCTCGACCACCTAGTCGCACGTCGGTACACAAGGAGACACCGACAGATGTGATTGAAGACGATGCACGGGAAGGGAATGTATCAGGAGGCGGAGGAAAGAGGGCTAAACATGGTCCAACCCCAAGCCATGTCAAAGATACAGAAGTGCCGGCACTGGAGAGTCTGCGTCCCTCAGAGGATGTAGAGACCTCAGATGTCAACGCCGCCGATAGCCAAAATGCTACTCCTACCGAAGAGACATTTGCCGAAAGCAGCGCGAGTAGCGATGAGGTTGAAGACGTACCAAAGGAGTTGCCAGTTGAAGAAGAACCTTTTGTTATGATCGAGGAAGGTGAGTCAAACCCTGAGTCTGATTACATGCCTTATGTGCTTAGAAATTTAGGAGAAGCAACATCATTCGCCATTGATGCCAATATCTCTGCCGTTCCATCCAAAGGCGAGGGTGAGACACCTCTCGATGTTCTGGACCAAGAGCTGTCTGCTGTTGAAGAGGCTGAGGCTATCGCAGCGGCCATCCCCATTGATAATAGGTCAGAGAGGGCTTCCACACCCCCACCTGCTGAAGTGTTTGAAGAACCCACCCCACAGGCAGCAGCGGCAGCCCCGGACTTCAATTTCGACTTCGCACAAGCAGCAGAGCCTGTCACTCCTATGGAGGCAAGGTTCGGCGGGATGGGCGAGTCTCGATACTCTCATGCACCATCACCACCCCCAGCGCATCCGGCTCCTCCGCCACCTGTTTCCGATATGCTCCCATTGCCGTCAGAAAGGGTATCCTATGCTTCAAATGCAGATTCTTACAGGTCGAATCCTTTCGTGGACCCAGTCAGGCCAATGCCGACCGATTCCGAGTTGGATGAAGTTATCCAGGTGTTGTCCGTGGGTGACCCCATCTATGGTAATCAAGAGAACGGCATGTCTGGATCGGAACTCGGCGAGCAATCCATGGATGAAGAGGAACCAGTCCCAGAAGAGACGCAAGAAGAACAACAGGTGGCCGACGAGGATGTCATTACCTGGAGGCGCGACGTCTCGAGGAGGCCAGCTATCCCGGTATTCCACGATCCGACACCGACTTCGCAACCTCAAGACCCATTCGAGCAAGCGGAGCGCAGCGCTGGACCTAGTCCAAGCCCGAGCCGCGGCACATTCCAGCATACAGCTGCCACGTTCTCAACAGACGATGATGCCACATATGCGCAAGCCCAAACTACTGGAGAAGTCGCATACCAGCCTCCTGCACAGGAGGATATTGGTCATGCTCAGCCAGAAAGCGACTGGGATGATTTGATTCCCCAGGATGACTCCAAGCTCCGACCGCAGAGCCGACTGTTTTTCGATGCTCACGTTGAAGAGTTTGTTGGTGATCTCCTGCATTCTCGCCTGGATCCACTCCACAAGTCTCTCTCAGCTATCCACGATGTCTTGAAGAAGAATCAATCGTTGACTCTTACACGGAGGGGAAGCGTTGCTACTTCAGCTCCACACAGCGATGCTGATGATGAGGAAGATGACACCCAGCCACCAAGATCGCCCAGGAAGGATAAAAAGTCAGAGAAGATCAAGTCTGCTGTTGTCGAAGCGCTCGTTATGCACAACTGGAGCGCTCCAACAGAAGACAAGCTGGCGGAGATCTACAGCGCCATCGCAAAGGTTTCTCGTGCCTTCCAGGACAGCCATTTGAACGATGACTTAGCAGAAACGAAGTCGGCTATCCTTCAAGCACTTACGAAAACTGCACACACCGACGAAATTGATCTCACCAAGCTAGAGATTCTCGCCGCCATCAAGCGCACGGCCAAGTCAACCGACATGGAAGATTTGAAAACATCCTTTGCCCGCACCGTTTCCAAGATTGCGCAGGTTGAGGACATCGCATCGATCCGGGAGGCCATGGAAGAAGTCGCGCAGACTAGTGACATTGTCGGAATGAAGTTGGAGCTCCGCGACTCATTGATCAGCACGGCACAAAAGACCGACGTTGAGGATCTTAAGAGCATCTTGTGTAAACTCGCGGAGAAGGTTGATCTCGAGTACCTGCAGGACATCATCGTTACAGGTTTCGCAGGGGTGGTCAAGGCAAACGACATTGTCGAGCTCAAGAACAGCCTGTCGGAGATTATCAGGACTGTCCATACTACTGACGTTAGGGGCGATGTTCAGCAGCTGTCTCACGAGAATGCTGCCGTTAGACAGACACTTACGCAAGTGTATGACATGACACGGAATAACGCAATGGATGCCGACTCGTACCAGCAAGCACAAGAAAATTTTATTAGGGAAAGCCATAACTACGTCAGCCAGTCACTGGATACTATCCAAACTTCTGTTAATGATGTTCAAAAGTTGGTTCAGCAGCGTGGCCAAAAGGAGGATATGCGCAGAAGTCTGCAAGAGGATGATCAGAAGCAGAATTTCACAGATATCAAGACCTACATCGGCGAGGTTAACAATAATCTTGTTGATGTAGTTGCCCATGTGCAGAAAGTGGACGACATCAGACTGGTTGTAGGCAATATTTCAGATTCGCAACCCAGACTAGCAGCTATCAAGGACGTTTTTGAGGAAGTTGTGAGAGGGCAACCAACTTTGGGACAGGTAAAATCGGTGGTAGAGGACATTGTCAACAGGCAGCCGACAATCGAGGAGTTGAAGTCTATTGTTGAGGGAGCTACCAGCAAGCAACCTACAATCGAAGAGCTGAAGACCGTTGTTGAAGAGGTTGCCAAAACGCAGCCAACAATCGAAGACCTACGATCTGTGGTTGAGGAGGTTGCCAATAAACAATCAGTCGAGGAATTGAGAGTTGTCGTCGAGGAGGCTTTCAACAGGCAGCCAACGATTGACGACTTGAGGCTAGTTGTTGAAGAGGCTTCCAACAATCAACCAACTTTGTACGATGTCAAGAACGCCATGGAGGAGGTTACCGATTCCTTGCCCAAGATGGATGCTCTCCGTTCTATGATGGAAGAGTTGCTCTCCAAGCACCGGACTGTCACAGTTACCAAGGCCACCGAGCACGCCAATACTGAGGCGCTTCTGCTTAAGGTAGCAGGCCTTGAGAAGATGCTGGATGAGGTCGGGAGTCGTGCGGAGGCAGAGTCACAGGCAAGAAGGGAAGCCCATGAGAGGACCTTGGAGTTGGAGAGTAGATTGAGAATTGCTGAAGAGGAGGCGGCAAGGTACCGGGACAAGGCGGAGGAATCAGACCGGAGATTGAAGGCCAACGACGACAAACGATACCAGGCTGTGACACAGTCACAAATGCGCGTCGCACTTCTTGAGGGCGCCCATTCGGCTCTGCAGAAGAATGTTGGGGAGCTTTCAGCACGGAATGCAAACCTGGAAGGCAGCATTAGGGAGGCACAATCGGCTAGCGAGCGGAACAAGGAGGAAGCGAACAGAATGGAGGATGAGAATAGAGAGCTCAGAAGGGTTATCGAGTCTCTGAAAGCAGAAATGGAGGAAAGTATTAGAGTCCGTGAAGGTTTCCGCGGGAAGTTTGACAAGTTGCAGGGGGACATGCAGACCGCGGCATACAACATCGGCCAGGAACAAGGAAAGTGGAGGAAGGCCCAGGAAGAACAGAGGGCAAGGATCGAAGTTTTGGAGGCAAGAGTAGCGGCCGAAGTTACGGTGAAGGAAGGATTGGAAAGCGAGGTCAGGCGATTGGAGGTCGAGCAAAAGGAGGCAATTAAGATGAAGGTGGAGTATGAGCAGCTGAAGAGGTCGAATGCGAAGTTAGAGGAGGTGCTCGATAAGTTCAGGGAAGAGGCGTTAGAACACTCACAGCGCGCTGCATCCCTTGCCCACGAAGTAGAATCCGCTCGCGACTCGGCACATGACGAGGTCGCACGAATGAGGGAATCTCTTCAGAGAGATGTTGATACTGCCAACACTGCGGTCAACGCTGTCCGGGCTTCCCTCGAAGCGGAAATGGAACAGCTTCAACGTGCGGCTAAGGAAGCAGTGGCCGAGAAAGAGCAGTTCAAACTTCGACTCGAGGCGGCTGCCAACTCCGAACGTGCCGCCCTTGATGAACTCGAGAAGACAAAGGCCGCGCTTTCCCAAGAGTCTACTGAATCCAAGTCTCTCGTGGTACAGGAACAGCACCAAAAGTACGAGAAGCAACTTTTGGAACTCCGTCAACGGTTTGAGGGTGCTCGGTCCCAACACGATAGGGCCCTTAGAATCGCGACCGAGGATGGTGAGCGCGAAGCGATCTACCTGAACCAACGTCTTGACATCTCTCAATCTGAAGTGCAACACCTTCGTGAGCAATCAAAAGACCTTCGAGAACAAACAAAGGATCTTCGCGAGCACATTTCCCTCCTCAAAGATCAACTCAAGATTGCCACATCTGCGGCCCAGGCTGCTGCCCAGGCTGCTACAACTTCGAGGGCACCCCAGGCCGTCTCAGAAGAAAGGGCTTTACGAGAATCGGTTAACGTGCTTCAGGAGCAGCTCCAGCAACGCGAGGCGCGAATCGAAGAGCTCGAGCAACAGCTTTCCAAGTTCGACAAGGCGGATATCAAGCGCAAAGACGAGCAAATCACGTGGCTTCGAGAGCTACTTGATGTCAGGGTTGACGAGTTGGAGGAGATCGTTCATGCTTTGAGCATGCCCCACTTTGACCGTGAGAGTGTCCGGGATACAGCACTTCGTCTTCGGGCAAACCTTCAGATGGAGCAGCGGGAAAAGGAGATGTCAATGACCCCTAGTCGTGGGGCTATTGCCCCAGTTACAAGTCTTGCATCAAGACTTCCAGGCGTTGCAAGTTCTGCCGCTAGCTCTGCCGCCGGTTGGTGGAATTCGAAGAATAAGGGTCCATCATCAGTTGCCCACAGTTCACCCTCACGACCCGGCTCTGCTGCCGGTTTCTTGAATGGCATTCTCGCACCTGCGCCTCCGACCACACTTGCCAATACCCAACGGATGGGGTCTAGGCTTGCACGGGGTATTTCTTCAGAAACAGGTTCCAATTCGTCGCATACCACTATCACTTCGCGGTACAGAGAAAAACAAACAGCGGCACCCTCGTACAGAGCAGAGAGAGGGGGGTCTAGGAGAATTCAACACCATCTTTTCCAGAAGGGGCTGTATGATGCGGATGCGGATGCAGATGCCAACGATAGTGTGATGAGCGGAGAGTTTTATGAGGATGAGGATAACGGGACAGAAACGGGGGCCGATGATGGCGATATGCCGTACCGACCGGGTTCATACAGGCATTGAAGGGAGTACAAGGTAGTTATCTAGTGGCGTGCGTTGTATTTCATTGAGTAGTTTTTTTAGATATTTTTTTTTTCTTTCTCTAGGGGTGAATTTTTTTTGTTTTTGATCGAGAGATACCTTGATTGTGTGGGGAAATGGAGCGAGCATTGTGTCGGTGTTTGCCATTCTTTTTAAATTTCATTTGTTTTTTTCTTCTTCTACTCGGTTTATTTTCGCACTTTAGGTGGGATGGGAGGAAAGTGGAGTCCTTATGATTGACGTTTAAAATTCTCGGTTTTTATGAGTTGTTGTTTTTCTTAGCGGTTTTTTGTTACTTGCTGCATTTTTTTGACTCGTTTATATATCCATTTTCTTGATAATACCTTCTTATGATTTTTGATCCTTATTCTCTTGTAACTCGGTTGGTTATCTCATCTCGTTCTAGTTATGCCGCGATGTCTGTTGCTTTTTGCCGTTCTCATGAGTTTTTTGCTGGTTAATTTTTCTCTCTACTAAAGTAATTCTTGAATTTCTATACCAAATAGTTAATCGATTCGTAATTGAGAGCGTTTGTTCTGCTTGATCCGCCCACAATATACCACGATTTAGTAACTGTCCTGAGAACTGTATGTGCACAATGTAGGTACTTTTGCCCATACATCATCACAACCCTGTAAAGGTACCAATTAAAACGTCGAGAACCAGATGGTAAAAGATTTCTCCTGGACAGGGACTCGCTGAGCTTATGTGCTCATAGCCCATATAAATAAGTCACTCCCAGCGTTTATAATAGATCGACATCAATCGGCGTCCCTACGTGCCCAAGATGACTGAAATCCCAACCATCTTCTTCCCTCTTGTGCCTTTTTCCCTCTTGTGCTCCAGTAAACGGCGGCAGCTCCGTCCCAGGCACCCATTGATAGTCACATAGCCCCCACGCCGCGTTTGCGGCAACGAAAGATTCAAAGAGGGGCAAATCTGGAAATGTGCTAGAGCTGTTATCTAGCTGTGACAGTGTGACTTTGATAGCACCACAAATGTGGAACGCGGAGAGTTACGAGAAGTTTCTACGTACCGCTCTGATCCGACAACCCACCATGGCATGTCTCTTCTTCATGCTACCCAGCTATTTTAGCCAGCCAACCAAAATATCGAGAAGGGGAAGAGGGAAATACAGTACCAGCAACAGTGAAAATTTCAAGGCCATGACTACTACATGTATGGTGTGTAGGTACTCTTCTCTACCCCAGAACTAATGGGAACATTCATGCAAGCTGTTTTTTTTAAAGTTTTGAAGCTTGTTTGTTATCCCTCCCTTCCAGGGTCCATCGATGATGTAAGAGGCTCTATCTTGCTGCACGTCCGACGGTCGGGAATCGGGAGACTTATCGCTCCATCCCATCATGGCCCACCCCTGTCGATGATGCTTTCGCCTGATTGAGAGGAGGAGAAGGAGGAGGGGTGGAAGGAATATGAGGAGTAGTAGGAGCAGGAGTAGGAGCAGGAGGTCGCTGGTGGGAGTGAGGCAGGAGTAGGTGTTAGGAGTCGTCCCCTGCGTCATTCTCGTTGTCACACCCTTTTAGAGGTAGAGTGCTGCTGTGCCTTGGTCACCGTCGGTGTCATCGTAGTGGTCTACGAAAAGAAAGGCCTCATATGGCCCATGGGCAATGCGGAAGTGGGCACAGCACTGGGACGCAGAAGAAGGGTAGAGAAAAATAAGAATACGGTAATATTATGTATGGAGATATTATTAGGAACTGTAGAGTAGGGCACTTTGGATAGGAGCATACATAAGGAAGAACCTTTCTCCATATCTTTCCCTATCTTCATGATCTTCTACCATCTTCAGTACCATCCATACTAAATATTCCTATTTCCATCACGATTAAAAACAACTCACGCCCCCCCGCATTCCTACCGATAACCCCATCACCGGATTCACCATCGATAACTCTACACCCACATAATCTTCTAAAAACGTACTCAGGTAGGCTCCCTATGTCTCGTGGTTCTTCATTATCGTGAGCATTTCGTTTTCGTATTCTGTGCGCGCACCCTCATTTCCCACTAGGATACAAAGTCTTAATCTGGAGCGTGACAGCGGTTCATCTCTGGCCTTTCCCCCGTAGTGAAGCTCTCTGAAGGACCTCACCTGACTGACCACGTGCGGATAGGGACAGGCACAAAAGACAACGCAGATACTCATTTAATAACTGAAGCTTACTCCCTCCGCGGTGCTACCATCTACAGCTTTCCTCCCCCCCTACACACAAAAAAAAGATCTCTTTTTGCGTACATACCTACATACCATACTTACAGCTTCCCCCCCCCCCCCCAACCTCGTGGTTTCCTGATCACCCCTTGTGATATCAACAAACCTCCTGGAATTTTGGAGTGAGATCTACAAATATCCTTTTTTCCGAGGAAGATACACGCACAAAGAGAGAGTGTGTGTGAGAGAGACCCGTGTGTGAAAATCGTAATCTCCCCCAACATACCTGGATAGAGAGGTGGCCGGGCTTCTTTTGTTTAAATAGAAACCTCACCCTTTTTCTTTCTTTCTCCTATCTTTGCTGACACTGAACGTCAACCCACAAAGATAGCTGCACTGAACATTCCAACACCCGTTGATAACTAAAAGAAGAGAAAATATATAAATAAAAAAACGTGAGAGAAATGGAGGAGCCATCAAATCACGGCAGCGGAAAACGATCTTTCTTTGGATTGGGAAAGAAGAAGAAGAACCAGGATAAAGCAAAGCCGAATCCAGACTCACCACCAACAACAGAGGCAGCATCTCCTGAGCTTGAACCAATGTCCGATATCGACGACACCCCAAATACAACAATCCCAATCAGCGCTAAAGCTCCACAGCTACCCCAGTTAACCGCTTTTTCGCCTATCGCAACAACAGCCCCTAACGTTTTCTCGAGCTTTCCTTCCCCACCAACAACATCCCCAATTCAATCCGTAGGATCGAGCTCCTCACCACCCCTGGTTCCTCGTCCGGGCACGTCTGAGTTTGCCTCGCCTCGCTTGTCCACCAGCAGCTCCCAAATCTTTGAGCGCAACGTCCAAGAGCAGCTCAGCAGCACAAACTTACCGCCCCCAACATCTTCGGCTATTCCCGCACACATACAAACCGAGAATCGGATTCCCGCTGTCTTGGAGGCTAGCTCTCTAGCCATCACAGACGAGAAATGTGGGGTAGACGAAGTCGAGATCGTCATGCATAGCATGCATCAGCCAGCCGTCTCCGTCCCTCACAGGGGCACCTCTTCAAGCCCAGTCTACGGGGGTCACGTGCCCGGGTACGGAAGCGACAATGCAATCGACGAATCCTCGGGGAACTCTGGAGATGAGCTCTCATCGCACGGCATGGGAATTGGGGCCGCGGCAGCAGCTGATAAGCGCAGGTTGTCGTTCATTTCATTTGCGGACGTTGTTCAGGCAGAGCAGGCCGAGCACGAAGGAGTAATGGCGTCTTCAGGGTCGCTGAGAAACCTTTCCCCAGGCGGTTCGCCAAATGTAATACCCGCAGATCGGGATGTTGCGCTTTCGACGATAAACGAGACGCTACGGCGCTCGCCTTCGCCCATCCGGCTTGGGTCTAGCCCTCCACGTGGAAGTGGGAACGTACAGAGGACTTTGAGTGGGAAATCGATGGGAACGGCAGGGGCAGGGTCTCCGCCAAGAACTAGTATGGGAGACTCGCTTGGCATGGAAAGGGGCGAGTTGACAATCGAGACTATGAGGCAGGCACTGAGGAAAACAGGCAGTGGGGACCTGTCGGGGTACGGAAGTGCTAGAAGCAATCCCAGCCTGCGATAGAGAAACAGAGAGGAGTGGGGAAATGTTGTGCTTTATTTTTTATTTTTTAGGAGGTGTAGTTGGGATGGGTATTTTTATGAGGAGTTTTCGTCAATTTTATTATCTATTTATTTTCATCTGGCCTTATTGGAGGCAGACCCGGTGTTTCTCTTCTTTCTTTTCTTCCGAGTCACCTCTTTCCTTCTTTTCTCACCTGCAACCTGGAAAGTTGGAGTAACGAGCGAGATTAAGTATAAACAACCGAAAGCCCATCACACCCCCCCAAGGGAAGGAGGGTTGCATCATATCGAATACCTAATCTCGCTCCCAGAATTTGCAAACTGGGGTGATTGACTACATATGTAGCTAGCTAGCTAGTTGGTTTGGCAATCACAATCACTGGATCGTTGGGTGGATTTTGTGTACCCGGAAAGCCATTGCCGGACGACATTGTGGGGAAGGCTTCTTTTTTGCTTTGGTTTGGTTTTCTTTTTCTTTCCATCTTCCTTTTTGGTAAAACCGGCGAGGAATTAAGAGAGGGAAATTGGGGGAGAGGGGGGAGGGAATCGGATTATGGATGCACACGAGATACATACATGGTCTGGCTGGTCATCGTTCTGGGGAGAAGGGAAAGGAAGGTTTTGTCATCATTGTCGTCGTCGTCGTCGTTGTCGTGGACACACTTATACCCTCCCTCCGTACCTCACTCACTCCCCTACTCTAGCTGGTGCGTTACGGTAGTTTAGTAATTCCAATAAGGTGATCACAAAAAGAATATTCCCCACCCTCCGCCATGCCCATAATTGGTATACACTTCCCTCTCCAGCCGTTGAATCATTGGTATTTGTGTGTTTTGCGTCCGTCGGGATTACTGTGCTGTGCTGCAGTGTACTGCACTGCACTGCACCGGTGATGGGAACCGGGTGGGAGGGAGGGAGGGAGGGAGGGAAAGAAACGTGGTGGTAGGGAAGGGAAGGGAAGGGAGAGAAGAGGGTCTCAGGATGGTTATGTACTTTTTAGCCGGAGGGCAATTGGCAATTGCAATGCAACTTTCCTAACATAATATGGCACTCCTCAAGTAGATTGGGGGAGACATTTCAAAGAGGGTAGGTCCTGCCCGACGAGAGAATTAAAGAGAAGATCTGAGGTAGAGGAACGTAGGACATGACCCTCAAGAGAAGATAATTAAGGGAGTCAAAGAGAAGGAATTAAAAGATACGAGGTCAGGACGTCGGAGGTCGGAGAAGTCGGGGAGCACGGGGGGTGGGAGGTGTTACAGCATTTCGCCCGTCCGGCCCGTCCTACTACGTCTGCTCATGTAGGTACTTTATACCTCGAGCTATGGTACATGACCCTACATTACATGTATCTTCTACACATGTACCTACATGTACCTGCTCTGCTACTAGCTTGGGCTTATATATCTGACTGAGTGTGTGTATGTGTGTATGTGTGTATGTGTGTATGTGTGTATGTGTACGATGTGCTGCGAGTGATTACTGATGAACCGGCAAATCTCGACAACGTCGGACCGATCCCGTGGGTTTGGGAAAGCTAGAACCCTAGAACCCTACATGTACCCTAGGCATCTTACTCCGGAATTGATAACAAAGAGTACTATATATTGGGCAAAAAAAAAGTTAATATGGATGAACACCCCCTTGGTTCCCCGCAAACATGTGGAGTAATATATTGAATTATTGGGTTGGAGATTGTATACTAGTAGTGAGTCAAGGGGGGTGGATGGAAATCTGGCTCATGTAGCTAGCTTGCATATTGACCTCGGTCTTCTCCCCACACCGCTCCCCCCCCCGGTTGGTACCCCTGGATTTTGCGGTCCTGGCTAGATCTGTTTGCTTACGATATGTATATGTGCGTTGTATGGGTTTTTGAGTATTCGGTGCTTCTGAAATTTTGATATGGAGATACGGGTCACGTAGAGTACTGTATCTGACACACGCTACACGCACCATATCCTGAAACACCGCGACGCAGCGGTGGTGCATTGGGGGCGGGGGGGGCGTTATACGTGAAGAGGCGTATGTACTCTAGAGAGGGAGGCATATGTAGAGCACACATACATACCTGTGCTTCATCTCCAAAAAAAGCAAAAACAACAGGAGACAGCGGGGAGCTGCATATACGGTACTAGCTGTTGTAGATGAAGTGCTATCATTTCAGCTCGGGGAGGAGAGCAATCACCCACTCTACCTAGCTAGCTAGCCAGCTTTCCGGCCGTTATCGCCGGAGTGAGTGAGAATGGGTGAGAAAGTGAGCTTTCCACCTGACCGGCTGAGGGTGAACTTATGTAAACCGGTGATACGGAAGGAGGGCCCGCCGCCGGGATTCAGCAACGTCTATTGGGCCGGTAGCTGGCTAGCCGACCTGTAGCTAGCTACCTACACTAGAGTACATGATTGATAACGTGGGGTTGCAATTGATCAGGTAAAGAATAAGAAGCTAGAAAAGAAAAAGAAAAAAGGGATCGAAGATCAGAAAAGAATTAAGAGAGTAAGAAAGCTCAGGCTCGGTGATTGATGTTTCGCCGCTAGGGAGAGGGGTCTAGAGTAGATGGCCCCGGCCGCTATGACGCCTGGGCCCTGGCTTGGAGGCTTGTTAATACCGATATCTGTTATGCCTCACCTTTCTTTTTTCTTTTTTTTTACTTTTCAACCCCAGTGTCTCGGAGAGAAGCACAGCAGAGATATGAATGTATGAAAGATGGAGATGTGTGTATCTAGACGGAGCTGAGGCCCCTCGGTAAGATATGACAAGGGGAGAAAAAGGAAAATGAGGGTTTGGTGGGGTCTTTCCCGTATGCGGTTTGGGGTTCCGGGGAGAGGAGGTGAGGTGCAGGACATGGCAGATGTTAATGTAGAGGGACGGGTATGTATGGAGAAATAGAGTAGGGTAGGGTAGGGTAGATGTAGATATCGGCCTGCGTCCTTCAAGCTCTAACTAGGTAATTGGATATATATGTAGGTGCTAAGGAGGTACCAACAGGTGGGTAACTTTGGAATAGAGTGCTGCCGTGTTTATATATATTGTGGCTTAGAGATCAGAAGGAGCAATTGGAAAAGTGGAGGTGCTGGGATGATTAGTTGTGATTAAAGTTATTGTTTTCATTTCAGTTCTGTTCTGTTTTTCCCTTTCCATGCATATGTGCACGCACGGAGAAGACCTACCTACAGGGCTCGGAGACAACTCATGAAAGGGAGGAATTGATGTCCTCTAATGTTGTTTGTCTAGACACCGATGATCCTCAATAACCCTCTTACAAACCGCAATTAGCTTTGGCGAGTGAGCAGCGAACGAGCACGCACTTTCCGAGTGCACTGACTACATGTATGTGTGAGTAGCTGACAGATTGCTTAAATAGATATAAAAAAAAAAAGCTATTTATTCATGATATCAGTTTGAGAGAGAGAGCCGGGTGCGGTCCAGAGTACTCGGTCCTCCGCCAGTTACTCTACAGCAGCTACATACATGTACCTAGCTGCAAGTCATCTCATCTCAGGCAGGGCAGACAGACAGACAAGACAGGCATGTACGTTCGAGGTCCGCGGAGTGCAAGCGCCTACATGAGCGGTAATGAAAACAAGAAAAAAGGGACGCGTGACGTTGGCGTTGGTCGGCGGCCAGCCAGGCATACATAACATGGCGTTTTTTTGCATGGAAAATCCGTTCGGAGAAATAACCTCGACCGTTAGATCTTCTAGAAGGATGGTCATAGTGGGTTTGTGGTTGGTTGGTTAAGGGTTGGTTGGTTGGTTGGTAGGCGGTTTGTGGTGGTGGTGGTGGTGGTGGTGGTGGGGGAAGAATAAAGGAGTGAGTGAGTAGTGCTCCTTTAGTAAGTAAATAATTAGAATACTTATTTGGACATTTGAAAAGGGAAGGAAGGGGCAAGTCGGTATTAAATCCCACAGCCACCTCCGCTGCCGGCCGCCGGCTTCCTCTACTGAAACCCTAAGATTTAACACTGGTCGGTATATCACGGAGTGGAAGGGGGAGGAAGATCATATCTCGCGCGAGTCGAGGTATGTAGAGTAGGTAGCTGGTAGCTGTAGTATGTTTAAGGCTTTACCCGGGTAAGACATGAATGAGCAACCTTCCTTCCTTCCTAAAACTGCCCTCCGACATCTCTCTGCCCCCCCTCTTTTGTAAAACTCTAGAACTGATGGTCGTTCTGTCCTGCCCTGTAGGTCCAGATATAAATTGCGTATTATTAGTTGCCTACTCTAGATGTGGGTAGTAGAGCACCTACTATGAGCTAGCGGTACCTGCATACCGCTGCTCATCGCTTGCTTGCTTCGCTTTGCTTGATTGATGATTTGATTGATTGCCTGCTTTGCTCACTCGCTAAAGGCTGATATGATTGATCGATGCTACAGGATGGAAGATGCTACACACACACACACACACACAGAATCTCGAACCACACAGCACCTCGAACCTCTGAGGTGAGGTCCAGAGTCGACATCTGTCACATCGGCACTTTTCAGCCGCTGAGGGGAAACAAAAAACAAAAGAATTATTCACACCCAGGCCAGGCACATCCATCGATCCATCCACCCATCCATCGACTCCATCTGCGTTTACCTTACAGATACAGATAGGTATTCTAGAGTTGCCCTATGTGATGTGATGTGAAATCCGCCAGCACGGGTCCTCATCCCTCATCCCTCCCTGCAACCCCCCCAATCACCCCCAATCACCCCCAATCCCCCCCACCCGATATCCAGGGCGGAAGTAATAGAGTATCGTATGTGGAATAGAGGGTGTGGGCCAGGGAAGGTACGACTTCTGACGGGACCCACCTCCAGTACTGCACCTCCACTCCTCTCCCACCATCCACGTCCAGGAAGGAAGCGAGAAATGGTGAAAGGGATCGATATCATAATCATAATCATAAAACTCTACATGATAGACTTTTCTCACTCACATATACCCCAACATTCCTACATATATGTGTGATGTAGCCTATGTACCTACAATAACCTACATACAGGTACATATGTAAACAATCACGAGTACTCTAGAGTAGCAGACGCACATAATCACTTGTACCCCAGGCTCCATCTCATGCAGCATCGTTCGTTATATTGCTCACATTAGATTTATTATTATTTGATCTGGTACATACGTCCCATCCCCACTGAGATTCTCTCACTCACTCACTCACTCACTCACTCTCTCTCTCTTCTACCTGCCCGACCCAAACTCTTTCCGTCCACGACGACAGACAGACGAGAACACGGTCCCCCTCCCTCCCTCCCTCCCTCCCTCCCTCCCTCCCTCCCTCCCTCATTCTCCCCGCTCCGCCCGGCCACGAACCTCACTCACTCACTCACTCACTCACTCACTCACTCCCTGCTCTAGCCTTGAATTCCCTTCCCATAAACGCCCCGACACTCCAGTCCCTTTTCAGGATCGCTGTGAATCTTTTCCACTTTCAATCTCCGACAAAACCACACTATTCCCTAGATAGCAGTGGTGCACTGGACCACCCGGGCAGGAAAACAATAATACAATAATAATCTGAGCCTCTTTCTCTCTCTTTCTCTGGGCCTGCAGCGCAGTTGTGGTGCTTGAATTGGACACCTGCCTACACCTACATATTGACTACTGACTGACTGACTGACGGACCTGACACCTCCACAACTGCCCCCACCCCCCCGGACGCGGGTAAAACACGAACCAGTCTGGACCTCTTGCTATCTAGGCTGGACTCTGTCTGTTCCTCACCCCCCCCCCCCCCCCTTGGAATCCCCAAAGGCTGGATTTTCACCAACCACTCAACGTTACCGCTACTACTACTATTATTATTACTACTCTACTACTGCAATTACTACAATTACTACTACTATCACATACTACTACTACATATCTAACATATCTATAAGCCTTACCTTCCAACTGTACATACTTCTATGGGAAATCGCTCTTCGAATTCCTGCCCTGCGCGCATCATACATTGACCTACTCCTACTACATACCTACTACTACTACTATTTTACATATTCCGCGGTGCTCCACTTTGCGCAAAAAAACAATTTCTTCCTCTCTGAAAGAAAACATTTTTAAAAAAAAACAGATACATATTACTTTAGGCGTGAGCACACACAGTCCGCTTTTTTTTTTTTTTATCTTTCTGTGCCGCAATTATTTTTATTTTTTTATTTCGTTTTTTTTTTTTTCCTTTTCCTTTTTTGATACCTGCATATTTGTACCTACATACAGCAGCAAGCAGCATACATCTTTTTTATCCTTTACGTCGGGTTTGCGTGCTGACATAAACCCGCCTGACTCGCATCAGACAGACGCAGGTCCGAATATCACCCGCCCACCCTTTCCCTCCCCCCAGCAAGCCAGCCAGACGGACAGACCAGACTAGACAGCCTGGAGTCTCTCAGTAAGTCAGCCAGCCAGCCAGCCTACCGCGGCCTTACCCTGCCCATCCCCATCCCATCCTCCCACACCACCACTACCACCACTCCCCCCCCCCCCACACACACACCGGAAGAGCGAAGAGAGAAGAGAGAAGAGAAGTGTGTGTGAGAGTGCGAGTGTGAGTGAATCGGAAAGAGAGAGAAAAAGTAGTGTAGTCGGTACCTGCCTACTTACTTACTTACCTAGATAGAGTACCTACATACCACCCACCCACTCACTCACTCACTCACTCGATCACTCACTTGCTGTATCTACCCTACCCTACCCACCTGCCTGCTACCACCTAGCAGCATCACATCATAGGGAAAGAGGAAAAAACACGACATCGATCAGAGCGAGGTAGGTAGAGGTCCGAACCCTTTTTTTTCTTCTTTTTTATTTTTTTTTGTTACTCCACCTCGACTCTCACCTCATCTCATCCTCTCTCAATTCGCAACGAGGAAAAAAAAAAAAAAAAAGGGCGCCGAACGCTTATTCGTTCTAGTGAAGACTCCGGTAGACAACTGAACTCTGAACTGCTTTTGGCACAGAATCACCGATCGCCATTGGGTGTTGTTCTTGGAGTGTTTTACTTTATTTTTTATTTTATTTGTTAGTTGAACTTACTACCGTTACTGGCTGTTTGTTGCTGCTGCTGCTGCTGCTTTCTTACCTACCAACTTACTACCAGCCTCTACTACTACTACTACCACCGCACCGCCGGCTTGTTAACCAGCCAAACAGACAGACAGCACCGAGTGACTGAACAAGAGAAGAGAGAGCCAAAAGAGAGAGCCAAAACCAAAAACCAAAGGGTGACTACACACAAAAGAAATCCCCGTTGTCTACAACCACCCAATCCACCACACACCACCCGCCACACACAAACCACCAGCCCACCAACACATGGGAACGGAAACGACGCCAAAGTCAAAGATCGAGGAGATTACTGGAACCTTTGTGGCCTGGATGGGAAAGTGAGGCGCGCAGCCTCGGGGGAAAGAATTTTAGAAACACAAGAGAAAAAAACACAAAACCTAAACAAAAAAAAAAATACAATACAAAACAAATAACTTTTTAACCTTCTTGAAGAAAGAGAGAAAGAGAAGAAAAAAAAGAAGTCCCTTTCGCCTCTCGCCCGGCCCGCGCGAAGAATTTACGGACCGAGAAATAATTTCGGAAAATTACAGTACTTACTACATCCTACTACATATTACTACTACCGCTCACACAACCGCACCCCCGGCCGGTTAGCTAGCTAGCTATAGACCTACGTTCCCAAGGGCCCAGCGCGTGCGCGCCGCACTCCCGCTCGCCCGCTCCGCTTGGCTCGTTTTCGCCGAAGAGGCCGATTCTTCTCCTTCTTTCTTTCTTTTCGTTCTCTTTTTTTCTTTTCATTTTTCGTTTTTTTTTTTCCTTTGGGTTCTGTTACGGGGAATTGGTGGGTGTGTGCTTTCTTTCTTTCTGGGACGGTATTACTTACTTACTTACTTACTTACTCAGTACTGCTTCTGCGCTCTTCTTTCTTGTTGGGTTGTGTGTCCCCGTAATAATAATCTTAAGCAATATCGAAGATATCGAGAGCCGACTTCCTTCTTCCACACAAGAGAAACAGACAGACCAAGCCCGAGCAGCTTCATTCGTCCTCTCTCTTTTCTCTCACACACACGCATACTCTCTCCCTCTCTCCCTCTCTTACTATTTCACTCTCTCTCGCTCTCAATATCTCACTCTCTCTCAATCCTCACGCCCTCCTCTTATCAATTCCATAAGGAAAGGGCCCAAACAGCAACAGCAGCCCCCTGCAAAGCGCAACCCGCAATTAACTCACGCCACGGTCAATGACCGGCCGAAGCCCCATCCACGCCTACCATCCGGGCCCCACAACCAGCAGGATGGCCGCCGCCGCTGCCACCTCCATCCACACCACAAACACCACCAACATCAACACAACCACAACCTCCTCCGACCGCTACTTCCCCATCAACACCGCCGTGATCCCCGGCTACGCGCGCAACAGCCCGCCTCTCTCAAACTCACTCCCGTCAGACTCGTCTTCCCTCTCGGGTAGCTACCACAGCCACCACCACAACCACCACAACCACCGCCACAACAGGGACATGATGACCATCCGCGCCGTGTCGCCCGACTGCGACGCCGCCAATGACGACGACGACGGCAACGAAACAGACGACTCGCTGGTAGCGCAGCACTCGCCGACCACGCCGCCGCGCACACCAGCGCACACGAGCCGCTTCGACATGATGGGACTGCTGGGTGGGCACCACGGGCACGGCGGCGGCGGCTCAGAGTCACCGACGGATCCAGTATCTCCAGGAGGGCTAGGACTGGGTATGGGTATGGGTATGGGCATGGGTATGGGGAAGGGGCAGAGCCGGCTGCTGTCGCGCCCGGGCTTTCTGCCGTTTGCGGACCTGAGCGTGCGTGCAAGGGACGGGGAGGGCGCACGAAGGAGGGGCACGTCGCCGACGACCGAGAGGCCGAGTACGATGGAGGTCATGATACAGCCACCCATACACTATCATAGCTCGCGGTATGTACAAGGGTTTTTGCAGGAGGGCGGGGCGACGTCGGTGGGCTTTCCGTCGACGCAGGCAATGGGGTCGGGGGCGTGCGGGTCTGGTTCTGGGTCTGGGTCTGGGTCCGGGGGGTCCGGAGGAGGGGGGAAGGTGCTGGTCAAGACGGGCAAGCAGAGGTTCCTGAGGAACCAGGCGTCGGTGAGCACGCTCAGCGCGCGGCTGACCGAGTCGCCGACCGCCAGCTCGCCCATTACACCGGCGCTGCCGCCGCCCGACACGGGGACCGTGTTCCGGCTGATGAAGGAGCTGCGCGGGCGCATGGAGGGCTACGTCGAGTACCGCGTGGGCGACAACATGGTGTGGGTCAAGGGCTACTGCCTCATCAACGAGGACACGGGAAACCTCATCCACCACCGCGATGAGATCACGTCCACGTCCGCCACCGCAACCCCGCCAACCGTCATCATCGCGGACCTCCGCGGCTGCCAGGTGAGGCCTACACAACTGCCCGACGACTCCGACAGCAGCAGCGGAATCATCGAGGTCTCCGCACACACGTCCATCGTGCCCATAAAGCTGCGCCCCCTGGACTCAACGCAGTTCACGCGCTGGCTGGCGGCGCTGCTGTGCTGGCAGCCCATCCCGCCCGCGGGGCCCCAGAATAAGATGGTGAAGCCGCAGACGCTGGTGCTGACGCAGGAGCGCAAGGTTGACCGGCGGCGCAACTCGGACGCCACGCTGTCCAAGGATGCGGCGATCATCAAGGTTGGCAAGATGCTGCTGTGGCGAAAGGGCGGGCTGAACGGCGGGCTGCACCATCATGGCCATTCGGCGGGGGGGTCCGGGGGCGGCGGGAGTGGCAGCGGCGGAAGTGGGTCAGGGAAGGGATCGTCGTCATCGTCGTCCGGGAGGAGCAGCGGCGGGAGGGGCGGCGCGGCGGGCGTAACGTGGCAGCAGATATCGTGCACGCTGCAGGAGAATGGCGAGTTTAGGATGTATGCGGAGGCGGATACGACGCTGTTGGCGGTCATCATGCTACAGCAATTGTCGAGGTGTGCGGTGCAGCAGTTAGACCCAAGTATTCTGGATAAGGAGTTTTGCATCGCTGTGTATCCGCAGTACTCGCAGCTGTCGACGAGCGGGTCGCTGGCAAGGCCGGTGTATCTGAGCATCGACAGCCGAATATTATTTGAAGTGTGGTTTGTCCTGTTGCGCGCCTTCACAATGCCGGAGCTGTACGGGCCGGCCTGCATGAACCCGACCTCGCCGTCGACCAGCTCACGCGGATTAGCGGGCATCGTCGAGGGCCAGGATATGGGCGACGGCCTGGTGGACTCGTACCGCGTGCAGCGTAGCCTGTTTCTGCGCGTCGTCGAGGCCAAGATCACGATGCCCGGCGGCGGGCTCGATAGCCTGAAGGAGAACCTGGACTGCTACGCCGAGGTCATCCTAGACGGCGAGGTGCGCGCAAAGACGATGGTGCGCACAAAGACACACAACCCTTTCTGGCGTGAGGACTATGAGTTTCCCGACCTGCCGGCGAGGATGTCGGATGTGGGCGTCGTGCTGAAGCAGCGGCATCCAAGGTGGAAGACGAAGGGGTCGGGCACGGCGACGGGGTCGGGAGGAGGGTTTGGAGGTGGTTTGGGAGGAGTGAGTGTGCCCGGGAGTAAGGATGCGGTTATTGGCAGGCTGGATATATCGGATGAGCTGAGGTTCGAGGCGGATACGGAAGGCTGGTGGCCGCTGAGGTTTGAGAGGGACATAGAGGGCTGGTGGCCGCTGATGTCGTCGAATAAGGGCGCGGAGGAGAAGGTGGGCGAGATGTTTTTGAAGATTGGCATGGAGCAGTTGATTGTGCTCATGGCGCATGAGTATAAGGATATCTCAGATGTGCGTGTCTATTCTTCTTTTTCTGGGTATTGAATATGCTAATTCCTCCATTCTGTCTGTAGCTTCTGCACAACTTCACCAGCGGCATAACAATGGAGATGGCACAGGTCATCTCGCCCGACCTACGCCGCCTGGCCGACACTCTCCTGAAGATCTACCAAGTCAACGGCAAGGCCAGCGAATGGCTCATGTCCCTCGCCGAAGGCGAGATCGACGGCCTCCACAAGGAAACCATCCCCATGCGGCCCGGACTCGGGCGGCACCGCAACTCGGACGAGTCGTGCACCTCTGACCAAGACGCGCCACACCCACGGCGGGAAGTCTCAAAGTCGGCGCTGATGGATGCCAATATCCTGTTCCGCGGCAACTCGCTGCTGACCAAGGCGCTCGACTCGCACATGAAGCGGCTGGGGCGCGAGTATCTGGAGGAGACGCTCGGCGAGCATCTGTGGAAGATTGCGGACGAGGACACGTACTGCGAGGTGGACCCCTTGCGCATGGAGCCCGGGGAGAACCTGCCGAAGAATTGGAAGGTGCTGATGGGCATTGTGAATGGCATCTGGAGTAGCATATATAAGAGCCCGGAGAGGTGCCCGATTGAGCTGCGCAGGGTGCTGAAGCATATCAGGGCGTGTGTGGAGGATCGATATGGGGATCTACTGAAGAGTGTGAGCTATAGTAGTGTGTGTGGGTTTCTGTTTTTGCGGTTCTTTTGTCCGGCGATACTGAACCCGAAGCTATTTGGGCTGCTAAAAGGTGTGTATATCCATTCAATTGAGCCCCCAAAGGTTTTTTCTCTCTTTTTGTGGCAAATACTAATGATGCCCCCCTCAACAGATCACCCCGGCGTGCGAGCCCAGCGCACCCTCACCCTCGTCGCAAAGTCGCTCCAAGGCCTCGCCAATATGACCCCCTTCGGCGTCAAAGAGCCATGGATGGAGCCCATGAACGAGTTCCTGCACGCGCACACCACGGGCCTCCGCGACTTTGTCGACCACCTCACGAACATTCCGCCCACGCAGTTGTACGCGCAGGAGACCGTTCCGCCGTCGTACGCCACGCCCATCACGATCCTGTCGCGGCTGTCGCAGCCGTCAAAGGAGGGGTTCCCCTCGCTGCCGTTCCTCATCGACCAGCCGCGCGCGTTCGCGGCGCTCGTCGCAATGTGGCTCAAGTGGTGGCCAGTGCACCATGCAAAGTGCCCCGAGCACCATATTGAGGGCGATCTAGCACGGTTTCATGAGTTGTGTCTAGAGGTGAATGAGAGGATCCGCGTGTGTGTGGAGAAGGCGGAGAATGCCGAGAGGCCGTCGAGTTCGCTGTCAGCGAGGTGGGAGGAGGTGGCGGAGAAGGTGGCGGGCACGGGGGGTGGCCAGGGGGTCGGGCAGGTGCTGACGATGTTTCCGTTGTCGACGAAGGCGCATCGGGTTGTGGGGTTGGCGGCGGGGGAGGAGTGGGTGCAGGGTGGGGGTGGGGGATATGCGGGCGCGCAGGGCGGGCAGGGGAGGTCGAAAAGCAAGTTTATGAGTGGCTTTGTCGGCGGGATAAAGAAGAAGGTCAAGTCGAAGACGTATGTGGGCGATCATGATGAGGTATGACGATGGAACGGCCGTGGTGGGGGGTAAAAAAGTTTTTTTATATTTTTTATATCATATTCAGCGAGACTCTTGGGGTCTGGTACTTTCTTTTATTTTCCTTTCTTATTGTTTGTCGACTCCTCCTCTGTCTGAACCTTTTCCTTTTTATATTGATACTGGCATATAACATGTGTGGGCTCCACTCACTGTCCTAAGAGTGGATTTCTAACCCCCTTTCTTTTGTCTACTCTACCGGACTATCGCTATCACCATTTTCCCTTGTTTCTATCTTCTGGGTTTCATTTCTTTATGGGGATTCTTTTTTGATTTGCTATACTAGTAGTATTAGTTTATACCACACGCACGCGCACACTCATCCGCGCAGTTTGAGTCTCTTTCTTTCTTTTCTGTTTTTGGTCATTGGGAGGGGGAGTTCGTACCATATCATCATTACTGTTTTTTTTTTTTTTATATCTATTTTAGTATCTATTATTAACGATCGAGGGCGGCCTTCTTTTTTTCTATTTTCGCTTCTTTTCTTGTATTTTATCTGCAAATATCTCTTTTGTCGTGTGCTAAAAAAGGGTCTTCTTTTTTCATCAGCTGTTTTTTATTTTTCGTTTTTGGTAGGAGGGGGGAGTGGGGGGAAGGGCCGGCGGGGATGGATGGATGGATGGATGGATGGGGTGTAGGGTGCACAGGGGGGGTGGATTAACGGAGTAACTCTTTTTTTTTTTCAAGTATTTTTATTTTATTTATTTACAACTTTTTTGTTTGTTTTGGCGGCTTTCTTGTTGGGGTTTTTGTCTTTGTGTTGGAAGGATGTTTGGCTTTTGGCTTTTTATGATGCATGGGTGATGATTGGCAATTGGTGGTGTACTGACGGACCTTTTTTTTATTATTTTTTATTTTATCGCTATCTCTACCTCAATAGAGGCGCGGATTAGCGTTGGAGGAGCAGATCAACTGGGCGGGCAGAAGGCGAGAGAGGACCCGGGGGCGGGGGGATGGGTTTTTTCTACAGTTTTTTTTTTTTATATCTTTATTATTTTTACTATGTCTGTACTTTTCAAGGAGCTCATTAAATCAGCTAGCTACATGTAGTTAGTTAGTTAGCTTTAGAAGGGGCGGAGGATTTCGACCTCGAGTTCGATTTCGATTTCGAGTTCGATGAGGCAGCTAGGCGGCTGCGCTGGTAACTTAATGGGATAGCTAATTTGGCCCGTTTTATATTTATATCTACTAGCTGGCCTGGTGTGCATGATCGCAGCGTCTAGACAGTCCCACACTGTGCAGAGACTGCTGGGCTGTCGATAACCTTAAAGACGCAGCGCCTGAGAGAAGAGTAATACCACAGCATTACAATATAGATGTGGTGATGATAGAGAGACATCATTTAGTGTAGCTCTTAGATTGTCAACTAGTCCTTCAAACAATTAAGAGTTTTCGGAATTAGCACGAAGATAAAAGCTCTATATATGACGTCTCTCCAAGATAATCGAACAGATCTAACTATCCACAGCTTGTAATTGCAATTCTATGAATCACCTTTCTATCATTTCCGTTATTTCCACATCAATCAAGTGAGTGTAGATAGCCTGTAAGAGATTCTTCAGTGTTTTGTAGTGGCCAAGATGGAAAATGCTGACGGGGATTTCAATAGTATGTATGTCACAAGGGAAATGATCACCATGACCACTTCTGCTTATGTCAGAACCCACTCACCTGCGGATATCCCCGTTCCCGTCACGTGCTTTCGTATTTCCCAAGCTCTCGTCAACAATTCCCAGTCCACAACCTCTCCATCTTCATCCCAATCCCATAAATCCACCCACATACCTCACCGCCATCACCAAAATCTCACCACCACCACGAAACATCCATCTTCCCCCAAAAGACACAAACACAGACACAAAAACAAGACAACACAAAAAAACACCATGGACATCCCCATGCTCGACATCCCCGACTCCCCCCCACCCACCTCCATCACCACCCCCACAATCCCGCAAAAGCGCCCCTCCGCCCCCACCACCGACGACGCCGACGCCCTCCTCCCCTCTCGCAGCAAGCAGCCCCGCGAGAAGAAGGACTCCTGGAAGAAGAAGGAGGCCTCCGCCGCCGCCGCCTCCAACACCGCCCTGACCACTGCTGGAAGCTCAACCTCCACCAATGCTGCAGCAGCCACAGGGACGGCCTCGGGGAAGCACACGACGGGCCACAACACCCCCGGCGGCGCTGGTGGCACGGGGGCGAACGCGGCGAGCTGGCCGACGCTGAATAGATGGCGTCTGCCGCCGCCGAAGGAGCAGGACTATTTTGGCCATAGGGCACCGCCGATGATGCCCGTTACGGAGATTCCGGACCTGCCGGAGGAGTTTTATGTTGTTAATGACCAGTCTGTCCCCCTCTTCCTTTCCTCTCGGAGTGATTTTGTGCAATTGGAGCACTGAACGACTGACTGACTGACTGGTTTGACAGCGCCCTCAACCGCCGCGGCTTCCGCTACGTCCCCTGCGAAGCCTCCCGCCTCCTCCCCACCGTCACCTACCGCCAATCCGAATACGAGCCCTTCACCCCGCGCATCAACTACGAAGACATGAACGCCCAAGTGCTCGTCAACGCGCCAGGCACCGCCATCACCACCTCAAAGGGCTGGCGCATGGCGCGCGCCAACATCGGCGTCCGCGAAGGCGACTGGTACTACGAGTGCAAGATCCTGCGCGGCATCCCGTCCCCCACCGCGCCACCAGGCACCTCCAACAGCGGCGGACACGTGCGCGTCGGCTGGGCGCGGCGCGAGGCGCCGCTCGACGCGCCAGTCGGCTTCGACGGCCACTCGTACGGGCTGCGCGACGCGAGCGGCCAGAAGGTGCACATGAGCCGGCCCAAGGACTTTCTCGGCGCCGACTTTGTGACGGGCGATGTGATTGGGCTGCGGATCTGTGTTCCGCCGCTGTCTGTGCAGCGGGGGCTGAGCAGCGATGCGGTTGCGCGGAGCGCGGATATCATCCGCGACCGCATCCCGATCCGGTACAAGAACCAGCTGTGGTACGAGCAGTTTGAGTACCAGCCCACAAAGGACATGGAGGAGCTGATGAACCCGTCGCCGGGGACGAAGCCGTCCGCGCCGCCCAAAACGCTGCCGGGCAGCTGGATCAAGGTGTATCGTAATGGCGAGTACGTGGGTACGCCGTGGGAGGACCTGTATGCGTTTTTGCCGCCGGCGTCGAGGCCGTCGGCGGCGATTGGCGGGAGGGAGCTGGATGATGGGTCGTTGGGCTACTATCCGGCGGTGTCGGTGTTTAGGGGCGGGGTGGTGGACACGAATTATGGGCCCGACTGGTGGTGCCCCGTGGAGGGGTTGAAGGAGGAGGGGTGTCGCCCGATGTGTGAGCGCTATGCGGAGATGATTGCGGAGGATGCGTTGTGGGATGTGGTGGATGAGGTGCATTTGCTGTTTGAGGGCCCGGGGCCGACGACGGTGGCCGCGGCGGCGGCGCCGGTGCAGGTGAAGGAGGAGATTAAGGAGATGGTGATGGAGGATGAGTAGTTAGACAATGGACTGGATTGGATCGGACTGGGCATTTCTTTTACTGATATTTCCTACTTCTTTTGAGTGACTGACTGGCTAGCATGGGTGTTACTGGACCTTTTATCTTTTTTGATATTCTTTGTATAGTTCTTTTTTTTTCTTCCTTTTCTTCTTTTCCAGTAGTGTGTAATCCCCCAAAATTAAAGGCAAGCATAAATAAAAATAGAAAAGCATTTATTAATCATAAAGAAAAGAAAGAAAAAAAGAGCCTAGAAATTCATTACTCCATAAAACACAAAACCCCCCTCTATCTACCACCTTCCCCTTCCCCTTCCCCTCTTCCCCACTACTCCAAGTCCCTCCTCACCCCAAAGAAATAATTCCCCACCTTCTCGCCCCCCTTCACCTCCTTCCAGCCCAACCCTGGGAGGTACATACATCCCATAGTGACCATCCCCCCACCGCTCCCCCAGTTCTTTTGGGCGCGGAAGAAGCCCTCGAGCTCCTCCGCGTTCAGGTACTTGTTCCAGTCGTGCGTGCCGCGCGGAACAATCCCCAGGACGTCTTCGGCCACAAAGACCGTCGTCAGGTACGAGATCCAGGAGCGCGAGATTGTGGAGAGGCACAGCCAGCCGCCGGGGCGCACGTGCGACATGGCGGTGTAGAGGAAGGCGTGCGGGTGTGGGACGTGTTCGATTACTTCCATCATTGTGACCTGTGGTGGGGGTGTTAGTTATGGTTTGGCAAGTTTGAGGGAGGAAGGGGGAGGGGAGAGGGAAAGTGGAGAGGGGTGGTTATCGACGGGGCGAGACGGGAAAAGCGTGGAGTGGTCATTGACCGAAGTGAAAGAAAGCTGCAGGACAGTCCTTTCCCTCCCTCCCTTCCTCACTCTCACCCATCCCACCACAACCTCTCACTCGTCCCACCCGTCCCAATTACCCCCCTCCCCCCCTCTCCTCTCCCCCACCAAAAAGCAAGAAGAAAACCCACCACATCAAACCCCCCCCTCTCCTCCCCCTTCAACCGTCCCCCCAACTCCTCCACCACACAATTCTCATACCTCAACCTCCCCCCTTTCACCAACCCCGGATCCATCCTGCGATGCGCCTCCGCCACCTCCAACACACCACTACTCGCATCCACGCCCACCACGCTCCTCGTGCTCTTCAGCCTCGCCAGAGCCTCCGCCAATATCCCGCCCCCACAGCCGATATCCAGATACCGCAGCCCCCCTCCTCACTCTCGCGGTGGCCCTGCACAGCCGCAATGGGGTCTGCACCAACGCTCTCGGTGCCCCGCGCGCTGGGCGTCGGCGGAACGGGGGTGCCGCGCAGAAGGCAGGTCTGGATGAAGTGCAGGCGCAGCGGGTTCATGAGGTGGAGGAGCCGCGAGGAGCCGTGCGGGTCCCACCATGTGGAAGCGAGGCCGTCAAAGTGTGAGATCTCGGTGGGATCGACGGAGGTGCCGCTGCCGGTGGAGTGCTGGCGGGAGAGGGGGAAGGCGAGTGGGGCCCGCCGGAGGGGCGTGCTGAGGGGGAGGGTTTGGGGGAGGCGGCGGAGGAGGCGGGATGACATTGTTTTCTGCTTTTTGGGAGTTTTGGGCGTTTTGGTTGGCAGTGGGGCGGGGTTGGTGATAAGAGTTGGAGATAGTTATCGTGATTGTTACTTACTATGGAGGTGAGGTAACAGGACCCCTAACCCTGAGGTGCGATTGAGGGGAATGGCTGATGATAATTGTTGGCATTACATGAGAATGTCTTGGATTCTTCCTCTTTCCCGGTTCTCTTTTCACGGATTCCTGGATCTGGAATTGAGGCTTCGGGAGTGGAAATGTGACGATTCACATGTTTCAATTCGCATGTCTCACTTGGCCGGGAGTGTCTTGTCTTATCAATTGACACTAACGATGCTTCTTTCTACCAATTCTACCTCTATGCACGCCCACGGCAAAACGAAGCCAGTCAAACGCCATCTACTGAATACTCCTCAGCTCATTCCCCCTTGCAAACTCCACCCCCCTCTCCACCACCCCCACACCCTCTCCGCCACCACCCCAACCTCCGCCCCCGCATCTACGACCCCCCAATCGCCGGCATCCCTTTCATCTCCCCTCATCATGCGAAACATCTCCCTGACCCTCCTCTGCACCTCCGGCACCTCATACCGCTCCTCCCCGAAACCCCCGCGCTTCGCCGCCTCCCCCTCGTCCAGGTCCATAAACACGATCACATCCGGCCGCGGCAGCCCCACCTCCGGCCCGCGACAATACTCGTAGTCAAGCCCCTTAGCGGCGCTGAACACGACGCCCGAGTACATGTAGCGGTCGAGAACGACGGTCACGCCTGCGGCAATGTCGGTACGGATGGAGTGTGCGAGCTCCCAGCGGTTGGCGGAGAAGAGGAGGTGGATGGTGTGGTCGTCGATGTCGGTCGCTGAGGTCAGGTAGGAGTTGATTAGGGTGCCGATTGTGGTGGTGCGGTCTGGCTTGGTTAGCAGGTGGAGCTCCGGGCCCGGGGTTATGGGAGTGAGGCGCGGTACATACCTGGGAATTTCTGGAGGCGCACTTTGTGCCCGGATTGCTGCAGACGCTCGACGAGGAGGGCACATTGGGTGGATTTTCCGGCGCGGTCGAGGCCTTCGATGGCTATGAGGATGCCTCGTGGGGGGGCGGTGGCGGTTTCGGTGGATGCCATATTTGGATATTTGGTTTATTCTAAATGTGGACGACGTTGAGGGTTCGAGAGCTGTCAAGTATGTGCGGTTACCCTACTTAGGAGCTCTGGAGCTCTGGGGTCGGGTTTGGAAGCTTGTAATGTTTCCTATGAGTGGGTTGGTTGTGATTATATTGATATTCGTTGGGGTGAGTATGTCGTTGTAGAACATTGGAGCTAACGTGGTGTTAGATATTGGTGAAGAGATGTTGCCAGAGTTTCGTTACGGAGTTTCACTAGTAAATTGTTATATAAAAGGACCTATCCCAGTTGCAGGCCTACGGTGACCTATGAGAGGCCAGGACGAGAGACTTCAAGGACCTAAAGCCGGAATACAACACTGGAGGCCTTCCCAACAATGGTCCCCGTAATTACTGGTAATCCATGGAACGGTCTCAAATGGCAAGGAACTCTACACCTGCGAGTCAGTTGAATCCAACACTTTCGACACCCGAGTGATAATTGATGATGGAGAAATATCCATATCTTCTTTCGCCAACAGATATTATACACATATTCTGTTGATGATGCCCTGATTTTGTATTTATAAAGAACCACCATTCCATTTACGTTCTTGCAGCTAATCCTGCACCTAAACTAGGTTTTTAACACGACTTGTCTTAGAGAACATCTTAGCTTCCAGATTCGTCATATTTCTAGTCTCTGTGCTGAGAGTTTAACGAACCCGAGGTTTCAGTATGGTTTTATGGTTCCAGGGTTGCGGCCTGTTCCAATCGATATTAATGTCGATCGTCGGGCTCTCTTAAGCGCAATACGTTATAGGTGTTGTAGGTACAGATTACTGCCAGTTCAGAACATCAAATCAAGCAAACAATCAAATAATACCCTCAGCCTCTATAGAGACCTTAGGAAATTATTGAGCTTACGCTGACGAGCGGAGCTGTGTCTAACATCCCCTCATAGTTTAAACATATATTGCTATAGACCTTTCTTTTCAATAGAGGAGGTTCGTGTCGTTGTGTAGTAATATCCCCCTTAAGATTCTAGGCGGTAGGTACTTTGAAGCTGAAGCTCTGTTGGCCGATCACATTCTATCACTCGAGCCTTGGCAAGTCTCTGGGCTTGTCCCTCCCGATGCAATGGTTCCACCACAGATTATGTCGTAATATCGATAGTGCAGGGGCTCTGTAGCACTCGGGCTTAACATGCCTAGATCACATGTCCCTTGGTAGCTGATGTCTTCTAGAGTCACACATATTGAGTCCCTGCGGCCAATTATTAAGCCCCGGGGATGATTGGTTATCTAAAGAGTTCATAGACTTAGTTAGTGGCTCTTACGATGCCTCTAAATAGAGGATATTCCTTGCTGCTATTATGGCTTAAAGCTATAATTGAACAGAATATCTTCTATTTAGGAGTCTCTCTCCAGTGAGCATGTGCGTCTATTTGGTTACTCTAGGACTGCATAGAGCCAGATATATATGGGGTTCCAGCGTATGCTCTCTTTGAGTATCAGGCAATCCATGGCCAAAGCCGAAGATAGCGAGCAGAGATAATATTCTGAATCTCCTATTCTCTTCTCCCTGTTTACCTTTCTTCCCCGAAATTCTGATACCTTCCAGTCAACCGGACACCAATTAGATGCACCCCAAAAATACCGGTGTTGGAAGAAGATTATTTCCTAAAGCTCTCACAAGCCAACACGTGCATGCATACCTATCGTCGTCCCGACCTGCAGCAAAGGCACCGGGTTTCAGATAGCTTTAAACGGATGTCGTGAAACCATTGGATCAAATATCTGTATCCATGTAGGTTTTAGATTAAAGTTATTCCCGCGGGTACCTCTCCTCGGAAGGCGCGTCTATATTCCATATACAGGAGCCGGCTGCCACCTGGGCATTATATTATGCTTCTGCGCCGTAAAGTAATTAATAGCCAGTAAAATCCTGCAGTGCATAGATGCTGTATATCACCATGCTAAGAGAGATATCCCCTTTAAAACGTGCTTCATTGGAGAAACAAGGTTGAGTGCCCATGTATATGGAGCAGCTGTTATGTGTTTAGATGCAGGAGATCCCGAAATCAATGTGGGGATAGGCAGTGGTATGGGAAAAGCCGAAACTACATGTATCAACGATTGAAGACCGGTTGTAACGGTTACCCGGCACAGCAAAGCAAGGGTCGTTTCCCAGCATTTTGGAATACGCCTAGGGCTAACTTCCAAGTTGAAAAGTTTTCTCTGGGCGAAGTCAAGGTAGGTGCAGGGTGACACCAAATGCTGTATGACCTCAGAGAATTGATTATCGTTTTCGTCTTTGCGGGGCACGTACGGCATTGATACGGCTTGACCGCTAAGGAAAGCCAAAACCGCCCAGCGAATTCGAATTGAGTGTTGTAATATTGCGAATCACTTCCTCTTAGATCGCTCAATTCCTTAGTAGTCGTTCGAAACCCGTGTAATTAAATTCTTCTGGGGTCCAAAGACTTTAGAAATAGAAGAATGAATTAAACAAAAAAAAAAAAAATAGAAATAGAAGAGATCAGCATGAACCTTTAAGGCAAGACCGGTGTCTGGCAAAAATACCTCGTTATATTATCAAGCCAATCGTTTTGTACCCCGCTTTCTGCCCAGCCAGATTAAAACTGTTGATAGGCTAGAGGGAATCCTTGTAAACCTCTTTAACTGATGGCAGAGGAACTGTTAATACAAACGTTTGTGAGCACTGAGAGGTGCTCTACAACGGCACGTTCCCCCCCGAACAAAGACTTGTGGATGCATATCATGCGTCCATGGAAAGACACGGCTCCCGTGGACTCTTCCTCGGAGAACGGAGGCCAGAGTAGCTCTCTTGTGTGCCTTTGAGGACAGGAATTATTGTAAGGTGGTTACGTACTTATCATCGTTATCCGGGTGCTTATTAACTGGCCGAGTGATATTAAATGACGCCTAATAAAAAAGAGTATCCTGGTAAATCTTTACTAATTTTGGTAAGGTTGCGGGGGGGGGGGGGGGGTGGGGACGTAATACTGGTGGTATATAAGTTCTCTTGCCCCTCCTTCCCTCTCCCATCTTCTCCCACTCTTTCACACTCCAATCATTCGGATATCTTTGAAACACTACAACAGGTTCGAGCTTTTGCATCATCCACATCCAATGGCAGGTAGAAATATTCTTACTAAATTTTCTAGATAACAACCCAACCCAATGTACGTCGGAGACTCTTACGGTGTCGACGGGGAAGGCGATGGGTCTTTTTGAAAGAATATATCATATGGTCAAGGTAGCTATTATAGAAGAGCATTGCGGGTGTTCGGTCGCTTCCTTCAGGCATTGGCTGCTCTATGAGTGGTGAATGCAAGATGGTTGGGACCGTTCTGAGATTATACCGTACAAGAACTTGATCTAGATAATTCTAGCGAAAGGAACATGCTTCTTCGTCCCCAATCGTCCCATTCTCGTGTAAGTCGAGATTGCTGACTTGGTGTAGAACCATGTCTACTGACAAGATCACCTTCCTCCTTAACTGGCATGCCACCCCCTACCATGCCCCGGTCTTCCTTGCTCAGAAGTTGGGATACTTCAAGGAAGAGGGCATCTCAGTTGCTCTCCTTGAGCCCAACGACCCATCAGGTAAGCCTTTTATAAAAGCTAATTGTTCTTTGTATCAGAAGATTAACATAAAGATAGATGTCACCGAGATCATCGGCAGCAACAAGATCGATATGGGTTTCAAGGCCATGATCCACACCCTTGCCGGAAAGGCCCGTGGATTCCCTATCATGTCCATTGGATCCCTTCTTGACGAGCCCTTCACTGGTGTTGTCTACCTCAAGTCCAGTGGTATCACCACCGACTTCAAGTCCCTCTACGGAAAGCGTATTGGATACGTCGGGGAGTTCGGAAAGGTAAATTAATCCTATAACCAAAATCAATTGACCCTCAATTGCTAATTAATGATGCCTCTAGATCCAAATCGATGAGCTCACTAAGCACTATGGAATGACCCCCAACGACTACACCGCCATCCGCTGCGGGATGAACGTCTCCAAGGCCATTATCAACGGTGATATTGATGCCGGTATTGGTCTTGAGAACGTCCAGATGGTCGAGCTTCAGGAGTGGCTCTCTTCCCAGGGACGCCCTACCGATGACGTCCAGATGCTCCGTATCGATGAGCTCGCCGAGCTCGGATGCTGCTGCTTCTGCTCCATCCTCTACATTGGTTTGTTGCCGCGGGCCTCCCAGTTACAAATATATAGACTGTGTTAACAAATCTGTCTGTATGCAGCCAACGAGCAGTTCATTGCCGCCAACCCTGAGAAGGTCAAGGCCTTCATGAGGGCTTGCAAGAAGGCCACCGACTTTGTCCTTGCCGAGCCTGAGAAGGCCTACGCCGAGTACATCGACATGAAGCCCATCATGGGCACCACTCTCAACCGCAAGATCTTCGAGCGTTCATTCGCCTACTTCTCCCAGGACCTCCAGAACGTCAAGCGTGACTGGGTTAGTACCAATACCTCTCCTGCGTGCAAACAACAAATACTAACCATCGAATAGACCAAGGTCACCAACTACGGAAAGCGTCTCGAGGTTCTCCCCGCTGACTACCAGCCCAACTACACCAACGAGTTCCTCAGCTGGCCCCTGCAAGGCGAGTCTGCCGACCCTCTCGGTGACCAGAAGAAGATGGCTGCCCACCAGGCTGCTATTGCCCAGAACGGTGGATGCAGGAGGTGCGGTGATGCCGTTGCCCCTGCCAGCTTGGTCTCCGCCTAGATGGTCAATTAGTTAGTTAGCTTTTTTTTTTTTGCTTCTGATCGAACTTGATCAGATGTATCGTTCAATTGAAGTTTTTTTGATTAATTTTGTGCTTGTGAATCGTGATTGTGACCTGATCCCATTGGCAAGGCTCGCCCTGCACAACTGGATAAACTGGCATATGCGAACCAAACCGCTACCATTTCTGAAATTCTGAATGCAAATATGTCTGGGCGAACGATCCCTACATACAGATTAGGGCCGGACAGTGAAAAACAATTCTCCGAGCTTATTAAATAAACCCTTATCCCCAAATCGGAATATCTCCGGCGCTCGGAATCCGGCTCGTCCAACTAACCCGAAAAACAATTGGACTTGACTAAGGCTAGGCTCTTATCTGTTATCGACATGCTACACCCTCTCAAAACACCCGCGTCTGATGATTGGTTTCCTCCATAGATAACCAACCTGAAAATCCTCTGAATACGACAGCGATTGAGCGCTTGTCCAACTATGACTTCAAGTAGCAAGATACGGTTATGCCATTCCTTAACTACCCTAATATGCGCTAAAACTAAGCCAATGTGATATCCCACAAACATCATTCAAATACGTAAAACCAACAAAAAGGCCATCGCTAGTTGTCATACCCGGATACATAGGGCATAACCAAGCGACACCAAGATCGACTCTTTACTCCGTAAATCATGCCTGCAACTCGTTACTCCAGAATGAAATTTCAAGAAAGAAAAATCGCAGCTAAGAGATTTATCTCTAGGAGAGTTGCTTTATCCCTCTTTACCCCCGCCATAGCCATACAGCAAGAAAAAGATGCAAACGCTCAAAAAGAAAAGGAAAGGAAAAAAGGATAAGGAAAAATATGAGTACAAGATAAAGTTAATCACCCCTGCTCATCTCCCAAACTAAACCGGAACTAAAAATAAAGGAAATGCATGAATGTTAAAGATGTAGCTTCTTAGCACTCGAGCATTGGATAGTGGCTAGATCATTCAGTGGTAGCTTTGTACAATATCGTGGTCACATACTAATAATCCGCACAATCAGTCTCTTTTCAATCATTGGCTTTCTGTCAAAATGTACCTTCTTCCTGTATCTCGTGGTAGCGCTCACAGCAAGAACCTGCTGTTTGATGCTACTGGTAGCAAGATGGTTTAGCACGACATGGTTCGGGATGCCCAGTACACTGGCATCATCCTTCATTGCGCCGTTCGTATTCAAGATGACTTTTTGGAGCATCATCGGCAGACTCGGGGGTGCCGGTATATCACCCTCATTCGATCCAATCTTTCTTCCATGGTCCTCATCGTCACCATACCCGTCGATAAAATCTCTAAGGAAGCCAGGTATCTCGTTTGTGTAACGCTTATTGGCCTTTACGAGTCCCGCCATGATGTTTTGTTGATGTGGAGGGTGGTCTGTGTGGTGATGACCATGAGGATGAGCATTTGGTGAATTAAGGGATTCTGGCGTCAGTTGACGGCCAAGAGGAGGCATGTCGTCGGCATTGACCTCAAGGTAATTGACAAGGATGCCGGTATGATCGACAGCGGTAGGAAGGGCATCGGATGTGCGCATATCCCCGTCGACGATGAATTTAAGGTGGTGTGTTCCGGGGGGGAGAGGAACGACAGCCGACCAGTTATCATCGTTTGCGCTAGGAGACGGGGGTGGAGAGTTTAGCATGTGTGATTTTGAGGTAGATCTCCACATGTCGAGGTGTATAAGAGGGGAATGGGGTGAAGGGAGTGAAGATATAAGGGTCGAAGGACATACCTTCTGCTGAGTTTGAAGCGTTTTCTCCAGTTGGAAAAGGTCCCGGTAACATATACCCTGTCCTCGTTGGCATGCGGCCATTGTATAAGTGTGGGAATCGTCCTGGTATCTGCCACATCGACATCGTCTTCATCGATAGTGGCAGTCGATGCCATGCTGCCTCTCCTCGGCATTCCATCCGCACCCACTCCAGCCACAGACGGCGGCAGCGCAGACCCTGGGGGGATATCATCATTACCAACCGCCCTACCGGAAGCAATCGTCAACGGCGTACTCGGGCAGTCTTTCTTGTGGGGACCAATATGGGAGCTTTAGATGAGGTGTCATCGTCATCGGGCAGCGGCTTGGGGTTCCAATTTGCGTTCGCCCCAGACCCGGAAATAGTCTCGGCGATGCTTTCCCTGCGGGAATACCTGGGATCGGGATTCCGCGCGGATAAATTATCCTCGTTTTGAGGACCTACACCTGCGGGTAGGGACGTGGGCTGGTGCCTTACGGAAGCAAGGGGCTGAAGGCTATTCCTTCGACCACTTTTATTCCGGGACGCGTCAGACGCGTTGGAGACGGCACGGGCAGGAAGGTTAGCTGCAGGCGGCGATGACTGGGCAGAGGTGGGAGACGAGTGCGATGATTGATGGAAGAGATGATGGTGATGTTGGTGAGCCTGTGGAGGAGGCTGCTGCTGCTGCTGCTGCTGCTGTTGCTGTTGCTGCTGCTGCTGCTGCTGCTGCTGCGGGGGACGGGAGGGGTTATTGCCCATGGCTACTTTGTTGCAGCGGGGTGGTAGGGGGGGTCTGTTCAGTGGTAGGCTGAAGGGAATTCTTGATAAGGCCTATCCCGAAGTTGGTGATATTTGGGGGAGGGGAGTTAGAGCTGTTTGCTGGGAATAGCAGATGTGATGGATGGTTGTGGTGATGCAGGTATGTAGATTAGGCCAAGGCAGGCAGGTGTGTCACGACGTTGAGATGGATGGAGGTGGAGAGGGGGGGGGGGGTGTGGTTGTTGCTCGTACTAGTGGTGGAACGGTTGGACGAACGAACGTAATGCGAATAATGAAACGAGTGAGAGCTCTTAATTAATTATCGATTAGATACAATTCCAGGGCGACGGTAGCAGTAATCAATGCACGCAGAATACAAGTATGAGATAACAAAACTCTTGCAGCGGCAGCTGATTGATATTGATATCCACTTCATTTTGTATGGGCCTGAGAAGTTACACTGCGTGATTGTTTCTATTAAGGCTACTAGTACTATGCTGCTACATGTACTTATCACCATGTCACACTCAGACTTCGGTACTCTATGTACTCCTACTGCTGTCCATATTGGCAAAGAACTCAAGACGCAATTCTAGAGTTCTTCAGCGATGTGCTGCGACGGATATATGTATGTGCAGCGTGCTCTGCGCTCCGCCCATTGCATTAACAGCAGGGAGGCATCGGACAGCTCGGCTAAGAAGCTCTTCCCTTCTCCCCCGCCAAGTTCCCCACAAAACTCCCCGGTCAGCTTGGCGCATCCCCGGGGAATTCAGCCTGTAATAGGCACTCAGTTATTACCAAGTGCAATTAATTGCAAAGAAAGCCTTCATGCGCCCGATTAGTTCTTAATAATAATAAAGTACAGGCGTCAATTTCGCGCAAAACATCGACCGATGGTGAGCGTGAGGTGTTTAATCTGTGCCGTGGATGATCATGACGTATAGAACGTGGTTCTTGCAGTGCCGAGGCAATAATGGGTTATGTGCATGCATAATCACTCGTGGGTTAGGGTTAATTGAAAGTGATATAACATCGAGTGTTGAGGAAGGGATTTTGTCTGGAGGAAAGTGCTAATCCTAAGCTGTCGTTCGATTGGGGTTACTATGGGTGGAACGAGTCGAATACTGAAAACCATACTGGCATGTAAGGCTATGGTTATGAAAGCGTTCCAGGCGGATGGATTCTGAGCCATTGCGGTGACTACAAAGCTCTGAGAGTGAGAATGAATTATATCAATTGGCCTCGTGTGCAAATACCACGATTGTTTCGGGTAATTACAGCTGCACATCCCAACTCGATTGATAATGAGGAGCAATGTTTCCCTTCGCTTGTTAATCCCGATCATGATGAACATGATATTATTATATACTCTCAATATATTCAGGGCGAACCTTTAAAAGGTGTGTTGATGTTTGGATCTTGGTTGAAAACCTGCATATACATACCAGTGGTAAGGCAAGTATACCGAGCTAACCAATCTAGGGCCTGAAGCACTCTCGATGTGGAAACCTTATTTATTTCGTCAGGCTCTTGTAAACCAGTGTTGTGTAACAATGCGTATATACAATACCTACATGTACTTTCCCGATGTTCGCGATTGAAGAAATATACCAAGAGATTTATGCGGGTCACGATGCTTCATGGTGAAACAGAACGATAGAAAAACCAAGAGTGGCGAGTAGCACTTAAGCTTGCAATCCTGATAAAGTAGTTCGACCACAGGCCCACCAATATTGTGAAACTGTAAGTTTTAGAAAAGGGATGAATACCGGGACCCGTCATCTCATTAATACGGCCCACGACTAGACCGCGATTTTCTACTGTTTGTTGGCTTGGTATTGCCGGAATTAGCAGGGGTAGTATATAATGGGTGATTCCTATATACGGTCTATGTCCGCGGCCGCCGGTATGCCCGCCTTCTATTAATTCCAGTCACGCCACAGTCACGCTTTAAATTTATTTGTCACGTGTATGTATATGCTTCATATGATCATATATACCCCCCGTACTATGCTGTGAAATAGCCACTAAAGTAGATATTTACTAAGGGACCGGGTCTAGGAAGATTGTGTACTTCTATTTAAGTCTGTAATTCCGGGTCCTATATTAAAATAAGGTTATATACAGCGCGAATATATGGATTTTCAGTGCAAAATCCATGGTACCGCTATGCATGCGTTTTCACGATACGTTAATCATTAAATGGTCGGGTATCGTTGCAACCAAATCCCTACTAAGGATGAGTAGTAGGCAACTTTTACTCGGTAGTACACCTAACCCTCATTCCATGAACCTCTTTTGCTGTGAAGGCACCTTCTGTCATAACTCCTCTTATATATACTTATTCTAGTGCCTCCACAGTCTGTAGGTAGGTAGCTAGGTTTTCTGCATATCACTACGCCATCGTGGGCCTAATATGTCTCCCTTTTTGCACTGACGAACGAAGGGATATGGTGGACGCCGCCTTGCAATACCAGAATAAAACAAATCTTGACTGATCTGAGACTTACTAAAAACGCCAAGAATACTGAGAATTATCAAATAACTCCCAGGGAATGAATCAATTTCGATTTCAAAAGCTCTTCATAGAGCTATGTGTCTTCTCCCCCCCCGCATCCACATATGAACCGTTTCTCTATTCCGGTGAGAGTGGATGCGAATTAAACGTCGGGGTCTATTCCTTGAGAAAGGTTGGGTGTGTATTCCTCATACCCGGCCCTCGCACGTACCCTCTTAAACAAACGCAAATATCAATGAAAGACATGTGTCTTCGATTTCAAACACGTGAATGTCCACGCAAACCCTCATGGCGGCTGCCTCATTTGATGCATACATGTAAAACAATGGTATAAACAAGTTTAATTTCTGTCTACTTACATCTAAGCACTCATTTGCAGAATATATTATGCCGTATTTATGTAAGTAAAGATACGTGTACCTATAGTATAAGGGGAGCCCGCACCGATAACAAAGAACCACATCTGTACGAAGATGGGCGTACAACATTCTATTTACAGTCACAACCATGGTTGCCACGAGCTAGCTGCTTACGCTTATACCCAATACAGTCGAGTGACATTCTATGAATACGCTAGACCACAATCAAGGGCTAAGTACATGTATCCTTCGCTTACGATTGTATTGTGTAAACAGCTGTATACAATATGATAACTAACTCAATTGATCAAGGTTCATCTTCACCTCTATCATGTCACGAAACCCAACTTTCAACCACCTCCACTTTCAACCACCTCCACTTTCAACCACCTCCACTTTCAAACCCACAATCACTTTTTTTCCTTTCAAGAAACATGTAGGTTCCAACATACATAACGCACCCCTCCAATTAAGCCATGTATACAACGAAGCCTGTACCCCACCTGCTCTGTACTAGCCAAGTAGCTTACACCTCTCGTCCCCTCTCAAGTCTTCGCATACTCATACCCACACCACCACCAAAAGCAATGATGCGGCAACCAAAACCCCGCAAACATGGGCGAAACAACTCCTGCCAACAGGCATATGGCAGTTGCACAAACAGCTTTGTGGTCCCTCTGATTCCATGGCCATTTCCGACTCCTCAATCCACTCCAGCGCCATGGGTGGTCGAGAAGGACGAGAGGCCGGCTGTGGAGGAACCAAAACCAATACCTGTTGTCCGTCTCTCTAGTGATACTACGGCGTCTTCGAGTAAGGTTGAGGCAAATAAGATTGAGACATCAAAAGTAAGTCACTATTTAGAGCCATTAAGAAAGCGCGTTGAGACCCCCGCACCGAGACTCGAGGCTCAAACGCGTGTCGTCATCAATCTGTCATCCATCGTGAAAAGCTTACACACCCCACGTGATAAATATTTCTGTCCCTTCGATACTCCCAATTCTATTGTCCTTCTGAAGGATTATACTAACACTTCTATCTACAGCCATCGTTGTCACCCGAACTCCAGGCCGCAAGAGAACGAGCCTTAGCATCGCTCAAGGCCGCACGAGCAATCCGCTCTCAGTCTGAAGAGAGAGAGAAAGAAAAGGAAAGGGAGAAAGAGGCGGCGCTACAAGAACTTTGGAAACAATCTAAATCCGAGTTTATCGAGTTCTCTTCACGACGACGGAAACAATTTAAAGAAAGCGTAATTGAAAACCAGAAACTCCAGCACAAGAGGGCTAGAGACATGGAATGGGCAGCAATTACGAGACGAGTTAAGCGTATCGAGACCAACATACGAAAAGAGCGAGAGAGAGAAGAGAGGCAGAGAGAGATGGAGGAGAAGCAGAGAGAGGTGGAGGAGAGGAAGAGAGAGATGGAAGAGAGGCAGAGAGAGGTAGAGAGGAAGCGAAAGATTGAATTGGCGGAAGAGATTTGGAGGAAAGAGAACGAAGATGTTGTGGACTATGTTTGGGAGCTGTGAGGACTGTATTCGTTACGTTATCACCTCCAGTATTTTTTCGTTGTTTATATTTCACTCCTGTTTGTTTATATCTTACCGCGCTGTTGTTTTTTCTGTTTCCTGATTGATGGAGCTTAGGTTACGCTTGGGATGGATTTTATTATTTTGTTGAATATTCTCTTCTTTCTCTTATCCTGCTTTCTTTTGGGCATTTTCTTAGCCATGACTTTATTTTGGTTTCATGTACAGGTTTGGGAGTTGGTTCGATCATGGGGAGTAGACAAAAGGCCCGGCATTACTGCGCGTGAGCACTAGCTCACGCGTACTCATCAGCTGCGTGCTATAGAAGGCAGTTAACAGCGATGGGCTATAACGAAATATAGCAAATTTATTCAATCATAATTTGTGAGCGACTGATATTGGCAAGTGAATTCTCATGGGCTTTATTAAATTATGGAGAATAGCAGTCTTTCCCGCTACACCCGCACACGAATGTGATATTTAAGATTACAGAAAGGTGGCATCACTACTGCACATAAAATATCTTACTACCATAATTCATCATTCGCCCAGTTGAAGGCCTAGACTCAAGATGAGGAGTCAAGCACTTGATATTGATACTGCCAAGCCTCGAGTGATACCTTATGATGATGTCGCTCATATTTCGGTTTTTATTTCCTATAAGTCGATCTCTCTCAAGGGTACGTATATTTTTTGCCGATTTTGCCGCGCCCACTAACGCGGCCAATCACAGGACATTCATGAATATGTTAGCAAATCTTGTTTGAGATGTTAATGATAGAACAGTACCGGTCACTTTTATTGTAAAGTTTCTTGACCTTCGATTTGCATGGGTCAAGGTTTCATTTCTCTAGCTCAGTATAAGACACTAGAAGATCGATATCCCTGCCGTATGATCGACAATTGCAATTACATCTCAGAGAATAGAAATTTGTGAGCATGCTATTAGTATACTATAGCTAATTGATCATAGTCTATTTGAAATTTGTTAATCCCAGAACTTGCTGTCGATGGTGAAATTCTCAGTACAAGGCCGCATTGTATCTATAATCACCGGAAATCACTCGACTAAAGAGAATTCAACAGATAATCGTGTCTTGAATATAGTATAGAAAGACTATTTTCAATGGGTGATATAGGTAGTGACAGTTCAATATTAGAGGTGCTATTAACAAAATCGCAGTTCCAAAAAAACCGGGATCTTGAGATTAGTGGGGGTGTACTTCTTTCTACGTATCTAAGACACTCTCACAGTCCGACATGCCAAGGTCAACTTCTAGGGTGAAAATTCTCGGCTGAGATTGGATTTTTATGTCCCCTTATCTTTCAGGGGACAACCAGAAACAGATACAATGGGAGAAACGCTGCCGGTTCTGAGAGGTCAATTCCACATACAATAGATGAGAAAACCAGTTGTACCGCCGCACAGTCGTGACAGTGAGTGACTCAGAGAAATTCCCATGATCGAATAATTCCCCCTCGCAACAGTCATTCAATTACCCGATTTTAGTCCAATCAGAACTCATATACTTGTAAGTATCAACTCGAGTAGATAAGAGTAAATAGGACGAGTGATATTCCATGATTTGCGCACAGTCCCTTCAATTGACAAAAGAAATTATATACTGAACTTCACAACTTAGGTTAACCATCTGTTATTGATACAGATCTACGATTGACCTGCAGTATCAATAATCGTAAAAACAACTTGCCTGTAATGAACCCTGTGGCCCAGGTTTATGATTTTGAGTAACGTGGCGGTTAAATACAAAGGACACGGTTAATCGGTCAATAAGTCGAGGAGATATCATCAATTATACGCAAGTGATCATAGAATATGCTATGAATCACAGCTATACACCTATAACTGGCCTGAATCATCTAGAGCATCGATATCGCTCTACCTGTATTGTTGTGCATATCCTTATCCGACCTGTTCTAGTTGATCATAAAAGCATGTCATGACCTAAAATATAACATAGTCTAGTCACGATCTAAAATAATTACCCAGTGATCTCAGATATAACCTATACCCATAAGTTATATCAGTTCCACTCGAGAGGTCCTGCCACTAAGGTTCACGAGCTCCCATCGGGCTTTGACTGGCATCTGGATACATTTGAATCACAAATGCGGTCAACGGGCAAAGGGAGCGATCGATCACAGCTTTAAAAAGAAAACAAGATCAGAACTATCCTCCTAGGTTTTTGGATTTGAACTTGAGCCACCTGATAAACCTGGAAAACAAATATTGGTGCGCCGTGAGGTGGGTTAGGTTTGTAAAGAGGTTTAGTTACAGATCATTATATATAGACTTCGTAAAGTTACAGTATTGTGTAATCACTAATATTAGACTTCCCGGTTAGGTTCAAATGTACCTACATGTATTTGTAACTGCGAAACACTTGAGGACTGGATTGGGCCCGTGATTCACATATGTGGTATGTAGCTCTCTACTGTAAGTAGACACAGGATCTATGTTTGGAAATATAAACACGAGTGTTGTTATTACACTGCCCCCAGTAAACTAAAGCTTGGAACTATTTCCTCTTTCAAATAGTGTACCTCTATAGATGCAAAGGACGATGCTCCGAAGTTGAGACCCGGCCCAGTACCAGGGGCATGAGTCAAAAACAAAATAAAGGGCTGAGTCTGGAACGAAATATAGCTCAAAAGAGTCGATGCTGTATATCCATTTCTGCCAGTATCAACCACTAGCATGGCAAAGTTTGGATCAAGCATGATGGCCTGACAGATTGGCACAGAAACATTTCTCGTTCCTTCCACCCATCCACTCTTCGCAATTGGTTAGGGTTTCGTTTCCAGAATGGCCGTGTGTGTCCATCGAACACCTTGCGGTAAGCCCTTCCAAACACTTTACTCGCTTGACCAGTCAAGTTGAATCGAGGACCTGGATAAAATCTTCAACAATTCCCAGCATTGAATCATGACCAAGCTCAATTCCATCGTGGGAGCTCCTCCACTGCGCAAATCTCCAAATCGGTGGCCCTGGCGGACAAGAACTGAGGATTACCGAGCGAAGCGATTCCCATTTCCACGTCTAACCCCGCCTGTATATCCGTGCTGATGTATAACCAGGGATAAACAAACACTGGATACTCCAAAACCAATCTTCTGACCACCCAGGGTTGAAGGTGTGAGTGATCCAGAGGGTAAGGATAATGGGTAAAAGTCGCTCAGAGAAACATCTGCATGCCATTTAAGTGGAGGTGATAGTAAAAAGGGCCGCCTTTCATTGGAACTGCGGGGAAGGTGGTGGAACTCAGCCCTGCATTGCCATTATCGATATTGAGTCCCTGTAGCCTTTTCCCATTCAGCCCTGCTTGCGTTTGCGTATGTGGTGGGTTTTGCGCAACATGATTGACCCGAAGATCGGATCATACCAGGATTGCCAGGAACATTTCGCACTCAATCGGGCAGCCCAAGGGCTTTTAATGCACAGCACTGGTGCCCCCTCACGTGGACACAAAACCTCACCTTCAATAAACATTACACGATGCCACTTGGGTGGAAGGAAAGCTCCCATCCCGATCGATGGGCGCGGCGTCGAAATCATCGCCGATCAGTCACCCCTCCCTCTCAGGCTGTACGATCTCTGGCAGGGCATTGGTCAGGCTCCTCTAGTGTTTTTATGTTTTGTTTTTATGGCGATTGTTTCTCGATGATAGGCATCATCTCATGAGCCCTCTGAGGGGCGGCCACACCGCCGCCGACGACGACGACGACGCATGGTGGCTTTAGCTTTGACAGGTCGCGTGGAGTTGGTCAGAGCGGAGAGGGCGAGTCGGAACTTGGCTACCGCAGAGCCTCGACAACAGAGCCGCAGGAGCCCCGCGTGATTGGCATGCGTGACTCTGTCTCGTATGTCCCGAGCGTGACTCACCTACGATTAATATCATGACTCGTTTTCTGTTTGGCAAAGTTATCGTTATTCTCTAACATTGCTCTTGTAGGTACAAGTACTTTCACTGAAGCTGCACTGCGCTTTGAAAAGCCAGGTGAGCTTACATGAATCGGTACTCGTACCTGCAGGTTATAGATAAATATATATGCATGCGATATAATGCCCATCTTCCTTTATTTCTAAATTAGAGCTAAAGAGAATCTTCGCCCTCTATCCACCATCAATCTTCCCCTCAATTCTGTAAATGAATACGCAGTGTTCTGTGGAGATAATATGTGTGATAGATGAAGGGAGAGAATTAAGTAAATTAAATCAATCAATTCCATACGAACTAAAATCCAAAACTCCAATATGACTAGATGGCTCCTAAGATCTGGTCATATTATATTGGTGATCTCTATTTGGGCCCTGAACATTTTAGCTAGTATTGTATTGATCAATCACTGGTCGGTACATATCACTATTCAAGCAATCGTGGTAATCTACAGACCACCGCTGCTGTATAAAATAGATCTATAGCTTGATTAAACACTTGAAGTCGATCTAACCACCAGAGGAGCCTCATGGAGTCTGATTCGGACCAGGGTTAGGGGTGATACTATGATCATTTACAGTTACATAACAGCTTTTGTTGTACCTGACGATTCGAAGTACATATACCTCCAAAGCTATCATACAACCAACGACAGCAAAAAAACGGAGATGGACCTGGACGACCAATTCGCCGAGCTCAACAACGCATTCACCTCCTGGCTCACGGGCCCTACTTGCAATGTCACTTTGAACCCGAAGATTGGTTTGACAGATCTGCGCGCTTCATCCGCCGGGAGAGGCGTTGGTGTGTTTTTGTTCCAATTTTTTTTCCTGCGCGCTCGGAGGATTGACACTTGACAGTTGCGACCGCTCCACTCGACGAAGACGAGACTGTATTTTCAGTCCCGAGATCCAGCGTGCTATCGGTAGAAAACTCAGAGCTACGTCAAAAACTAGGCGAAGAATTGACTTCACTAGATCCATGGCTGGTTGGTAACACGAAAAAACTTCTTGCAAAAAACTGAGGCTAAACAATTCCTGCTTTAGGCACTCATCTTGGTTCTCATCTACGAGACAAGGCCGTCCTCGCCATGGCGACCATACATCGACGTCCTCCCGGCGTCGTTTAATACGCTCATGTACTGGACCAACGACGAGCTCTCAGAGCTCCAAGCCAGCGCCGTGGTGGCGAAAATCGGGAAACAGGACGCCGACGAATTGTTTCGCGACAAATTGTGGCCCATTGTCAAAGTCAGTTTTTCCCCCACCCCACACGCGGCTTGGTCGGATTTTATTCTTTGCCTCCTACAATACTAATCAAGTAAAATAGAAACATGCTGGAATGTTTTCCGACACAATTATTGCGCCAGGGCTCGCAATCGATGCGATCGACAACTTACTCGACGCAGCACACAGAATGGGGAGCATTATCATGAGCTATTCGTTCGACCTAGAAGTCGTCGGAGAGAAAAAAGGCTCCGATGAAGACTCCGACTCCGATGACGAGGATGAGGAGGGAAAGTTCTACAAGGGAATGGTCCCAATGGCCGATATGCTAAACGCTGACGCCGACCGAAATAATGTTTGTGTTATCTACCCCGCGCAAAAAAGATTCCTGCAACTCAATTGGATAGGATAGACCGATTGACCAATCATTGACAGTGTCGCCTCTTCCAAACGCCGACGGTGCTAGAGATGCGCACAACCCGCGCAGTCCCTGCGGGCGATGAGCTCTTTAACGATTATGGCCCGCTCCCGCGCTCCGACCTCCTCCGAAGATATGGTTACATCACGCCCAATTATGCACAATACGATGTAGCCGAAATTTCATCTGAACTGATTGTAGGAATTGCGGGAAAAGCGCTTGATGGGAGCGATAAGACGGAGCGGATAGACTATCTACTGGACGAGGAGGTTCTTGACGACGCCTTTGACATTGGCACCGATCTAGAGATCCCAGAAGAGGTTTTGGCAGTCATTGCCAATTTCTTGCTTACAAAGGGTGAATTCTCGGTGCTCAAAGGGAAAGGAAAAGTCGCAAAGCCCAAAAAGACGCCTGAGGTTGCAAAGGTCATGGAAGAGATTCTGGAGAAGCGACTGGGTGAATATGGTACCACAATTGAGGACGATGAAAACATCCTACGCGGCGAAAGCACGCAAGGCAGGAAGATAATTGCAATTGAGGTTCGATTGGGCGAGAAGAAAATACTAAAGGGCGCATTGGAGAAGGTTAGGGGCTGGACACTAGTTGAGAGCGCCAAACGAACCCACAGCAGCCAGGTCGAGGATGAAAGAGGGGAGAAGCGAGTAAAGACCCGGTAGTGGAGTGTCTGGGTGAAATCTTACAAAAATTAATATGTTATTTCCATAGCCAGTATGTCACCCATTGCAATGTACCCCTTTCCGACCAAGCATTTGCCACAGTCGAGTGATACCACATGATCCAATCCGGTACCCGCCCTAATATCTCTGCCTGCATTATTCAATCCACTACTCCGTACTTATCTGAAGCAACCCCTGAACAAGTTTCAAACTATCCAACAATTGTGAAGCAATTTCTCCCCTAGTTTTGTTGAGCCGTCCGTCAATTGGTCAGCGCACCTCAGGCGTTACAGTTTCTGCCACGTCTATAATGAACGGTGCTGTCATCACAATTATCCACGAAACGGTAAAACACTGGAAAGTAAGCAACTTTGCAGATTGATAGGTAACGCGAGGCTTGATGTTTGGTGGTGCCGGTGGCGTTGAGCTCGGACCCTCACCTTCGTTAATCTCAACCTCATGGTATGGAGAAACACTGGGTGGAGCGTAAATGTACTCCTGTCCGCCCGCCGGCCTGCGGATATAACCGTCTGGAATATCAAAATCCCATAGGGAAATTGAATATTCGCTTTCTGCAGTTGAACTTATGTTGGGTTAGCGTTAGAATCCCCCCCCCCCCCCAACCTTTCAGACGCGAGTTAAAAACCTCCGAATATCACATATTAATGTTTTGATCTTCAACATGTCGAATGATGTAATATATATATGTAAGGGGTCGAAAGCTGCTCATGTACAGTTATATTATTGTCCATCCAACCCGAGCCCGAACTCCGAGCCCGCGCCGGAAGATCCTCCGCTTCGTGTTGAATTGATCACGTCGAGCGTACGAACACGTCTCCCACCTCCGGAGGAGGTTGGAAGACCACGGGACCACCCGTTTTTATTTTTTCTTTCGTCCCAATATGTTCATGCAATTGGTAATAACTTAATTCTGATATGAACGTCGCAATCGAGATCCGTGAGGGAGAACGGTGTTCTTCTGTTTCCCCCGGCTCGGACGATCCGACGACCAGCCATCTCTGTTTTGTTAATCCTTTGAGTTACCTTATGTGTGTAGAGCACCTACTCTAGGTAAGCTGGTGGGTGTGTAGGATGGCATTTGTGCTACCCTACCAATGGAAGTTTCTTTTGTGGCTGCGAGTGCGGTAGTTGCGAATGCTTTTTGTTCTAAGCGCCTTGCGTAATTGAGCGCTGGTTGGCAGGCAGGCAACTCTGTTTGGCTGTCTTGTCTCATCACATAGCATCACTCGCCTGTATTAATGCACAGTACTACATATTAATACCGTAAGTTACGCCGCCCAGGAGATCACGCGATCCAGCTAGCTAGGTCAGGAGGGAGTATATTTTTTGTTTTTAAATAAATCTGAAACAGCCGTTGCAGGCGAATACTCGGTAAGTGATCGGAAGTTTATTCTTGTTTACACGTATTATTGACCTGTCTACTCCGCATTAAATTAGTAGGGGTTAGCAGTAGGTAGTCGAGTGAGGCGGAGGTGCGGCGGCGGCGGGGAAAGCTTACCTTGATCTAAATTTACTTGAACACCAATGCCAAGCCTCCAAATTCCTGTAATAACTCTCATTCACAGAGACCAATTCTGTGTAACTTTGTTGATGCTTACAACCCTAACCCGGATGATAATTGTCGTCCTCGCCCCATAGACCGGCCTCGTCGAAATGCGAGATATCCTCATTTCCCAGGTCCCACTCGTCCTGAACATTAATTTCCTGGGGGGCTAATAGCTGGTGCGCGTACACCAGCTCCACCATCTCGCTGATCCGGTCAACTAGTATGTTACTGGTTTGTGTGGCGGATCCGGAAGGGACGGGAATAGTCTCGCGAGTGATGTGGAGGTGATCTGTGACCTCGATCTCAATATTCCCTAGAGCATCTAGGTATGATGTCGGAATACGAGCCGTGAACAAATGAAGGGATTGGCAATTGTTGGGAATTATTAGGTAAACCTGTTAAAATACAGAGATGTTAGTATATCAAGAGATAACAGGCGGAAGGTTAGGTCAATGAGTATTTAGCCCAAGCAAGCAGAAGGACAAACATACAGTGTAGACCATGTTGTCGGTGCCCCATCCCCCAGCATATCCTCTTATTCTAGATCTCTGCTCTTGTGCCATTGCAATCAGGCAGGCTACATCGAACGGATCTAGGTTCGTGTGCCATTTCGTCGTCGCCGTATTTCTTAACAACTTCTTTATCGCAGAACCACCACATCGGCCGAGTGAGAGCTCTTTTCGCACACGAGCCGTATGGCGACGAGTACTATACAGTAAGAATGGCAGCTTTGTCGTAGCTGTGGTGACAACAATCTCCGGCGTGAGCTCTGTAACGGAGTTGGAAAACGCGAATGATAATCGTGGACTGTGAGCGAAGCCTAATCCCTGCACAAGAGTTGTCGACATCCCATTATCCTTATCGATACTCTTGAGAATGTCCTTGATGATGTTTGGTAGAAGGTCGCCCTCGCAAAACTTATCGCTTGTACCCGTGGCCCAGTACTCTTGCAGAGAAGTGGGGTTTACAGACGTCTCAATTGGAAGCCCTGAACTGCGCTTTCGCGCTAGCGACTGTTGCTCTGGATTCGTTTCGATAGCAACCCTCAGTAGTTTTAGATGCATAGCACCCCAACAAAGTGGCTGGACATAAAGAGGGCTGCGGGTAGTTCGGCGCAGATGATACGCGAAGGAAATGCCATGGGGTCCCATATTCGTCGGCCTTGTCGCTGTGGCTGGTGGAGGGAGAGGCGAATAGAGTGGCTGGTCGAAGCTTTTGAAGATGAGGGTCACAAGCATGCAGATCCATAGAGCTGGAAAGTGCCAAGCGCTGGAGGGGCCTACGTACTGTGGTACTCTGATGTGCTACACATTCTCTTTGCGGCAGAAATACAAAACACAGTAGAACCCAGGGGAAGCTACATGTATGTAGCACAGCGATATAGCTGCTTCATGTATGTTCCAAAGACTTCATAGCAGTCAGTCCTAGTGTGGGGTGGGTGTGTGAGTGATGCTCCGTGACCCGCAAGCTCCCCCCTCCATCCGAGTGACGCGCCATGCAGCAACCAGCGCACACATGGACATTTGACATTCAGCTCCTTTCCCATGCCACCCAACAGTACAGCAACCAACAACCCATCGAATCCCAATCCATATCCCAATCCAAATCTTGAAAATAAGAAACTGTCATCGATTCACCCACCGGCCGGCCCGTGCCCTTACTAGCCGAGGGAAAAAAAAAACCGCCCAATTTAAGCTTATGTAGGTACATGTACTCTACATCTGAATCTGAATCTGATCGACGGAATCAAATTTTTCGTTCCTTTTAGCATCCAAGGGCTTTCCCCCGATGAACTTGAGATCATGCCAAGGAAAGCGTGGTCCGAATGAATGAGTTAAGCCTTTATCCAATTCTTCCAGCTGGCGCATAACAAACTGCAGTCTAAGGTTTTCATGTTACTTTATGTACTTACTCAGAATATCGTGACTTGTTCCTGCTTGCAGCAACGCTGGTAGGCAGGCAAAGTATTTACAATATGGCTCATACGGTTGAATCGAAGGCTGTGGTTGGTACTAGAAGTAGAATGGAAGGAAGCTTTGAAACAGAGAGGAACGTTATTAGAAACCTTTCATACAGGCCCAAGCCGGCCGGGTAATAAATCGCCGCAAACCAAGGCAGGCACGGACACTTGGAAGAAGCGTGACAAACAATCACCACATCGGCCGAAATCCCCGTCGGGCGCGGGCGGCCCGCTGGCATTGTTCTACGAGTAATCCCATTTGTGTACCCATCCCATACCATGGCCACCCTATCAAATTCCATGATCGATAGCTATCAATATCCTGTTTGCCAAAGTGCCTCAAATCCACAGCCTCAAGCAAGCATTTATTCGTTTGATTCTATTTTATTCGAGCATGGAATTTCGTTTCTACCCTGGCCCTCTCTGGAGATGTCTGGATGGGTCTGGGTTGGGGGTTTTGTTTCTATTTCTGTCAGACTGAGGAGAAGGACTGTGCGCGCCGCATTTCAGATCTGATTGATCTCTGTTTTGTTCGCTCGTTGATCCTCCGGGTTCTTCCCACAAGCCCATTTCGCATTCTCGTTGTTGCTCGCATAATGTTTTATGCTTGCTTAGGAATCGGGGTTAGTACTCTGGGTAGGGTATTCTAGAGTCGAGTAAGGTGCATAAACATCTCACTTTTACTTACATCAGCCTTAGCCACCCTGATTCTTCTCCCGGCCTTGCTAAGTGGAGTAGAGTATTGTGCTAGGTGCGCTAGCCAGGCCCTGAAGCAAAAGGTCATTCAGGCAGTTCCAAGTACCACCTAATAAGCACAACGCAGCAAAGCAGTGCCAGGAATCACAGAACCGTAGAGTACCTACTCGAAGTACGTAGATAGAGCACCTACATACACCCACGACGGGTATGTACCACCGAGGAGCTAGCTGCTCCGACGTTCCACAAGCTCCCAGGTAAAAGTCAACGGCTAGGTTCGGTTTTCCCGGGTCCCGACTATTCCGCCACAGGATGGAAACATTTGTTTCGCTGCGAGGGGTTAGGGATTCAGAGGGAGATCACAATAGAAATACATGCCAGCCAAGCTTTTAAGCCGCACAAACCACCACCACGGCCAAATCCATCACCTCCACCCAGAATCCGAAAGAGGGGCCCTCACAGCAACGAAGTACGCGGCAGGCTGCTATTGGTTCGTTGGTCGTTGGGTCCGCCAGCCAGCTAACAAACCAAAATCATGTGTCACTTTGTGAGGAAGGGATGTTTGTTGTGGTTTGGTTTTTTGTGGCAGGTTATCCCTTCGACAGCAGAAGTCGCCGTATGTAGAGAGAGGAGTAGAAGGATTACTCGGTAAAAAGAAATAACGACTTTCCCCGTTTTTTTTTTTGTATTACTGGGTGGACCAAGGCGGGGGTGAAGAATGATGATGGCATAATATCGACTTGTCTAAGGCAGCAGTACCCGAAATCCGAATATCTATATACACAACTCCCTTTCTCCTGGTCATCTACTCTAGCTGTTGTGATGAAGGATTGTAATACGACGGGGGGGGATGCTCCTCCGTCTCGAATTTCTCGTACATAGTGGGGAGACTCGGGCGTACCTAGAGCAGAGTAGAGTACCTACAGCACCACTCAAAGGCGTCAGCAAAAAGTTTTCCGACAGAAATTAATTGCATGGGATAGGCTAGGACGGAGCTGCAGACATCTGTTTGGATTGGACTGCCTACATGATACTACCTACATACATGCTCCTCCCTAAAGTCATACTCTACATAACCTACTAGTAATCGGATTTGCCTTCCAAGTGAGTCGTTACCTGCATGGTACACTAGGTGTTGTCAACTTGTTATATATTTTTTTCCTGTAGGTTTTTTTCATGCTCTCACATTTACTCGTCAATGCTCCAGGTCGGCCTGTCGGTCCTAGGGGTAACAGTAACTTAGAGTCCTAGGCTCTAACCCCTCCCATGTCCACCACCCTCATCACCTCCTGTATGTAGAGAATGGTAGTTGCATAGGGAGGGCCATGTTTGTGAATTTGAATTTGTGTGCGTGGGTGGGTGTGTCTGAGACCTTGTCTTGTCTTGTGCAGCGGCTGCAGAATTACTTACCATTTAAAGCTGTCCACTCACCAGATCGACACGTAACGCGCCACGACCCGGTTCCTTGCAGCACAAAAGGTTCAAACTGTGGATGGGGGGGACATGGCTCATGGCAAGCAGTATAAACATCCCTCACATCCCCCCGCATCCCTTGGACCTTTTTTTTCTTTCGATCTAGCAAAACATCCAACCTTGAAATTGTCGTTCGAAAATTAGTTGTTACTAGTACCATCACTACTACTACTACCGCTACTACTATTACTACTACTACTACTCAACCAAAGTACTAGTACTACCATATCGAAGTTATTTAACAACTCTACTACCATTAAAACACAAACAATGTCAGCAAAAGGAGCACCATGGCAACATCCTGCCTCAGCAGAACCTTCACAAATGTACTCACAATCACCAAACCGACCAAGCAAATTCACGCTACAGGAAGGTCTTGACAACAACTGGGTTTTCTTCCCCGAGCCTCACTTTGTAAACGTCGACGACGACGAGGAGGAGGACTCATCAGACGAAGGACATGGTCATCACGACAAGTCGGGAAACAGGAGGGACTCAGTCAACTCTGTAGGCTCAGACGGAGAGCCGCGCCCCGGGAACTTGCAGAGGGGGGATAGCTGGATCGGGGGGTGGTGGGGAAAGGTGTTCAAGTCGAAGCTTTGAATTGAGAAAATTTTTGGAAAAACGGGTTTCGTGCGAGTGATTGAAACGTAAGTTGTTTGTTGATATCTGAGATTTTATGAACTATGCTAACGTTTGTAAAGGCTCCTTCGCCCTGATTTAAGGACTTGGACTTGATGTCATGCCTTCAATTCCTGTCGATTGAATCGACGGAACTGCAAATCCCCCAATTCGATACCGACGCTCCAAATCGATATCGATATCCCCCAAATACTCCCTCTTCAAACCTCCCACACTCACGCAAATCAAACACTCTCACCCTCTTCCCACCGGCGACCTCACCGGCTGTACATTCACCACCTTCATACTTTGATGATAATCCGGGTTGGCATTCGATCCGCGACCTCATTGAAGTCTTTTTGATATCTTTTTCTCCCTTCTTGTTATTTTCCCCCCTGCACTAGATAGATTGTAACGATTAATGATGCGACGCGAACCACGAGTTTCTTTTTTCTGGATTGGATTGGGACCGGATTAGCGCGCGATGGGTTTCTTCTTTTAATGTCTTCTTTTTCTGCATTTGTATTTTTGGACTTTTTCTTCTGGCGGGCGTTTTTTTGCGAGATCATTGGTAGACGGACTGACTGCATGGCGTCTCCATTTTTTTACTCTCTTCGAGTAAACCTACATATTTTCTTTTGTCTTTTTATATATAACTGTGTCGATACGGGCGGGCGGGGCGAGGGCGGGCAGGATTGAGCTGACCAGAGAGCCTTGGTACAACCTACCAAATTTCATATATATTTATCTTCTTTTTACTCGGGGTTCTTGGATCTATTTATTAGTGCGGCGTTTTATTCTTTTCTTATTGGGATCTATTTATTACTATTATTTTATTATTCTTAGCACCGTGTCGAACGGTGCTCTTTTTTGTTATTCTTTGTTCATACCACGTTGTTAGGATCTATGTATGTGGGTACCTATCATCTGGGCTGCAGCTGGTATCTTTTTACTAGTCTGAATTTGAAGTGGAAGCCTTCTTCGTCGCGCGCGCGACTTGTGTAATTTTTTTTCCTGGCCATGCGTGTTCTTTCTGGTGATGTCAGTTGTCTGACTCTGTGTGATTCTGTGTGGATGGAGAATACTCTAGACCATGTACGTAAATAAAAGGAAATGCACTCAGACATTCCGCTCTAAAGCATAAAGCAGATAAGTGAAGAAAGCACTTTACTCGAGACCCAGAGAACCCGCATCTGTAGGGCCACTGTACTTCGCCCACTTCTCATTCATTCATGCGTGGGGGGTACATAGCATAGTAGAGTAGGTACCCCCCTTCGGCGTCCCCCTCTGCTGGTGCTGTAGATACGGTTATTGGATTACCCTCCCCCTCTAGATGAACCTCTTTTGCGGGGTAGGGTAGAGTAGATAGACTGTATGGTAGGCGTTTCGTACTCAAAGGATTGGCCCACAGCGTCGTATTGCAAACCGGCCTTGGTCGACATACTGTGGCAGTGGTTCGTTCGGCTACCTCGCAATGCATCGTGACTGCCTACTTTTGTTGACTCTGAGGCCGGCAGGCAGAGAGTACATGTAGTTGGGGCCCAACAAGAGTACGCAAGAGCGGTGTAAGGGTGAAAAATGACTGTACTCCTCATGTAGAGTGTGGTCATAGAACTCTAAGAAGTGAACTGATTGAGTCCCAAACCGCCCAACATACATACATACGAGACTTTCTCACCACGAGACTTGCTTGCTTTTTCGCTCTCTCTTTCTTTTTTCTTCTTTCTCTTTTAGCAGTCTTCGTAGAAAATAGAAGTCCTTTTTCTTTTGCGCATGAACCCTCGATTCTTACCGCGCGCGGCTGCACAGCATCATTACTCTAGCGCGGATCTGTTTAAAGGGTCTTGATCGTGAGGATTCTTTTGTATGTAGACATAGAGGTGTTTGGACTTGCAGAGTTCTTCTCGACGAATCGCCCGTGGTGGAGTGTTATGTAGGTCAGGACGAATTATGTAGGTTTAAGAAGGAGGGTGAAGGGTCATTGGGTGTTGATATACCTACTCTGCTCTGTGGAAGTGCAGAGTCTGGTGATCAATGACGGAATTGCTCATCTGGTCTGCCAAGTGAAGTAGAAAGAGCTAGATGATGATCATATCCCGGGATGGGGAAAATGTAAACACAAACATCACGACTTCTCACTCCACCAATTGAATCGGAGAAAAAAACATCCACACCATATCTCTCGATATTTGAAATCCCGGGAACCGGTTGTGCAGGAAAGGTGTCTCATCTGATTATCTGCCCAAGCGGGCATCAACAGAGAACAAAAATAAAAAAAGATCATTGCTCTATCTTCCAGCTGCTGTCAGCTCATCCCGAGGATTTGAACACGAATTATCTGAGTTGTAAACAATTATGAACTCCCGAGAAGTCTGACAGTAAGATCTACAATCTAATCCAATCATACGCCCTGAAGGTTCTCAACAAAAAAATATCTCCGGCCAGCTATCCAATACCATCCATTAAGACACGACGACAGATACGCGGTCACGCACCATCACCACCCATCCCATAATTCCACATACATACATACATACGTGCCTATATACATCATCACCAACCTCAGAACCCCATTCGTGATGCCACCCAAAAGATCTACCCGCTCCGAGCATCCAACTCTCGAAGCCATTCCACCCAAGGTTCGGAATAAACCACCAACAGCCAACAGGAAGTCACGCGCGTCTCCAGAGCCGGTCTATAATGTAGATGAGGTAGCTCCCGAGAAGGATAACGTGGCGCCTGCAATGGGGAGGAGGCCCGGGGGAAAGAAGAAGAGGGCCTCCGGTAAAAGGAGTCTTCCGAGGATGGAGACGCAAGATGTTATTGTGCTCTCCAATGGGCCGTCTCCAGCGTCACTGCAGAAAAATGTCGAGGAATCTGAGACGGAGGAAGAAGAAGTAGAAGAATCCCAGGTCTCTGCTCGCAGAGCACACTCTCTAGGGGGTGGAGAAATCGCTTCACGAAGCAGATCTGAGGGAAGGAAACCTCGCAGAGCGCAGTCTGTAGGAGATGCACAGAGCATACCCCGGACCCGGAGCAGGAGCAGAAACGTTCCAGAGAGCAGCGATCAACCACTACCTTCATCACCGCCGAGAATACCATCCACCCCGGGAGGTGACCGCTCGCCGCCTTTGCTGTCCGCACAGGAAACCCAGGAGCAAGAGGAGATGGACGAGATCCTTCGGGCTGCTGTAAATTCTCCCGCCGAACCCCCATCGAAAGGTTCTGATTTTAGTTCACACGGCGAAAACTCAGAGTCCGATGGCTCCCTCATAGAATTCTCACCCGTACGTGAAGTTAGTCCATTCCAGATAGGGAAACACTTTCCCAAGATCCGACAGATGCGCCGCGAGCGCAAATCCTATCTCGACTATGACGATCCACTCACCCCCAAACCAGCTTCTGATACCGATGCCAGCTCCTCCGAGGACGATCAAGAAATTGATGACCTTACCCTTTTTACGCTCCGCACGAAGCAGTATGATCAAGCACTTGCCAATGTGCGGAGCCGAATGCAAGACCTCAGCGCCGCCTTTGCAGTCCTAGAGTCCCTCCAACACGTAGCCACGGGCAAAGATAAGGGCTACCTGAATTTGCTGAGTGATCTGACACATGTTATAATCAATAATGATGCCCCACAGTTATCCAAAGAGGAGAAATTTCAACTGGGGGTATTCGATGAGGCAATGTTGAGGCTGGCGTATTTTGAGCAGGAGACTAAGGACTTCGAGCTTATTTTTAATAGGTTCCTGAAGCACAACAACACACAGAGGAGGAACATCGAGAAATGCCGTGCGGGCATTAGGAAGACAATGAAAAAGCGTGGATATAAGAATATGGCGTGGTTGGTGACAGAGCAAGGAGAAGAGGAGGAAGGCAATGAAAAGAAAAAGGCATCAGAGAGAAGGGTAAAGAGCGTCTTGGCCGACTTAGAGGGGGGCAGTTATGGGTATAACACACCTGAAAGCGCGAACGAACGAGGAAGAAAGAGAAGAAAGACAGGAGAGGATGAATACGAAGAGGAAGGAAGGCCGGAGAGCCGCCTACAGAAAAAGAGAAGGATTGAACTTGTGGAGAGGGTGCGACGATTGGACGATAGCCTTCGTACGGATCGGGATGAGGGGCGGAGAAGAAAAGACGCAGGGAACGAAACAGGAGAGGGGACACGGGAGGCTATTATCATACGAGACGATGACCATGACAATGACAATGACGATGAACAAGATGTCGTAAATGATCATAGGGGAGAGGGAGTAGAAGAGGGGGTCGAGGGAGACAACGTGTATTACCATGAAGAGCAAATAGGAGAGGAGGATGATGTAGGGGAACAGGTAGTGGGAAATGGGGAAGAAATGCAAGAGGCTCAGGAGGAAGAATCTGATGTGGAAGAAGTCCTCCCCATCATTATCGACGAAGATGACGTAGAAATTGTCCGTGTTGAAGGATTTGGAGAGCGACAGAAAAAAGCAAGGGAAAGAGAAGAGAGATTAGAAAGAGATGAGGGAGAAGTGGAGGTATTAGAAGACCACGATTGGGAGGACTCAGAAACCTTTGCATTACTCGACGGTATCTCGAAAATTCACGGGGGCGTAATTGGTATGCATATCTCTGTACCTACCGGAATTGAATGATTACTAACAAAGCTATATCAGAAACTCGCTTCTCCAGAATAAAAAATAGATACCGCGCAGAATTAGAGAGTCGCAGTGTAGAGGCAATTATAGAAAGGGCTAGAGAGCTCAAGAAGGAGATTATTGACTCGGGTGAAGAGCATATATTGGGGGGGTTCTGGGACGGTATTTAAGTATTTTCTCAACACATGGGATCGGATTTTAGGACATTACACTTTGAAACTATTTATTTTCTTTAATAAGAGTGCTTACCTTTTATTCTGTTCCTGTCTATATCTTAGCTCTGGGTAGCGATGATGGCGTTCTATTGTTTTGAGGGGTTTAGTAGGTTGTATATATCTTCACTGTGGGTTTATCATCTAGTGAGAGGCTGGAGTTTAATGGTTTGTTAACTAGAATTCATTCCTTCCCCTACTTTACATTGTACATTATGTATAGCTGTAGTACGTACACTCGCTTCTCACACTTTCTACTCAGCCCACGGGGACATTATTGATGAGTAATAATGCCCTGTGTTATACTTAAACATTCTAATCCTCACTCTACCAATCCAACCATTTACCTCCTTGATAGACTCTCACACTTACACAAAATCCAATATTGTTCCCAATGTGCAGACTCACACCAACTTTGTGGTCGTGCGGTATGTTGTTCACTATCGTTTGCTGCTCTACACTACCTGATAGCGTGAATCCTAGGCCACACCACATACGCAAATGTGAGCTGTGGAAACGATAAATTGTACAAGTTGTCGGACGTGGCCTGCCCATTCGACACGACGTTAGGGGTTCGTTATCGCAACGGTAGCTGTGGAAGTATGTAACTGGCTGCTCTGCAAATTACTAGATGCTTAAGTTGCTGACAAAATGACGATGGAACAGAGAAAGAGTGTGATGATAATCACAAGCAAGCACAAGAACAGGTACAGGAGCAGGCACAGGCACAGGCACAAGCTCAACCACAAGCACAAACACCAGTGGTGGCCGAGGAAACTGACAACTCCAACCAAAAGAAAAGAAAATGGACCTGTGTTATCAGCTAACTAGCTGATAACAAGTCGAATCTTTATTGTGCTATATTGATGGAGTTTGGAGTTGGGAGGCGTTTCCCCTCTTCTTTCAAGTTTCTCTTTCTGTGTCTTTTCCCCTTCATTTTTCTCTTTCTACTCTATTTCTCTTTATTTTTTTATTTTTTTATTTTTACTCCGCTGTGCTACAACGAGCTACCCCTCACTCCTCCTCAGGACTACCACCCACTTGGAGACATAAGGTTATGTAATATTTTGCTCACCATTAACACATCTTGTTGGCCACATATACGCAGGACTATTGCTACTGCCTGCTTTTGCGCTGGCGGGCAGTTGACAGTCGAGTGATTTGGTATGATCTAACCCGACAACATAGCTAATCCTACTACCCTCACCATTCTTACTGGAAATTTGGACTCTATGAGATATAAATCAATCGGACTATGGAGGAAGCACCAATTCTCTGGGGAATATACTTTACTTCACTGCAGTTTCCAGCTTCGATTTGACGGTGATCTCGGTTTTGGGAATAACTTTACACTGGTGTCAGCTCATGTCAGTGATTGTCATCCTTAATTATAAAATAACGGTTAGATCTAACAGTAAATTGTGAGATATATAGTCTCGGAGAAATAATTCTTTTTCAACGTCCACGACTGTATTTATAATCACAATAGCGGGTTATATTTTTAATAATTTCTTAATAGATATTGATGCTATTGATTTTCGTATTTAAAAAGGAGAGACACTCATAAGGGATCGCCTTGACGGAAAATAGCAAAACAAAAATTTTGACGCTCCTATGTCCATTGACGTACTTATTTTTACTCAGGTATTTTTGGTTCCGTATGTCTATATATTTGGCGGATAGCTAACTATCACAGCTTTGCTAGTCCTGACTTCGACCATGGCCATTCAAAGTCCCCGAAAAGCGAAGGGATTCCAAACTATGTAGGTTCCGAGTTCGCTTGGATCGGGAGCCCTAGTTAACTCTCATAGGGATTCCCCTCTATCATCAAAAATCACTCGTCAATAAAACCAGTTCATTTTTCGCGCCCAAACAATCCCAGGCACAGTTCAATACAAATTGAATCCTCCGAAAAACATCTCCCGTCGTCTTTGCTACCGCAAGTAGGTATCGGAAGCTGCCGAAGAACTTATCGGGTATCTCCCTCGGTGCAGGGAGCCGCCCGCGCCAAGCCGGGGCATCTGATCATGCGACAATCGATATTAATCCGGCGGATATCCCCACCACCCCACGTTTCCCTCTATTAGCTGTCATACCTCACAAGTCGTTCTCTCTCTCAGCTTATACTCTCGCATAATGACCATAACCGGCCTCACCTCGGAGCAGCTGTCCTTTTGGGAGGAAAATGGATACCTAATCATCCCAGATGCGATATCACAAGAAGTGGTGAAGGAGCTTGTGGATGAGACGGCGAAGCTTCTGAATGGTTAGTTGGGATAGCTATCTTTAAGCTCTGCCTTCTCTGCATGGTCTAACGTATAACCTTTGATTGTAGAGTTCCCACTAGAGGGCCACCCTATGACGAAGTTCACCACTGGCGACGGCGACAAGCACATTGGCGATGACTACTTCCTCAACAGCAACGACAAAGTGCGTTTTTTCTTCGAAAAGGGTTTGCCACTCCACCCATCATCTTCCCTCCTCAAGGGTTAGTTAACACTCGTCGTAGGTGCCTTCTCCTCCACCGGCGAACTCATCAAACCCAAAGCCAAAGCTATCAACAAGATTGGCCATGCCTTACACACAAACTCCCCCCCATTCGCAAAGATGACAATGACACCGCTCAACCGGTCGATCGCAAAATCCCTCGGCTTCCGCGATCCCAATGTCATGCAGTCCATGATTATTTGCAAGCAGCCAGAGATTGGCGGCGCAGTGCTGTCCCACCAAGACTCGACATTCTTATATACTGACCCGCCGAGCGCCGTTGGATTCTGGTATGCGCTCGAGGACACGACACCAGAGAATGGTTGCTTGAGTTTTGTGCCGGGGAGTCATAAGTGGGCGCCGATCAAGAAGCGACTAGTGAGGCTACCGGAGGGTGGAACGGGATTTGAGGACTTGAAGGAGGGACAGGCGAATGGAGTCCGGGAGAAGGGGGGCGTAGAAAGGGAGGGTGAGGGCGACGGATTTGTATTAGGACCAGTAAAGAAGGGCAGTTTGGTTCTGATTCATGGGAATGTTCTGCATCAGAGCGAAAAGAATCTGAGCCCCAATTCGAGGTGGATTTATACTTTCCATGTAAGTTGTGTTCCTTTTTATTCCTCCGCTTTTGATGGCTGTAGAGTAGGTGGGGCTAATATGTGTGTTTGCATGTAGGTTATCGAGGGAGAGTATCCATATGACGAGAGGAATTGGTTACAGCCGCCGGAGGGTGGATTTTCGAGGTTGAATGATGTTGAACTAGCTTAGCTTTTTTTTAAAAAAAATTCGGCACTCTGATAAGAAATGAAATAGCAGCCAAGGGCGAGTGATAGCCTGTGAAACCCGCCAACATTTTGACATGGGGTGCGCTAAGGCCCGAGTGATAGCTTATGAAAATACACACCTATTCCCGTCGACCCTCGCCGATGCATGTTGTCAAGATGTAAACAGAAACCACACCACCTGTTGTGGCGCCTGTTACCCAGTTCCATTCTAAACCTGATATGCTCATACCCAACCATCCTCTCCCATCCGCCTATCCATCTATCAACCTTTTTACCTTGTTAATACCATGCAGGGCATACCAAACCTCCACCCACGGCCATACCAATGTCCGGAAAAGTGCGATAAGACTTGCTTATCCACCTATGTACAGACCTCACACCTACGTACGGACCATCTCCTCAAACTGGTGCATTTCGGCACTTTTGGCCCGACAGCGCGGGTTTAAAGTATGCACATGTACACACCATGTGCATAACTACACATAACTGCCACGCCGGAGGGATACTTGCTTCAGCTGTTTTCGTGTATGCATACAAGACGAAAATCATACGAGAACATGCGGGCTATAGTCCGATCTGACTGTGGTTGGCTGGAGATTCGAGAACTACAAGAGTGGAAGCGAGACATCTCACCCGTGGATACCTTGCAGGATCTCGGAGTGTTCCGGGCGAGGTTATGTGGGCAGGTATGCGGGCATAGCTAATTAGTGATCAGAGCGGTATCTGCAGCCCAAGAAACAACGCGGAATATGGAATAAACAAATTTGGAAACTAATTGATTAGTTATCCTGAAAAGAAAGGTACCCGGCCGTGTACTATGTCTGGCAGCGGAGTGATAGCCGATTATCGTCGGTCCTTGCTGAAGTGGCTGCCGTTGACCCTAGACCTTATGGATACAGGTCATGGAGAAGCTTTGCTCTTGAAGTCATTGGTCCTGACTCTGAGTGTATGGCAGGTAGACAAAGCTTGGTAATTATGCAGGGAATACAGGGAACAACGATGTCTGAGAGTATGTGGATGTCCCATGGAGACCTCAAGTTCACTGTATTCTCGTAATAGATGTTACAAGGTCAAATTAACCTGCCTGGTCGGGATTTCAATAAATGTCGTAAGGGCCGGATTGCTGTAAATAGGAATTACAATCATGTAAGATCACTCGACCGAGTGGGTGAAGCTATGAACATCTACTATACTATACATCAAAGAATATGGCCTAAAAGAGTTTCGCTAAACCGGCCTAATCCTTCATCCGGCCCTGACCATAGGGGAGACCGATTGGCCAAATATCAATGATCGAGTGAGAAGCCAAGTTAGTTCAATCTGCGGTTACAGGCCGGATCGATATCGCACATGCCACATTAGGCCCTCAGGCCCCTCCAAAAAACCCAAAAATGGGCAATAAATGCACAAAAAGTGATGCTGTGGCCATATACCCCTCACGGGACTATGGGCTCAATTCGCATTGGGCTCCACTTCCCGCTACCGATAGAGTTAACTCTTAATTCTACTGCCTTTGGTTCCCACTATATTAATGTACTGTCTTATAATGTATCCAATACACCACTCTAGTAAACCAACACCCTCAAGGAAGTATTCAAGGGCAGAAACTATAGATTAAAGAGAGACATCGATCGGTGCATTAGTTTCTAGAATGGCGTTAGACGATTTTTGGATAGCTCACATACATAAATGCAAGTGATATTTCATGAATATGGATCTTTCGTTGCTTTAAAGTCTTTGTAGTATTGGCTAAGTGGATGGAACACATATAGTACTAGGGTGTTGCAAAAAATTAAAGTGATCGGAATCTGATACGGTACCGCAACACTCACTTATCTGATCCTGATCATTTACCCACACACCCAAGTACATGTATCATGTGCATTACTACAAGTATACTTTAAAGCTATAAACTCCAGTGTTAGGACTGAAGTCGTATTGAGACTGCAGCGGATGATTGCCAAACTTTGTCGTTTCTACACTCTTCCACGGAATCCTCATACATAACCTTGGCTAGCTACAAACCTCAACGGTGGGAATCTCTTCGGAAGATTTTCCTTTAATGTTTGCCCCATTCATGAGTAGAATGAATGCGATACTCTGGCGACTTTAAAGTTATACAAAGTGAAGTGCATGCCATATAAGCGTCCTCCGGCACCTCTCTCCACAACCTTTGACCATTCATTTGAAATATGCATATGCTCTAAAACTTCGTGGGCCAAAAATACATCTGGAATCTTTCAATTGAGTGTAACGCTGTGACCCTCTGGGAAATCCCCTTTAGTGGTGCTTATTCTGTAAACTATAACGATTTCGTATCTGGACATCTCCCGGTTTGCCTCTGTTAGCGGTATTACAGGTCACTAAACTGGACCGGGAGATAGAGTGAAGACTAGTCCCATGCATTATTTTTGGCTTCTAAGCATATTTCCATACACGTACATAGCTCTTGCGAGATAAGAAATCCCATTTCTGCATCACATTGCCGCCCTTTGCGCGGCGCTAATAGTCTCATCGGGTGTGGTAGGGCCACTGAGACTCTGTGTTGAGTTGACGCCAGCTTTTGTCTTACAACGGGTTCAGTGTGTGGGTTTGCCTAAAATGCAGGAATGACGAAATACTCAACTAGGCGCTAAGGACAGTGGAGTAATAACTTATGCGGGCTAAACAGAAGTTTAAGACGGTTGTACATAATGGATTCTGGAACACAAGACGTAACGAGAATTAGAGGATTCTAGATCTTATATTTCATATCTATGCTCCCAATTACGTAACGACTGACCGCCAGTCGCGCTACAGCCTTGTACGTGCTAATGTTAATGCGTAGCTTATTCTCTAGGTATGTAGGTCAAGATATTCAGGAATTCGAAGGTGGAGTAAGTACATGTACTTAGTAGACTGTAGAATAGATCATCTCCTTTGACGGCCATATATATAGCTACAAGTACCAGCCATCCGGGGGGAATTAAAACAAAAGGGTGGCTAGTGGGTCATGATGTAGAGTACATCGTAGTGGAAATCTACATCGTACAAACCGGCCATACCCATCAGAATTATCAATATATGTCATAATAACTCAACAAAGAATCCAGACTAGATGCCTACCCCAAACAGCCAATTTGACCACTACAAGCTCGAAACAGAGGTCTTTAAAAGTTACTGTAGGCATAAAATCCTTTACACATCAGGCCCCAAATAGGAGAAGTGGAATAAAAGACAAATTCTCAGTGTTGGAACTAGTTATGACAGGCCTATGGCCTGAGAAAAAGGAGATTAGGGAATTGAGAGCGGTGAAGCAATTGTTCAAGAATGATAAGCAGTTAAGTTCGAGGGGGTTTCTAGTTTTGATAGAACTCAATCTGATCAGGTATAATTTTTATCCTTCAATCTGCAGGAGCTTTAGCAGGTGCTTAGGACACTTTTGTATTAATATTTCCTTAGTAGTACCCCGACTACTTTAATTTGTCCGATTCTGGGGATGGTTTGGAAAAAGCCTGGAATATCTATTTCGCTACGGAATATATCTAGCACGGTGGCCTAGACCAATATATTCGCAAAAACGGAGCCAACCATGCGGTATCAGAAGGCGATTCAGGAGTAACCATAAAGCAGCTACTTCGTGGGCTTCAAGTAATGCAGGGCGAAGGCTTTTGTCACCGCGATTTAAAATCAAATGTCGAGAACTCACACACATGAGTAGGATAACTTGTTTAAGCTTGGATCATATCCGCTGATAATAAATAAACATAGAACATTCTTGTGGTTTCATGGTCCCATATCAAGATCAAAATTGCCGATTTCGGTGATGATCGCGAAACAAGTAATGGACGACCATACGGAACTCCGGACGGGGGTTGGAACCCACAACTATATGGCACCTGGGTATAGAGATTTATCTCGGACGAAACATCTTTCTATACCAGTGCTATCGATATCTGGTCACTAGGTTGCGTATTCTATGATATTCTCACACAAGATACGCCCTTCCCGGGTGGAAATGGGCTTTGCCGCTACGTTATGATAGGGAAATTCCCGAAAAAGAGACTAGCTGATGCCGGTGCAAGCCCTGGACTCGCAAGAGCACTTACCACTAAGTTGATGAAGCACTACCCAAATGATAGTTAACTGCTGGGCGGGCTCTTTAAGAACCGTGGTTGTGAGATATGCAGATGAGTGGATGTTAGTTTGAGAGTTAAGGTTATACGGACGATGGTTTATAAATCAATCACGGTGGATATTAAGTTGCCGTAATGGTTGATCTATCACATACAAATATATACAAACGAGAAAGATGAATATTGAAAACAAAAACAAAAACAAGACTCCACTGACGTAACTAGTTAGAGAGAAAGAACGAAGTAAACCTATGAACACCCAAATCCAGGAAAATTAAGAAGCCGTCAGTCACCGAGAAGGCAAACAAGCACTCTCGACTCAACCCCATTGTGCATATAGTCATAGGTCAACTAAGTCCTCTTGGATCTTCGGCCAACGCCTGACCTGATCCCACCTTTGCCTCCTTTCTGGACGCCTGGGAATACAACAGCATGTCTCGATTGACGTCCACGTCGGCGAATTCTGCTCGCGTTGATCTTTTTCTTTGATGGCTCTGTGGGTTTTTCGCCATCGACTTCCATGGCACCTTTGAGAGGGTTAGCGTTGCCTCAAATTATATTATCCGAACTCTGGGATCTAGATAAGAAGTTATATACATACCTTCTTTTTGCGCAGGTTCGTCGGGCTTCTCTGGCTCTGTAATTCAGTCAGTTAATACCCAGCTATTTTCAGCATCGAAAACTTCAAGTATACCTTTTGTTTCGACCTCAACTTCCATATCTCCAGGCCCACGAATAGGTTCTTTTCCAGAGTTCGCGAGCGCAAGGAGTTTCGCCGAAAGTCTAGCTGTGCGCGCATCCTCCACAGGGCCGAAAACAGTAGCCGCAAGTTTGGACTTGTTCGACTTGATACGACCTGGACAGGTATGAATGTTAGAAGCGCAGTCGCATCATCATTATAGTAAGGTCGAGAGAACTCACTGGCTCTCAAAGATTTGCCCATTCTTTTTAACTAGTAGTGAGGTGAAGAAGCAAGATCAGATGGATAGCAAATTGGTGCAGTTGTAGTACTTGTACGTGGGGTGTGGGTTTAAACAATTTTAAGTTTTCCTATCGTGTTAGCGCCTTGGCACCTATGGTGCCTTGGCACACATCTGCAGATTTTCCGTTTCGAGCTTCATGATTTGCTCAGACGTTCCATATTCACCCAGTGTCACTCTTCTAGAAGATATAATGTATCTCCGGCTCCACACCTATTCTTTGTCCAAGTATCAATGATCTGTTCCAGCTGATCAATTTCTTCGTAGTTCATATGGGATTTGCAAAACGCTTCGTCAGTCGAGATGTCTCGTTATTTCTTGCCTCCAGTGAACCGTGCTATGACCACACTGGATCGTTCCTTCTTCCAAAAGACCGTTAAAATTACAGCAGCGCATGTGTTCGACCCAAAGAATGTTGGACGGGTACAGAAAGAATGTGTTGAAGATATATTTAAGGGATCCCGTTCGGTCAAGAGCGTCGTCTCAGAGGTAGATTCTAATGGAAAAAGGAGGATGTTGGTCAGATTAAAGCCAGACGTGAAGCATACCGGTATGGGGGGAGATATTATGCATCTTATGATTTATATCTAGATTGACTCTCGACTGATCATCACCTAGACCTGTCGACAGTTGGTGAGAGCACCAGAAATCTTGTCAAAGGCCAAATTTTGGAATTGATCCCACACGACCTGCATCTCAAATATGAGAATTGGGGATATAGTGCGTCCATCACCCAGCATCTGTTCCCCAAGAACGCTTCTGATAACTATAAATGTGGTAGACGAGATAGCAGAAGCAATTCTCCCAGAGGAACTTGTCAATGACTGCCCTTCTAGCTCCACTAGGGTCGCCCATATCGTACAGCTGAATCTTCAGAACAAGTTTCTTCCATATAAACACATGCTCGGCGCCATAATTCTCGACAAGAACCCAGAAGTAAGGACTGTCGTCAACAAGATTGAGGCAGTTGGGACTTGGTCTGAGTTCCGAACATTTCCAATGGAACTTCTCGCTGGGTCCCCCGATACACAGGTTGTCGTTAACGAATGGAACTGTGAATTCCACTTTGATTTTGCAAAGGTCTATTGGAATTCCAGATTGGCAAATGAGCATCAACGTATTGTTCGCATGTTCGAACCGGGTGAAGCAGTTGCGGATGTCATGGCTGGAGTAGGGCCTTTTGCGATCCCGGCAGCAAAGAATCGGGTACTTGTTTGGGCGAACGATTTCAATCCCGATGCGTTCGAGAGCCTGCAAAAAAATATAATGATAAATAAGGTGCGTAAATCATTTTGTTAATTCTTCGCCTGCCACACCCGTTTCTCACCTCGCTGTTAAAAGGTTCATGGAGTTGTTCAACCTTTTAAGCTTGAGGCTAGCGAATTCATCCGCACCTCTGTCCGCAACCTCTATAGGCTCTCCCGATCTCCTTCGGCAATCAGAAATCCAATTAAAGTCTATAGTCACCAGTATTCCGAAGGAGTGCAGGAAATTCTCAGGAGGGCTGGCAAAACCGAGGAGGAAATCAACCCCCCGCCTGTTTATCTCAGAATCCCCCCATTCTTCTCCCATTTTGTTATGAACAATCCAGCTACAGCGGCCTCCTCTCTCGAAGGTTTCATCGGTGCCTACAATGGGCTTGAGAACCAGTTTTTTGACGCCGAAAATTTGCCTAAGAGGGAGTTCCCGCTGGTGCATCTGTATATTTTCCAGAAGGCTGGACCAATGCAATATACGAAGCGTCACATCTGTAGGGAGATTAGTCGAGGTTTAGGATACAAGGTTAGGCCTGAGGATCTGGAACATCTAGAGCTGGTGAAAATGGTTGGGCCGGAGAAGGGTTATTATTGCGCTAGCTTTAGGTTGCCAGCAGAGGTCATGTTTGCTGATGTCCCACCACCGAGGGAGGAAAAGGAGGATCTGAATGTCAGGCATTGGTTGAAATGGAGTGAATACGATGATATTCCACCCCAGTAGAAGTATAAACCTGATCAATAGGACCATTTGCTATCTAGGACTCCTGTGTAGCACTTCTGTTATGTAAATAGCTGGCGTTTGGTATGTAATTTCCTGGCGTTTTGGAAGACTATTCTTTTCGATTATGGGATCTCTAATTCTTCTATTTTAAGAGATTTTGAATTATTTGTTTTTCGTGGTATAAAACTTTGATTGGAATATGTCTACGACTAAAATGATATTCCATTCCACGAAACGCCACTCCAGGGGTATGATCAAACCACGCGAGAAATATTAGTATCGTAATTGGGATTCTTACTCCCTAAAATGAGTATCCGATGGGAGAAGGGGTTTTACTTCAAAGAGCTGATGCGTCTCTGAGTTGCTTCTCTGGTTATCGGGGGTTAGTCATGATATCTCACTCGTATATTTAAAGGCTCAGAGAGAATCGCAACACCATGATCGGATCCGGGGCTCTGATATATCACCCGTTAAAAAGGAGCGAATAAGTTAAGTTCCTATATTTCTAGCGGCCCAAATTTCATGTGTGGAAAGCACTCGATCATTTATACATCAAATACCAACAAAGCTTCTGGTGAATGCTAATGCGAACGCTGAGTAATCTAGTTTTATCCTCATCCCCATCTCTCAAACCATAGAAATTAAGCTAAATACTAAGCTTGGACACGGAAGCTCCTCCCAGTAGCAGTCTTCTTCTCTTTCTTCTCAGATTCCTCAACTTCAGGCTTGGCCCTGTTGAGGACCTTGAGAAAGTCCGCGACACGGCGTCGCATTCGCGAGTGCATATATGCTTTTGCTGCCTTAATGTGGTAGTGAAAGTAGTCACGGAAGGTCTGGATATGGGAGATTGACTCTTCTCGTCGCTGGGGGGTGAGATGGCGGGGGAAAAGAACTGGGTATGTTAGCAAATTATCCTACAAGGGATTGGTGAAGAATTTACCGAAAGTGATGTATCCAATTTCACCGGTTCCATCATCCTTCACACCGGCTACATTGCGGATTTCGAGGGGCGGATCGTTCCGGTACAGGACCTGCGGGGCGTTTTGGATAGCACGTCGCCGGGCATCAACGAATTCCTTCCCATAGAGTTAGCCTAGTAGCTCAAATTTGGGATACGGAAGGTAAGCTCAGCATACCGACAGGAAGACCTTTCCAAAGATCCTATCCGTCTCTTCTCTAAAAACAGTGCTGAAAATAACGGTAACACGATCGTGGGAAGCCTGGATATACATAGCCTCCTCCTCTCTGTATCTGATAACCATAACCTCCGTCCCTTCCCCTGTTGGTGCGGTTTCCGTAGTGAATCCCTTCTGAGCCTCTGCAAGGCGATGGTGCTCATCAATCGCCTTCTCGAACGGTGCGGCCATGGTGTTCCGCTTCAATAGGGAAATGCGACGGATCAGGTTCTCCTTCTCCTCTGTTTTCGGAAATTCTCAGGTTAGTTTTCCAAGTATCCGATAGACCGAAGGGAGGACATGCCTGGCTCTGCCGGGAGATTCTCTAGATCCACGATTAAGGAGAAGTCATAGCCAGCTTCAACGTCGGTAATGAGTCCAGCGTACTCTCGCTCTAGAACTCCCAGCGCTCCGTGTTGAACAAGATCCGAGAAGCATTTGACAGAGATAGAAACAAGTATCTTGGTTTTTGTTTCCGGGGTTGAGATGTGGAAAGTAACTCCGTCGAAGTCGGAGATGACCTGGTCAATTGAGGCGGGGGTTGCACTGTATCAAACTGCTGTCAGTGATCTAAAGCGTGATATTGATAAGTTAGAAGCTTTAAAGCTTACCTATTGAAACGCTCCGTCAGGATTGACTTTAGCAGGAGATTGTGGTATTCAAGGAGAAGCTATTTGGGCACGAGCATGGTTAGCAATGGGGGATTATGTGTTGGTATTGAACCACCGGAATAGAGAGAGGTGGATACCATTGTGAACTTGAGAAGGACTTGGGTATTGGTACGATTGAGGTACGCGTGATATGTTGATAGCTGGAGACTCCAAGAAGTGTATGAAGCTGGCAGCTAGATACACGAGGGGAATGTCCGTAGTTGTTGCTCCCCGCTGACGCCTCGCCAAGAACGCACGAGCCTCACAACGTGACACCCGTGGCTGACCCACCAAGATGGGCACAACTACATACATGGATTTTGTCGGAGCATTTATGTGTCTGAAGCTTCCTAACTAATTATTATATGATGTAGTTATTTATAGCACTCTACTAACTATATACACGTATCGGTGTTCTTTATCAACAAGTGCGCACTTGAAAGCTTCAGTATTCAATTGATAATAGAATGGTCAGTCAGCCAGGCCCAAGCAATGTCGGTTTACTGAAATCTGGACTCTAAATGAGTTTGGCGGTTTTAACTGGGGATGGAGTTTGGAGTGAATTAATGACGTATACTGAGATGGAAACTCGCTCTGTTAGACACGCAGATTTATCAACCACTGTATGCCTATGTCCGTGCCCTAAGTTTATTTACTTCGGGGACAAACCTTATAGACAGTACATGTAGATATATGTACTATAATTAGCCGTCTAGTATCTGACTTAGAAACTTCATGCCATACCATTGGAAAACGATGAATATAATTAATATCGGTTGCGGATAGTACTAGTATACTACTGCTCCGGAATATATATTTGGAACTTACCCGGAGACACAAATTCAACCCTGATCAGTTGATCAGTCATCTGCCCCACCCTGCATCCCACCTCAGATGGCGGAAATGGCTGAATTGAAATCCCTAGCTCCACCACCCTCCTGCCCGCTACGTAGATCTTCCTTCGACCCTCTCTTCCCTACCCCTCGCTCCCACTGTCGGTCGCCGCGCAGGAAGAATCCACTACAAGCTCGCTTTCTTTCAGCGCCGAGTTTTCTTTTTTATCCATTGATAAAAATACTTCTAAGGTGATTTTCTCGAAGGCTGTTTCACAAGTCGGGTTTATACCTCCGCTCCGTTACTGGCGTGACTCATTAAAAAGTCTAATCTCCATATATCTAAAAAGGCCACCTTCCAATATCCCGTAGCTACATCGCCATTGCCAAACCCTACACGGTACAATGTCAATCCCAACAGACCCTCGTGAGCCTATCCCGGGTTCAAATGTCATTCTGATTGATAATTACGATTCATTCACTTGGAATGTCTACCAATTCCTTGTACTTGAGGGCGCACAATGTACTGTATTCCGGAACGACAAGATAACCTTGCAAGAGGTTATCGATCTCAACCCGACGCAGATTGTGATCTCTCCTGGCCCTGGACACCCAGAGACCGACTCGGGAGTCAGCATACCATGTATCAAGCACTTCGCAGGAAAGATCCCAGTATTTGGTGTCTGTATGGGAGTGTGAGTTTATCTATCCTTTTTATGGCGTTTAAGGAACTTGTACAAACAGGAGTCTCAAGTAGTGTTTTACAAGTCCAAATTTTATACTAACTAGAAGCATTTTTCGCATAATAGGCAATGCATCTTTAGCGCTTTCGGTGGCACCGTATCATTTGCTGGGGAAATCGTTCACGGAAAGACTTCACACATCAAGCATGACTCAAAGGGAATTTATCGAAATGTTCCCCAGGACATTGCAGTCACCCGCTATCACTCTCTTGCTGGGACACTCGCCACACTGCCATCCGTACTCGAGATTAACTCCAAAACAGATAGCAACGTGATCATGGGTGTTAGACATAAAGAATTTACAGTTGAGGGAATTCAATACCACCCAGAGAGTATTCTGACTGAGGAAGGCCGCTTGATGATCCGGAATTTCCTTGAGATGAAGGGTGGAACTTGGAAAGAGAACGAGAGCTATGCAACCGCAGGAACTACAAGCTCGGTACCCGCCCAGTCGTCGACGTCGCCTCAAGATGCTGCTTCGGGCTCTATTCTTGACCGAATTTATGCCCACCGTCGCAATGCAGTCGCTGCTCAAAAACTGTTGCCTTCTCAGCGACCGTCGGATCTCGAAACCCTTCACTCACTATCTATATCCCCGCCCCAAATCGACTTAGTCAGCCGTCTGCGCTCTATTTCGACTAAGTGCGCACTTATGGCCGAAATCAAACGTGCATCACCTTCAAAGGGTTTGATTGACATTGATGCTTCAGCTGCCATCCAAGCCCGGACATATGCTCTTGCCGGCGCGGCCGCTATATCAGTATTGACGGAACCCGAGTGGTTTAAGGGGTCGATTGACGATCTCAGGGCTGCTAGGCAGGCAGTCGAGGGGATGCCTAACCGACCAGCAATCTTGAGGAAAGAATTCATATTTGAAGAATACCAGATCCTCGAGGCCCGGTTGGCTGGCGCTGATACTGTTCTCCTCATTGTTAAAATGCTCAGCGACGAGGAGCTGGAGAGGTTATATAAATACTCCGCAGAGACGCTAGGAATGGAGCCACTCGTGGAGGTAAACAGCAGTGAGGAAATGAAGAGGGCATTGAAAATTGGTGCTAAAGTCATTGGTGTCAATAATCGTGACTTGCACTCATTTAAAGTGGACCTTGAGACCACCAGTGGATTGGTTGGAATGATTGACAAAGAGAAGGTAATTCTTTGTGCTCTCAGTGGAATCTCAACGAGAGATGATGTTGCACGATACGAAAAAGAAGGAGTTGGTGCTGTTTTAGTGGGCGAAGCCCTGATGAGGGCAGGAAAAACTGTGGATGTCTTCATCAACGACTTACTCAACGAGCCAACCTCGGCGCCAGCTAAAGCCCCAGAATCGAGGCCGGAAGTTTTGGTAAAGATCTGTGGAACTCGTACTGTGGAAGCCGCTAAAGTAGCGGTTGAATCAGGCGCCGATATGATTGGCATGATTCTTGCCGAGGGCACAAAGCGAACTGTTGACCTTGATGCCGCTAAAGCAATTTCCGGCGTCGTCCATTCCACCCCTAAAGGCGGAGTCAAGTCTTCACCAGCTGCTTCTGTTTCATCGTCGCCGGTCACTACAGCAGAAGACTGGTTCACTCACTCCAAGAAAAGCCTCATCTCCCACCCAACCCGCGCCCTTCTTGTGGGCGTCTTCAGGAATCAGCCATTCTCATATGTCCTTCAGAAACAGCGAGAGCTAGATTTGGATATCGTGCAGCTTCATGGTTCAGAGCCACTTGAATGGGCTCGTCTTCTTCCCGTCCCAGTCATTCGTCGTTTCTCGCCTGGTGAAGCTGGCCTTGACAAGCGTGGGTTACACGCTATGCCATTACTTGACTCTGGTGTGGGTGGTACTGGCGAGAGGCTTGATGTAGCAGATATTAAAAAGACTTTGGCCGAGGGCGCAATTAAGACCCCAGTGATGTTGGCGGGTGGCTTGAACTACAAAAATGTAGCAGATGTGGTAGGAGATGAGGAGGGTTTGGTGGCTATGGGAGTGTGTGGTGTTGATGTGAGCAGTGGAGTTGAGACTGATGGGAGACAGGATCTAATGAAGATCAGAAAATTTGTGTACACGGCTAAAGGAAGAGTTGAATAAGGTCACTCCCGTTTCCATGTGTAATGGATGTTGAACGAAGGCGTTTTCATTTCAATTTCTTTGTATTTTCTTTCTCTTCTATTTTCACTCTCTGCAAGGCGGGGACGAATTTTTCTTGACCTTGATGGGCCTAGAATTTCTATGGTGATTATTCGCAACCCCATGTAGGGTTCTTGCTATTTTGAACACTCCAGTGATACCATGTTTGCTTTGACTTAATTTGTAAACAAGATATGACCCGAGAGAATAGATTTGCCGATTGCCATCATTTGCGGGTTTTTCTACTGTTCGATCGAGTTCATCAAAGGCGAATTCATCAAAGGCGATCGCGAGTGATTGTTCATGACATAAACGTCGATCACCAGCACCTTGGCTGCAAGTGAAATAGTATCTGCCAAGAAGCAATACCTAGTGGGCTAAATTTTAAAGATGCGGTGAGCAGGGATAGAGCTCTTGGCGCGTATTCAAGCAAAGGAGAAGGCCTGATATCTATTCCTCCGAGAGGGAAGTGGAGAGGGGAGTACTTATCAACATGACAACGTCGCCCAGCCTTAAAGTTTTCTTCCTTTTCTCTAAACCACCATTTATCCTTTGCATTCCCAACGAGATAGACCCATGATCGATAAGCCGAATCGACAAAGCTCCATCCAGTTGAATTAACTTTCGATTAATTAGAACTGCTAATAGCTCCAAACATCGCGTTTAGTAGAAAGGCACACTGAGTCTTCGTACTGACATTACCAGTCTCATCTTGGGCATTTACTCTACATCCAAGCCCTATCTAGATCTACAAGGACGTCTGATATTCTTACGTTTCTTTATTAATTGAGAAGGGTCTATTAGATGGACCCAACGGGCCCATACCGGTTCAGAGTTCCCTAAAGAAGCTCATATTTCCAGGATGAATCTCCGATTTTTATTCGGAAGCTCCGTCGCCAAAGCTCAGTGGCAGAAATATTTCGCTGCAATATATCGATGAAGCGTAGCTAATCTTGTCGTTGCTCGCGGATGCCGAGGCACATCCGACCAACTCACTAGGCCGAATCAGGATGAGCGGAAAATTGGTGTTTCTCCGTTCGCTCGAATGATATAGAACCAAGCTTTTTTGCGGGATATTTTTTATCTTCTGGAACGGTGAAACGCCTCTTTTGGCGGGAAATCCGGGTTGAAGACGTAAGCTTCGGAGAATTTGATGCTGCGGCATGAGATGTCACTCGATAGGTGAGCCGAGGCACGCAGGGTAGCAGCTAAATGGCGCACATCACATAGTGGCAAATTTAAACAGAAAATAGGTAGGTACATGTAGGTTCCAAGACTCTGGTATGGAAGAATGAATTGATTTTTGATTGAGTCCAGTAGGTATTCGAGGTGGTTTTGTGAGATTGTTGCATCCGATTTCGCTATGCATGCGAGCCTCGTCTCGGTGAAACTACTCCAATCTGCCGTTGCAGCCGTGTAGAGTACACGCATAGAATTGGGCCTGATTGTTTATCGAACGTATGATTCTCATTGCTAAAGATGTTGATTATATCCACTCGGCTATCGATCCGTAGAAAGATAGGGCGACCGATACTGAAACCATACGGCAGTGGTCTGCGAGGGGGAAATGCTAGATGGCAGCCTTGCGAAGACCGCACCATACGTGCGAAATACGCTACATTACAAAGTTGCTGTTTTATTTGCGTTACCAATGAAGATAAAAAAAACCAAAATTTCAATGAATATCAATGATAGCCTTAACCAGCATTTCCCCACTGGTTCGGAATCTCCGTCGGAGGTTTATGCAAGGTAATTGTTTAAATGGAAGCTTAAATACACCGCCAAGAACACTAACGTTTCGGGTTCCCTTCGCATATGAAGCCGCGGGTCAACTCCACCCGTTTGAAACATTCTACAGACCCTTGCGGCCCCCGAAATCCCGTCCTGCACCAGCATCACGCACTGGGTGATGTGCATTCGGACAAAATAAAACTCCAGTCGGAGCACTCGGAGCACTCGGAGCACTCGGAGCATTCGGATGCACACTGGAAAAAGCTAGCCGCTTTTCGCTTTCAAGCTCTTGAATTAGGGTCACATGTAGTACATGTAGCTAATATGGAGAAGTACGGAACTTTATTCTCACCGAGGTGCATGAGAAGAGTTTCGTGCATCATATTATGTAGCAATTCCATGGCATAGCTTGGATAACCTTGCAGATTTGTATAGCGGGGTTGTTCTCGATACAATATATATATCGTCATGTCCATCAGCTTTAAGAGTACAAGCAGCCCTCATCATCATTATAAATCTCATCATTCGACTTGAATTCACCGGGTATCGATTTAAATATTACTACAGAAAAATACGGACTGTTCTGAAGAAATCATGACGACTCCTATTCCCGCACCACCTGGGTTCCCAATCATAGGAAACCTGGCGGACCTTGATTCAGAATTACCTACAAAGACTTTGCGACACTTTGCCGACATCTATGGTAATTACTACAAGTTACTATACTCAATAGTAGAGCTAATTGGACAATATAGGCCCGATTTATCGTTTCGATTTTGGCGGAGGTGCGACTAAAGTAGTTATCAGCTCACAAGAAATAGTAGAAGAGGCCTGCAACGAAGAAAGATTTATCAAAGTTATCCAAGGAGGGCTAAATCAAGTACGAAACGGAGTTGGAGACGGTCTATTTACCGCACATCATGATGAGAAGAATTGGGGCATTGCGCATAGAATTCTAATGCCAGCTTTTGGGCCGTTGTCGGTTCAAGGAATGTTTAATGGTAGGTATTAATTGAAGCTACTCCGACCATTGACTAAGGTGTTAATGTTTGTGATGAATAGAAATGCACGATATTGCGAGTCAGCTCGTTATGAAATGGGCCCGTCACGGTCCAGACCATAAGATTGTAGCCACGGACGACTTTACTAGACTGACTCTTGACACTATCGCATTGTGCGCCATGGATTACCGCTTCAATTCCTTCTATACAGATGAACTACACCCTTTTGTTGGAGCTATGGGAGATTTTCTCTCGGAGTCCGGACGGAGATCCCAGAGGCCAGCGATTGCAAACCTGCTGATGAGAGGGTCGAGCCAGAAGTATGAGTCCGATATCGCCTTGATGAAAAACGTGAGTGACGAGGTGATCAAGAGGAGGAAAGAGAAGCCGACGGGAAAGAAGGACTTGTTGAATGCCATGTTGAATGGGAAGGATCCGGTCACAGGGGAGGGCATGTCAAATGAATCGATTATCAATAACATGATCACCTTCCTGATCGCTGGTATGCATTTCTTTTCGTCCCCTACTTGAGTTCCAATATGTCTAACACTGATATTCCGTATCTATTTAGGTCATGAAACCACGTCTGGAATGTTATCATTCGCCTTCTATCTCTTGATCAAAAATAGCGCTGCCTACCGCACCGCACAGCAAGAGGTCGATGACGTTTGCGGGAAAGGCCCTATCAAGGTAGAGCACATTTCAAAGCTGAAATACCTTAACGCCGTTCTTCGTGAGACACTCCGTCTCCATCCCACCGCACCTGCATTCAGCATGTGCCCAAAGCCTGGTGTAGAAGAACACCCTACTTTGTGCGGAGGCAAGTACGCGATTGGCAAAAACGAGCCCATCATCTGCTTGTTGCCAAAGGTGCATACAGATCCAGCGGTATATGGAGAAGATGCGGAAGAATTCAAGCCAGAGAGGATGTTGGACGAGGCATTTGAGAAGTTGCCCAAGTATGCTTGGAAGGTAATTAATATATCTCTCATAATTGCGAGTGTCAATGATATTGACAATTATATTATAGCCCTTTGGAAATGGAATGCGAGGCTGCATAGGCAGAGCCTTCGCCTGGCAGGAAGCTCTCCTTGTAGTTGCAATTCTGCTACAGAACTTTAACTTTCAGCTCGACGACCCTAGCTATCAGCTGAAGCTCAAACAGACCTTGACGGTCAAGCCTAAAGATTTCAAGATGCGTGCAACTCTGAGAGATGGAATTGACGCTACAATGCTCGAAAAGAAGCTCCAAGCCGGTTCTGCACCTACTGCAGAGGACTCCACGCTCAAAGAGACATTGAACAAGCCCTCAAACTTGAAGCCAATGAGCATCTTCTACGGGTCAAATACAGGAACATGTGAAGCTCTCGCAGCAAGACTGGCAAAAGATGCCATTCAACACGGCTTCGACGCTAAAGTTGATCCTCTGGATTCTGCAACTGATAAGCTTCCGAAAGACCAGCCAGTTGTCATTATCACAGCTTCATATGAGGGAGCACCTCCGGATAATGCGAGCCACTTCGTAGAGTGGTTGAAGAGCCTTAAGGAAGACGAGCTCAAGGGAGTCCAGTTTGCCGTCTTTGGTTGCGGTCATCGCGACTGGCAGGCGACTTTCCAGAAGATTCCCAGCTTGGTAGATGAGCTTATTGGGAAGTGGGGTGGTGAACGAATCGTCAATAAGGGTACAGCGGATGCCGCTAATGGTGACATGTTCACCGATTTTGACGGGTGGGAGGATACGCAGTACTGGCCTGCGGTCGAGAAAAACTATGGCGGTACTGCTACTTCGCCCGACGCGGTATCAACTCCTTCCATTGAGGTCACCGTTTCTTCGCAAAGCCGCTCCACGAACCTGAAGCAGGATGTGAGGGGAGCACTGTTGATGGAGAACAGGCTTCTTACTGCTCCTGGTGAACCGGAGAAGAGGCATGTTGAGATCAAGCTGCCGACTGATATGGTCTACAAAGCTGGAGACTACCTTGCTATCTTGCCTACCAACCCCAAGAACAACATTAGAAGGACTGTAGCGAGGTTTGGTCTGGCGTGGGATGCGGTCTTGAATATCAAGGCGAATGGCCCGACAGTTCTGCCGACTAATGTCAACATTACGGCCGCGGATGTGCTTTCGAACTATGTTGAGCTTGCACAACCGGCTACCAAGAAGGTTTGTCTGAGATTTCTACGCCTCATTTATGACACTGGCTAACAATCCCCCAGGATGTCCTTGCAATTGCGAAAGCTGCAGCGGATGAGAAGACCCGCACGGCACTCGAGAACCTTGCTGGAGACCTATTTAACGTGGAGGTCAGCCAAAAGCGTCTCAGCCCTCTCGACATACTCGAAAAGTATCCTAGTGTCGCATTCACATTCAGCGAATTTCTTGCCATTCTCCCCCCAATGCGTGTGCGCCAATACTCAATCTCATCCTCGCCTCTATACGCCCCCGACAGTTGCACGTTGACCTTCGCCGTCCTTGACCAAGAGGCCATCTCCGGCCAGGGCCGCTATGTCGGTGTGGCCTCAAACTACCTTGCCCACCTTGAGGCCGGTGACCATATCCAGGTCTCTGTCAGGGCATCCGCGCACCCCTTCCACCTCCACTAGACCCTGTCTCAACACCACTCATCATGGTCTGTGCCGGTTCCGGTCTCGCCCCCTTCCGTGGGTTCATCCAGGAGCGTGCTGCGCAGATTGGAGCCGGGCGGAAGCTGGCTAGGGCGCTGCTGTTTGTCGGATGTCGTGGGAAGGGTGACACGCTTTATGACGAGGAGTTCAAGAAGTGGTCGGCGATGGGAGCTGTGGATATTAGGTATGCGTTCTCTAGAGAGACGGAGAGGAGCGAAGGGTGTAAGTACGTCCAGGATAGACTGTGGCATGACAGAGTAGAAGCTGTCGAGCTGTTTGATGAGGGTGCCAAGGTGTTTGTGTGTGGGAGCCGGGAGATTGGCGAGGCGGTAAAGGTCACCTGTAAAAAGATGTATTCAGAGAAGGCTGCGGCGTTAGGGAAGCCGAAGAGCGAGGAGGAGGTAGAGGAGTGGTTCTCGAACCTGAGGAACGCGAGGTATGCGACGGATGTGTTTGCTTGAACGGGTGGGGTAATCTCTTTCTTTAGTTTGGTTATTTGGCTTTCGGTTTTGATTGGTTCTATTTTTTTTTTATATCTATGTAGTGTAGTTTATTGACATGCATGATTTTTGGTTCAATCTGAGACATTGATGTGCGAGCGCTGAGTGATTAGTTGTGACGGAGGAGAGGGGAGAAATGATTGAAACCCCCAGAAATCTCTTCCAGAGGCCCAAGCTAACTACCAGCTAGCTACAGCAGCTAGCTAGCTGCCAATGATCGACAGTAATCCCACTCCACACACAACAAATTTACAAAAACGAGAGACGGAGGAGCACACCCAGCCAACCAGCCAACCAGCCAACCAGCCACCTACAACCACAGCTAACTACCCGCCTATGCCCCATCCCCCCAGATGCCCACAACCCCCATCGCAAAGCCCATACCCAGCAAACCCCCTCTAACCAACCCCCACCTCCTCCACCTCTCCAACCCCCTCTCACCACCTCTCCATTCACCTCGACACCACCCCTTCCCCTCCCCTCGGTCTCCACACTCACCACCTCCGCCTCGACGGCACTCAACCTGGCGCCCTCGACCAGGCGCGCCACCAGCGGCACCGCCGCCGTCAACAGCAAATACGGGTGTCTGCCGCCCTTTCCGGCAAACCACCAAGCGGCCACGAGCACGCCCGAGGCGGCCACCTCGAGCGGCCGCGTCACCTGTCGGAGCAGGCCGAGCGAGACGCTGAAGGCGCGCTGCGCCTGCGCTGGGCGCCCGTCAGCAGGCGCGTACGGAAGGTGGGGGAGAAGACTGGGGGGGAAGGGGGAGCTACGCGCTGACGCGAGGGTGAGGATGCTGCTGAGCGTGGAGGTGCTGAAGTTTAGGTGGATGCCCTGTGTGTGGTGAAAAAGGCCGTGGTGGGAATGGGTGGTGGTTAGCTGGTGGTTGCTTTGCTATGGGGGTTGGGTTGGGGGTACCCCGCGGTGGGGCTCAGTGGGGACTTACGGTGAGGAGACCCAGGGAGATTACTCCCGTGAACTTGAGGGTTGCTACGACCTTTGACATGGGGGAATTGAAGTAAGTGGTGGGTTGGGTTTTTGTGTTTAAGGGCAATTGACGAGAATAATAATAATTTACAGGAAAGGGAACCGGAGAGAAAGTAAAGTTTCTCGAAAAGGGTGTGTGTGGTGGAGGAGAGAATTGTAAATTGTGGGCGGTTGTTTCCCTCTTGGTTACCGTCGCAAATCACATTCCTGGCACGATAATGGCATTGACTGATTATCAGATTCTCGATAGACAAACCGTCCATTTCCAGCTGGCTGCGTTTCGCCACCTTCCAAGCCCCGGGGTACTTCGGCCTGGGGTAGAAGCATCGATGTCACCGGAAAGCGTTTCCCAATACGGAGACAATGATTGTTTGCACAACTTTTTTTGCTATCCACCGAGAAATCATAATCCAGCTTAAGCTGTAGAAATAAACAATCCTTTTGAACCAAACAACCGAAATCATATTCTCCTATGATTTATTAGGAGAAGGAAAAAACAGAACGAGGTATACATTATAAGGCCTTTAGATAGAGAGTAAAAGGAAATTCATTCTTTACAACTCGTCCTTGACGGGAACCTCGGCTTCCTCCTCAGGTGTTACAACTTCGGCAACCTCGGGGGTGGCGTTGAGGTAGAACTGTTTGAGGATGTTCTGGCGGATAGTCAAGTCATCGCGCCTAATAATAACAATTAGCTATACTCCTAACAACGTGGTTCTTGACTTTGGAAATATCATACTTGGATGGGATCAATCCATTCTTGGTGATCATTCCCTGGAGCCTGTTCAACTCCTTCTCGACATAGTCGGCGTTCTTTGAAACCTTGGCAAGAACACGGGCATAGTATGAAGCATACTTGTCCTCCAGTCCCTTGACAGCGGCCTCAACCTCCTTGACGAAGCTGGCCTCCTTGCCTTTGACAATCTTGGCAACAATCTCATCAAGAGCCTTGACACGGCCGGCAGTTTCCTTGAGACCACCGCCAACAGCACGGTGGGTACCAGCGTGGTCGTTGATGAACTCGGTGAGGTGCTCCTCGGTGCGGCCATACTCGTAGTCGACGGGCTCAGTGGAACCCTTGGGGAACCACTTGAGGGTGGGGTAGCTGCTGACACCGTATTTCTCGGCGCTGGCCTTACCGCTGGGCGAGTCGCAGTTGATCTTTGCAATGACAACGTTGGAGTCCTCCTTGAAGTTTGTAGCGAGAGTCTCCCAGGTAGGAGCAAGAGCTTTGCAGTGACCGCACCATGGCTGCTCCAAAGTCAGCAATCCATCATTGTGCTGCCGAGTAGTTGATCACACTCACAGCATAGAACTTGACCAAAACATCCTTAGACTCATCCAACACAACCTCGCTGAAGTTTGTATCCGTAACAGTCTTAACATCACTTGGGGCCTCCTTCTTAATCTTCGGCTTGACACCCATCTGTTCTGAGATGAAGGTCTGTAGTGACTCGAGGTCGCGCTTGCTCTCGTACGGGATTGGCTGGTCGCTCTTTCCATCGAACCATTTCAGCGTTGGGAAACCCTTCACGCCAAAGCGCTGTCCCAGGGATTTGTGGTCTGCAAAGGGGGGTTAGTTAGACTGTGTAGAGTAACAACCAATGGAAAGCGACATACTGTCTGCATCAACTTTGGCAATTGTGATCTTGTCCTTCTGGCTGGCGAAGGAGTCGGCGAGCTGCTCATAGATGGGGGCGAGGGTCTTGCAGTCTGTGGGAATCCATTGTTAGTTTGGGTTGAAAGGACCTCCGGCTCCGGACAAGTAGAACTTACGGCCGCACCATGGCTAAGAGAATTGTTAGTAGATAGCCCTTATAATCTTCTCGAGAGAGTAAACAACATACTGCAAAGAACTCCACCAACGCCGGCTTCCCGCTCTGCAGAATCTCTTTATCGAAATTTTTAGGAGTGAGATCGAGAACATTGCTAGCCTGCACAACAGCCAGGAGCGAGAAGGCCGCAAAGAAGGATCCGAAGCCCTTCATGATTGAAGTTGATTGTTTTAGGCTGCTTTGGTAGGGGTATTTTTTGTTGTATTTGTGTGTGTGTGAGTTTTGTTTTCCAGCCAGCTTGATGAAAGAATGAGAAAAAAGAAGGACAGATTTCCACCGGAGCTGGTGAGCTGTGGCACTGGCTGGCTAGTAGTGGCGGCGGGATGCGTTGCGTTGCGGCTGATAAATCCAAATGCCCGGTTGTAGTAATCGGGTGAACCCTGGCTTTCCATCATGGAAGGATATGGGTGTGGCTGATGAATACAGTATTCATTATGGGATTGTCATCTCAGATCATGGTTTGGAAGCTTCCTGGGGGTAGAGACTGGCTTCTTTTTGAATATGGTTTTGTATTGTGGTACACGTGGGTGGAGGACTTGAGTACAGTACATGTATGTAAATTAGATTCGATAGATACTGGATCTAAAACACGATGTTTAATATATGCTCTCCTTACTTGTACTTGGAAGTAATTTTCTATATTTGGTATGCAAGTGAGTACGAGGCAAGATATGAGTGTAGATTTGTTTCGTGCAGGCTGTGTTATATGATTATCAATATTCACGTACTCCTGGCCGTGCAAGCTTAACCCCGAAAAAGTCTCGAGTAATAATATCTCCATTGCTACAATCCAGCTAACAAAGATAGGTGATAGGATACTTACAGTCTTTATAAACATTTTATCCACCTAGCTGGATACTTGGCAAGTTTCAATTGCTATCGGTATCAATGTCCTTCCTTAATATCTTTAGATCTCAATAGCACCCAGCTATTAACAGGATTACGGAATGATAATAAAAAGCAGAGCTTCGTGACATTTTTATTGCCGCTGTTTTTCTTATTTTGTAACTTAAGACAAACCCTTGATATCATTACCATGCCCTATGCCCCGGAGCTTCCTTGAAATCCTAATATTTGGTTTGGTGTATTTGTTGGGCTGCAAGGGCACATTCTCTAGATGTTTCTGGCTTGCTCTCTTCCAACTATTGCAGTTATTACTCCATGATGGAACTCAGTGCCGGATTTCTTTGTTAGGTATTCGGGGCTCTTGAATAACGACTGTTCTTAATAAAGTCAACCTTACTATCCTAATTCCAGAAGCATCGAGTTCCGGGTCTTCTTTGCTCTCTTCTATTCCGAGACAGCTAAGGCCCCAAATTTCAATCCGGACTGACCGCCAAAGGGATTGCCTATCATTGGTTTTATCCCGGGGGTGCCCTGTCTATGGGTTCGAAGAGAGCTCTGATTTGCTACCCATCATGCCATGGAGCTTAATAGCAGTTATACCTGCTACGTATCAGCACATATAGCCATAATAACACCCCATATCCTCCTAACCGCCAGCTCCATTTACCCATAATCACAATCCAAAACCCCACCCTCCCAATCTCTCCCAAGCTTTCCCTCCTCCCCTCCAAACGAAACAAACCGAAAACCCACCAGACCCCCCCCCTCCCATCCGCACACCTCTCCCCTCCCAAAAAACAAAAAACAAAAAACAAAAAAATGGTACAACTCACCGTTGTTGAAGACGTCGAAGATGCACACTTCGCGCAGCAACGGCCCTACCAGGACCAAGAAGACGACTACGCCTCCGACTCTGACCGCTCGTCGCTATCCAACGACGACGGTGAAGTCGAGATCGAGGAGACGCTGTACGACCGTGTTGTGGCGCTGAAGGACATTATCCCGCCGCGGCAGCGCGCGGTGCTGAGCGCGGTGCTGGCGTCGGCGTATGGGGTGATGAAGAGCGGGTTGAGCATGGGCGGGACGACGCTGTGGGTGCTGGTGACGGGGGCGTTTGTGGTGGGCGTGCCGTTTGCGGTTGCGGTGGGGGATGAGCAGCAGTTGGTGGAGATGGAGAGGGATATGAAGGTTTGTTTGATGCCGATGCCTTGATGTCTTGAAGCTGTGATGGTGGGGTTGAGTGAGTTGGGTTGGATTGGATAGTGGGCTGACTAGTGGTGATTGTGTAGATGCAGCAGTTTACAACGGATGTGAGTGCCAATTAACAGTGGAAATGCTTGACTGGAGAGCTGCTCTCTTCCAGATCTATAATGGAGTGTTTGAGATGGAGCTGACAATTGTGTTTTTAGTCTCTTTCGCCCGGTGCTCAAACGGTGGTTCTTGGGGAGCCACAGAAGAAGTAATGGGTTTTATTGAAAACGTTTTATCTTATTTTTTGTTTATTGTTCAAGTCAGTACTTTACTATACCCTTCCATCTAGTACGACGATGATATCTTCTTGAATGGAAAATATTGGTTCTCTGTCTATATTCTGTTTCGGTGCTTCTTTGGAGTAGCTATCACTCTATCAATTGGAAACAAATAGCTTCATGGTGCATCATGAAGCTTCAAGCATTTCTTCACGGGTATCAATTCAGCAAGTAGTCTATTGTAAACAGCTCTCCGTCTCTCTGCTCAGGTCCCATTAAGCTCCGTAAACTCCATACGCCCTCCAAATCCCAAATCTACATGATTTAACCAGTAAGCAGCACAATGAAACACAGCTCATCACTCACAACTGTCAACCCATTCACAGTCTCTCACTCACTCCTCTTTCCCCAATGCCTTCAGCGCTTTCGCCTTCAATTGCTCTACGCCCTTGACACCCTCCCACTTCTCCAAACACACCTTCAGCACCCCCCACTCCCTCTCCGCCTCCTCCATATTTCCCTCCTTTACCGCCACCTCAATCCTCTCCGGACACCCCAGCGCCCACACCACCGTCTCCTTCTTCCGTTTACTGCCCTCCCGACCCCCCGTCGAGCTCAGCGCAACCGGCGACACCGGAATCGTCTGCACAAGCGACGCCGACACCTGCGCGATATGCGCAATCGCCGGGCCGAGCGTCGAAGTCGTGGGCGCGAGGGGCTCCATGTTGGCTCTCATCTTCAATGTCCCCAGTTAGGCAGCTGCCCTCTATGTATGTAAAAACTACGGAAATATAGAAAAATGGATTATATACCTTCCGGATCGTGTCCGTCGCCATGATCAGCTTGCTGTAGTTATCGTATACCAGCGCCTTCCGCTCACCGTCAAAGCCACGTATCTCTACTCCCACTACCATCAGTATCAAACCCTCTTATCCTCTTGCCCGCTCACAACATGTAGCTAAGCCCAGAAACCAGAGCGCATACCATTCACAAGCTCATTCTCGACCCTGAGCAGCTCCTTCAGCTCCGCCGTCTCAAAGAGCTTCTCGACATACGTACTCACCTCGAAGCCCTCGCGGTCGAGCTCCCCAAGCTCCTCTACCGGCTCTTTTGGCGCCTCTTCCGCCTCCTCACCAGCTTCACCAGAGGCCTTGAGCCCGTAGAACTGGCGGAGAGCGGACCTGTTGCGGCGCGGAGAGCGGAGGCCCGGGCTGGGGAGTGGGAGGTCGAGGGAGACGCCGCGGGAGGAGGAGCGGGAGGACGGGGAGGGGAGGCGCGGGGAGGCATGGGAAGCGTCGAATGTGATTGCGGGGGTCGTCATTGCTGTTTCTGTGCAGATCTTTAGGTTTTGGGGGGAGCTTTGGGGGATGTTTTTGTGGGTGGGCGTCACGTAAGCAGGTGGCAGTATCGCGCCTCATCTCTTTCCTTCTCTTCTACACTCCTCAACAACTTCACTTCTCACCAGAATCTCACCGCTGGAAGAAATGGCGGCAATCTCCCAGTTCCCATTCCCCATCCCCACAATCACTCCTGTAAGCCTTCTTCTCCCTTTCTCGCATCTACATCTACGACGCATGCTAACAAACCACCAGGAAGACCTCGCAGCCTTCGACGAATCCCACTTCTCCCCCACCGCCCACACTCACCTCACCGCAAACTTTCTCCCCCCTCCGGACCCCTCCGCCGCCGCCGCCCATGCCGAAAATGAAGAAGACAACCTCGGTTACTACCCCGACGGCACAAAACGCACCCTAACCGACACACAGATCAGCATCTTCCGTCATAGCGAGATCCAGGAACTCCTCCGTACATTTTCCTCTTCCCCTCTCCCATTTCGGCATACGACTAACACTCTCCAGGTCGAAAACGCCATAACCGCAACCGCCGCCGCAAGTTCCGCGAGCGTCAGGCCGCCCAGAAAGCCGCAGAAGAGGATGAAGTCCGCGCGCAAGCTGCTGCTGAAGCCGCTGCCGCGAACCCCGTCCCGCAGACCGAGGCCACGGAGGGACTGGTGCGGAAGGGGAGGCTCGAGGCCGCCATCTGGGCGAGTGCCATGCAATGGGACGAGCAGGAGGGGGGTAATCAGGGGAAGGACCAGCCCCCGGTTGAGGAGCCGAAAGTGCTTGGCAGGGTGGATAGGGCGTCGGGTAGGGAGTTTTTGTGGCCGGCGATTGAGAGGTAAGCCGTGTTTTTTTTCTCTCTTTTTTTCTGTTGGGATGGGGGGAGGGATCCGAAGTGATGAGAATTATATACGTCATCCTTAGACGGAGTCTGAGGTTCCATTTTCGGGACGCTCGGATAATGACGAGATGAATGTACTCAATCTGATAGGATGGTTATGAGGGGCTGTTTTTCTTCATTATAGCGAGAGTTTTAGTTGTATGCACAGTATGCTAACTGAAATAAGGGCGTAAAATCTTAATGTAGGTACTCATAATTCACGATTGCTTTTCTTTCTTTCTTTCTAGGAATGGGTTTTCGTACTACTTTGTGGAGGGCAGTAAGGGATGTTGGCTGCCTGTGCTGGCTTTTTAAGAGCTGGTATGGCCGACATTGGTATAAGGAACGGCGGAAAGTCCACTTGATCTCGGCCGTTTAACATTACCAACGTAATGACTACTTGACGGCCAGAAAAGACAGTATCCCGGTAGTATCAAACGACGCTAATCAGACTACCTACCTGATATCCAATAACTCGACTTTCCAGGGTTACATTACTAATATTCTTGCACAATACCAGTTCGCCACTACTAACCAGCATTCTCTTCAGTCCTGTACTAATATGCCCTCAGAGGCGTTCTAGGAGCATTACCGCCCCATGGATCCACCACCACCATCTAAATCATCTTCACATCCATCCATATACACTGTAATAATCCAGTCCGTAGCATCTACCATAATAAAAAGAATATGCTGAAGCTCTCATTGATCACCGGTGAGAGAAGAAACCCTAGCTTGCGCTCGGGCTCCTCGCCATTGTGAATGTATGTTTTGTATAAAGTTGTGAGCTACTTGGATAAAAGAACGAGCTTTGTGGTTTAGATGTGACTGGCTAGCTATGGGGAAGAAAGATGGGTATGAGTTCTATGGTTACGGAAGAGCCTTCGGGGTGTGGGTGTGGTGGACACCAAACAAAAGACGGAGTCATATCGTTCATCGGCTTCGGTATGACTACATATACTCAAGAGATCTCCCTGGAATATATGATATATCTCAACCCATATCCATCCCTCACAGTCGCCTAGAGACACACATACACCCTTTACACATATCCAAAATTCACATTTACAAGCACTGGGACAAAAATAACTCTGATTTAAGGCTTCGTAATAGTACAGTAGGTAATTATTGGTAAACTGCCTGGACGTAAATTACCCCAAGAACGCCAAAACGAGCCCTTTTCATATAGCACTAGAACCCACCATTTTGAGATATAACCTATACCAATCAGTGAAAAATCACTTAATAGATAGTTAGAAAAATCGTTTGACAGCATTAAAACTCCGGGAATAATCATTGTACCATGGATGGTAGAACATTTTATTTGGTGGTTCTCAGAAAACGTGCCAAGACCTCGAATTTGTATGGGGTCTTGGCCAAATCCCAAGATTTGCCACATAACTTCCCAAATATTTGATGAAAACAATTTTAAAGTGTATCTTACTATCCTAAAAGTTTCACGGTGTTTAGATAACAATCGAAGCTTAAGGAGGTGGCCAATTTTAGCGCGAAAATGGTGATTGCCCCGAATGTCGGGGACAGAGGGCGCCTGTGAAATTGTACAAAGTTGCCTATATAAGTTTAGCTCGCAATTATGCGAGCCTGGGAGCTTTGTCCGGGATATGTCATAGTCGCTGGTAGTCATATATATAAGATCAGCGATCTATTGCACTCAGCCTGTAGGATATTCTCTCCACATATATTCCCACATTATGGATGATGAAGGGCTCACAAGCTGCTAGCGCAGCTTGTGACCCCGACCTACTCGCGAATTAAACACTCAGGAAACTGGATAGATCGAGCGACTTTCGACTCGTTATACGTCCAAGAACTATACCTATCTGAAATGAGATTAGTGCGGCACGAGTGACATTCTATGAACCCATTATTAGTCAACAGATATGAGTAATATAAAGAACAGGCGCTTATTCTTAACCGCCTTTCGTCATTTTCACGATAACTGTATTGTGAGTACGATACTCAAGATATCCAACTAATACACAGCTGCCCACGATTCGCGCAATCTGTTTTTGTCCCTGCCGATCATGCATGTAACTGAGCCCTAACCCATGTCCATATAGGGACAGCTAATGCGCAGCTCACACGAAGCTCTAAACAGGCAAGCAGCATCTTCTGACCGTCTCCACCCCTCATTCACTCACCCACTCACTCCACTCACCTCACCTCCATCCATCTAAATGCCGCTCCTAAAACTCCCCAACGAGATTCTGATCCAGATAGCAGAGTGCCTGGACCCCGCAGACTTCACAAACTTCCTCGTCCTCAACCACTTCTTCAAGAGCCTCTTGGTCCCTCTACTTCACAATATCGCCTTCAGCGACCCAGCTCAGTATCTGGACTGGGCATGCAAGCGCGGCCACGAGCACCTTGCCCGCCTCCTCCTCGAGGGCGGAACGTCGCCGAGTGTCCAATCCTGCATCAGTCGGTACCCGCTCCAAGAGGCCGCCTACTACGGTCACCTACCCATAGTCAAGCTTCTCCTCCAACACGGCGCCGATATCAGTGCCAGGGACGATGACTGCGGTACTGCGCTCCACTACGCAGCCGGCAGTGGCCACCCTGACATCGTGCAGCTGCTCTTAGAGAACGGCGCCGATAAAGAGATTAATGGCGACATGCTACATAACGTCACCCCACTCATGTGGGCGATCAAAGGCCTCGAGATGGCTTATGCACTGAATCTGGAGAAAGCCAACCCAGAATGCACCGTCCATTATTACTGGGAGGAGGAGGGCTTCCTTGACACGGGCATGTTTAGTGCTACAGAGCTCACCGAGCATAGAAAATATGCGATGGCGCGGATGCGTGAAGTTGTCAATATACTGCTAGAATGGGGCGCAGATGTCACATACTCTTGTAATACTGGAGAGTCGGTACTGCATGCGGTGGCAGGTCTGGATGAGTTTGATGCGGTGGAGACGGCGGAACTGTTGTTGGAGCGGGGTGCCGATCTACATGCGGTTGACAATGAAGGGAATACGCCGCTACATATAGCGGCGTATTGCGGGTTGCCGGGTCTCGTGACGCTATTTCTGGAGAAAGGTGCGGACGTGAATGCGGAGGACTCGGGTGGTCGGACGCCTTATGGTGGATTAGTTGTCGGTTTTCACCCAGAGGTCCACAAGATACTTGAGCGGGCCCAAGAAGGGGCTCAAAATGCTAAAGAAGACCGCAAGGCATAGGGGGGGGGGAAAAGCGGGTCCTTGGGCCTCTGTAATTATTTTGCTCCGCCTTGGTTTCTGTAGATGTGGTTGGTCGTGGGATCTTTGTGCCCTAGGCCGCGCCTGGATTTTTGGGCCTGTGGGCAAAATTGCAGGCAGTTTTGTTCCTGGGCGGGTGCCTTGATGCTTCTCCCGCGAATGTCAGCTGGGGGTGGGGGGTGGTATTCATGTCCAGAGACATCTGTCACGGATGAGCAAGGTGATGAGTCGGAGGTTGTAACGCTGGCCACGTGAGGCATATAAGTGGCGAATTTTCTTTCTTTTAGCTATTGATACGCCCCGTTCCTCGATATGAGGTTATTGATGTTCCTGGTGGATATTAGCGGGTATTTCAGGCACCGTAGATTAGGGTAAAGAGCATACATGTTGCGTTGTCGGGGCATTTAACTTCTAATTACCGATATTCATAGTTCTAATAGGATTTCATATTCAAAGTACCAAGTTTCATTGTATGTAGGTCGTATATATAAATTACTTCTCCAAGCAGCTTGTGGCTCGCCCGACCGAGGGGCTTGTGTATGGCCATGGCGTCTGAACAACTAAACCCGACCTTCCGGGGTGACCAGCTTTAGAGCTCTCTTCTAATTGAAACTCTTGTTGAACGGGCCGTGGCTTGAACTGGTATCCTTATTTCCTGAACAACATTCGCCTTCAAAGGACGGCATGCGCATGCAGCATATGGAGTACAATATAGGAGCAAATGGATCAGCGGGTTGGAGAGCATCGATCCATTATAGCCCTTCGGGTGATTTCCCTATTGAGGAGCTAAAACGATAAAAGAGGGGGATACATACATGTAGTGTTTCCTACACTTTAGTCTGGTTCATAGGCTTTTTGTCGCAGCTTCAGCATGCTGACAGGACAAATCAGTCTAGACACAAGACAAATATGTATCTGTATATGTATTATCTATTATTTCCTCGGCAATTTTCCTCTCTACCGCTTCTCTCTTTCCCTACATAACTTACAACCATCTACTTTATTAATTACATGTATTCCCCCCAGACCAACTACATAGGCTGGCTTATTATCGCTTTTAGGTTTTAAACAGCCAGCCATGGCTGAAGGAATACAACATAGCTACATGTATCCGTGCTGGGATTTATGTCACTTTCTATCCCATGCGGTTTAGATAGAGCCACTCTATTATATTAGGAGTTGCTTTGCTAAGGACATGTATTCGGACAACAAGTTGCATTCAACAAGGTTCAGACCTAGGTCATTTCCAAAACACCACCGAGTGATATCGTATGAGAGGCCTCGATCCAGCAACACACAACCAACCAAGAACCCCACATCTGACCACCACCACGCCTAACTATCCGTTTGCCAAACGCACATCAACCCCGACCTCATTCTTGTACACAAATGCACAACAGCTCAGTATTTTACCCAGATGATATGACCTCCCAAGAGGAAGCTATATTGCGCATGCAATTAATGAATTAAACAAAAAAAAAAAAAGCTATATTGCGCCAAGCTTTATCGCCTATACCGGGGTCTCGGACCGTAGGGGAATAGTGCTAGCCTCTACCGAAACAGACCAGAGCTCGCATCATTCTGTCCCGTGCCAAACATTTGAAAAGTCGGGCGAACATGTGGAATCCCCGTTAGTACTGGCCAATATGGTGAAACGGCGTGGGGTAGCACCGTAGCAGATAGATATATGCTTGGCGTTTAGGTTATATAAGCGCTTGAGGATAGGATAAGAAGTGGCCCTTTAATTTGGTGCATGGGTTATATATGACGGCTTATAATTATAATCTATATAACAGACCAGACAAAATCTCACGGACCACATATAGAAAAGTGGGTCCACAGGTCACAGAGATATATATTCTGCGTGAGGGCCAGCTGTATGCGGTGTGTAGTACCTAAGAACGATGCCAAATTGTATTCGATTCTCACACCGAGGATCAAGAGCTCCCGCAAGTTCCGGAGAAAGAAGTGGGCAAGAGGTTGAAATAAGGATGAGCGGACCTAATTGCCTTACCCCGCCATTTGGTAGCGGGCTGTAAACATGGATCATCCGATTGTTGGGTCTGTGATATGTTGCAAGAGTGGAGGTGGGGATCCGGGAGGCCTATATGTTTCGGAATTATATCCCCTGGGATATTTAATATATTAAACGCCAATGTGAAAAAGGTTTAATTTCACCCTAAAGGGCGGATATATAAAGCGCGGTGTGCTTTTCTGAATCGTGGATATTGTGCGTTTACTCTGATTCAATATCAACTAGCCATTCACCTTGCTTCAATATAAACTAGTACTCCTTCAACTGCGATAATGGTCTCCTCACTCAAAGCTCTATCTAAATTTGCCGCATACTGCGCTCTCCTGTCTTTTGTATCGGCCCACCAGAACCTCCACGAAGTACGCACCCCACCCACTCCCACGAGGTCAAGGGCTCAAAGACTAACTAACTGCTTCAGTTCTACGTCAACGGCGTCACAGTCGGCTACGAAAAATGCATGCGGAGGCCACCCAGCAACAACCCAGTCACCGATGTCCAAAGCACCGATATTAGATGCAATGTAAACGGTCTGTCAGCCAGCGGGACAAACCCGGTTCCTGAAGTGTGTGCTGTTAATGCTGGTGATGAGATTACCGTATGTTTTCAGCGCCCTTGCCCATATATCAGTAATAGTGAAGTTAATTATGATATACAGGTTATTTGGGACACAAGTAGTCATCCGGGCCCAATCCAGCACTTTCTCTATGGTATGTACAGTATTTATCCAGCAAAACAAAGACCTAGCTGATGAGCGTGTAACCTGCAGGACCTATTAGTGACGCCCTCACTGCTGATGGATCTGGAGCTAAATGGTCCAAAATCGATGTTCTGAACGTCCAAGACGGCAAGATGGCGAATGTCATCATGATGGAGAACGGCGGGAAATACACGTTTAAGCTTCCGGAAAACCTTACAAGCGGGGAATATCTCGTGAGTAGAATTGGATTATTCTGGATATAGAAAATTCAGAGCCTTGAAGACTGACGTAAGGGCTGCTTGTAGCTGAGATCAGAGATGTTGGCGCTACATGGAGCCGGGGTTATTGGGGGTGGCCAGTTCTATATCGGGTATGAATATTAATTGATTCGTGAGTAATTGATCTGATTGATAGCTAACAACTAGCTTTCCGACTCCAGGTGTATGCAGCTCAAGATCACAGGTCCCGGCGGTGACTGCTCACCGAAATTCAGCCTTCCAGGAATCTACGATGTTAGTCTTCCATCTTCACTCCCTGTGCCCACAGCCGGCCATAATACTAACGTCTCAACTATGACTAGGCGTCACAACCCGAAATCTATATCCCAGATGTCTATAACGGCTTCAACACCCTGACCTACACCGCCCCCGGCGGGCCAGTCGCAACATGTACCGCCGGCTCCGGATCAGGCAGCACCCCGGCCTCGACAACCGTCTCGGCGTCAACCACGCGCATGACTACCGCAGCGTCTAGCTCTATCACGCCGTCAAGCACAACGGCAACTTCTGCCGCTGCGTCGGCTACTAGTGCGGTGGTTGCTAAGTACGGGCAGGTAAGAAACACTCACCCATATTCTTGTGGTTTATTTGCATGGCTGACGATGTGGTATTGTGTAGTGCGGTGGAGCAGGCTTCACTGGGTCTACGAACTGTGCGTCGGGGAGTACGTGTCAGAAAGTTAATGATTATTACTCGCAGTGTCTGTAGTATAGCCTGGTGGGGGTGTGATGATTGTAAATAGTAAAGATTTTGATTTGATGAAATTGCATTATAATGGGCTTAAATGAGATGCTTAGACGAGCGATATTTGATGACGGAGGTCTCCGTTGGTTCGCATCGGCGCCTAGCTGGTCTGACGGGTATGAATAAAGCACCTTATATACCGCATAGACTACGAATATACCCACTTCTTTCTACCACCCACCATGTGCATCCCAGCTCAGCTCCGGCATTGTTTCTCGGGCCCGGTCGAAAAGGTCTGTTGGGTGCGGTTTGAGGTGAACATACATTTTACAGGACTGCAACCCCGGATTCTGAGGTTAGCCGATTATTAAGAGCTCTCAACTAAGGACCGGTGCTGTGCCGGGTTCACGACCGGTGGTCTTCCGATGCTTCTCGGAAGAAGGGAAGTTTCATTAGAGGCGAAAGAAGCATTAGGCTTTCGGGAATCCCCTCGGGCCATCTCTCTCGATCTCGCTGGAGTTCTAGGTGTTCACTTCTAATGATGGACTTCAGCGCAAGGATATCTCGGGTACGAATGTCATTGATAAGCCACTAACCTCGCCTGGGACGTCAGAGCACATTCATGTGGTATCACTCGGATTTGCAACCGAGTGTCAATGATCGAACGGTCATAAAATGCCTAGGAGTAGGTACGTGGGTTGAGTGGGATTTTGTAGAATGCCTCGTCCGGTTAGGTTTAGAGGTTAGATAGATGGCATGTAGTGAAGGGCCTACATAGAATTCTCTGCGCAATGTGTTTACGTCTAAAGTTAACTTCTGTGGCGCATCAATCTCCCACTAGGTTCAACCAACAATTAAAGAATATCAGCATAGTGATGATAATAATAACATTAAACGATAATACAAATTAATTACATGCAACCAATCACTTCTCACTTAACCTAGCCCCCAGCTTCTGCTCCTCCCCAAACTTCTCCATCACACAAGGAAACGGCAACAACCACATCTCACCGCCCAGGTCCGGAAACCATATCAGGTCCTCCAATCCCTTATTTTCCACCCCCGCCACACGGTACGAATATGTCTCCTCCACAAACCCACTGGCCCTCGGCACCTGCGTCAGCCGAAACTCGCCCCGCAGCTTGTCCCCCGCCACAATCCGGAAAACATCCTTCAGCTTCCCGCCCGTGCATACCCACAGCGGAACATATGTCGAGCACGCATTCACATCCACAAAGTCCATCTCTAGCTCCATGATGATGTTCACCGCAAACAAACCCTGGTGCTCCCCGTCCCGACACTCCGCTACCCCCGACGCAATCAGAAGCTTATTCAAGCATATGAGTGTACTCGGCGCCACCCCTACCATCGTCTCCGCGAAGAAACTGTGTTTCACATGCGGCGTCTCTGCATCCTTCAGGAACTCAGTGGGTGTTTCAAGGCCCCAGCCGTCGAGGGGTTTACAGTACCAAAGGCCCACACAGTCCTCACACTGGTAGATGTATCGCGTGTTGAAGTGAGTGTCGATGGTAAGCTTTGTCTGGGACGCTTTCCCCCTCCCCCCGAGGAGGTGAGGGATGTATATGGGTGCGTAGGGGACGACGTCAATGCCTTGGAACTGCGACCATTTGCTGCTGCTCTCGAGGGCGGCTTCTAGGGTGGGGTTGCGGGTCTCGACGTTTTGTGGGGTGAGCTCGAAGACGTGTTGCTTGGGGGGGTTGTCGGCTGTTAGTTGGATGCGGAGGTGCCGAGGCATCTTGTAGTATTGAGGGGTACGGTGTAGTCAGTTATAGGCCTCACTAATTAAGTGGGGCATATATGAAGGCGGATTTATGAGCATTGAAAACTGAGTCTCGATTATACAGTGGAGGTTTACATACGTACATTTTTTTTTTCTTTCACATGTGGCTTCAGGAATACCTTCTCACCGCTGGCCAGATGGGAGGAATTAACAGTGGATGCCAAGATCGAGTGATATCTTGTGACCGAAAATCCCCATCTATACGTGCACGTATCCCTTCGTTTGTCGATATATATTACTATATGTACTTACATAGTACCCACTATAATACAGAATTGTAGTTTAACCTTAGTGAAAGATCAGTATCCCGCAGTTGAGAAAAATAAAATAAAAATCAAGCCATTCTAATGAAAAGGGGCCTGATTCAACTGGGACGCAAATACCTGTCCAGCAGGCCATAGTGTCTTCTCTTCTCACTGCGTCGTACATGGAAACAGCAAATGTGGAGGTCTTTTCACGGCCATTGGAGACGATATGGGAAAGCTAAGTCCATTGTTGGCCACGGAGTGACGGCGCAGTCAAACGGTTCTCGCAAGTCTCAATTAATTCGTTCGGAAATGGTCTAAAATGACACAGTTTCTGGTAGACGTGCTCTAAAATAACACCATGATACAAGATAACACAGTTCGCCACGATCTAAAATGAATATTGTGGATGGCATCGAAGGGTTAGGGGTTCCGATTCATCTTGGCACACACCACCATCCCTCCAAGTATCACTTCCAGCCAGCAAACAACATGGGCGAGTGGTCTAGTGGTTAGACTGCTCGTCGGGTTAGACACCGTGTGTTTGATCCAGGACACACACAAGGTCCTGGGTTCGACCAGGGGTGGGGGTAGTAACGCACAATGGTAATAAGTCGTTGCAGTACCTTTTTGTTCCTTCTTATGGTGAAATACATTAGGAGGCTATTTTGATTTTTGATTTCTCTGGAGTAGGAAGAGTTGGGTGGTGTTGTGCTCTCGGCATGTCATTTTGCATCATGTGTTATTGCAGAGCATGTATACCGAAAACTGTAATTATAATCTTTTCCGTAATTCTTTTGCTAATTTAGATTATCTCTCTGCATGCATGTACTTGCTAATATATCGACTCATAAAACGGGAACGTACAAGTATCAATGCGTGTACTAGATGATATAAAAACCTCGTATAAAATTTAACACTAACGCCCAACTAGACGAAAACCAGAACACTTCCGAGAGAAAAAGAAAGAAGTATAATATAACCCAAAGAGCGAACGTTAGCCACACGCATTTTTTTCTTTTGTCATCCAAAAAACTCAGAACTCATACGCGTAACTCAAACGATAATAGGTTTTAACCCACTTAACCTAGATATAGCCCTAGCAGAAAGAAAAAAAAGTAACCGGGGGAAAAGAAAGATAGCTATAAAAAGGATATAAAAGTACAAGCCAATAAGGAAACGTTTTAGTAGAGCTTTTAACCCTCGTCAAGGTAGGAATATGTATAGTACAACTCCTCCCCAAATCCACAACCGCCAACGACACCAATTGCAACAGCAACTCACTACATCCGCCCGCCAAATGACCATTCATAACAAAGAAAAACGAGAGCAAAAATAAGTAAAAAGAAAATAGAAGTAATGAGTTCCGAGCCCCGATCTACAATTAAATTTTTCATCCGACGTACGTCCATTAACCATTATGACCGCCCCTGACTCGTTTCCCCGCAGCTGGGTCCTCTTCTGTCCCATCATCTCTTGACCGCTTAATTGGTACAAACTGTCTAGCCCCAGGATTCATGATGCGACCCGGGCTTTGCTGAGAGCCCTGCTGCCCAGTCATGGGTAATCCGGTTTGAATATTCGGTACCTGTTGTGGCTGCTGCATCTGGAGACCTGCACCTTGGTTCTGGCCTTGGCCACCAGCACCTCGTCCCTGGGGTCGGAATATTCCTCCTCTCCCCATCATTCCTCCTCCGCGAGGAAGTTGAGTTTGCGGCTGTCCTGTGGGAAGACTCATCCGTTGGCCAAACTGAGGTTGTTGCCCTGGGGGAACCCCCATTTGTTGCTGACCCATTTGCTGCTGGCCCATCTGCTGCTGGCCCATCTGTGGCTGGCCCATCTGTGGCTGGCCCATCTGCGGGAACTGCTGGGGGATCGCATGTGTCTGGGTTGGTGAGCCAGCCTGAGAACCTCCTCGGCCACCCTGTGCAACCCCACGACCGGCACCACCACGGGGGATGTTTGATGATAAAGCCCCACGGAGACTCCTAAGTGCAGCGGGTCCAGTACCGACAGCATCACGGCGCTGCGTAGGTGGGATAGGGATCTGACTCATATCCTGGCCTTGCTGACCTTGTTGATGTTGCTGATGCTGCTGCTGTTGAAATTGCTGCTGCTGGAGTTGCTGTTGGAGCTGCTGCTGATTGGGATGAGGAATGGCGGACATGCCAGGAGGCTTGAGTCCGCTTTGTGGTAGCGATATTTGTTGGCCAGTGGGAATACCACTAGGGGCTGGTGCGCCGGAACCGTCGGTTGCGGCCTTAAGCTTCTCTTCCAGAACTTTGTTCTTCTTCTCAAGCATGTTGAGTTGGACCTTTATCCTTGCCTGCCCTTCCTGTTTCAATGCATCCTTCGACTTTTCTAAAGTCGCCTGAAGTTCTGATTCTTTCACCTTCATCTTCTCCTCAATTGCGCTATTAACCCTCTCCTCAACAGCACTATTAACCCTCTCCTCTACAACACTATTGACTCTCTCCTCAACAAGTTTCTCTCTTTCGGCCTCAACTTGTGCTTCCCACTTTGCTCTCTCCTTGACTAAACGGTGCTCAACATTCTTTTTGATGATTGCAGTCAGCTCCTCTTTAGTTGGTGGCGGTTTCCTTGTCGCGTCTGGCTCAGTGTTACGGGCTAAGAAGTCGGCCTGAAGTTGGTGTGTCACTTCAGTTTTGGCTTCTTCGATTTTAGCCTGCTCTTCCTGCTTCAACTTCTCGATCGCCTGTTGGTGCTCCAATTCCTTTGCTTCCAGAGCCTTCCGTAGCTCTTCTTCGTTAGTAGAGGAAGTGGAAACGGTTGTGGCAGTAGCCTTGGCAGTCTCGAGCTCAGATTTCACTTGTTCATATTGCTGTCTCAAAGTTGCAATTTCTTTCTTGAGCTCTTCGATAGTCGCCTGGAGCTGGGCAATCTGCTTCTTGTGCTCTGCTTCTGTTGTCGCTACCTGTTCGTTGAATTCCGCTATCTTGGCATCGAGAGCTGTTTTGACTGCAGTAGCCTTATATGCAGCAAAGTCGGTACGAGCCTTTGCAAGTCGTGCATCTACCTTCCTCTGTTCAGCTGCAAGCCTCTCCCGAACTATAGCCTCTACTTCCTCATCAGTCTTGCCCACAGGGGCCGCTACGGTGGATTCGGTTTGTACAGGTTGACTGGCTTGGATCTCCGCGATTCTCCTGTTGACCTCGGCCTCAATAGCAGTAGTATTATCCGGAGGTGGGATGAGAGCCATTCTCCGTTGAACCTCAGCCTCAATTGTAGCAGCGTTGTTATCTCCAGCTGGAACCGCAGAAAGCCTTCGTTGAACCTCAGCCTCGATAGCAGCAGAATTGTCAGGTGGTGGCATTTGAGCAATTCTCTGGGCAACTGCAGCCTCAATCGCTGCAGTGTTGTCTGAGGGTACAATTTGGGCCATGCGGTTTCTAACCTCGGCCTCAACGGCAGCAGAGATATCTGGAGGCGGAATCGCCGCAAGTCTTCTCGCCACCTCAGCTTCGATAGCGGCCTCATTGTTTACGGGGGCAATGGGAGCAACAGGCGCGGTAGGGGCGACAGGTGCAGCCGCCTTCTCGGCTTTAAGAGCAGCGATCTCCTGTTGCGCTTGTTCGTATTGTTCCTTAACTGTGCGCTTTAATGCATACCAACATTAGTAGATATCAGAATCGATGGGATTGCGTCAACATACCACTTCGAGGTATAGTTTTTTAGCATTGGTCTTGTGTGCCTCCATTTGTCTCTCCGTGGTCGCTATCTTTTGCTGGAGTTCATCGATATTTTTGGACGAGTTACCGTTTGTTTGAGCCGCCTGATTCAACTGTGCCCTCATTCCTTCCAGCTCAGTTTCGAGTTGTGCCCTAGCATCCCTAGATTCCTTGAACTTCTGCTTAGTATCAATAACGACTTTTCGCCACACTTCCGCTACCTCCTTGAGTTCGCTTTGCTTTGCTAGCTCAAAACCTTGCAGGGTCGTATTGAGGTTGTCACGTTCAGCAGTGACGGCCTCGACCTGTTCTTGTAGGCTCTTGGCCTGCTCTTTGAGGGTTTCAAGGTCGGCGGGATCAATACGCTATTTGACACTTTTAGATAACTAGTCAATGATAGCATACTAGAGAAACTTACATCGTATTTATTAAGGATCTGCTGAGCCCGTGCCTGCCAGCGTTCACCATGCTCGGTCAAGAGTTTAATCTCCTTGTCTTTCTGTTCTCGTTCCTCCTCTAGATTTCTAACTTGATCTATTTCCTAGATGTCAGCTTCCTCTTATAATAATCGCTTTTTTATGTTTCGGCCGTACCTTCCAAAGGCTCAATCTTCGCCCGGAGTTCCCCAATCTTCATTTCCAACTCTTCAACCTTCCTTCCCTTTCTTTCTGCATCGCTTCTCAGCGCAGTGTTGCTCTCTCTCAACAGATTCAATTCTGAAATCTTCTCCATCAACTCTTTATGTTGAGTTGCTCCTCTAAGTTGGTCTGCCTCTCGTTGCCTCTCCTGTGCCAACAGCAACCTAGTCTCATCAACAGTAGCCTTAGAGTAATCAAGCTGTTGCTTCAACCGCTTACTCTCCTGTAGGCATAACTCGTACTGTACATCTACAATTTCCTTCTCGCGTCTAAGATACTTGATGACCTCTCTCAGATCCTCAGTCTTTTTATCCAACGCATCATGTTCAGCTGAATCACCCATCTCATCAGCCGTTGCACGGTTCTTCTGAAGAGTTGAAACCTGCACGGTAACGTTGTCAAGCTGGCCTAGCAGGATCTTATTCTGCTTGACCAGGTCATCGCAACGTATCTTTACCTCAGAAAGTTCTTTTTCGTAATTGTCCTTCTGTGCTTCCCAGCTTGTCTCAGATGAGGAGAGCATGGCCTTTGCGGATTCGGCCTCAGTCTTGATTTGGTGGACCTCGGTCCTCAGCTGTGAGTATTCCGCGCGGACTTGTTGAAGTGACCTGGCAGCATTGGCGTGCTTGACAAGCTCTTGTTCATAGTTCTGTTGTGCGTCCTGAGCAATCTTGGCTTGACTTCGTAGATCCTCCTGGTAAAACACAGCTGCCGCGTCCTTTTTCACAAGATCTTCCTTAAGACCCTCGATCTGGGCTTGAAGAATCCTCTTCTCGTTCTCAAATTCCCGACCTTGCTCAACCTCTTTCTGTTGTAATTGAGCGAGCTCCCGATTAGCGGACGAAAGCTCGGAGAGGGTATCTGCGAGCCTCTGTTCCAGATCTTTGATCTTGGTCTATAAAATGGGTTAGCATCGTTCAAGAAAGAGATGGCTAAATTAATTACCTGGTGTTCGGTAAGTTGTTGCTCCATGCTCTCCCTGTATTCATCATGAGAATCATTCATATTCTGCAACTCTTCTTCGGCACCTTGGGCAATTTCTTTGTACTGCTCGACCTGGGTCTTAACATTCTCCAACTCTTCCCGGGTAAACTCAAGCGTTCTCTTCAGCTCCGCAACCTCTACTTGTAATTCTTGTTCTCTGATCTCCATGTCATCATCCTCCTCCTCAGTTGGCACAGGTGCATCTAGCTTGGGCTGGTAAACCTGCAGCTTCTCTTCCGCTGCCTTCAGCTCAACAGTCAACTCGTTGACTCTGGTTTGCAGATGATCCTGGCTGGTCTTGGCAGCAATGAGATTCTCCCTAGTAGTTGCCATTGCGGCATTGAGTTCGTCAATCTTCTTCTGCGACTCTCTTGCGTCAATCTCCTTTCTAATAACGAGTTTCTTTGCCTCCTCGACCTCCTCGTTGAGTCTGCGCTTCGTTTGCTGGAGTTCGTTCTCAATTTTCTCGGTCTGGCTCATAAGTCGTCTACGGGTTTCTGAGTCGGCGCGTTCTCGTTCACTCTGGATTGACTGAAGATTGGCAATAAGGCCATTTAGACGGGTACGCTCTTGTGTGAGAGCCTCATTGTCTTGAGCAAGGCGCTGCTCAATATTCTTCCACAATGTCTTCTCGGCTTTAAGATTGGCATTCTCGGTTCGCATACCCTCAATGAGAGATTTACAATCGACGAGTTCTTCGGCAACCTGTTGAGTCTTGAGATCTTGCTTGGCATGGTTTTCGCCCATACTGCTGATGCGTGATCGAAGCTGGTCATTTTCTTCTTTCAGCATATGGAAATTTCCGTTAAGCATCTCATATCGTTCTGTTAAAAAATCAATATTAGCACTTAACACTGTAACAATAACCTTTTTAGACAATACGTACCGGTTGCCAACTCCAGTTGTGAGTTTGCTCTGGCATATTGCATTCCGAGCTCCGCCTTCTCCGCGGCCAATCGTCGAGCCTGCTCATTCAATGTATTGTGATTTTCCAAAGCTTCAGTCTTGAACTGGTCGTACTGGCTCTGGAGATCCCTGATGACCTCGCCCAAATTAACTTGTGGAGCCTGGGAGCCAGCATCAGATTCTGGTGCCTTCGGTGCCTCCTCTTCCTGTTGTTGAACGGGGCCTTCTCTATTCTGTAGCATGCGTCTAAACATGTCACGTTCACGGAGGAATGACTGAGCTTTAGTACCAAGAGTCTTAAGTTCGTCCTTTAGTCTCTCTACCACACTCTTAAGATGAGCAATCTCCTGTCCTTCTTTACCCTCCTCGTTCTGCCTTCGCTGCTCCTCCTCTCTCTCCATCTTTTGGCCCAGTTCCCGGATGCCCTTGAGAAGATGCTCATTCTGCTCCTGTAATTCCCTCACACATCGGAATACGGTCAGTCTCTGTGAGATCAATCTATCTGTATCCGTGTCACTTCCTTCTGCCATTTCCCCGCTGACAATCTGCTCAAACACCCGATTCTGCGCGACCGTAAGTGGGTCAGCACCAGAATCTCGGTGCTCGATCTCAACAAGAAGGACCTGGACTTGGTTACTGAGATCGCGGAGTTGTTGGCGGAGAACAGCACTTTCCCGTTCATGCTCTGCAATCTTAGCCTCTAACCTCCTGGCCTCCTTCTTTGTCTTATCCTTCTCCTTTGCTGCATCCTCACATAACAAACTCATCTCAACTAGATCCTTCTGAAGCCTATCATGTTCCTCTCTAAGCTCCTGGATCTCCGGAGCTTTGTGTTCTAGATCTTGCATCAAGTCATTTATAGCCTCCTCCAACTTTGAATTCCTTCGCTTCTCCGCTTCAAAGCTAGCCTTCATGGCGGTGTAATCGGAGTAAAGCTGGGTAATAGAAAGTCCTGATTTTTGAAGCCTTGCAGCAGCTGGGGAACCAAGGCCACCAGGAGTACCCATGGCAGATCCGGGACGACGAGTAGGAGTTTGGCTTCCATTCATACTTCCACGACGAGAACCAGCACCATTATCAACGATAAAGCCACCGGCAGCATAGGTCGAAAGCTCAGCCTCTAATCGCTCCACCTGTACTTCCAACTCAGCAACTCTTCTCTCGGCAGCATATCGCTCGGTTTGCTCGGTTTCCGCCTCTGCACGGGCACGACCAAGTTCGATACTATCCTGCTCATGCCCCTGCTCGATAATTTGCTCCAATTCGGCGATTCTAGCTCTAGCCTTTTTATTGGATTGTTCAAAGAGCTCAGCAAGCCTCTTTTGTGAATTCATTTCGTTGCTAAAGCTCTCCTCGCGCTGTAATTCTTGATTTTGGAGTTCCTGCACCTTGGCTAAAGCATCCTGAGCCTTCTTGCTAACCTCCTCGAATCGTTGTTTCAATATTTCCATGTTGCGTTTGGTGCTATTATCAGAAGCCAAAGCATCATCCAGTTCCCGCTGAAGAGTGGCTACCTGCGCAGCCTTCTCCTTCCGGAACTTCTGCAATTCGCTAACCTTAGTCTTAAGTTCGCCATCGAGCCATTCATTGTTTTTCTTAAGCAATTCAACTTCCTGGCTGAGGCTCTGCTCCCTGAATTTTGCAGTTGTTTGCGCGGATTGCGCCTGCTGCAATTGAGTTTCGAGGGCGCTAGCTTCGCGGCGGGTTTCAATTGCCTTGGATTGCGCAGAAGCGTATTCGTCCTGAAGACGGTCATAATCGGTTGACTTGCGGTCAAGAGCATCCAGCGTGTCCCGTTTATCGGACTCGAGAGACTGAACACGTATTTTGAGAACACGGACCTCCTCATCGACGTCTGACCTCGAGGATTTATAAGCCGAGAACTCTGCTTCTATTGAACTGCGCGTAGACTCTGTAATTGTGTTAATAATCTCTTGTTGTCGATGGTTACTGGGGAATCAAACCTGAAGCATTGAGTTTCACTCTCAGATCCTGAGTTTCGGCCAAACTTGAATCCAGTTGGGTTTTCATAGCCTTGACCCTACTATCGGCCGTTCTCACAGCCTGTTCTAACTCGACTTCAATACGCAGAGCGTCGGCGCGAAGATTGTCATGTTGCCGTGACTTCTCGTCGAGTGATCTGAGTACGGAGGTAATGTAATCTTCTGTGTTGCTAGCAAATGAAGATACGACATCCTCGGGTAACGAGAGGAAGTTTGCAAGGCGAGACACGTCGATCGCGCCGCCTCCGGGAGACGGAGACAGAACGTCGGCGGACGCCATTATTTGGGAAAGAGGAATGTCACGGTTTGTGCCAAACAGAGGGTGGGGTGATGACGATTACGATAATCTAGGGAACGTGTACAAAGGGGTAGTTGGGTGTTTGGCTGACAGACTCGGGGGTTCGAGGGGTGGATGTGTATTGGGGGTTGAAAGAGAAGATGGGGGGATAGAATGAATGTAGTTGTTGAGTGAGTAGTATGTGGAACCGCGGTGGAACAGTGGAAGACGCGACAGTGATGGGGTCTTTTCTTCTGGAATAGGTCTGGCTGTCCGGCTACGCGCAACGGGACATACACATACACATACGCATCAAAGGACGGGAAAATATGCCTTGCTTTTCCACACACACTTTCTACGCACAGAGGAGAAGGGAGAGCTCACAGATGGAGTTGAAGGGAAAGTAAAATACCGAGAAGGCTGACGGACGCAAGTCAACCAACATGCTTGCCCAGCCTTTCCCTGTGCATCAAGGTTACCCTACCTTTATATTCCTTTTCAATGCTCTAGGCATCCCAGATGCATTTGCTTTTGAAGATCTACGGGTATCATATTTGTGTTCCGGAGTCGTAGGTACGTTTACAGTGAATGAAGCTGAGGCTACACGTTAATTTAGAAGCTCAGATATTCTACCGGGATACAAATATAGAATAGAATATCAGATGACTTGCATCCATGGTTGAATGTCGAAATGCGAAAATCGTTATTGACTGTGCAGACCAATGATTGTCTTATGGCGTGGTTGCCACGCCCTAGGCTTGGCATCCCCAGAGGTGCTGTTGTGCCTTTTTTTGTTGTTTTGGCCTGCAACAACAACTGAGAGTGTCAAGTGTCTCCAGCCAACCGTCTTCCTTGCCTTGTCACGACTACCACAAATTAGCATCCTTTGAACAGAGACCACTAAGGCCGACATTTACTATCCACTCACTCGTTTTGTCTTGAACCCTTCATCTCCCTCTTGTGAGCCCCTCTTCCAACCCCCCACCATCACCCCCTACTAGCACTCCCGTCCCTATCTTGCTGCTAAATTACTCCTCCTAGAAACCTGCAAACATGGCCGAAGAGGAACCAGACTACTCAAGCATCCCCCTCCCTGACCGCGCCGTCCACAAGATATGGAAGGTTCGTAAGGGTGCCTACGAAGAAGCTGCTGCGTGAGTTTTGCTCCATCTTCTCCATGTTACCTACTGTGTAACTTGATGCTGAAAACTACCCCACAGTGATTTCGCAAGGTCGCCAGACGAGAGTGACCCGTGCTTCCAACCCTGGTTACATGACTCAGGATTATGGACCAAGGTAGTACTAGATTCCAACGTTGCTGCCCAGCAGGAGGGTATTGCTGCGTTGTGTGCGTTTCTACAATATGGCGGAATTAATGCGTGTTTACGGTACGAACATGTATCACAGGCGTATCCCGATAAAATAGCTTGAACTGATTGGGAATACAGGACACGATCACACATAATTGGACCTCTCGTCGAAAAAGGTTTATCGTCTACTCGTGCCGCTACGAAAGAAAAGTCCCTCGAGGCTCTCCTTCTCTATATAGAACTTGATACCCCCGTTCCGGTGATGGAATCACTAGTTCCCTTTCTATCCCACAAAATGCCCAAAATCATTGCCGCTACTTTATCCGCTATAACAGGAATATTTGCAGCTTATGGTGCGCGAACCGTTGATCCCAAGCCAGTTCTGAAGGTGCTCCCCGGTGCCTTCGCACACGCGGATAAGAATGTTAGAGCAGAGGCTACTAAACTTGCGATCGAGCTGTACAAGTGGCTTAAGGATGCGATCAAACCCATGTTCTTTAACGACCTGAAGCCGGCTCAACAAAAAGATCTAGACGAGGCATTTGAGAAGGTTAAGGAGGAAACACCAAAGCAGGAGAGGCTATTGCGATCTCAACAAGCTGCTGGGGTACAGGAAGAAGCGGTTGAAGATGAAGTTGAGGTTGATGCTTTTGATTTGGCTGAACCAGTGGATGTTCTCTCGAAAATGCCACCGGAATTTGACGAGCAAGTTAGTTCTAGCAAGTGGAAGGAGAGAAAAGATGCGCTGGAAGCTCTCCAGGTTTTAATTAACGTACCAAGAATTAAAGACGGCGATTTCAACGAAATTATACGGGCCTTGGCCAAGTGTATGAAGGACGCCAACGTTGCTGTGGTAACGGTGGCAGCAAATTGTATTGAATTACTAGCGAATGGTTTGAGAAAAGGGTTTGCAAAACACAAGCAGACCGTGCTGTCGCCCATCTTGGAGAGATTGAAGGAGAAGAAGCAGAGTGTGATCGATGCTCTTGCCAAAGCTTTAGATGCAGTTTTTGGAGCAGTATGTGGCACTTTCCGGGGCTTTATACGTTATTTACTAACAACTATTTTTAGACCTCACTTACAGATATTCTTGAAGACATATTAGAGTACCTTAAACACAAGAATCCTAACGTCAAACTTGAGACTTTACGATTTTTGATTCGATGCCTTCGGGTCACCCGGGAATTTCCTTCAAAACCGGAATGCAAAAATATTGCTGAAGGCTCAGCTAAAATGTTGAGCGATACTAGTGGTCCTGTCCGTGATGGGGCAGCTGAAGCCATGGGTACACTTATGAAAATTATTGGAGAGCGAGCCATGAACCCATTCTTGGATGGTCTTGATGATATCCGAAAGGCCAAAATAAAGGAATTCTTTGAGACAGCTGAAGTAAAAGCGAAGGAGAAGCCGAAGCCAGTTGCGCCTCCCCCACCGCCGCCCGTCGCTACGAAAGCTCCCGCGAAGAAAGTTCTCAAATCTGGGTCAAAGACTGTCAAAAAGATTGCCCCACCCTCTCAGTACGCCCAGGAGCCTGCAAAGCCTAGTGAAGCCCCTCGTGCAATTCCGGGAAGCAAGATGGCTCCAAAATCTGGACTCAAATTGCAGAAAAAGACTGTCGCGCCTGGGGCTGGAAGTTCTCTGGCTTCTCCAAGACGCACAGCTCCCCCGCCAAGAGAGTTAACCCCAGATGAAGAGTCAGCACCACCGCCACCAAAGACTGCCCTGAGGGGGCTTGCAAGCAGACAACTATCGCGAGAGCAGCCTGTGGCACCTGGGCTAGGTGCTGCTGAGAAGGCTGAACTCGAGGAGCTCCGGGCGGATAAAGAACGATGGGCTAGGCAGCTGCAAGAGGACAAATCTGAAAAGGCACGATTGTTGCAAGAGATCAACGATCTGCAGCTGCAGGTACGCATTTTCGTAACTACCACCACAAAACACATCCTTCATTTTTTTGCGATGTAACATGAAATAAATGCTAACTGTTTATCTGAATGATTAGAATGCGCAACTCATCGAGGAGCACACACGTGATAACCTCTCTATCCGTGCTAAGGAAGCACAGCTTGTCCGCTCCCGCGCCGATGCAGAATCGGCAGAAGCCCAGGTGCAAAAGCAACAACGCGAAATCGAGCGCCTCAAGCGAGAGCTTGCACGCGCGGTCCGACCTACTTCACCCGCGCCCACAGATATTTCCGAGCACCTGTATGGCCGTGAGTCAAGTCTTGGCGGAAGCTACGGTGGCCATATGGGGCGAGGTGGAATGGACACGAACAGGAATAGCTTTCAGTCCACATTTTCTACAGAAGATAGCTATAACGGTGGAGGGTCGATAGGTACCACCAGGGACAGGATGAGCCCGAACCACCAGCAAGAAAGCGGCAGAACTAGCGCCGCTGGAAGCAGCACTGACAATATCGAGAGCTGGAAGAGAGCTGCTGAGGTCACGAGCCAGTTGAAGCTCAGAATTGAGCAGATGAAGGCTAAACAAGGTTTAGCATCCAGGGGGCAGAGGTAAAGTGTTATATGTGGTATCAAGAGGATGGGTGAAGGAGCAGTGAATGGATTATGGCTGCTACGGATAGCATTTTCTGGTTTGCGTTTACATCTGTATTTTTTCTTTCTTTTGTTAGAGGCGAACTATGTCCAACAACTCTTATAACTTTTTAACAACGATTCTTATCTTCTTCTTCAATTTTCATTTTTCTTCCCAAAAAGCTATCGGCAGGTTCATATATATCTTGCAAATAACTTTTTATGTTTCTTGTTTTCCTTTCCTTTTCTTGCGCCTGGATTGGGATGCTGCGTTGAAGGGGGTCTTGTTTCTGGGGTGTTATCTTGCGTGTTATCTTTTCTCTTTCTCTCTATTTTTGTGTTGCGTGCAGGTCTGATTAATCAAGGTTTTTATTTTTCTTTTCTGTTTTGCGGAATTTCAAAGGTCGTTGCGGGAATATAAAATTGAAAGACTGTTGTTGCTGAGCGGGGGGGGGGGGGGTGTGAAGTGAATCCTAATCTGCATATTAAATCTAGACATGTACATGGAGTCAGTTTGAAAAACGAGCGATGCTTAGAGAACCTACCCAGGATACACATGTGTCCCGGAGAGAGGAAGTTGTGGGGAGATCGATGGGAGGGTATCTTCTCTATGCAAGTAGTGCTGATGTTGGTGGGGTGGTGGGTAGATAGGACCCATACCCTTACAATGGGCCATTGCACGAATTGTATACCCCTCCCCGAGGCTTGAGTATCTTCTCCAGTGGAGTAAAATATGTGGTTCGTCGTTTTGTGAGCTCGAGTTGTGGCCCATACAGAACCCATTCTAAGACTCCAAGGAAGATCTAGACTCTAGTCATGCATAACGGCCTTCATCCCTGACCAAACGCTTTGTGGCGTTGTATGCGTTTTCCTCCCTTCGTCTGTTGGTTGCCGGCCATCACGGAATTGCCTCACGAGATATCACTCGAGTGCCAAGAAGCAACCCAGTCCCAGCTTGCGACGCAAGTCCAAGCCTGCCAAAAGTTTATTTCAGAGGGCTCTTTTTGGGGCTGTAGATTGTATGATATCACTTCTCTGGTATTGATAGCATTTGATTGCTTGATTATGGTGCGTTAGCCGTGCGTAGCTCGCGGAAATGATAGCGAGTGATAATTTGTGATTAAGCTATTTCTCTATCGATCCCGAATCAAGGAGACCATCCCGCTTTATACGGCCAATCTACACATGTTGATTATGGTAACTAGAAACTATCTACAGTCTACAGATCTATCTATATAAGGCTGCATAAAACCTTCAACATCATCAGAACAATGGGAAGATTTATTCTTCTTTCGGAAAAGAAAAAAAAAAAAGAAGACAGAGAGAAACGACAATTTACATTCGTTTCCCCACCCTGTGCCCACGCACCCTCGTGCGGCTACCTACATGTAGCTACTAGCCAGCACGGGCAGGCTGGGAGCGGGGATTCAAAGTTAGACCCGCTTAGCTTCCGCACTCCCCCGGTGAGAGAGCACATAAAAAAAGGCTAGAGGAGGCAAAGGGGAGGGCAAGAGAACTACATGTATCTCTGCTAGAAAGCGAGAACTGAACAGGATGGGGGTTGGGGCAAGAGATCACTTTCAACCCTTCGGACCGCGCCCAAGGATTGATAGTGATCTCTGCTCCAGGAGCAGAGAAAACAGGAGGGGGGACGGCCGGACGGTACAGAGACGGGACAGCGAGACGGCATGGAGGGACAGAGATCACCCTCAATCCCTCGGACTAAGCCCAGAGGTTGATAGTGACCCTTGCCCCCCTCATAGAGGGGGCAGAGGAGACCTCCCTCTTCCGCCCCTCTCCCCCGTCCACCCCGTCACTCCATCCTCCCACCCGCCCACCCTGAGCCGGTAGCTCCCCTATCCTCTCCCTCTCCCTCTCCCATATCCACTTCCGCTTACAAGCCTCCCCGCCTACCCTGTTCCACTCGAAGTTGGGGAGAGGCGGCAGGGAGGGGAGGTGCCGGCGCAGGGGCAGAGAGGCGGAAGGAAGGGGGGCAGGAAAGGGACGGGGACAGAGTGGGGGGGTGTCGGCCCGGGGCAGGGAGGGGAGGGGAGCAGAAGGCCCCCTCAGTCCCTTTGGGACTGGTTGGGGGGTCGGAGAGTGGCAGGGGGGGCGGAGGGCAGGAGGGCAGGAGGGCAAGAGGGCAGGAGGGCAGGAGGGCATGGGAGCCCCCCAGCTCTCCAACTACACAGAGGGGGGGGGGCAGCACCAAGCTGCAGAGGAGAGGGGGGGGGGGGCAGCACCCAAGCCCAAGCCCAAGCCACTGGAAGGTGGGGCAGAGCACGAGCTGCCAGGATGCAAGGAGCTGTAGCTCCCTGGTTGGATAAAAGAAAATTGAAGAGAAGAGGAAAAGAGTGGGAGGAGGGATGCTTTATATAGCGGTGGGAGTCGGCGCCAAGGATGACTTTTTGGCCGCCTCTGGGTCACAGCGAAAACTTATATGTAGAGAGCAAGCTTGGCGCGAGATTGCATGTTCTGCGCTGTCTGATCTGTATTTTGGGCAATTGGGATCGATCGGGGTGGTATGTGACCACATGTATGTACGGGGAGGGAGGGATAATATGTTTTGAAGTTTACTCATGTAAGATTCCCACGATAATTCTTTTTGCTTCCCGCCCCAATATAATGATTTTTACTTGTTCAGCTCATGATCAGTCACTTCTTTACAAGTCCTCTGTGGTTGAGACTGCACATATTTATATATGTTCTATTTTGTTATTTGACCATATCTAAATGAGTGGATTACCCTCTTCTCTCCCCGAGTTTCCACATGGAAATGATCAACCCCCGAAATTCACACCCCACACCTACACTACACTACAAGTCCACCCCCCACCATAGCCAACAACTCAAACCACAATACCCACCGGCACCTTCGGCAAGTACGCCTCCTCCAGATACGTCGTCTCCTCCTCCGTCAGCTTGAACGACAGCGCCTTGACTGCCTCATCAATCCTGTCCACGCTCCCGAGTCCCAAGATGGGACTCGCGCCCTTCGACAGCACCCACGCCGTCGCGACAATCGCCATGCTGACGCCGTGCTTCTTTGCAATCTCCTCCACGCGCCCAGTGATCACCTTGTCCGTGTCGGATTCCTGCTTGCGGCTGTACTTGAGGAAGTCGTCGGTGTTCTCGCGGACCGTCTCGCGGGAGTCGAAGGGGCGGGTGAGGACGCCGCGCGCGAGGGGTGACCAGGGGATGATGCCGACGCCGGTGGCTTTGCAGTAGGGGATCATTTCACGCTCTTCCTCGCGGTACTGTGGGGGGTTAGTCTTTTCTTTTTCTTTCATTTGGGAGGCTGGATTGAGGGCAGTGCAGGGTGGAGTGGAGTGGGGGTGGGGAGCACATACGAGGAGATTGTAGTAGTTTTGCATCGAGATGAACTTGGTCCATCTGTTCTTCTCGGCGATGTTCTGGAGCATCTGGAATTCCCAGGCGAACACGGAGGAGGCGCCAATGTAGCGGACCTTTCCGCTCTCGACCACGTCGTGGAGGGCTTTCATGATCTCTTCCATAGGGACCTCTCTGTCCAGTCTGTATAAGTTGCACCAAAAAGTATATCAGTCTACTGTTCAAGAGAGCACCGGGCGGAGCAACAACAACAACCAAGCCGACTTACCGGTGGATCTGCAACACATCAATGTACGTCCCCAGCCTCTCAACACTCTCATCCACCGCCTCCAAGATATGTTTCCTCGACAGGCCCTTGTTGTTCACCCACATCTTCCCCTCCTTCGGGTCCCTGATACTGTGGTCCATGGTATCCGGCACGCCAAAGTAGCATTTCGACAGAATCACGAGGTTCTTGCGTGGGATGTTGTATTTCTCGATCGCCTTGGCGATGATGCGCTCGCTGGCGCCGTTGGAGTAGATGTTGGCCGTGTCCCAGGTGTTGATTCCTGCGTCCCAGGCGGCCTTGAGCAGCGGGAGGGACTCCTCCTCGTTCTTCACCCAGCCGGCCCACCGGGGGTCGCCGTAGGACATGGTGCCGAGGATGATGCGGGAGGTCTTGAGACCGCTGGCGCCGAGTCTGGGGGGATGTTAGCAAGAAAGCTACGGCATGAGTACACTGCAGTTGGCTGGTCGATCTAAATACCTTGCGTATTCCATTGTTTAATAGGGTGTTTGGTTGGCTTGGTTTGGTTCGGTTTGGTTTGATTGAGTGTGAGATATCCAGCAAGAAAGACGTCTACAATCCGACTTTATATAGACATCTGTAGACTGTACGTAGCTGCCCGGCGTTTATGAAAACCCGGATGTGTAACTCCGTGGTCAGTGTGCAATTAGTCAGTTAGTCCAAACGCATCTATACTTGTTACAGTATCTTAGCGTTGTCCTGCATCGCGAACCCTTGTCTGGGCATCTGCGTTTCATAGTGCAAAGTGGGGGGGATTGGGGGAGGAGAAATAGGGCATATCGATCATTTCCCGTTGTTGCAGTTGCAGTTGTTGCAGGAGTTGACATCATCATCATGAGGCTGTATATATGCATCATCGCTTGTCACTCGGATAATTATAACTAAACCACTTTTGGTGTTACCCCGAGGGTGGAGGATGCACCGGCTCGGCCAGTGACTCACAAATCTTTCTTTGCATGATCACCACCGATCGCGCCCGGATATTAAATTAAGTCCCTCGCTAAAGACGCGGTGTGCCGCTGCGGAGTTAGATGGAGTTGACGGTGGTAGGCGTTAACACAGTAAGAAAGAGAACACGGTCGAGCAGAGGCGGGCGGGATGATAAGATTGGGGTACGGTTAAATAGAAGCATTGACAGCTCTCTCGTCTGGCCACGTTCAATACGCGTGTCCCGTCAATGGGCAATGGGCAATGGGCAAAGGTCTAACCAGTCCACACACGTGAACGCGTGATTTGCCTGTAGCGTCATGGAGAAGAGAAAGAAGCAGAACAGCGTTGCACGCCTGCCCGGCCAGGATATACATACTAAGGCCCCGTGACAAACTCAGAGCTGGAGTTATAAACTGCGTCATAAACTCGGACTGTCATAAACTGCTGTTTTTAACTGAAAACTGTCATAAACTCAGATTCAATTTTCTAATTTTGACCACCCAAATTACCCTAACCCACCCTAAATACCAATTTTTGCCCTAGCCCACTCCCAAAATGGCTGTTGAGTTTATGACCATGACACCCAGGTTTTCGACAGCCAGTTTTTAACCAGTTTAAAACTGTCTGTCATACATTCAGTTTAAAACTCCCGAGTTTCTCACGGGGCTCTAATACATACACTTTGGTCTCAGTGCTCGGCCATACTACATGTAGCTCTGACGGCTGCGCGCAAGTTAAGGTTGAACCGGGGTGGAAACTTAAAATCTGCTTCCAACGTCAGCAGCGGAATGTGTATCTACTAGTATTTCGCTGACGTTTTTGAACTGGGCCATTATTGCATACACCCAAAACCATGAGCTTGGCGTATTTTTGTATGGCATGCAATATCAGTCGCGTCCACAAACGTCAGAGAAATACGAGTACTCACTCTGGAACACGCGCAGATTCACGACAAACGCCCCGCCCCCCCCCCCCCCCCCCGCGCTTCGCTCGTCGCCTAATCGGGTTGATTTGTCGATAGAGCTGAATGAGCTCTCGTTAGATTTACACAGTCATAACAGTCCTAGGCCCGTATCACGTCATGTCTCTTTGTTCCGGTGGTCGTGAGTTGTAGCCTGTGAGAATCAATCACTGCCATCATATCCGGGTGATTTTACGTGACGCGGATAACGGCAGAACCTCACTCCGTCTCTCGCCAGGGACCTGTGCAAGAACCTATCGTCCATCCGTTCCCGGTTCTCACAGCAATGAGCATGCAGCACCGCACCTCTGGGGTAAAAGGGGAACAGGAACAGGGGAGCAGGGTTGGTCCTTGCGCATCGTGTAGTGGTGATTCGCTGGATTCGCGATAGGCGAGATAGGCGAGCACTGGCAGTGAACCTCATCCCGTCCCTGGCTGCGGTGGCGCTAGGGCTAGGTCTTGTCGGCGGGTGAAGTGCTTCTCCTGCCTTGCCTTGTCCTGTCTCTCTGCATCACTCGCAAAAAGGACTGGCTGGCTTATCGATAACACATGATCGACAACCGCCACATCATCTGCCATCTGCCAGCCATCGCCTCTCAGCTCTCTCTCTCTCAGCTCCTCCTCCATCACTTCTACCCTTTCAACACCTTCCGGATACTCATTTGATTGTGAAATTTCTTCCGGTGCACCGTGTATCAGAGAACCCCACGCTCAACAGCTCTTCGGGAAAGAACCCAAACTTACAGCTTGCTTTACTCGCACCCCGTCCATCGAACAATCTCATCATGTCTATAAAGTAAGTTGTTCTTTTCACTTGGAATGCCTTCACAGCTATACGGATTGTATATGAGCTATTACGGGCGGACGGAGGCTAAAAAGCCTCACAAATCCACAGCTGGGTCATGCTAGACGACAGAACCGAACACAACTTCGTCAAGCTCCCCAGCGAAGAAGTACTCTACAGCTCCCCCTCGCGCACAAGCTTCTCCCTCTCCTCCTCCGCCGGCGCCAAGAAGCTCGCCCTCAGCAGCAGTTCCGGCATAGTCCACCTCACAAGCCAGCGGGTAATCTATTCCCCCCCTCCTCCCCCCCTCCTCCCCTTCTCCCGGAGGAGGTCCGTGCTGACACCCCCCCGCCCCACACCAACAGATAGTCTACATCCCCACGCAACGCACGCGCGAGCTCGAGTCCTTTTCCTGCCCCATAAACCACCTCCATGACACGCACGTCGCCGCGCCCTTCTTTGGCGCAAACTACTGGACCGCCGTTGTCCAGCCCGTGGCAGAGGGCGGCCTTACCTGGGTCAGCTCCGTGATTGAGCTCAAGCTCACCTTCAAGGAAGGCGGCGCCTTCGACTTTTACACATTCTTTGAGCGGGTCAAGGAGCTGTTTCTGCAGGCCCTGGAGGCTGCAAGGGATCAGGGGCGGCCGATGGGTAATATACACCTGCAAGAGCTGCCCCCCTATGAGGCGCCCCCGCCAGGGATCGATGAGCCCGCAGGTTCGACGTCGCTGGTAGATGCTACGGCGAGCTATGCGAATCCGCCCACGGGACCGCCGCCGGGATATGAGGAGGTGCAGTGGGAAAGCGTTGAGTCTGAGCTGCGGAGACAGACCAATAACGCTCGGTGAAGAAAGAACGGCCACTTAGTTTGCAAAACCTTTTTTTCAGGATGGGGTGGCGTTATGTTTTGGTTTTTCTTTTTTTGGTTTTCAATGCCTGTCATTATGAGTTAATGGGAAACTGAAGCTGTTTAAATTTTTTCTTTCTTTTTTTTTCTTGCGCTTGCTGAATGAATGCTTCTTCTCTGTACTTTAAGTAGTTGAATGCAATATATTCCAACAGGCAAAGCAAAACCACAAAAAGTATCATTTCTAAGAGGCATAAAAAAGTCTGTGTTCTCATTAGTTGTTAGTTTTCGCAACCTCCTTGACACTAATTACAATCTCAATAGTACTAATCCTCCTCTCCCTCATCGTAATATCATCCATCTCCTCCTCCTCCACACCCTCCATCCTCTCCCCCTCCCCCTCCCCCTCCCCCTTCCGTTTCCCCGCCCCCGTCCCCGTCCCCGTCCCCACACCAAACCCGCCCACCCCAAAACCCCCCACCTCCCCCCCACCCTCACAACATCATCCACAACCCCCACAACCCCCGTCCTAATCCGCACCACATACCCGCTCTGGCTCTGGAAATACAGCGCCACCTGCAGCGTCATGTCAATCGCCTTTCCCGACGCCTTGAGCGTCACATCCACGTTCTTTGCCGCCTTTGCGCTCTTTGTGTCTGCTGCGCCCTTGCCCTTGCCCTTGGTGGTGGTGATGTTGGTGGTGCTCTTGGTGTCAAGAAACCTTTGCGCGCGCTTGACGGCTGAGACGAAGGGTGTGCGGGAGGAGATGTAGATTGTGCGCGGTGTCTGGGGCGGGTGGAGGAGTGGGCGCTTTGCGGGGCGGTGTGCTGTGGTGGGGGTGGGAGGTTAGTTGGGTGGTGCGGTGGTGAGGAAGGAGAGGAGGTGGGGGAGGGGCTTACTGGGGGGGAGGGGGCGCGCTTTGGGGGTGGGGTTCGGCTCCGGTTTTGGTTTTGGGTCTTGTGGGGTGGTGGTGGAGGTTTGCATTTTGGTGGTGGATGTAGTGTGTGGAAGGAATGGGAATTTGAGATCCCTTGGTTTGAAGGTTTGGAGGGTTGGGTTTAGCTACTGTTTCCTTACTGTGCATGTTGCTTGGCGTGCATGGATCGACGGCAGGGGTATGTCTGGGATGTGGACTTCATGACTTCACTTCTACTACACTACATAAGCTTGAAGATGCGGTTGTTTATATCTAGGAACGAACGTTTATTTATTACTTAGTACAGAGCTTTTCTACAGGCTATATGTAGTACTGTTACAAGAATAAGAGAATTAAAGAAAGGAAGTGGGGGGAGGGATTCTATTTCCCTGTTTGCATCTCAGATGCCCTTTTATTAGTTGCTCCTTCCATTACTCCCTCGTGACAACCGCAGATGTGCCCAAATCCAAAAGAAGACCAAGAAAGGTACTCAAACAGAAGCGAAAGCAAGACATGCATGGGCCTGTTCAACCGCCCTAGACGCCCTTGAACCAAAGTAATAAAAAAAAAGTGGGGTAACGAATGTAATAGAGAGACAGATCATATGCTCCACAGGTGCGAAACAAGTGGTAGCAGTGATAAAAGGGTGTGGCTGTTGTTGAAACGTTTGCCAAAAAATGAGCGTTGTTAAACTCGACGAAAGTAGATGCGATGCGTATAACGACATCTAAACCCGGTGCAACTCGCCGTTGCCGCATTTTTGCTCCTCGTGACTCGAAAACACGCTTGAAGAGCTCACATAACGGTTGAAAAGTTTATAAACATTTTCTCCGGGATTGGTAAGAATCTCTTGAGTGTCACGACAGTTTGTGAAGGGCTTGTTGTCGTTGTTGCTGCGTAACAATAGATATTAGTTACCAAGACGGACCGAGAAAAACAGATACAAGAAACTCACGCAACACGGAATTGGCGCAAATCGGAGTTGGGGATGTCCTTGACAATCAACCACTTAACAGTAAAACGACTAAATTTGGTTAGTGACTTTGACTGTAAAATTACAAAATTTTGAACTCACCCTCTCCAACGCTTATCAGACCAAATTCCAGTATGTACTGAATGCTCAATTTCACTTGTCATTTCAGCAATTCCACAGAACTTGCCACTATAATAGTATTAGACATCTGAGATTGGACTGGGTTGTGTCAAGTTGGCACAAAACTAACCTTCCACTAACTGAAAAAAACAAAAATATTGGTCCCTTGCGTGTGAGGTCACAAAACGCTCTGTCGAGTCGTTTGTTTCCAAGATCGGTAGAGGTCCAGATGCCATGCTTGAGTGAGGCAAAAATATCAAGCTCACAGTTCGATTTAATCACGAAAAAACGACTCTATTTGAGAATGCATTGTTAGTTATAATAAGTTATTTTTTTTCATCTGATAAGCGCTCTCTTACATCTCGTGAAACGGGGTCGAGGGGTGCATTAAGGACACGGTCCATGCAAGCCCATTTTTCGGTGATGGCCACTTGTAATGCCTCATCACCACGCCTGAACCCTTTATTCTTGGTTCCATAAGCATCAAGCGTTTGAGATATAGAGCTGACGTTCGAGTTGCTAGGGATCTTATGGGCAGGATTTCCGTCAACTTTCTCACGGTGGACGAGAGCGCCGACACTCCCGCCTACTTGATCGCGCAGGCTATGAGTGCTGGTGTTTTTGCCGAATTGGTCGGGCAGATTGTGAGTGCTAATGTTCCTGTCGGCCAGGTCCCGCAGACCCTGAGTGTTGGGGTTTCTTCCAATTTGATCATGTAGACTGTGAGTGCTGGTGTTCCTGTCGAATTGATTACGAAGACTCTGAGTACTAATATTTCTTGCAACTTGGTCATGTAGACTGTGAGTGCTAATGTTTCTGTCGATTTGGTCACGCAAGTTGAGAGTACTGAGGAAGTGACCCAGCTTCCTAGCTCTTTGCTGCTCGTTACGTTCATACTCATCCAGGTCCTCAATTAATTGTTTCCCAGACATCACCTTCATAATAGTTGGATATTGTGCCTCTGGTAGAGACACATCTCCTACGAATGCAGGAGGGGGAGAGGGAGATGGGGAGGGGATAATTAAATGAGGTTTGAGGTAATCGCAATTAATTGGGTGTTCCTGCAGATTGTCCTGTACAAAAGCATCGATTCCCCCAGGAAATAGCGAATCCACGAAAGCTTTGTCCTTGACTTTCTCGACTTCTTTATGGTTATCCAAACTGCGATTGGTTCTCGCTAGGCCAGTTTGGTGCCGAAGAAGAGGCCATTCCGGCTGTATAGTAAGTTTAGGAAGCGAGCTAGAGTGTTCTACTGTCTCCCCTTCATAGTCGTTCCAGATCTTGCTGGTGAACTGTTTTTTTTCGGATGATGAAGATTGTTGCTCGGCCATTCGATTCATCGTAATAGAGCTGTCATTATTGGCGAAGAATTTAGAACTAGGTCTTGAGATAGGCTTCTGCAAAGACATTGGATTCTTCTCTCGTAGAGTGACAACATCACCACCAAAGAAAGTATTGGGGGTCTGGTAATAAGTCTTGGGGGAAGCGAGCCCATTATTGGAACTGGGACCAAGATTAAAGCTATGCAGCGGGGAACGGCTTTCATCGAAGAAGTTATCCTTGTAGTGCTCCTCGGTGCGTGGTTGGGAAACAGTCCTTTTAGAACTGTGGAGCCCTTCAGTAAAGTCGAGGGTGTTAGGCTTTCGGCCCAAAGTCTGGTTAGGAGAAACCTCGACTAGCTGTGTTCCAAAGAGCTGCTCAGGCTTTCGATTCAGAAGTACGTTCCTGCGACGAGTGCCATCATTGGTCATGGCGGCCATTATGGTTATCTGTTATGAGCAAGATGTCCAAGAGAAAGTTGTTCCCAAGCTCGTTCAAACCACGTGTAGAAGATTAGGGATTTAAAGGAAAATGTAAATGAGATGGATGGTGTGAGAAGGTGTTAGTTGGGTGTAAGAAATGTGGTGTAATATCAGGTGTGGGCAGCCCCCTTTGGTTGATATAAAAAAAAAAGAAAAGAAAGAAAAGAAAGAAAGAAAGAAAGAAACTAGTTTACCGCACAATTGTACAAACCGTTTTGACAGTTTTTGGTCTCACGTTCATCTCCATACGAGCTGTTCACAGCTCACAGTAGAGACTAGGAAAAGACTTAGTAGCTCTCATGCATAGCATCTTCTCGAAGCCCGTTCCCAGTCGTGTACATCTGGATGTAGTTTCTTTCTCATTCCCTACGTGTAGCCTACCACACACTACAGAGACAGTGGATCTTGGGCCTCTCCAGATAAACACTGTTTTAGGGCACAGCATTTTCTCCAAAATATGTATATGCGGTTGCGCTCTGCACGTTTCCTATCGCCTACAAAAGTTAGCAATACGGGCATGTATATCTCGAAGTGACTTTCCTCAAATTATTCACATGTAGTGTCGGGGGCTGCACAACAAACGTATATTTATCTACGGTAGTCTGAGTCAATTTGAGCTTCTGTCTTTTTGTAGAGATGCATGCAAGAATGATGATTATGCCGGAGGCATGCACGTACATGTAACCAGGAAGTTTTATACATTTATGCTCAAAGTGATGTTGACCGAGTGATGGACAATAAATGCACATGTATGGATATTTACCATGCTTGGGATCACCGTGAATAAACGACCCTTATTTATACAAATGAATGATAACGTTGCATGTATTATATGTACATGTACGTATGCATATCTCGTTTCCACTTACTTGTCCCGTACGTTTCCTATCCGATATATGCAGCTTATCACGCCGCGTGAGCACTACCCGGGGCCACATGCGGGCCTCAAGTGCTCTCTCTTTCTCTCCCTCCACTTCTTCAGTTTCTTCGGCCATATCGTATCATCGTATTTCGTTATAAAATCATAGCCATCCTGAGAGATTCCATCTAATCATAGGTAGGCCGGTGAACCATTACGTTAAATAATTTCTTTCATGATTCTTCAGATCGTTCTTCTTCTTTATATTTATACTCTGGCGTTTTTCGCTTTTCTATACATGTATCTACTCATTCGCAGCGTTTCCTATGATTCCACTTTAATATTAACTCCGAGAACAATCCAGTGACACTCCAAAATGGCAATTGGACAAGCTCTTCTCACCAAACCTCCAAAGCCCAAGATCCCGCAACAGCAACGACAAGAGCAGGTAACCAAAAGATTAAACAATAATACTGTTATTCAAGATCAATCGCTCAAGTTTGAGCAAAGCCTGGAGCTTGTTAGAACACTACTCGGTGCTTCGGTGAGCCCGATCTCTATATTCCTGATTTAAGTAAAAGGCGACAAAGAACTAATAAATCTTTTAAGATTGGTTGTCTTTCCTTCCTTCGGTAGGATATGTTTAATAAGAATATTTTCAATCTTAAACTTACATCTGAGTAGTGGCCTTCTTCCTGAGGAATGTTTCGTTGAAAAACGTTATGGTGGAAAGTCCTCGGCTGCTATGAGCTACCGCTCTTTCACTAGTGATATCGATGATGAATCGTTCAAGAAAGGTAGTGCGGGGTCTGGAACTCGGGTGAAGAGACTGAGGAGAGGTTATTCTGGGGAAGCAGATCAACTTTTAGATTGGCTCGTATGCACGCTCCTCAATGTCTGAATGGTTATCTGATTATTTACTAAAATTCTTTCGAAAGGAGATTGGTATCTTTGACGCTCTTCAGAAGGGGTACCTAAAGGCCGTTCAGCTAGCCATTTATGTGGATAAAGAACACCCAGAGATTATAGTAGAATCTTACACTTTCTCTTTTTCCTATCGCGAGAAAGAAGATGGTACCTCCGCAATCGGTCTTCGTGTTACAGATATTAATGGACGTGGAGTCACGGTGGAAGATGCAAACAAAAATCTCCAACTCATGATGAGAAGATTGATCGTTATTACTCAGGTAAGGTCTCTCCTCCAAGTACTTATTTACCCATTATTTACATGAAAGGACCTCTTAGAATCTTCCTCCTCTCCCTGGTATGTGACCTATTCCTCTATAATTTAATAGAAATATTTCCGGCGGACCTTTTGTACTTATCTGTTTCTTAGATCAACGTTGGCTTACTATCCGCCTTCACTATCTGGACCACACACCAAGCGACTATAATCCGCCGAGCTTTGTTCGTGTCTCTGCCAATGCGTCCCCGCTCCAATTCCATGAAAACGACGCCAATGATATTGAAAGGCTTGAAGTTGGAAGCCTCAATGCCGGCTTTCATGCGTTAGTACATTGGTCTATACCCATAGATTTTACTCTTTTTATATTTAACATTATCGCCGGCAGAATTTCTCTCAAAATATCAAGTGTGAATAATACCGAAAGCCAGGAACGTCCAAAGCGACGTCGTGGCTTAAAAATCATCCATGCAGATACCGACATAGAAGCACCATTATTCACAACTGATTCTTCACAAACAACTCCTAGAGGCTGCAGCAACGCAACAGGTATAAGTGAAACATCCGAGGGTCTATCGAGCGGCAGTGGACAAGAAAAAATTTCCAACGAGTCACCGGTAACGGAAAAACAACAAGCATCTAGCAACGACAAAAATATCAAGAGACCCCCTATTCACCTCCCTCAAACTTCGGGAAGGGCTGGACGCAATACGCAAGAGAAAATATCCCTTCGTGGAATGCTCCGTCCAGTAGTCCGGGAAGATGATGTCACGGAAACCCAGCCACTTGCCGACGACCCTAGAGCAAGTGATAATCAAAATAGCCTTTTTGATACCGAGCTACTTCCGACATTGCATTTTGAGACGCAGGCCGTAGACAGAATCCAGAATCCTATTCATACCTCCGCTAATCCTACTAATATCTCCTCGGGAATTGTTCGCACGGGAGTAGACCTGGTTCTATCGCATCCCCTCATTTCTGGTGAAAAAGGACCTCCACTAGGAGTATCGGGCCCCACTATACCTACTCATCGACGCCAAAGTACCCGTATTTTACAAAAGGTTGACAACGTCAAGTCAGCTGATAAAACGGTGGGCAGGACAAAGCTTTCAAAAGTGAAGATAATCGAGTTAAAACTTAAGGAGAAAAGCAAAGACATTCAAAATTCTTCACGAAAGAGCAGGACTATAGATGGGGATGAATGGAAGGGTGAAACGCATGAAGGTAGAATCAACTGTGAATGTGGTGAAGATAAACCTGAAGGAAATATGATTTGCTGTGACAATTGTGATGAGTGGCAGCATACCGATTGTTATGGTTTTATTTCAGCCAAGGACAGCCGTATACCCGATCACCACGTTTGTTATAGCTGTCTCCTTGGGGCAAACGAAGGGAAAATCCTCGAGGAAATGCGGAACATGGCCCTGTTCAGACGGGCCTTGAAGACTATCTGGAGTGTGGACGTTTTCCCATCGTCCAATAAGGTTTTTGCCAACAAGCTTGGTATGTTGTCTTTATTCCTCAAGCCTGGGATTTATGAGTTGATAGTCGAGTGATAGGATGTGATTTACCGACCGCACTTCAGATTACAAAGCGCTTGGAGAGCGAGGGATTCATCGCCCATGATGTTGCAAAATCAAAGCTTTGGAGAAAAAGGGCATACGAGATTTTGAAAACAAACGAAACGAAGAGCCTCATGGATGCTGAATATTTTGACCCGCTGAAAAAAATCTCACATCATGTTAGTAAATTCTTGATCCTCGTGCTACATTGTTTTAGACTAATGATAAAATTTAAAATTAAAGTTCGAAAATTCATCATCTGCCAATATCACACGCAAATCTCCTCTTGGGGAAATTCCATTGGTAGAGCCCCTCCCAGAGACATTCCTAAATTCATTGCAATTGATGGATGCCGGAATTCAAGACTCCCAAGAACTTGAGAGGGGTTTTGGAGAGTCAAATGCCGCCCCTGCCTATAAGAGTAAGACTCGAGTCACTGATCATGATGCGGATTCTACCGCCGATGAGGAAGAAAATATGCCAATCCTGAAACATACTCGGAAGGATATAACCCATTATGATAAGACTATAGACAGATCTGGAAACTCGGGCCTCTCTAGTAACCGAGCTGATATCGCTTCTCATAACTCGAAGCCCAAAACAAGAGCTCCTTTTGAAATTGTAGAATCTCCTGAACCAATGGAAATTGACAGTGTTGGGAAACCGCAAGCGCCCCTTAATGCAGATAGAGTTTTACCGAAAGCTATAAACCACAAACGACTACCGCTAATGAACGTGGGTGGTGCACTGCATGACATCTTTGTTGGTGAGGAATTAGGGCAGAGGGATTTTTAAGAGGAGGTCCGCATCTTGAGAAAGATGGTTGACCGTATACTTAGTGTAATATTTGGTGGGCTAGCGGCCAAATAATTGCGAATATCCTCAAAACTATGTGGTTTTAGCTCTGATAAGCTACCGGCTTTAATTTTAGTTTCCTTTACAATGTACTTATTATAATAGTATGCGGTAATCACTTGAGCTTTAATAAAATGTATGAGCAGAGGTGGCTACAGGGTTTTCGGAGTGTATCAGGTATTATCAAAGAATCGAATACGATCGGGAGAAGAAGCTTCTATTCCCTAGGCTCAGCGCTAGTATCATAACTTTTGTTAGCTTCTGGGCTCTAAGTCTATGAAGATACTTTATGGTAATCACCATTAGTCTCTATTAGAGTCAGTAGTCAATCATGTAGATATCCGATATACCAAGAGTGATATGGGTATATAAAAGGCCCTTTGTTGTACATTCGTACATTTTGCTAGCACATTTCACTTTACCCCCGCATCCCCGTACCTACAAACAACAACTTGGGCCAAGTGTGACACGAGTGATGCTTCATGATGCTTATGTAATTTACCCTGGTGCCGCACGTTTGCCGAACCGCCGAACCGCCTCGACCTGGTGAGTAGTTTCAAATTATCTTCATACAGGACAAGGCCCATATTGAAACTATCGGAGCGAAGGCATCTTGCCAGTAGCCTCGCCCATTCAAGTGTTCTTCTTTCCTTTTTCACATAGATCGGCGCTCCACGGGGAAGCAATTTGTGTACCCAATTTGAGTCTGTGAAGTAGACATCCTGACATCGTATAGGAGTGGCACAATCTCATCCTCCTCCTGTCAGTGAAAAAAGCAATAACAATAATAAACAAAAAAAAGAAGAGAAAGAAAGAAAGAACTGTCTCGCAAAAACGCCAATGAAGAACCCGGCTCATATCGTAACAAGACACCAGCAAAATACAGCTGCCCCCACTAACGCCGGAGACTATCAAGTCTCGCTTGCAAATCATCATCCATAGCATCCGCTCCGACAGCCTGTGCCACCTTGCCCTCTGTAATGCCGGTTGATGCGATACCGGAGGGTGTTTCGCCGAGCTGATGAGAACAAGTGGGTCAGTATTGGAAAAAGAAAAAAAAGAACCGTGCGGAAATATGAGCATACAGAATGGTTCATCTCAACGCCAATTTCGTCAAGCACTTGGTTGACTATCTCATCGCTCTCCATCTCATCGTCCAGACCCGTAACATCATCGATCGCATCATCCATCATTTCTTGTCTCTGCTCCATGATATCATTCTCTCTCTCGAAGTCCATCGCAATGCGCTGGAGAGCAGGGAGGTTCATGGAGCGATTCATGGAGCCGAGAAGAGATGTTGCGCCTTTCATTGATTGCATCATTTGCTCGTTTGAACGGACCGTTTGTATGCGAAGCGAAACGGCCTGGAGCTGCGTTTTCATCTGGTAGAATTTTTGAATATAGCTGTAGGACAAAGACATTAATTTCTAGAAGACGTGGCCATGGTTATTGACACATACTTCCTTGTCCGGACGAGGTCCTTCGCTTGGATTTTGCAAGCTCCCATCTGGTTATTTTTTGCAGAGCGCTTAATATCCGCGATTAGCTTTTTTTCTTGCTGTTCGAGCTTCATGCGTTCTCTATCAAGCTCGCGTTGGGCTTTCTCAAGTGCTCTTTGGTGCTGTTTTGAGTTAGCGGGATAGCTTCCGATAAGGTGGAGAATTGCGAAATGACCTTCCGGAGCCTTTCGGCAGGTGTTTGGCGACGCCCGAATGCCCATTCTATAAGTCCACTCATGATCAAAGAAAATTTGGAGTGGAGGGTCTCTAAGGTGTTTGTGGGGGGAAGTTGTTGAAGGAGACGAGGATGCCTACGTCGGCGTTTCTTGCTATGGCTCAGAGGGCTGAACGAAAGCTTGGCGGTGATCCACGTGATTTCAAGACATCTCGTGATTAGTCAAGCATAGAATCTCTTCACTTCTTCTACTGGGATGAGGTTACGGAAGGTCCTCCCCTCGCCTATCTGACTCCCCACAGTCGACACCAACCCCTCCACAGCATCTCCATCTCATATCTGATATCCTCTCGCCATCTTTTGGCATCTTTCAATTCTTTCTCAGGTTCTAAAGAAACCTTTTCTCTTTTGAATCGTTGGCTCATTGCCGGAGGCCATCATGGCTTCTCCATTTCAGGTAGGGCTTGTCATGCAGGTATGGTCAATTAAGCCTCCCCCAACGCCACCTTGTAAAATCTCTTTTTCCTTCGCGCTGACGGTGTGTATCTCTTAGGGTCTGCCATCAATAAACTCCGGTTTATTACCAAGCATAACAAAGGCCTTTTCGGCCACTTGGGCGCAACTTACGAGAAGTAGTGAGGCTTCGAAGAGGACCATTTATACGCAAACTGCGCCCTTGGTTAAAGAAGAGGCTCAATATCAAAAGGTATGGGTAGCTCTTATCTATCTATTCGGGAATTGGTTATGCTGATAGTGGTAGATCAATGATTCTGTGGCGGAACTACCCGCTTTCCTCAAGGCTTACCCGGGACTACGCAACCAACATGTATTCCCAAGCTTCAATGGTACACCTATGCTCGCTGGTCAAATCCTACGTTCTGGTTTGTTCCCTTCCTTTGCGATATTACCTATTGCATTGCTGATCTAAATAGCATTCGGAAATTCTCGGGCTTCGGCGTTCTCCACTTTAACTGGCGCAACTCGACACCTGACCTCTCTTCCGGCATCATCGTTCAACAAGATCTCACCCCCGGTTCCCAGGCTCCCAGGTCAATCTTTTGCTCGCGGGTTCTTATCGTTTTCCGGTCTTTCTCAGAATGCACTTTACCGCGCCGAACAAGCTGCAAACAACAATTCCCAGAATCCCGCCGCACAGGAAAAATTCTATGAAACGCTTCTCCGCGCAAATCTTCCGCAGTACATTATCGATCGCTACCAAACTGGCCAATATGCAACCAATAGGGCATGTGAAGATAAATACATCAAGGCACTTGAACGCACCGGTCAATTCGAAAAGGCACGCCTTGTCGCTGATCGCCGTGGTGATTTTGTCGAAAATCCTGCGCTGAGTGGTGAGGAAATTCAAGCTATTGGTCAGGCGGTTGCTGCTCAGAGCCGTGGCGGAAACTTTGCCATGTCACGTGGAAACGCAACTTCGGGCTACTCTGGTACTGGAGCAAGGGAAACTCCAATTCATGTGGTTGTCGATGAATCTATCGGCGGAACAATCTTCAAGTGGATCAAGTTCTTGTTTTACTTTGGGTTAACAGCTTACTTCCTCCTCGTCTTCCTTACTTTGGCTATTGAAGCTACAGGGATGATGAAGAAGGTTGCTGGGACTAACTCAAACGAAGCACAAGCTGCTCAACAAACCGCCCGTTTCAGTGATGTCCATGGCTGCGATGAAGCAAAAGAGGAACTACAAGAACTTGTGGAATTTTTGAGGGATCCTTCGCAATTCTCTACCCTAGGCGGTAAGCTACCGAAAGGTGTCCTACTTGTGGGTCCCCCTGGTACTGGAAAAACTCTTCTTGCCCGTGCGGTCGCCGGTGAAGCTGGGGTTCCGTTCTTCTTTATGTCTGGATCAGAATTCGACGAAGTCTATGTCGGTGTTGGCGCCAAGCGTGTGCGTGAACTATTTGCTCAAGCCCGCGCAAAAGCTCCTGCAATTGTATTCATCGACGAGCTCGACGCAATAGGTGGAAAACGTAATGAACGCGACGCGGCATACGTTAAACAGACTCTCAACCAGCTCCTGGTAGACCTCGATGGATTCTCTCAAAACAGTGGTGTCATTTTCCTGGCTGCTACAAATTTTCCTCAATTGCTCGACAAGGCACTTACCCGACCTGGTCGCTTTGACCGGAATGTCACTGTACCACTTCCCGATGTTCTTGGTAGAATTGCAATCCTAAAGCATCATACCAAATCTATCCAAGTAAACCCTTCAATCGACCTCTCTATTCTTGCCCGCGGAACCCCCGGTTTCTCTGGAGCGGAGCTGGAAAATATGTGTAACCAAGCCGCTGTTCGCGCAAGTCGCCAGAAGGCTACGAGCGTCCGAATGGAGGATTTCGACTGGGCAAAGGATAGAATCATGATGGGTGCGGAGCGACGTTCTGCGGTTATTCCGCTCGAAGAGCGCAAAATGACGGCTTATCATGAGGGAGGACACGCCCTGGTTGGGATGTTCACTGAGGGCCACATGCCGGTCTACAAAGTAACCATTATGCCGCGTGGGCAGGCACTCGGTGTTACACATTTCTTGCCAGAGGGGGACAAATATAGCTGGAGTAAGAAACAGATATTGGCACATATTGATAGCTCTTTGGGTGGAAAAATTGCAGAAGAGCTTATTTACGGTACTGATAATGTCACGGGGGGTTGTAGCTCGGTGGGTTTCTCTCTGGGCCCTATTCAGGTGCTGGTTACTGACATATTCATCAGGATCTTATGGCAGCCACCCGCTACGCTCGTCGTATGGTAATGGAACTTGGAATGTCGCCTGTTGTCGGCGACGTTAATATGACAGAAGACTACCAACACCTCTCGACAAAAACTAAAGAACTAATTGAGACGGAGGTTCGTCGTATAATCGAAGAATCACGCGGCCGTGTAACCACTATCCTGCAGAAACACCGTAAAGAGCTTGACCTTCTTGCAAAGGCTCTCGTGGAGTATGAAAGTCTGAGTTATGATGAAATGAAGAAAGTCATCGCAGGCGAAACTCTACCCCACAAGCTTAAAATCCTTCCAAATGTACCTATAAAATTGCCAGAGACCGGGGGGTCCTTTGCTCCGCCACTTGAAGGGAGTGGAGCGGCGGCGGCAAAGAACGGGGAGAAGGAATTTTAGAATGAACCTCTGAGAATGCAGTTACGAAGTCGAGTTTAGTTCAGACTGAAGGTTTCTGTGGAGGTGGAATATATGTTTGGGGCTTTTCTTTTTTATTCCTTCCTTATCCGTTATTACATTCACATAGCATGGAATGGATTGGTGTATCATGTATTTGGTTTTTCTTTTAAAACCTACTTTTCCTCCGGTTTACCCTCTTTTTTCTTCTCCTTTTTCATTTTGTGTGTACTGGTTCGGTATGGTCCTGGTGTGGTTTCTTACCCTCTGCTTTTATTTTACCCTGATAGAGCGCCTTGGATATAGGCAGGCAAACTTGAAAGGAAAGAAAAAACTCCTCTCAAGTTCTTATCCATGTTTCCTTCTCTCGTACTTCCAAAAGTGTACGTTTTATTATTTTTTTATTTTTTTTATGCTTGCCTGAACAACCGATGGCGTTACTCGCGGGTTGGACTAATACGGATGGATGGGTACATGTAAGTGATGTGAATTATGGATGTGCAAAAAATGGGATGCTGCATGGATCCTTGATTGAACCTGCCTAATTTGCAGGATGTAAAATAATGACTCCTAATTCCAGGAAAGGAGATGAACTATGTTGCCTCCAACAGATCTAGATTACTGCTCTTTGTGCTTGAGTGCATATGGGTGTCGTTCTAGGAAAACCGTCCGCACAGCCAAATCCTTATTCCGAAGAACCACACAACCAATAAGCTCCAAATTTTTCTAAAGCTCAGAGAACCTTGGTAAGAGCCCAGCATTAATTTTTCGGTCATTGGTTCATAGAGTGCCGTAGCGAACTGGTGAGGCCTTGTTGCGTTGCCACACATGTATCTTTTGCCAGACCGACACCCACATACATGTATGTTATCTTTCAAGCCTTTGCCGGAAAGGGACCGCGAACACCGAGTGAGATTATATGATTTCAATAAACAGGCACAAGCCAAAACACCCTCTTCCATGATCATGATACTTTCTTTTTTCTAACCTGTGAAATCCACCTTTCATTACTCTATAGATCTTTATAAATATCGAAGTTCCAATACATGTAGTTGTAGGTCCCAGTACCCTGAAGGAAGTACTTCGTAGGACGTTGAAACAAGGTTTGGAGGCTGAAACGTCGGACTGCATTGGGCGGCTATGGTAACCAAGGGTCCGTCCGGGTTCTGGAAACCTCCGGTAGCCAATATACGCCGGGCTGTGCACTACTTGTACCATCAGTTAAAACTGCGCAACTGCAAACCCACCCTTCGCCCCAGTCGTAATTCATAGCTATAATGAAATCGAAAGCACTAACACACGTTACTACCTTACGATAAACAACTTGTGCAACAGAATAAATAACCACTCGAATATCTGGTTGAATTGAGCTGGTCTATCTGCATTTCGCGCGGGTTTTGTGAAAATGAAGAAAATTAAACCTTATTCGATATATATACATATTACTAGATATTCTATTCTAGCTAAGCATGTAAGGAGACAGAATTGGTGACGCTAAAAAAGAATTCACGGCATATGCCAATCTTACGTATATGTTTCCGTCAATGCTCAGTACTAATCCTCGATATCACGTACTTAGTACTAGTATGAAGTGTTAAGCTGTAGTTAATTCCATCTATCTCAAGCAAAGATTTTGCAATATATTGATCGCTCGCAATTGAATACATATATCGCGCTCTCGACTAGCTTCATCTAAAACCTTTGCTGTATTATCCTCTCTTAATTAATATATCGAGTGATTATTCATGATCTCAAGTACAAGTACATGCATATCGTCCTTACATGCAAGAGCTCAAACGAAATTCCAATACAATCTAAAACGACCAATATCCTATTTATGTATTGCATATACGTGCTCGACATTTACTAAAATACTCTTTTCGATGCGAATTTCATTGACAACTCCAAAATTATAGAATTATGGCGATAAACGTTAAGGCGTCCATGCAAAAGTTCCCGTATGTCTATACTCTAGCTCTACCACATACCCATTAATAACACAATGAAGCCAAAAAGACTCCTATAAAGGAGAAAGTCCACTTTTGAGTCTTGATATGAGCATTATTACTGCATCAACTACAAAATTTGATACTATAATTTAAAATTTAGCTTACAAATATGGTTCCATGGCTCAGTTGGTTAGCGCGTGGTGCTAATATAGAAATATGTTAACGCCAAGGTCGAGGGTTCGACCCCCTCTGGAACCACTCATCGTTCTCTTTTTGTTTTACTAGTTGACCTCTACATTGTTTTGTGGTGTGGGTGTTTGTGGCTTCCACAATCTCTGTTTTGCGAGTGATATACCGTGTTCCCTGTTAAGACACATTTTCGAAGCTAGCTGACACGGCCCCCACGTGGCAACATAAGTAATTCTAAGCTAGTAATAAAGAGGCTGACGCCCTAGGAACCCCTTTGATAAGTCCTGAAAGTGAATGACTTCCTCACTACATGTGACGACACTCTTTTTGCACTTCTCAACATCAATGAAACATTGAAGACCATCGAGCCGACCTTCCTGAGACCGCCACCGAGAACGTACTGAATGCGAAAAATATTACAGACATCTGACGTACGTAAGGACTTCATGGAGTGACCCCAGCAAGAATAATCGTGCTTCTTTTCTAATGATAACTTAGCTGCCAAGTAATCCGTAGTAACCGGCCCTTCAGAAACACAACTCTCCTAGCTAGACGATCTCTCTCAGGGGTATGTCTTTACCTCGGAAGCACATCTTCGTTCAGCGCCACTATTGCGAGTCCCTGCTGCGATTTCCAACGATTTCAGCCAGTGCTTCGCCCGCGTGATTTGTGAACACTGTGGCTTGGTTTTCATCTAACGAGGCTTGAAACTAGGACGATTCCTTGTGAAAGCTGAAAAGCTACATGTGTTCTGTCTCTCTACGTGAGTGTGGAGTACCTATGTGAGGAACGGCACGATAACCCCCTGCGGGGGCAGCTCACATAAAGAGCATAATCGAGCTTGCTGGCAAGAGCTCACAGGAGCTACCCTGTTCACGCTTGCACTTATGCCCATGTGGGAAGTGTGGTGCAGGTCTGGGGCAAGCTCGAGAAAATATGAGGTCTGTGCGTTTTGCCATGGGTTTGCCTACATGTAGGTACAATGATCTTATGTAACCCAGGAAACCCCATTATGGCGTTGTTTTCTGGCGGAGATATATCCCCGATGTCAACGATTCTGAAATAACTGTGACCCATGAGGGTTAGCTAAGTCTTTTTCAATCTTGGCCCTCCTTTGGGGGGATTTTTAAAACAGAAATTCTTACCGGGATGGTGATCGGGGTCTTCTGCTCCAATTCGCCGTCTTTTCATTCGAGTAAGGTAGCAAAAGTATCTCCTGCCGGGCAGGGTTTCTCTCTTTCTACTTCGCTCGGAACTTTCCCCTACTTGATTTTCTGAAAGAACGTTTCGTTTTGGCTCTGTCCTCTTTCCATGGCTCTCAGTTGGAAATGATTTTCGTTTTGGAGGCGTCGGTCGGGTCGGTGTCGGTGAGAGTTCCTCGTTCATTTGTCTTCGAATTGATCACTGATACTTTTTCAAAACAGAACTACATGTATTTACACATATATCAAACCCGCTTTGACTGTTTGTCTCGGACCCACTACAAATATGAAATGGAAACAATGCCTCACCAATCACTTGTTCAAATTAACCCTAAGTCAAGACAATCCGTCGGTCTGGAAACGTTTGGAATTGCAAATATTTCGCCATCGACAGGGCACTACAAGGCAGGTCCCGCATTTCAAAGTCAAGTCACTACTACGCGGAGCTGTAACACGAAGTGGCTTTTTTTCCTGCCCTCTCAGCCCTAGACGCAAGGAAAAGGAGTTTTGTGTCGACTACGGCACAAGGACAAAATCAAAAACATTCTGCAAGGCCGCGTGAAACTCTTCAGAACCCAGGCCGTGATCGACATCCTACTTTAAATTGAATTATCCGACATATACCTGAGAAGGACTTCGATTTAGGCCTGATATGTAGACACATTTGGTACAGAACCATGGTATCAGATCTGCATATCCGCCCCCGCCCAGTGGGTGACGAGTGCTATTCTATGATGGTCCATCACATTGGCCTGGACCCCCCCCCCCCCCACCACTATCACTACCACCATAACTATCACCACTACCCCCCGGATGTCGGATCGTAATGTCAACTATCCAGGTTCTATCCTGTAAGAAAAGATGATCTCCGTTCCGCTTTCCTATCAACCCAATGAGGGTTCATTCTATGATTAAGACACTACGTCTGCCCTACATCCGTCTGTTTGGCTTTGACCCTCCCGGGAGCGTAGGGCTCCCTCCCTCCCGTCTCCAGGCGGGAAGGTAGTTGTTATCGCGCTACCCGATATACCTTGAAACGAAGGCAGAAAAACGATGCAGGTTATAATTGTTTTAATGCTGACCTGTAGTTTATACTGACATCTTATCATTGAGTCCCTATGTTTCTGGATTAAGCCGTTGAAACGGTTGAAGTGAATGAGTACGTACATGTATCTAGGATATGCTTTGTGGAACTTGGATATATAGGATCCGCATGTATACTATACTTATCTCCCTCGAAGTGAACATGTAGATATGTACGCATCAGTATACACATACATGTACATGTATTATCCATGGACACGGCAGCCGTCTATCTAATAAGACCGGCTTATATTTATTGAACCTCTTGTTTGTAATTTGACGAACACTCCCCGTACTGGCCGGGGCGTTTCATTGGTTCTCGGACATGCTTTGTAAATCTGATTGATAAAAGGAATTTATCTATTTTATTTTGACCCATCTATTATTATAATTATTAAAAAGATAGAGTGTCCACATCTGTGTGTTTTAGCCTGAACGCTGCTGGTCGAAACGTTTTTTGCGGGCAGATGATGCAGCACGTGCGGTTTCACTAATGCGACGATCTTCATGTCCAACTGAAGGAGAAACAGACAGCTACTCGTATTTCTCTGACGTTTGTGGACGCGACTGATATTGCATGCCATACAAAAATACGCCAAGCTCATGGTTTTGGGTGTATGCAATAATAGCCCAGTTCAAAAACGTCAGAGAAATACTAGTAGAGTACATACAGACATACGCATAACATCTGCAGCTCCTGCATATATCACTAGAGTAATAATGGACCAGATATTTATTTACACAGCATCAGCGGTTTACCTAATGATGAGGCGTGATGAGAGAGTATAATAGAACGAGATGGTAATATTTCCCATGGTCTAGAAACCTGCCATGAAGCTAGCCAACTATTATGTCTCTGGCTAGACATGAAAGCGCATACCTCACCATAGGCTGGTTGCTGCTGTTCATGTTCGTTATTTTGAATAGACCTAGACTAGGATAGTAGATGGATGTTGTATGTATGTATGTATGTATGCCATGGTATATATCTCTCGTGGTGGCCTATATCCGAGATTTTCGCACCCAATAGGTTCGCGAGTGTACCCGTTAAAGCCTAATTATAAAAGTTCACAAAATACACTACTGTACGTACTCTCCACACCACACTAGAGCATGTTCTAGAGTAGAGTACCAAGCAAGTACGTCGTCTCCCACAGGTTGTCTGAGACTGAGACTTTGACTGCCTACCTACTCCAGAGTTATGTACGGAGTCTGCCTACTCCTGTAAAGCATGCCCCATCTGCATCGCTGGTCGATTAATTGCTACTCTAAACGGGGTACCGGGGGGTGGGAGCCAGACTAGCAGGAATAAATAATATCTCACAAAAAAAAAAGGTCAACCCAACCCAGGACGACAGTAAGTTAGTCGGTACATTACATACCAATGAAGCACACAAGAGATGTGACAAGTTGTGTGCACGAACGATCGAGATCGTGGAGTGAGTTTGAATTCGAAAAGGATGGCCATCCGAGGGATTTTCGCCGCCTCAGCCTGCAGATAGAGAACGTAGGGAGTACAGAAACGAATATTTCGATGCGAACTAGAGTTAAAATAAATGTATGTGTGTAGTGGATGGTCTAGGCGAGAGTGAGAATGAAATAGAGGCGCACAGTACGACACATGGAATATTCTACATATGTAGACTCGTCGATTGTTACTTGTAAGGTACTGCACATGAACCCAGAGTCGCTGTAGCTGTTGTTGCGATGCTGGATGCTGGATGCTGTTACAGAACTGCATACCGCTTCTGCGAGCTGCTACTCCACGTATTGCTATCCAGTTGTACAATTTACAATGCAATTTAGGGATGCCCATGCCTGTAACTATCCTGTATCCTCTGTTCTCCCCTCATGCTCAAACACCCCCCCCTCTCTAACCCCCCTCTCTAACCCCCCACCCTAAACCCCGGCCCCGCCTTCAACAACTTCAAACCCCCCCGCCTCGCCTGCTTACTGCCTACTTAAGCGCTCGGGCCAACATTGTCAATCACAGCAATCAATAGGTACCAAGTATCTACATACACACTGTATCTATCTACATAATCTATCTATCGTATCGTATCGTATCGTATCGTATCTAATGTGCGCAAGCCAGCCTTGCTTCCTTACCTCGCCCAAAGCAAGCTCTAAATTAAACCAGATGCGAGGACCATCGTCAACCTGAATCGGAGGGATGAAAGCGCAAGACTGCAATTGCAGCAGCGCAGCCATCAAAAAGATGTGCGCCCGCCTAGCAAGCTTACCTCCCCCCTTCCTCTCTTCTCCCTCCCCCAGGTTGTGCGACTCATCACCTCGAAAAATTCCGACGAGAAGGAAACGAGGGTAAATCCCAGGGATGCTGTCGAAGCCTTGATCTGATGGATGTGCGTGCGTGTGGGTGAGTGTCTGTGTGTTAGTGGATGAGTGTGTGTGGACTCTATGCAAATAATCTCGAGAAGCAGCAGCAGCCAAAATAAATATATTCCACCACCACCACTACATACCGATATACAGACCGCGGCCGCCGCCGGCGCATCTATAATTTTTTTTTTGCCTTGTGGGCACGAATCGTATGAAACAAACTGATAAGCGGGTTTCGAGTAGGCGAAAAGATCTCTCGCCAATCGTGAATCATTCATTATCCGCCGATTAATCTGCACGGATCAGAGCGTTGTCACTGCACAAGCGCAAACGCAACCCAGAAGCGAGACAACCAAAAAAAAAAAAAACTCAGGCTTGGCCAATTGGTCCAGAGTCCTCGAGAAAGAGAAATCCTAGGATCTAGGAGCAGAAGCAACATGGCGGCATGGCAGCATGTCACAATTCAATTGAATGTTTCCCCACCCCACCCAGCAGCAGCAACACCCCCCCTTCCAAACAATATCCTGGTATGATCTGTTCTTTTTATCGTTACCGTTTTAGACATAGATCTACTACAGCTTGAAATGATTGCACATCTCGCATTCGGGCTCCGGAAATCATATATCTACTCACGTTTGAGTTAACCCACTCCACATATGATGAGATACGGAATGCATGGCAATCGGAGCCGCATAAACAAGCCCATTTCAATTGCTATTTTTATCCTAATTCTCTCGCTCTCTCTTCATTGCTCTTGGAAGGCAAGGTGTATCCATTGGCCCGCTTGCTTCCAACGGAACCCTCCATCTTACAGCACACCTTCTTTCTTATCGATCATGAGCTGTCCCAATACGGATACTGATGCCGGATAGTGAATGTTCAGACGGTTTTAAGCTTGCTGTACCGACATTAAACGATTCCGCAGTTAAGCTCCGAACTCCGCTACAACCTATTATGTATGTTTATTTGTTCACAATAGTAATTGTTACGGCTTCCTCTCTGGTCATTGGTGCACTGGGCTTCTGGCTGCTGGGGTCCAATTAGAGCCTAGCCACGACGAGTCATTATCATTGCAAAGAGCAATGATATGAAAACCCTCAAACTCAACGTGACTTGGGGACTGCATGGGGTTTCTTCTCTCCTACTTACCTATCCAGTACACCACGGCGCTACTTACTGACTGTGGACCATCGGGTGTGCTGTACAATTTTCCCAGCAGTTAAGCGAGGCCATTTTTATTTTCCGATTCCCATCATGATCACTATCATGGAAAGGAAGAATTCGAAAGAACAAAAGGAGGCAAAAAAGGCCCGGACTGAATCAATGCTGTACGCTGTGCTGTTTGCCCTGTGCCCAGGCTCCGATATGACATCGAGTAGGAAAAAAAGCCCTCGCCTTATGGAGGCGGTTTCGCCGGTCCAGAAAGCAAATAAAAAATAAAAAATAAAAGGGAATGGACCCTCCATGGACCGTAGATTTGATCTGTTTCTCATGTCGTTGAACCAGAAAGAAGCATACCGGCAGACCAGTTGAGTACCGGGGTACCCAAAACCGTTTATCTCAGATCATCAACAGGAGAAGCTAGCAAGTCGGGCGGTGGTGGATGCAAATATGGTGCGCATCGGCATGGAAAAGCGTACGTGTCGGAGCCTGAGAACAAGTTCACATTGCGATCATACTCGATCACTCGGTGCCATAGATCACTGGATGAGGATCAATCTATATTAGCCATCCAGGTGCTGTTTGGCGTGATCTATATGAATCAATCACGAGGGAAAAAAGGCATGCCGGCGCCTGAGTCATCCGCGTGCTGTGCGCAATCCGATTCCAGAATCCCTGGGTGCAGTCAGTACTGGCTGGGCTGAAAGCTTACAAGCTGATGGGACCCCCTCCGGTCCTGTGAGTAGGACATGTGTCGATCACCATTTATTTAGCAGAGCTAGAAGAAGGGAGACCTTATGATGGCAGGACTACGTAAATGCCAAGGGGGGGAGGAATGGTGGTGGGTAATTCAATATATTTTCCCTCGCAACCTACTAGGACTTCCATACCAATTGTTGCTGTTTGTTGCCCCAAAAAATAAAAATAAAAAAACACCTCGCGATCATCCAATTGAAGACGAGAAACGGGAAACATGTTTTCTACTGGCCGGTGACCGTTGTCGCAGCAGCAGAAGCAGTAGCAGCAGCACCCCACCCAACCTTCGGCGTTGTTACCTCTAGGCAGGAAGTGTTAACCTATTACAATACCGCCCGCCCTGTCGCTGGGGAGAAGGAACGGTTCGGCGTCGACGTCTCGGAGATTTCCCAGCACGAACTTCTTTTTCTTCGAATCCCAACCCCCGTCGATTTTCCGTACGGATACTTTGTACGTATACACTATCCCCAATCACAAACACACGGCGAGCATAGAGGTACATTCTTTAAGGGTCCTTCCTTCCTGCTCCTCCAGTAAAGGGCCGTTATTGATGTTTTTCGGGTCCGCACTTCTACCTGAGACTAGTCTAAATAAGATCATGTGATTGATATCAAACCTTGCTCCCTCCCTTGGATCTGGCTCTCAAGTAGTCTTGCGGTACCCTTTCGGCGGCGGGATCGCTGCAACTAGTTGCATCAGAGGTGATTTAGAGTTAGTTTAGTTTTCTTTTCAACCCCCATTCTTTTTGCTTTGCTTTGCATTTGAAGGGGATCACGAGGTTCGATGGAAGGGCGTTATGTTTGGAGGGCGTATCGAGTATGTACAATTTGGGGAGATCTGAATTGGAAAAAATAAAAAATAAAGAGACACTCAGTGCATATTCCGCCTTCTTTTTTTTTTTTATTTTTTTTTATTTTTTATTTTTCGGTTGCAACAAACATAACCCCCACTATGATGAAGGAGAGTGTCAAACTCACCGCGATTGTAAGGGGGTGGGAAACAAATTTCGAAGGACCATGGAAAGGAGCGGCGAATAATCACCCAACAGCGTGGGAACGTGGGTCAGTCGAACAAGAGCTCAGAGAGGCAAGAAAGACAACCCCCACGAGATTGTACCGTACATGATAGTAGGTTGTGTAAAAAACAACTGGGATCTTCTGTACATACAGCCCACAGCGGCGGCCCGCAGCCTATCTTAAGTGCTAGTTAGGCACATAACAACTTGGTACATAGAGTACCTACATGTAGCTTCATATATATGAACGGATCATGACGGTACATGCGTACATCAACGTACGGCGTGACCTCCTTGTTCAAGCTAGTGGTACATACTGCGTACGTTTAGCTTCTCCAATTATAGAAACATTAGGCGGGATTCAATCAGAAACAAATCTCAAACGAACTGCAAAGGAACAAAAGAGAGAGAGAGGGACGGGAGGATAAACCTAAGTGAACGGGATAACGGGATGGGGGCAAAGAGGGAGGAAGAGAGAGAGAGAGAGAGAGAGAGAGAGAGAGAGAGAGAAGAGTTAGGCGTCAGTTGATTCACCCAGCTGTTCTGCCTTCCCCTTGTCAATATGTATATTTTCCAGAACATGTCAATATCGAATCTCCTTGTTGTGTGATATATGCAGTGATTGGATACATGTATATTTCGTTACATTTAATTTTTATCTCGTAAGCGAGAGGATGGAGGAGGGATGGATGGGTCCACCCATTGAAACCGCTTCCTTCTACTTTCCTTTGAAGATTATTATGAGTCCCAGTCCTAGCAGGTCACCAGTACAACCAACGACCCAACCTACGGAGGCCTCCGTCATGAAGACAATAACAACAAGACAAGAAATGCAAAAGCAACCATCGAAGGCGAGGGATGAATTAATTCAAACAGGAGAGGGTGGGTTGTCAACCTCGTGGGCTGGCGCTTTTTCTTCCTCTCGACTACCGGGATATATTGTTCTCACGAAGAAATGTGATATACGATATGGTTGTTTGGAGTAGTAATAGTACATGTAGTATGTTCTATGAAAAGCTGGGTTGCTGTTGGACAGCTTGCCGGGCTCTTGCAAGACCATTCTAGTTCGGCAACCGGCGATCTGTACGGTCTCATTGCTTTTCTTCTCTTCTATCTCTTGACTTTACCACCGCCGCAATTGAAAGTGCTGCAGGCGTAGACGATGAAAGTGTTTACAGGGTAGACCGGGGAATTTAACTGGGCAGTCTCGGTGTTGGTGGGGCGCAATTGAGTCGTTTTGTAGGCGTTTTTCTGATTAGATTTTCTGGCCACGGCTTGATCGTCGTGATCTAGGTACATGTGGCAGCTAGCTAGACAGGTCCTCTGCCCAAAAAACTACCTACATACATGTACAGCGCCGGACAGTCAAAATCAACCCTCATGTTCTTTTCAAGCCAGAAACTAGTCCTAATCGGGTAATAATGATCATCTAATTATCCCAATATGGTAAGAATTATCCTAAATTAATGTGGCCGCCTTGGCATAAAGCTATTAAAGTTATTATTTCACACCTATGTTTTTTTCGGGCAGATTGCACCAAATGTTTGAGAGGTCATAGTGCAGCTAGTTCTTAATTATTTTAAATCCCCTTTTATGGGGATGTTTACAACCATGATTAGACCCATTTTACAAAAGAACATTATTTCTGGACAAGTGTTGCGTTGTTGAAAGTCGATGGGGTGAAGGGGAGTCGGTGGTTGCTCTGGCCGGCTGGTTTTGGCTGTCCGACACCGTACCTAGCTAGAGACGTAACTTCACGTCTCCTCATACAACATCATGGTTTTTCTCCTTCACCTTTGGACTCTCTACGATGTAGGTAATGCCTACATACCTACATGACATATACATTTAACTCGTACCGTATGTACCTCTGCCATTCTACTTGCACGATGGTTATTTTGGTGGCAACCTTCGGCTCGGCACGACTCCTTTAGCTGAGTGGTTCCGGGCAGTATCCGCTAGGTCATCTGAGTCGTGGCCAGGCATCACAGGAGCCGTTCTGCTTAAATCAGTGGCCCGTTAACAATCTCGACCGCACGTTAGAGTAAAGAACGGCATGAGTAAAATAAAAAAATAAAAATAAACCCCGAGTTGGCCTCGACCTACTTGTGGTCCCTTTTCCAGTCACGGTCCAACAATCGGCAGTATGTGATTATGCTCTGAACATTATGCAGCACTAGATTCCCCAGGGAAACAGAGTATTACTCTACTAGTGCTTTAGTAGAGCATAGAATTGCAAGGGCCAGGGGGTGTTACTTTACTCTGCACCGCAGCTCACCAATGAATTTGGCAGGAACAGTTCTTGCGAGGAAACTACATACTCTACGTAGCTGGTACATGATGCTACTACCACTATGAGCACATGTCCCTAGAGTGCTATTGCCTACTCCTGTGTACGCTATGTACGTACGGGTACAACATACCTAGGGAGTCGAAGGGAGGGGGAGGGAGGGTCCCGCGAGGGGGAACATGCAACGCCATGCTGTCTAGACATCCGTCTAACTGTCGAGCAGATGCACAATCCCCTCGCTTTCTCCTTCGCTCCCAGCTAGCAGACGGGACGGATTGATGATGCTACAGCTGCTGCTGCTGTTCTAACCCCACACTTCTAGAGAGATCCCAAACTGGGCAGTGGAGGTGGTGGCAGTACAGTACAGTGGTTGGCGGTGGCCGATACTCTACCTATCTGTGTTATCATGCCTGTTATGGGTTATGGGTATGATGCCTGTTATGAATAAAATGCCCCGAGAAATACAATTGGGGAGTGGGGATAGCTGAAATGGGAGGCAAAGACATGCCTAGACTAGTCAATTGGAAGTCTGGAAAGAGACGAGCACTTCACGTTGTCACGCAGTAGTCACACGCTGCAACACCCAATCAAGCAAAGCTGGTGAGTAATCTATCCGTAAAAGGAAGTCTTTCCCTTTCGCTCACACCCGTCACCAGAAGTGTCACACTAAATGTCCCATACCAGTTACCGTTACTGGTTGGTTGCGTTTTCAACACCTACACTGCAGTGCTGCATGCTGCCCCGTCACTCGTTTCCCGAATACCGTATGTTTTTGCTGCCTACCCAGGGCAGCCACAACCTGCCTACCACAACCACAACGACAATATTCTAACCACCACAATCGCAATAACACCCTTCCTTTTGCCCCCCCTACATACCCCCCTTCTCCCCCGGCACGCGTATCGGTTATTGAAAAATACCAGATGGCCGATCACCCGTGCGGAGATATTTGACAGAACGAAGTGCATACCGATACATACCGATAACCTATGTTATCTTAGTATTGTCTTCAACTACTGTAATGCATGCCTGAATTCGTGGCAATCGTACCGTGCGATTTGCAACCGTCTGCATTAATATCTGCATACCCAGGGGAAAAAGAAGGCTAGAGCTCAATCGATAAAGGTGCTACTTCGTGGCCCACGAACATTGACAGCGACTTCAATCCCACCCCCCACCCCCCCTCCGTGGCTATCCATCCCCCTCCACCGCCTCAATTGGTTTAACGGCACCATCAACAAACAAAATGAGGTAAACAATAAAATGAAAATGTAGCTCATCAAAGTAAAAATAAACCAAAATATTAGGAACCCTCCCGTTCGTTGCTAATATTGGAAATTAGATCTTCTGATATTTGCCAAGCCCTCCAGAAATTACCACTTCATTCAATGGGTCAATCAACGATAGCCCCCCCCCCAAAAAAAAAAAAAAATCCCCATCCACCACCCCCCAATGAGCATGCAGGCCCGTTACTCAAAATCCCCTGCGGGCCGTGTCTATCCGGGGTTCGCATGTCAATTGGGTCTTGGGCTTTCCGCAAATCGACTGCTACTGACCTGGCCGTTGCTGCTGCTGGACATGATCACGATGGGCATCCTGCTTAACCAGGTCAGCTAAGAAGAACCTATAATGGGTGGTTTCTTTCCTTTTTGACTCACTGTCTCTGATTCTTCACATCGAAAATCAAATACATGAGGGGAGAGACGCTTTGACAGCTGGCCGATCATGCGGAGCCTTATCTTAAAGAAAGACAGACACTAAGCATATCAATCATACATACATACTGCCTCCAGCTAGGAGTGTCCCTGGCTCAGCCTGTGGGAGCGCTACTCAGCGCCCCCTCATAAAATGGTATTATTGCGCAAGCCAACACAGTTGGCGGGGCCTTGTACGAACCTCGATGTCCCTTGTAGCTTGCCGTACCGCTGCGTGACAAGGGATTGCCTATTCTCGCCACGACGGCGAGACATATTCACGCCCAAGCTTGTGGAGGTAAATCACCCAGGAGTTTAGTCTACCTCAATCGGTTGGTGGTCCCTCGGGGAAAATGTAGGTAGTAGTAGAGATTCATCCTGATCATTTGAGAGCTAAGTAGGTCACAGAATCTAAAGGTGGGTAGAGTAGTGGCAAGCTAAAGGGTTGTCTTGATATGAATGTTATTCCTCCACAACCAATCTCTTGTTAGCTTTCTCGTTTTTCTCAGACGGTAGGCGGTACACGATGAGTTACAAGTCTCATTAGCTCTGTACTATGTATGCCACTTGAAATTACAGTCGCAACTCGATACGCCGGATTGCCAAGATTCGAAAGATTTCATACGGGGTAGCAAAAAATCCGGGATAGCAAATTGATTTTGCAGTAAAAAAAACCAAAACCCCAGAGGATTTCGTACGGGATAGCAAGGGATCCGGCGTATTGAGGTCCGGCATATCGAGTTGCGACTGTATTCGTGGAGGGGCTTGTTTTCATTACATAGACAATAATTATGCTTTGGTGGATACACAGCATACATAGGTACACGACGTTGGTAGTCATGTCAATCAGTCAGTCTCAGGGCAAATGTCTAAATATGCACGTGTGCTAATTTCGTTGTTGTCGAGCTAAAGAGATACCGAGAAACCATGAATCTCTATTCCTTGGAACCTACGTCTATATCACCTTGGTACTAGGTCATAGACTTGTCCTAACCAGGGAAAATAAACAGACTAGATGGTTTTCCCCAAACAAGAGTGGGAGGGCCCCCAACCTAACCCAGAGTGTGGCCCGCATTCCGTTCCTTCGGGGCTTCTTGGAAGCTCCATGTCGGTATAATCTCCCGAGATACCCTTACCTCTCAGATATAAGTTCCCACCTTCTCATCAGGTATCGTGGGGCCCTTTTTTTTCTCGCTCGCACAGGGATAAACGTGGGACAGAAATTCCGTCTTGGCAAGATTATATGGGTAAGGTAAGGGTTGGAAAGTCCCGTTTCCTAGCGGCAGTTGGACCTCAATCTATCACAATTGATCATTCCCGGGGGCTAAAGAAGGTGGTGGTCGTAGTCAAGAAGGAGGTTTCCAGGAATTCCAAAATTAAGGGAAATTTTCGAGGGCCTGATAAACCGAGTGAGACCCCCACTAACTACATAATATAAACTAAACTCCACTAGAACCCACTTACCACCGCGCAGGGACGGGTTTACTGGTAAATATCTAACCTTTTGAATACATAGATCGCATGACTGGTTTTCCAAAAAGCAAGAAATCGAGTCTCGCTGGAAAACGAGAATGGAGACCACAGCTTTGATTTTTTCTTTTCTTTTCTCATTCGGTTAGGGTATATTGGGCTTAAGCGATCGACTCGGGTCAACCGAATGTATTTTGGAGTGAAGTCGTACTCTAGAGTAGAGTACACTATCTTTTGGACTCAAGTAGGTACCAGGGGGAAGGGATGGATGTTTCAACGGGGATAGGTTCGGTAGTAGGTTGATTGAAGGTGCGTACTGTATGTAGGCATCTCGACGCTAGTTTGTGTACCCGTTTCAGTCAGTGATGGCTGTGGTTGTGGTGGTGAGGTTATGTAGTTACCACGCATGAGTAGTGCATCAGCCATCATATGGGTGCTTGTCAAGAGAAACTCTTGTGAGCCCCGGTAACCCGGGCTCGTGAGACTCAGCCCAGCGCCCCCATTAAGCTACTTGGGATTCCCAATCAAAAAAAGAACTATGGCTTGGAACTTTTGATAGCTTCTTAAAGGCTTCTTTTGAGCTTTTCACGGTCCAAATACCAGTGTTCATTTGCAAGTTGGTGTGGGAGTTTGGACAAGGGGTGGGGGGGTGTAGAGAGAGTGTGGGAGGGGGTGGGAAATGGCAGGTGTAGAAAATGCGGAGGCGGAAAGTTGCCGGTGACTGACGCCCCAGGCCTTCGGGAAGAGTTTCCGTTCCCTGGGACGGAGGAAGCAAGCACAAGAACTCTCCAGGATCGTGGGATGGGGATGGGTAGGTACATATGCATGGCGTGGTGTCTGAGAAACACACTTTACCTACTTGTGCAGATAGGAACTAGAGTGCTCTGAGGTAGAGTGCCATACCTACATGTACATGTAGTTGTTAAAACATCGGTTACTGTTCTGAGTGTGTGGATTATGTACTCGCGACCAGCAACAAGAACCCGAATATGCAGCTGCAAGTCTTTGGTGTATTTTTGACTTCTACTCCAATGGAAATTGCAGATTAGGACGTGCATTTTCGGGTTCTTGTTGCTGATCGCGAGTACCTAGATACGGGTAATATGTGCGTTCTCTCAATAACCGCAAGGAACAGCCATGTTGGGTGCAGGTACACAACCTTGAGGTCTTTTTGGGCAAGAAACGAGTATGTTATATAGATGGTTCCTCTACGTACATACAGTAGTGAAAGCCTCCCCATTAACTACAGTAACTGGGGGGGCAAGAGACATCAACGGGAAATTCCCACTGCCCTGCATATGTGACATGCCAACTACTCTAACATGAAGAAGCGTATGTAGAGTGGAGAGTAGAGTAGGTGTATCCTGTTCAAATACGTAACTTCTGCTTTTGAACATTTCCATTCACGAGTAAAAAGAGAATTCAGAAGCGGAAGATTCTTGTCTACTCGAAATGGGGAGGGAAAATAATATTGGTGTGAATCCGTGAAGAAAGAGTGCTAAGGAGGGTGTGTCCAGGCCATCGAAAGATGCCTTACAGATCCTGCGATGCAAAAACGGTTTTTATTTTTTTCTTCCCTTCTGACATTACCGAGATCTCGGGTGTGAAACATCTTGACATCCTCTATCCATGGGAGGTTATCGGCTGTTGTGTTCTAACCCGTCATACCTGCTGGTTAACCGGCTGTTTACAGGAGCCCATATGTACATCGGCGCACCGTACGAAATAAGATTTTAAGAAACCTCATTTGGAATATGCTGTTGGACTGATAAGAGTCATGAATCACTGGAAAGAGACCACTAAAGTTTGGGTACATATGATGATCGATATATGAAACTACCCAGAATGTGACTAGCATTGCTGACTAAGTTGAAACATCAAATAAAATAGTCCTAGTTCAGTTGATATTCAAATTGCAGTTTTGGCATTTATCCTCTTCACTACATCCCATATCCTTGCCGTGACTGCACACCTGAAAAGCTGTGTAAAGTACCAGAAAGAGAGGCGTCCACCATCACCCCCAGGTATTGCAGGATACTAGATGCTTTTTTCTCCTACCCTGGGATCGATGAACTCACTCTCGATCGCACTCACATTTTATAGAAATGAATCAATGAATCCTCCGCGCGGTCACAGTATGAAACATTACGGTTGTTTCGGGCTCGCTTATGGGCTCTCATCTCCTCCTTCTTGGCGGGCATCACATCGCCTTCCTTCATCCAGTATGTCTTTCGATCACCATGATCTTGTCCCAATTTGTGACCGTCTCTGCATTTGCTTTTCGTTTCGGTTTTTCTTTTCTTTTTTTAAGACCTGTCTTTTCTTTTTCCCTTTGCACCAATTTTGTTTTGTTTTCTTGGTACATACATAGATCACTACCAACGTTTTTTAGGCGAGACCGCTTGAGGGTGTACAGGATCCAACTGGTTGGTTTCCCCAAGCCTCGCCTGTCTCTCCAAGGATTATGGTGGTTGTACGACTGCCTCGTGTTTGATTACCTATATGAGCCCTGAGCAATTGATCGCTGGCGATGCCGGGTTGGAACCTTATGAGAGTTCACGGTTGACGGGAGATCCACCAGAGCAGACAGGTTGTCTGTGTGTTCAGGAAGCGAGTGCCGTGTTCATGATAGTTTAGCTAAAGCAGGACGGAGAGCCACGAGGTGGGCGTTGGGCGAGGGAGTGGGGTGGTATATGGTTTTTTCGTGGAGGTGTATGGGGGTTGAAGTAGAGTAGTAGTAGTATAGTAGTAGTAGTTAAAAGTCCCTGGCTAGACCCATTTAAGAGTCGTTCACCGCACCTCCTCCGTCCTGTGATGTTTTTTCCAAAGACATCTCAAACATCGATAGAGAACTTATCGACACAAAGTACTCCTGATTCTCGAGTTGGATCCTCACTGTAGAGGGAAATTGATTTGCATACATCCACAGCATCTGCATGCTATGAATAGGTTCGATTCCGTATATTCTCTAGTTTCGCCGGCAGAATTTCTCTTGGCCTGTTCCCCATTCTTGCTGTTCCCTGTAGGCAGTAGTAGTTCCTCTCTTCTCTAGTCGGCAATGTAGCATGTAGGTAACAGTGTTCTTTATCTGTATCACATCACATCCTCGGCCCTTGAGGGAAAAGTAAATAATAATAAAAAAGGCAGCCATGATGTGATATGGTCAATAATTGGTGGTGTAAACATTTTGCATTTATGTGAGGCGAGAAGGATTTGTCTGAGTGTGTGTGGAGGTCTGTATCGTACCCGCGGTTGTAGAATTGATCACATCTATCTCTCGCAGGTCACCTGCAGCCCTGTCTGCAACCTCCCGTGCCCTTGCCCCACCCACACCACAAGTCTGAGATACTGACCTGTCACTTTCAGGGTCTCCAAATGTTTCGTTCATTCGCCTGAACCCCATCCACCACTCTTCTTTTCTGCCCAGCTGCATGATATTCCCTTGGCATTCAAGAGTCGGTAACCTCCAAACTTGCACCAACTCGACGGGTGATCTGACTTGATTATTGCTAGCTCACCGAGAGACACTCGAACAACCGGGCCCGCTTGTTTGAGTGGGGTCAGAAAACGTTTTGGCCGTACCCAATCATATTCCACCTATGGACAAGGGCTTCTGTGTTTGGGAAATCCACTTCCGAATCCTTTTCCCACTATACCCTTTTTCGCCAGCCGCCCAGGTTGTCTCCCCACTAAACCTTGCATGCGTTGTGATGCAACCTTTCCCTCGCTTTCTGCCTGCTGGCTGCCTGCTTCTTTCCCGTGCTTCCTACTCGACAGACAAGTGATTTGTTTGGCACACCCACCGCTTACTCAGGAGATAGCGTGCATGTGTGGAGTTTGCGTGTGGGAAGCATCATTATTTATTTATTTAGGGGGGTGTAGTGTAGGGTATTGCAGGAGAAAGTATTGGCTTGATATGCAGAACTTGCTACATATAGACAACGAGATAATGCCCGGTTGGGGTGAAATAAATGGGGTACAATCGATGGTATGAGAGAATAATATCCTTATTACATGTATTATTATGATGTTTTGTTTTGTTTGATATTCCGAGGCCTACTCTACAATGTTAACTGCATACCCAGCGATCTGTACATACAAAATCCTGAGCACTTCACAGTAGCCTTAGCATGGCTAGCCATACTCATACGCATATTAGGTACAAGTAGGTTATTTTCCCAGATTGACCATCTTGTCTGTCTCTCTGGCCGTGTCTCTCTTCAGTTCCTTCTTCTGAACAAGAGTCAGGGAATAGGCAGTACTCCAGGCACTAACACTAGTGGCACCTCGATTGCGGGCCCGCTAGTTCCATTATCCCTGCCGATAAAAGCAATTCAGTACCGCCCCAGTCCCAGACTTTCCAGAGACCCATTCATTGCTCAAAACGACCCCCTGGCACCTTTTTAGACATTGCTCCGAAGCCTGTCCCAAATCCTTGGGGCAGCCCGGTCTATTGGCATCCATAAAACATCCTGTCGAGCGAGCTACTTCCCGTCACACCATCGAATCATTCATACTATCCCACTAAGAGATCCACCACCCATCACAAAAGTGGTGGAGTGGACGATATGAAAGAGTGTAAGTAGCAGGGAGGGATCAAAAGGGTGCCCCCCAAAATCCTGTGACCCAAAAGAAGGCTTGAGGGACTTTTTTTGATTAAGACCCAAATGAAGTCCAGAAAGTCAAATCTTGGCCCTTGTCCAGGGAGGGAAAATCAAATCTGTGGAAACGAACGAAGAACACGGAAAACGCGATCCTAAAAATTTCCTTAGCCAGGAAATAAAAAGGAAAGCCCCCAAGTCTCGGTTACGTTATTATTCGAGGCTTCTGCCCAGCTTCATCAACCTTTGGAAATGCAATATCCTAGTCGTCCCAAGCTTTAAACTATCCATAATCCACTTTATCTATCCCGTCCGCTCCCTGAAACTGCTTTGACTAGATCGAGCTCTCTATCCAACATCCTCCACCACTGCAACCCCCCCCCCCCCCCTCCACCCCCAATCCATCCCTTGAACTAGTCTCCGGCACCCCGTCGCTTTTTAGTTAGTACTTGAACCTGGCTGTATCGACTACCTGCCAGCCAATTCCGCCGGACAGCATCTCCAACTTGCATATCATCCCCTCCAGGCCCTCTTTCCTACATACATAGACCACCTCCCGGCACCTGCTAAGGACACTCGTTTGAGAGCATATACCACAGCCATCTGATCATACATACATAAGTACATAAGTACATACATACCACACATACATATACCTGCCTCCCCCCCCACTGTCACAATCATTACAACCACAATCACTACTCAACTACCACTCGACCCTCACTCGACCTCAACCTCAACTACCACAACACCTTTACCAACTACCTCCCTCAAATCAGTCACCATTCTCTCAACAAACGTAATGGATATTTTGGAACTCATCGATGATCGCGAGCAACTTGTTGCCGAGACCAGCAACAGACCATTCAAATGCCCAGAACCCAGTTGCCACAAGGTAGAATAGCAGTCCCAACGTGATTGTCCGTGATGGCATAGCGTTTGTATCAAGTGACCCATAAGTGCATTGGCTAAACCTTCGTAGAGTTTCAATCGCAAGTCAGATCTGCAGCGTCATCACAGGATTCACACAAACGAGCGACCATACTCATGTACTCATCCCAATTGTGGAAAGTCATTCATTCAGCGCAGTGCCTTGACAGTACACATCCGAACCCACACCGGCGAGAAACCCCATCAATGTGAATATATTGGATGCGGAAAGTGCTTCTCAGATGTTCGTAACGCAAACTCCCTAGGCCATTCATCCGAAGCTTCAAAGCTAACCTTTACATTCAGTCCTCAAGTTTGGCAAGGCATAGGCGTATTCACACTGGCAAGAGACCTTATAGCTGCCCCATCGACAAGTGTGGAAAGAGGTACTGTGGCTCCAATGCCTAATAGCTTCCTGCGTATACTAATTCATATACCAGCTTCTGCAGGAAAACAACATTGACTAAGCACGCCCGGAGAACGCATCAGATTCGCACAGAAAACGATGTTACTGATGATGATGGTGAGGAGACTGAAGATGATGCCCCTTCACCAAAGGCGATGAGCAAGCCAAGAGCACCGGCAAAGAGGACAAACAAGATGGGAAGCAAGAAGAACATCACAACTGCTCCAAACCGGCCATCGATGCTGCGAACAACCATTCAATTCCAGGAACCACCAACACCGCATAGCCCTCAGTCGATATCTCACTCTGGACACTCTAGCAGGAATGCCAGCTTTTCCGCTGCCGACTCATATGGAAGCCACATGCCACTGATCATGCCCCCCTCACTACACCACCAGCACCAGCCCCCGACACCGCAGAGCCCCTACTACCCTGATGAGGATGTCACAGATAGCAGGGCTATTTCACCAACAACAATTATTCACCGTGAGGATGAGTACAACACAACACCAACAGGATCAATGCACTCAAGCCCGACTTACAATGGCCTGCGAATTGTTTGCACAACCCCGTCAGCTCACCAACTTTTAGCAGCGGCGCAGATTCAGAGCAGCCCCGGAAGTCTATCATCTTGCTCTTCAGCCACAACAAATAGCTGCCAGTCAGATTACTTCTACAGGCAGCCAACAAGTGCTGGGAGCGGACATTACCCAATTTCCCCTGGCGCTGTTCCTCCTTACCCGAACCAGATGCCATATCACTCTGCCGCTCCTCAGCATCCGGCAATCATGACATATGCAACTAACGGGGGAATGCTTTCACCGCACCACCACCAGGTACCTGTCCAGCACCACGCGCAGCAGCAGGTATGGGACTACTACCCACCTCAGCAGCACCTTCTTCAGGCCCAGCCACAGCCTCAGCAGCACCGGATGTACTACCCAGGAGTTCCTCCTCAGGATATGGGATACATCAAGTCGGAACCCGAGCAGAACATGCTCCCTACACCAAGGGGATCATTCTGTTAGAGAATGATCGCACATAAGAGAAAAAAGTTGTACAAATCTTAAAACGTACTTATGGGCGAAATATGAGACTTGGCGGCCTTTGATTTTTCTTTTCTTTTTACCTTCTGTTACAATATTTTTATGCGTTCATATTTTTTTTTTATCTCTTTTAGTTTTCTATATATTAGCATTTATTAGCAAGATGCCTTTCATGGCTCTTGTGTGGGTGGTTTGTTCAGAAAATTGTTTTTTAAAGATCGGTATCAGCTTTGCGGCGACGGACTGGTGTACGGCGGGTGTCTTCACTTGTTTTATGCTTGTGCTATTATTTCTTACTGTTCTGGGGTGGTTGTCTTTTTTCAGCGCATTACTTTCCTTTTAGCACCTATATTACAGCGCTCTTTGGGGGGATATACCCCAAGTCAGTGGATTATTACTCTTTATCACATGATTTCACTGTTCTTATTGACTCTCCAATACTTTGTCTACCATTCACTGTCCCTATCTTGATTTCACTTTGCTCTAATGGCTCGCAGGGCTGCTCAGACCGCCAATCCGAATCAGGGAGATATTTGGGTCTGAATACTATTTTCCCAGGAACCCCCTCACCTGAGTCCCCGGCGTCCTTCTTTTTGACCTGATTTCCTTCTACTGATATATTTTTATTACTTGTCGTTTGGTTTTTACCAACATCGGCTGTCAATTTGTTAATTCCCTTTTCTACATCTGGTTTCGGTTTGTACTTGGATTGCGTTGCCTTCAAAACTCTGGGTTTGGGTTGGACTTTTGCTTGCTTTCCCTTCGTCTCCAAAAATCACGGCGGTATCAATTTGTTTTTTGACAGAAGCATGGGGGGTGACGTCTTTTCTTTTCCTCTTCCTTGTTCACTGCACTTGAGCTTACTTTTTCTTTCTTTTGATGTTTGTTTTATTGGCAAGGATGGGGGGAGGAAATGGGGTAAATTGTCACGGGCAGAGTTGGAACATGTGGTATCGATCAATTTTCTATGAGCCAATGTGTGTGGGTATATCTGTTGAGCCAATAATAGGAGGGTGACAAAGTTTTTTACACAGAAATTGTTCCGGTGTTTTTTCTTTTCTTTTCATTATTCGTTTCTCTCTTTCTTTTGTCGCAATGATTGTCTACTATTATCCTTTATTAGCTTTATTTGTCCATTACTTTTTCGTTGTTTTTTTGTTTCTTTTTCTCGTCACCTACTATGTATTGAGGATCAGCTACTTTTGGGAGGGGGAGGTGTTCTAGTCTAGTTTACTCTCTACTACAGTCTTTAGAAGAATGAATAATGCATATTTGAATCCAAAATATTTTTTTTTCCAGTGGCAATCCAATCCCGTCTAGCCAGCTGCTATAATTTCCCTCGCTTCATAATAGCATTAGTGCCATGCCATCTATCAGCTGGGCATGGGGAGGGTGAGGGTGTTGACATATTTGACGTACTAGCTAGCTAGCTAGCTTTTTCGAAGCTTCGCAGAACGCTGGTTTCCAAGGTTTTGAATTTAAGAATTTCTCCGGCTGATCCGGGTTGAAATGAATCTTGGATAGATCGAGCTGGGGGTGGGGACTGCAGGGCGAGAGCGGCGTAGGAGTAAGTAAGTGGGCGAGTGTGGCGTGGGAGGGAGAGCCTCAATTGCCATGCGAGAGAAGAAATTATGTGCTCTGACATAGCTGGTGTTTCTTTGCCACATTGATAGTCCTCAAGGAGAATTACCTACATACACGATAAACGATTATATCCCTCCACTACAGAAAAACATTCTACCCTCCCTCCCTTCTACTACACAAATACATAATATTCCCTCAATTAGGGGTGGTGAGGGGAGGAGGGGAGTTCCGGAAGACACAATTTGATAATAGTGGATCAAACAGCTAGAACCTGTGAAATTAGATCACTTTGTGATACCCCAGGATTCCACGCCGAGGAACGTGGCGGGAAAAAAAGGAACCGCCCAATGTCACTCTCTTTTTTTCTTCCTGCACGCCACGATCATACCAAAGCTGTTTTGGTGCCGGACTACCGATGTTGATAGAGTAAGAGTGGGTGGTGGCTTTCCCTCCCCCATCGACAACCCCATCCTTCACTCCCCCTCCCCCTCCACCCTCCACCCCAGTAAGCCACCGGCCCGACCCTGTTACCAGGGCCATGACATATACCCGTTCGTTTGAGATGATTTTTGAGGTGTATGTGTATCTTGGGATTGGCTGTCATATTGCATCCCCCGGCCATAGATGGGCATGGGGAGGTGAGAGAGAGAGAGAGAGAGAGAGGGATCCGGAAGGGATGTTGTCGATGTAGATGATATAGATGATCATGCATATGGGGAGAGGGATGCATATCGGACATGACAGCGAGATTCTCTCTTCTCTTTTCACTTTCTCTTTTCACTTTCTGAAAGAAGGGTAAATATGCCATCATGCAATGGTTCGTTTCGTTTCTTCTTTCCTTTTCATAGCTTCTGAGACATATGGGCAGCGTTCGATCCATGAGGTAGGTAGAAGGAAGTTACCATTACCCACCAGTAGCCATGGTTCATCATGATGATTTACCAGATGAACGGGATACACAATGTCATCCCTCTTTCCCTCTCTCTTACGCATCCCCTCCCTTCCCCTCTCCCGACTCTCTGGTACCTACGTACCCGGGGGTGAGGGTTTTGGGCACTACTTACCTGTAATTCATGCTACTCTCCTACTGGCTGCTGCTGTGGAGCCCGCTGGTAATAGAGTATTGAATGGGGTAAGCTCGATCATGGCTTGCTCTTGCTCCTGCTCTACTGTACTTTTACGCCCTACCGTTCCAGATATTACCGCACACACACACGCACACACACTGACACAAAAGTAAAAAGAGCTCACGTTTTTTCTGGTGGAACCGGAGGTGGAAAAACGGCGAACACATGGAATCAGAAACCATGTACATATGTAACGTGAGAAAGATGGGCTAACGTACTCTACAGATGGGAAAAACGCCTCGATCACCAGCTTGCACCTATCATTTACTCCAGACACCAGATTCTCGGGGAGGAAGTGAAACAAGGGCCCCGCGAAGAAGAGACTCTATCTGTGTTACGTGTATGTACATGTAGTTAAGCTAGAATTAGAGAAAGACGTACATTGCACTACTAAACTACATGTAGCTACTAACTACTACAGATTTATGGCCGGCCTGCTGGAACACCCTCTTCCAAGGACTCAATTAAGGGCCAAGCAAAAAGCAGGATTCTTCTGCTTCTCTGCAGGTTTAAAGTTTTGACCCATTATTGGGGATCCCAATCGAATATCAAAACGATTCAGATATCCCAGATATCCCAGATTGCCCCAGCATCATGATCCTGATGCCCACCCCCTCCCCTCTCCATCCTCCCCCCCAATTGCAAGTCAAGTCCTGACCCAGCGGCGGATCATACACTAGCTACGTATATGTTTCTTCATCGCCCCCACAAATATCGAGACCTGACCTCGGACACGGCGTGGTTCTAGATATGTCATTGAGATTCTGGTGCAGCTAGCTTTGCTACGCCGCTGGTCTACGATCTGTACTCCCCTGGTCCCTCCTCGCGGTTCGCACGACGAATCGCTTGCCAGACCCTTAGATCTCTCGCCCTCTTCAATTCTGCTTGCCTCTTGTGCCTGCTGTGTGTGGGTAGCCGACGTACGTCTGCCGCGCGCAAGCCCAGGCTGTTCTTTTTTTTCTTCTTTCCGGAGTGAAGGGCATTTCTGTGATCCAATGGCGTTTGCCGCGAAGGGGAGGGAGTTCCGGATCCGATGGGTTTCCTTCCTTGGAACTTCGGGTTTGTGGATTGATATGGTGGTCATTTCTGGAACGGATCGGACAGATGTACAGATGAGCTGGGAAATTGAGTATACTCGTATTGTGCTGACGTTTTTGAACTGGGCCATTATTGCATACACCCAAAATCATGAGCTTGGCGTATTTTTGTATGGCATGCAATATCAGTCGCGTCCACAAACGTCAGCGCAATACGAGTACGTAGCTGTAGGTGGAGTACATACATGTAGGTAGAGTATCATCTATCATCTATTCGCTAGCTAGCCAGTAGCCAGTAGCTAGACGCGGTGAAGATGTACCTGCCTAGCTAGAGTAACTACGTGATATAACATACATAATCTTCAATATATCAGAGCAGAGAATATAGTGTAGAAATCTGTACCTACCTATCATTATTATTACGATGCGGGCTCCATCCCATACATCCTGCCCTGCCCTGCCCTGCCATGTTAGGAGAATTTCCGAGCTTCGATAATCTATTCGCAAGCTTCTAGTCGAGCAGGCCGAACCTTCCACCCCATATGTGCATGACCCACAAGTAATCCAATCTATCGAACTTCCAACCTTCCAACATGAGCTCATCTCCAACGTGAGCAGCTCCCATAGCTACCCTACAAAGCTAGCCTGGCCTAACTTATATATGCAGTATGCAGGAAGCAGGAATATTAAGAAACTGTCAACGACGACATCGACAATATCGATTCATGACAGCGAACCAATACCAACTTGGCCCGCCGGAAACTACAGGCTCAATTTGCATGGGATATAAAATTATAAGCTACATGTAGCCTAGCCAAGGTCACGGCGTAACGTAGCTATACCATGGAAATTATATTGTGTTTTAATAATTTATATTTAATTTTCCTAGAACACCTTCCACCCCCCCCCGCTCCGCCCTCCTTCTATGGTCTTTTCCATTTGACCCACTATTGCGAATTGCGCACTTTCGGGGCAATGCAATGGGCAGCGTGTGGGTAGTAGGTACTTGGTAGGGTAGGGGGGGTGTACGGTACGGTATTTTTTCTCTTGTTAATTACCGCACTGGCGGAGCTGGGCCATACTCTCCAAGTCCTACAAGACCAAGTTCTCGGAATTGTATCTCGATATTTGTGTCTGGGTTACCTCAAGGCTCCAGCTAAGAGAGATGAAGACAGACAGCCAGAGAGACACAAAGGCTAGCTAGCTCCAAATATTCTGCGCGCGCCAGTCTGTA